CTGTTCTCAGAATAGATGATGTTGTGTAGCAGGGCCTGCAGTGGCAGTTCAGGGACCGTGGGCTTGCAGGCTGGCAGGCTGGGAGGCTGACATTGCCGCGATCCTGCACGGTACGATTGTCCGACCAGCAGGGCTGCAGGGCTGACATCATCTGCGGCATTGGCTGTGTGCCTGGTGAGCTGGTGAGCTGGTGAGCTTCGTGAGGCAGCCTTCTGCCATGATGAGGAGCAAATCAGCACGGCAGCAGCTGCCGGGACTGGTGTTTTGGGAGCAGAATAGGGCCGAAGAAACCATGATGCTCTGCTGGTCACAGCCGAGGTTCTCAATCCGTCGGCTTGGACCGATGTGGCCGGTCATCCAGACCTGTCAGCCAGTAGCTAAACCGCACCCAGTCCCTAGGCTGATCTGTCTCACCTGCGAGCTGTGAATCATCAAGCCACCGAACCAAGCCTCGAGAGGATAGACAGCCGAGCTCTACCGGTTCTTGGCCCCGCCGTGCCTGCATCCACCAGCACGCCCCGTCGCTGCAACTGCAGATGCAGACAAGATTCCCACATGCCAGCAAGAGCTGACGCAGGCGTCCTGACCGAGCTCACCTGAGAGTCCCGCATGCCCAAGCCGCCTCACGGTCACGGGCCCTCCCAAGAAAGAGCTTGGGGGGGGCAAGATGCACCCTGGACGAGAAGAGAGACGGCTCGGCGATACCAAGTACGTCAGGGACGATTTTGGGCGTGCGTGGTATTCCCGGCCGCCCGTGCTTGTACCGGGTACTTCAGCGTCGGGCCCACAGGTACTTACTCGCAAGCTCGAGGTACCTGCCATCAAGACGGATGGGCCCCGGTCGGTTGCATTATGCAGTTTCCCGGCCACATGGAGAAGAACCTGGAGTGCAGGCTAAAACGAGCGCTATTCCCAAAAGGAGAGCGTTCCTGCATTAGCAATTTTGGCTCTTGCCTTCCAAGGTTCCGGGCCGGGACAACGTAGCCCTGGAATGCCTGCTCTGGTCTGGCTGTGACTTGCTTGTGCAAGATGGCAGGCCTTTTTTTTTTTTTTTTTTTTCGTTCGTTCTCCGTGCGTGTTCCGGTGGTTGTCGCCTTGAATACACGCCTGCACCAATGTCACCATGGCGTCAATTGGTCACATCCTGTTTTTCACAGAGAAAGGTCTGTGGAAGCGCCCTGTTTATACCCAATCCAACCAAGCAAGCGCCTGCTCGTTGGTGGTTTCGTGTCAGGGGGCTGCGCCCTATCTCGCAAATCAAGTTATTGTGCCGCTAGGCATTTATCTGTTCAGTGTAGGCTGCGGAATAACACCCGTGAAACAGGAGGGCTCAACAAGTCGCCGCAAGCTGGTCGCCGTCGTCCCATCCTCTCAACTCAGATGCAAAATGAAGCAGCTAATCAGAATAAGTCGTCCGGAGTTTGCGCGTCTGCGGATTGTGACAGCTACCCGGAATGCTTCCAATTCGCCAATGCCAAAAAGCATGCGCCATCGTATCATCGAGCTGCTGACCGGAACAGATATCCACACTGGCCGGTCCAGGCCGTGGATGTTCTTGGAGGTGGCACTCTCTCGAATTGAGGTTCGCCTGTGCGCTCCAAAAGCAAGATCGTCGTATGCTTGTGACCTCATCGAACAATTCCCCTCAGGACCAACCTGTGACCTCACATCACCATCCCCATGAGTTCACGGCTGTGGAGAAGACTGCTGCTCGACCGAGCCGTAGCATCGGGATGGACTTACTTGCTCACCGTATTCCTACCACACGGCAGCTCCGCGGTCCCCGGTCCACCACCAGTGCAGGGTGGGCCGTCGTGGGTAGGCCGCCGTGGGTAGGCAGCCTGCCCCTCGGTGTGCAGTTGCGCCCATTCACAGATCGTCAAGAGATACTGCCAGAAATTTAGCGGCGCTATCAGACTTTTCAGCGGTGCGCGAAGGCAGCCGCGCCACCAGGAGGGTGCAGCACGTCCTAGCCAGGGGCCTTGGGTCTGGCCACGATGCCTTCACGGATTTTCCTTGTTGACCGCACGTGGCACGAGAGGCTCGGCGCACCTCAGGCCATGGCACGATTACACGATGGAATTGCCGAGAAGCCATGTGCGAAAGTAGCAGAACGGGGGCGGCGATCTGGGGAGATCAGATATTACCTTAACCAGCAAATCCTCCAAGCTACCACCAAAGGGGACTCAAACTTCAGCCTTGACAGCCTTGCCGACGGGGCAACACGGATCCATGCCGTGTTGTCACCAAGCGACTGCGAATTCATAGTGGGCTGGCACCCAGTTGACGTTCGCACCAAGTGGGCATCCTCGGCGAGGACGAGCAGAATGTGGAGCGCTCAAAGACCGTGAGCGACTCCAGCCCGCCGCTTCGAGCTTCTCCCCCTGCCGCTCAGTGGGCCGCCGCGAAACCTTCTGGAAGGCGGTTAGTCCATGTGTCCCTGACCAGTAGCCCTGTGATGCAATCGCGATTGACAGTACTGAAGATTTACAGTTGGGGACAATTTTACTGCCTGTCATGAGTCCATTCACACGAAGTTACATGCAGACCCACCGGCCACGCGACTACAATGCATGGCGGTGGATCTCACCCAGCATCGGGCTCGTTGCAAACTGGGCCCTGCGGCACTGCCGAGGGAGCGGTTAGGATAGCAGACTGTGGGCCTCTACTCTGCAAACCATTAACAAAGCTCACCGAGTCTTCTCGGTGTGCAAGGATGAGGCCCAGGCCCAATCCCTCGTCAGTTGTCCAGACCGAAACGCTGGGCGGCCGAGGACCCTCGCTTGGTACCGCAAACGGCAAATGTGGGTATCCTAGAGGGGATGCCGTGTCAATACCATCCCCCAGCCAGAGCCGACGGGAGTGCGCTCAGCTGGATGCGACATGAGAGCTGCCTTCAGAGAGCTGGGGCACAACCACACCATGCCTTGCGCTGATTTCTTTGACTTCAGCAGCTGGGGCAAGGATCTTCAGGCCCTCTCGCGTGGCTTCTAAAAGCAGCTTCTTGCCAAGGCAGGACGCCCAAGTAGATGACAATTCTCTGGCACAAAAACAACGGACGGGGACGGGGGCGATCTAGCGACCACTAGGGAAACAAATGTGCCGGACGCCTCTGGGCCGGAAAGCTAGCCGCGCTGTCAGAGGTGCATGAGGAATCCCTGTTGGCTGGCGACCTCGTGGGTTCCGGGGAACCATCCGGCCTCGCATACCGCTCCACTTGCCGCCACGCGGTTCATCTTTTCTCAAAGGTTGCTAATTTGGAAGGGAATACGGAGCACCACCGTTTAGCTGGGCATAGGGCAGGCCTGCCCTGAACGGAGGCTGGGAATCCCAACACTGCATGAGCATGACGCTGGGATAAGGGTGGCTGTCGGTCGAACCTGTCACGGCCAATGTGCTGTCGAGTGCCCCCCTACACAATGAGAAGCACGCACAATAGCTGACGTATAGCAACAGGGTGATGCCCACCGGGTCCCTCGGTGCGACGTGAATACCTGTTAGGCTTCTATAGTGCTCGCATTATGCGCATCACACGTGGTCTGGGGCTCGGCTCCGAACGGTTGCATTGCAGCGGAACTTGGAAACGGAGCTGCTGGCTGCCGCCGGGCGAGGGTGATCAAAATGACAGGCAGTTCGCCAGCTCTCCTAGGGCCGCCACCAGCAAGCTAGGGTCGCATTAGAAGCCTGGGTTAGGTGTCCGGCTTGTCTCCCCCGGTGTTTACAACCCTGTTTCGCAAACTCCTGCAACGAGACACAACTTTGGGGGCGCGAAAGGAGGCAGACGGGCCCCTGGGAGAGCATGTCACAGGCATCGTTGCCATTCAGTCGCCATCCGGCCTCGTTGGCAATGGATGCCTGAAAGCATATGGATTGCCGATTGCTGTATTCCAGCAGCATTCCTGTCCTTTCCTTGACATTCAACTGATCTTGATGCAGAGCTTATCTGAAAAACCGGGACTTCCTCGTGCAATGCCATTCTGTCCCTTACCATTGATGCTGTACAAGCTTGCCTCGCACTGCATTATTCAGAGATTATGAGTTTGGTTTCAGAGTCAGCTATTAGAAACCTATATCACCCCGATTCAACGACACTCACGGACACCGAAAGCCTCCCTCCCTACATGGTTCACAGGAGGAGAGCCGACAACCCCTTGCCTGGTGCCGGCGACTGCGCCGCGATCAGGTCCCCACGGGCATTGAAGTCTAGACCGCGATGCTCCTGCGGCGAGCTTTCCGTATGCGGTGGGATAAGCCGGCCGCTCGGGAATGCCTCGCCTTGCTCCAGAGTCTGGCTTTCAGGGTCGAGGCGAGCGGGCTCGACCTGCGCAGCCGCACGAGCGACGCGAGTCAACTCGAGGGAGTAAGGCCAACCTTCATCAGAGGTCAAGCAGGAAAGGCAGGATCTGTCAATGGGATCGTCTGCCTCTGATTCGAGAGTGCCCGTCGAGTCAAGATTGGCCGCCCGGTATGGCGGCTTTTGAAACGATGCTACAGCAAAACCTTAACCACCTCAGCCTGGCGCGCACAGAGCCTAGGGCCGTTGAATACGGGGATATTTTCACGGATTTTGGGTTTGGGGGGGAGCTCCCCAGCTCTCTCTTGGCTGCAGCATGTTCCAAGGTTCTAGCACGAGCTACCTGGGGTGTAGAAGTGCGAAAGCTTCAGGTTCCCCGGTGGTGGTGGCATGACAACTAGAGTCTCCAAGGGAACAGACCCACGAGCACCGCGAAGCTCGAGCTCACTGCGCGGCCAGAAGCCGCTCGGTCCGGAGCGACCTCAATTTATGCCAGACGCCAAAATTGAGAGAGAGTTCTGAGCAATCGAGATCTACCAGGTATTATCACGGTCGGATTACGTAGCCGGACGGGCCTGTACTCAAATGCCGACACATTGTAGAATCTATTCGGGGGGCTATCGACGGCTTCAATGTTGGTGAGTTCGGTTGATAGACAAAGGTGAGAGTACCTAGGTACTCTGTAAGCTGCGAGCATGCTCTCACACGCCAATTGGCAAGGGTTGGTAAAGGGGAGGGGTGGGTTGGTTGCCCCACATAGCCACATTGGCTAAGCTGGTTGGTGACGCCTTCCTCCACATAGCACCTACTTGTAGGTAGTTGAGCGTGCACACACGTACAGCAACCTAGCTTGGCTCGGGATTCCATCCAACGACAGCACGGCAACAATCCGCTCACCTCTTTCAAGGAGACGACGAACACTCGACCACAGAACACAAGGCTTCGCTTCAGTTCTCCCAACGTGACAAGTCGCGGCCAAAGCCAGCCCTCTCCCGACGTCCGGCTCCTCGCCCAGCGCTGACTGACCCCTCAACGCCACCGCCGCCTGCCTCACCACCATGTCCATCATTCAGCAACACACGTCGGCGTCGCTCAGCGACGCCTGGCGCACCATCAACATCGACGCACTGCAGGAGGACTCGTCCGTCAACTTCGACACCTCGACCCTGCACCCACCCCTGCCTGAAATCGGCGAGGCCGAGGTGCGCTCGCTCGCGGGGCAGGTTAGACAGCTGCTGCGCGGCGGGGACGCTGAGGGCGCGCTGAGGGGCTGCCTGGAGATGCCCGTGTACAACGGAAACGACCTGGCAAAGGTATGACTCCGAACAAGAAACAGAGTGTTGCCCTGAACATCCCGCCTGCCCCCCCCCCCCCTTCAAACACTGGTTCGCTGTGGGTTCGTTGAGGGGGTTTAAGGCAGGGAAGCCGGAAGGGACGCCCGTGTGGAGACGCCGCCGGCGCCGGGGATGGGATGAGAGCTCCTTTTTGTTGACACATGGGACTCGATAGGAAGCGCACCTGCAGACCGTCGTCGAGGTCCTCCAGTCGATCAAGGCGAGCGAGATGACGCCCATGCTCCAGCGCATATACCAGGGCGACGGCGGTAGCGAGCTGTTGGATGTGCTCATGAAGTACCTGTACGTTGTGGCTCCCCTGTCGGAAGTGCCGACTCCTACCACACCTCAACACACGAGTCCACACGTGGAGCGGTGAGCTGACCTTGGCATCTTGTTCTTCGAATCAGGTACAAGGGCATGGCGTCGACGACGTCCGGAGGCAGCGCTCCCCGGACCCCCACCAAAGTGACCCCCCAGCCTACGGGTTTCAGCCAGGTCGGCGGACGGCCGGGTGCGGCAAACGAGTCCGCCGGCGCGGCTATGAGCGTCCTGCTGAGCTGGCACGAGAAGGTAGTCGACGTTGCTGGGCTTGGGTGCATAGGACGGACGATGACGGACTGGCGGAGGGTGTAAATCTGCTTAGAGGAGCGCTCGAGCAGAACAGCAAGAAGCCTCACGAAGCTGGCGGGTTCGCCCAGGTCGGGTAAAGGATCCCCGTGGCCGCCCTCATGCGCCGCACCATGTCGCGGGAGGAATACACATTCGAGAAACACACGCGGGCGTTGTCCTGGTAGACCATTTCGTCGTTTGATGCAAGCTCAATGGCGTCTGAAAATTCGGGGTTCACTCTCATGGGTATACACAATACTTCGCTTTTCAAATGAGAACAAGGCGGCCCAGAGAACTGGTCGAATGCTTCGTTAGAATTGGTTGCCAGCTACAGGAGGCTCGGTACCCAGGTAGGCCGCTCGCAATAGTGAACACCTCAAGCTCGTTATGCCCGCGACGGAAGGTCCTCAGGCATGATCACCAGCAGCAGTAGAACTAGCCTCACTTCGTTCATGCTAGTTGAGCTCCCCACCAGGTAATGCCGCTCCATGTGCTGCTTGTTTCCAGCACGCTTTGGGATGCAGTGATTACTTGGCTGATCAGCCTTGGTCTCAATAATGTGTACATTATGTGAACCGGGCAGGGCCTCAGAAATGAGCCCACCAAGCTTCGTCTATAGAACGCACCCCGAATGCCTATTGGAGTATGCCTCGATATGAGACCTACTTCCGACCATCGCTCATGCACGGTGCCGGACAGCTGTGCGCGTGGCGCCAGATCGTCGACCTTTTATTTGTTCTCAAGTATGTCCTTAAGATTGATGTCGGCACTGCCTCGAGGGAGGGGTTTGGCCTGGTCAGGAGAGTCATGCCACCCCATCATGTAGATGATCCTGAAAGTCGCTGGTATCGAGCCGTCCTCGTTCCCATGGAGCTCGCGGTAGATGGCCTCGTTGGCAAGGAGAACGTCCCTGCCGATGGCGCCGGGCTCGCGGCCCAGGACGGCGTTGCCCTCGCCCATGAGCTGCAGGTCCCGCATCAGCTCGAACGTGTTGGGGTAGTCGACAATGATGTCGTCTATGTCGACCGTCAGCATCTTGAAACCGGCCTTCTGCAGCAGACCGCCGACGTCGCGCACGTCAGCAAGCGGCGACACGCGCGGGGACATGCCGCCCCTCCGATCCTGCTCGGCCAGCTGCAGCGACGTCCGCAGCTCGAACAGCGTGTCGCCGCCCAGCATGGCGCCGATGAAGGGGCAGTCCGGCTTGAGGATATTGTTGATCTGCGACAGCACGCCCGGCAGGTCGTTGATCCAGTGAAGGCTCAGGCTGCTCAGCACCAGGTCGAAGGACCCGGCCTCGAAGGGAAGGCTCTCCTCGTCGTCCAGGACCTTGCGCGTGATGGCCAGCCCGTCGTTGAAGGGCAGGTCCGCGTCGCGATACAGCTGCCCCTGCGACGAGTCGGCGGCGACCAGCTCGGTGATGCGGCCGGCGAGCGGCGGGGAGGTGGGCGTCGCCGGGTCCGGGTTCTCGCGGGTCAGGGCGCGGGCGACGTTGCAGGTGTTGGCGCCCAGGTCGAGGGCGCGCGGGAAGTGTCGCTTGATGTCCTGCAGTGCGAGGAGAAAGCAGGTCAGTCACAGCGCGCCATGGCGTCGCAGCTTCAGGTACCAACCAGGAGTCGCTCACAGAGCCTGGCGGCCACCTCGTCCTTGAGGTAGTCGGCCTGGCGGCTCCCCTCGACATCAGCTGCAGCCCGCTCCTTCTGCAGCCATTTCGACCGCCGGTTGAAGACCTCGAAGACGGGAGACCCGGGGGCCTGGGAGGCGAAGGTCCGACGTGTCCAGGCGGCCACTCGGGGAAGTTGGCGTGGGCGGACTCTTGAAAGGGCCGGATTCATGTTTGGACATTCACATGGTTGTTGTTGCAGCAAGGTTTTGGAAGGGGCCGCTGCTCTGCTGCGGCGGCGTAGTGGGGTCGGGGAGCAGACGCCAGAAGCTCAAGACGTCATGCACTCTATCTGGGCGCTGTGACCCTCTGACACTCTGTCGCTGCGGCCCCAGGGATCACCGTCATAGCATGCTGCATGTCCAATTGAGTTGTTGTAAATACAACAGACTGATGTCTACCACCGTATGCACCATATGGCGGCTCAAGTGTTTGTTTGTAATTTTGGTCTAGCAGACGATAGCTCACATGAAATAATCCTCACGTTCAAGCCAGCAAGTACATACATAGGTGAAGAGGCAGTGAGACGTACACCGGGCCTCGGTGCGAGTTCGAGCCTGCATGGCCAAGATAGACTTTTTGCTGAGGGATTGTCTTGCACAGCCCGACAACGTTGACTGACCCCATCCGGCCTGCTTGGACTCAGAGCGGGCAATTCGGCCGTGATACCTCCCAAGACACCCTTGGGAGTCCCCAGCTGAGAAACGTCTCGACGGGGTCTCGCCCAGAGCATGGGAGCCCCCAGCAGCCTTCCCAAGACAGCATGGCAGGTCGGGTCCAAGGGTCCGTGCTTGGCTTATTTAGCAAGCCCGGCAAGCGGGAGCGCGGTGCAGGTGGTGCACCAGTGCACGCACTGATGAGTGAGGATCCAAAGCCGAGCCTCGAGACGGCCCGCATAACTAACTCCACGTTGAGCCCGACCATCGATCCCATCCCCTTTTGACAGGAGGACATCGCATCAAGCCTCTCCCGTCCTGTGTCTTGCTGAATCGCACCCTCTCCCACCGCGACATCTCTCCATTCAGACGACCACACGCACAGATTCTCCAGCCATCCCCACCATGCCGGCCGTCTGCTGAGTCCACGAACCCAACCAACCCACCTGAGCATCCGACCCCTTCCCTCGTGCGTTCCCGCCGCGGACCCTCATGGGTAATTCGGCTCTCGCGTCCAACACGACGGCCTGACTGTCTAATTTCGCACCCCGCTGACAACCCGCCGGTTTGTCTCGACAACTGAATCGACTTTTGCCTCTGGCCATCACGACGAAACGATCCCTGACATTCAAGAGCCTCAACATCCAAAATGTCCTCCTCCGCGGCCGCCGGCTTCCTTGGCCGGTCGAGCAGCAACAACTCCAACATGCGCGGCCTGGTACAATTCATCGCTGATTTGAGAAATGCCAGAGCCCGTGAGCTCGAGGAGAAGCGCATCAACAAGGAGCTGGCAAATATCCGGTGAGCACCCACGCGGCCCAGCGCGGCCGTGGTCGCGAGACCACCCCTATTCACGTCCCACTGTCCCGCTGACCACGAATGGCGTCTACAGGCAAAAGTTCAAAGGTCCGCGATCCCGGTCCCCAGCAACGGATACCACGCGATCACTCGGCTAACTTGAAGTAGATGGGAACCTGAGCGGATACCACAAGAAGAAATATGTCTGCAAGGTGCGCTTCGGGAAGAGAATGCCCTCGCTGTGCAAGAAACACCACTGACCGTTTGGCCCAGCTCTTATACATATACATCCTCGGCTGGAATGTGGATTTCGGCCACCTCGAGGCAGTAAACCTCATCTCAGCCAACAAGTACTCTGAGAAGCAGATCGGGTACCTCGCAATGACCCTGTTCCTCCACGAGAAGCACGAGCTGCTCCATCTGGTCGTCAACAGCATCAGGAAGGACCTACTCGACCACAACGAGCTGTTCAACTGCCTGGCCCTGCACGCGATCGCAAATGTTGGTGGGAGGGAAATGGGGGAGGCTCTCAGCGGCGAGGTGCACAGGCTGCTGATATCACCGTACGAGTCACCACTATCGCGAATGTGACCAGGACTGACTGCAGGCGCAGGACTTCTAAAGCGTTCGTCAAGAAAAAGGCCGCACTCACTCTCCTCAGGCTGTACAGAAAGTTCCCAGACATCATCCAACCGCAGTGGGCTGAGCGGATCATATCTCTCATGGATGACTTGGATCTGGGAGTTGCGCTGTCCGTCACGTCTCTCGTCATGGCATTGGCGCAAGACAATCTCGACCAATACAGAGGAGCCTATGCCAAGGCCGCTGCCCGACTGAAGAGAATACTGATCGATGGAGATTATGCTGCCGACTATCTTTACTACAAGGTGCCCTGCCCTTGGATCCAGGTGAAGCTTCTGAGGCTGCTTCAATACTTCCCGCCTTCAGGTTCGCAATCCGGTGTCGTTCGGGCCCTTTGGGATATAAACTGACAGTCCGTACAGATGACAGTCATGTGCGAGAGATGATCAGGATGTCCTTGCAAAAGATCTTGGATCTGGCTTTGGAAACCAACAAAAACGTCCAGCAGAACAATGCGCAGAATGCGGTCTTGTTTGAAGCCATCGACCTGATCATCCACTTAGAAACTGAACAAGCGCTGATGCGACAAATATCCCAAAGGCTTGGTAAATTCATTCAGTCGAGGGAGACTAATGTTCGGTACCTCGGTCTGGAGGCAATGACGCACCTTGCGGCACGAGCAGACACACTGGACCCCATCAAGCAGCACCAGGACATCATCATCGGCTCGCTCAAGGACCGAGACATTAGTGTCCGACGGAAAGGTCTCGACCTGCTTTACAGCATGTGCGACTCTTCCAACGCACAACCGATTGTCGCAGAACTGCTGCACTACCTCCAGAACGCCGACTTTGCCATTCGGGAAGAAATGGTGCTGAAAATCGCCATTTTAACCGAAAAGTATGCAACAGATGTGCAGTGGTACGTCGATATCTCCCTGAGACTGATCGCCATGGCCGGCGATCATGTCAGCGACGAGGTATGGCAGCGTGTCATCCAGATTGTGACAAACAATGAGGAGCTGCAAGTGTATGCGGCCAAGAACGCATTGCAATACATCAAGCAAGATCATTGCCACGAGACACTCGTCAAGATCGGGGCATATATCCTAGGAGAGTTCGGGCATCTTATTGCTGAGGACAAAGGCTGCAGCCCCATCGAGCAGTTCCTGGGTCTGCACGGCAAGCTTCCAGCCTGTTCTTCTAGCACACGCGCCATGATCCTGTCCTGTTTCGTTAAATTCGTCAATCTTTTCCCGGAGATCAAACCTCAGCTGCTCCATGTCTTCGATATTTACAGCCACACGCTTGACTCGGAACTACAGCAGCGTGCATGCGAGTATCTCACCCTAGCCACTCTTCCGACGGACGACCTGCTCCGAACAGTCTGCGACGAGATGCCCCCATTCCCAGAGAGACAATCAGCTCTGCTGTCCCGTCTGCACCAGAAACATGCGAATACTAGTGACAAACGCACCTGGGTTGTCGGTGGCAAGAGCGCGAATTCGGACGCTCAGGAGCTCAACATGGCCAAGAACCCGGGCCTCAAGCGGACTTTCAGCACGCAGTCGCAAGCCAACGGCAATGGGCATGCCAACGGAGCAAACGGTACTAACGGTCAGAAGGCTGCTAGTGACCTTGCTGGCCTCGACATGGCGAATATGGGATCCGCGGAACCCAAGACGAAACCGCCAAATCTGGCCAGCGCGGCTCACTTGTCGCCGGGCTGGGAGAAGGGCTTCAACCGGTTGCTGCTGAGAGCCGACGGCATCCTGTTTGAAGACGGCCAGATCCAGATCGGTGTTCGATCCGAATACCGAGGCCAGATGGCTTGCCTCATCATGTACTTCATGAACAAGACCCCTACCATCATGAGCTCGTTTACCACGACTTTGGACCTGGACGAGAGCGACAAGGGTAACTTGACGTGGGACATCAAGGGCCTTCCCGATACCACGGTGACCCAAGGCAACCAGTGTCAACAGGTAATCATGTTTGAGGCGAAGAGGATGTTTTCGAACTGCCCCACGATGCGCATCAGTTATCTCGCCGGGGCGCTACAAGCCCTCACCCTGAAGCTTCCCGTCACTCCTCACAAATTCATGGACCCAGCAGAGCTTACAGGAGAGGACTTCTTCAAGAGGTGGAAGCAGATTGGCGGCGCTCCCAGGGAAGCGCAGAAGATCATCGGTTTGGCCCCTGGTAGCCGTGATAGAGAAATGACAGAGGGCTCCGTGCGCTCGGTTGTATCTGGTTTCAGGTGGGGTATCCTTGATGGTGTCGACCCTAACAGGAAGAATTTTGTCGGTGCGAGTGTGCTGCATACGTCGGAAAGCGGTAAATTTGGGTGTCTGATGAGGTTGGAACCCAATTATAGCACACAGGTAAGGCTGCCCTAGAGTCCATGCGCGCACCACCTCCACCAACAAGGCTGACTTGTGCAACAGATGGTCCGTCTCACAATCCGGGCTACCGATGATAGCGTGCCCCAGGTAATACTGAAGATGATGGAGGAGAGGATCGCAGCTGGAGTCTCGACTCTACCAGAGACGCATTTCGGACCAACGCCAAGAGAGATATCTGATACTTTCTCCAATATCATGGTGAGGGAATGATATTCAAAGGGGCCGGGAAGCAGTATATAGTAGCGCGTTGCAGGCGTGGCAACGTGATGAATTTCGTCGAATACATCACAATCGAGCGAGCATGGGGGCGTTTTCGGACAGCATTGGAAAGGGAATTACATCCCACCTCTTGACTGACAAGGTGGCAACGAGAGGAGTGGTGTTCTGGCTCTGGCCGTGACGCGCTGCGCCGCAACGACCGGACCAGTTGTATCCTCCACACGGGCGAAGACAACACCTTGGACATATGGAGAATTTAATAGCAAATTGCCCGTCGCTTGCGGCGATCGTCTAACCTCGGAAACGCCATGGATAACTTTTGTGCCTTGGGCTTGACTGCCGTAACTGGAGCCCATTTTAGTGTACAGTGCCGCATGTTACAGCTGCCGCCCTTTCGAGTCTCTCATCACCTGGACTGACCCATTTCCTAAGCTCTCTCTGCCTCCGTGTCTCTCTGTCTATCCAGCTGAATGGACCTCACACGACAATCTTGGCCTCGGACTTGGGACCCCTCGTGCCGAAGATGGTGCTGCCGACCCTGACCTCGCTGCTGCCCAGGGCGATGGCGCCCTCGAAGTCCTCGCTCATGCCCATGCTCAGCTCCAGCGGGGGCGCGTCGTCGCCCCTGGCGGCCAGCAGGTCCGCGAGCTCGGCGGAGACGAGGTCGCGCTGCTCCCTGAGGCGGACAAAGTCCTCGTTCTCGTTCTCGGGGGTGGTGGCGACGCTGCGGGCGATGGCGCCGATGGTCATGAAGCCCAGCAGGTTCAGGTGCGGGCACTCGGTCAGGACGAGGCGGGCCAGGGCCACGACGTCGGCGCCCGGTGCGACGCCCGACTTGCTCTCCTCGCCCGAGGTGTTGACCTGGACGTGGACGTTGAGCCTGGGGACGTCCTGATCCTGGTCCTGGTCCTGGTCCTGGGCCGAGGAGGCGATCAGATCGCCGCGGGCCTTGTTGAGCAGCTGGGCCTTCTTTGCGGTGTCGACACTCGACACGACGAACAGGTTGGGGATCTTGGCCAGGGTCTTGCAGTGGCTCGACTGCAGGCCGCCGATGAAGTGCCAGCGGATGGAGCGCGGCAGCAGCGCTGCCTTTTGGCCCAGCTCCTGGGCGTAGTTCTCGCCAAAGTGCACGTGGTTGGCCGGGGCGCCGTGCAGGGCGAGGATGTCGTTGGCCGGCTTCAGCTTCGACACGGCCACCAGCCTGACCTGTGAGGCGTCAGTCTGTGTTGGTCGTGATGAAACAATTGCCAATGTTTCTTTTCCCCTGCCTCATCGACGACCGCTCTCTCACTCACTCAGGACCTCAGGGCCTCAGGCACTCAGGGCGGCGGCAGTGGCGAGGTTGCAGCGGGTTGACGCGGGCTGCCTGGCTGCACACCCTCGCAAAAAAACTTACATTCCGGCCCTTGGCCACTGCGGCAATCCTTTGCTGCACATCTTGCAGCTGTGAGACGAGAGCCTTGGCTCTGACGGCATCTACCTTCATCTCCGTCTCGGTCATGGCGTGTGCCGATCGACACCCCTGGCACGGTGCAGGGCTGCAGAGTTTAGAGTCCGGGGTGGTAGTGTGCAGTCTTGGTCAAGTAGCAGTGTAGATAATAATCGGGGTTGGGCTGGCACTGCTACGGCATGCACGCTGCCTTGAAAGCATAAATAAGTGTCTTGCGTCGGTTTTGTAGCCTGGGCCGCATGAGTGTGCAGTGGTAGTGTGGTAGTGTGGTAGTGCCCAGGTGCTTCTCCTATCCCGTCGCCGAATTCGCCGCAGTGGGGCGTGGGCTAATCACACACCCCCTCTGAGTGACATGTCTCACTCGGGCATCACAAGCCGACTAATAAATGACATGAGTTCCGAAACGCTGAACCTGGCCTGGTCGAGGTTTCCTGTCACTTCGTCACACCTGATTCTTCACCCAGGTATTATGATCAGACTCAACATCTGCTCCTAACAGTGCGTCAAGGACACTTCCAGTAGTACCTAATCATGGGCTGGCTATCTGTACTTTTACTCTCGGTACTATCTACCTAGGTACGCAGCCTTTACATACACCATGATATCTCTACTCGGGGAAGAAGATACCGTGTTATGACAGATTCAGAACGAGAATGTCTCAAAGAATTTCTGAAATCTTAATCTTAACACTGCCTTTGGAGACTCTTCATTCCGAATACACACCTAGGTACGCAGGCTCGCCCAGTCCAAAAGGTACTAGTTAGACATTGTTCGGGAGCATATGGCAATAAAATATCCGCTTAGAGGCTATGATGATGATCAAAGATCCAATAAAGTGGTTTGAGCAGGCATATATGCCCGCAGCTTGGACCTTCTCGGAAGACAGGTCTTGCATGATTACTTGCTTCCAAGTCTGTTCTGGGTAATTCACACACCCACCCAAAGGTTTCATTTCTAATCACCTTAAATATAAGGTGTATTTATAACTGTTATCAATATTGTGTGTTTTTGGAAGCTGTGTCTTTAAGCGTTTGCAACTGCATAAAGGCGCCACATATGTTTTGTATGTATGGGGATTAGCACTGAGTAGGCCACGGGGTAAAGTCTGATGTCTTGTCACTGATGCCACTTTGAGTGAGTTTGTATGAGCACTTTCAAATATCAACAGCCGGGTAACTCAATACGGCAAACTTGGGAAGAGCAGTTCTGTCCAAGCAATTTCTTTTTTTTTTTTGCGGTTCGTAGTCGGTGGGTGTTTGTGAGCAGTGTACCAAGGTGTTGCCCAGCTGCCACTGGCCCACACTATTCAAATTACAGGTTGAATTGCCTGGGCAGGTAGAGTTTACGAAAGTGAGTCAACGCTCTCGGGGGGTGAGTCATCTTTCTGTTTGGGTCAGTGAGGGCCAGAACTTTGAAGCAGCTGAGTAGATCTCTCATGCCATCTGATCAGTAGCTACCCATTTTGGGCTGCTACTCGAGGCAAAGTTCGTCCAACCTCTTGCAAAGAAAGTCGCCTACCTAGGTACACCCCTTCTTGCTGATAACCGCCTGGTGGCTGTTTCGGCTGTTTCGCCCCCACGCACCCATTCAGCCATTAGCTGGCTTACCTGATCACTCAAATTATCTCAGGACATATTCGATTGTTACCTGAGATCCTCGTTCTCCCTTCTTTACAGCCCTTGCACCAACCTAGGGGCCGCATGTCCGAGTTCCCTTCAAAGCACATGTGACAGTGCCATCCATCTTGACACAGATTCACATACCTCAACAACAAACCTGATATGCCTCCAAACTCTCTTACCACAACCAACATGCTAACGGAGAGCGAAACTGAAGACAGCGGCCATGAGCGGCCAACTGGTGAGAGCTCAACGCCACCCAGCACACCAGCCGGTAGCATACTGCATGCTCTGCCAGAACCTCATGCATCGTCGACGCCGTCGTCCAACGAGAACCGGTCAACGGGTCAATCGAGCAGCACTCCAAATCCGTGTCCACAGACATCTACCGTGTTTCCGCCAGGCAGCGAAGCAAGCTCTTCGGTGCCCTGGGGTCCATCTTTCTCTCCAGTAGACCAGAATAACAGCCAGGATGCCCCAGACAGACACCTTTCACCCAGGCGCGTCTCCCCAGCCGCCACTGAGGCCGGCCAAGCACTGGCTTCAGCACCATCCAGTCAAATAAGACGACCCCCAACTCCTGCTGCTTCAGTGGCTCGTGAAGCCTCTTCACGGTCAAGTGACTCTACCAGCTCGACCCGATCTCTGGATACCTACGACAAAACCATCATAGCAGCAACCGCGACGCTAGCCTACCTTCAAAGCAAGTGTGGCGAGGGCAAGTCACCCTGGGACTTCGGAGACAATGGCTGCGCCACCAAGGTCACGGTGTTGACGAAGCTTGCAAAAGGCCTGCTACGATTCCCCGGAGAGAGGATTGCAATTTCCGCAGACATTTTCCAAAAAACCATTCGTCTCACAATCGCCCATGACAGTGGGAATTGCCTACAGCCCGACTTGGACAAGCAAGCAAAAGAAGGGCCCAAAAAGTAAGTGCTCAACCATCCTGTAGCACTTTCAATGATCTTAACAAAGTGTTACAGGGAAGTCTATGAGTATGGAGACATTGCTATCGAAGCATTTCAAGGCATATGCCATGACCAAGGCAGCAACAGAGGGACTACCCATGCTGAGGGGCACCTAGTGATGCTGCGAAATATCATCGCAGGCAATGGGGAATCGAAACCACAAGGGAACACCCAGCAACTACACACAATGCAAGATGTTAACGGGAGAATGGCATACTATCTTGCTATTTCAAGATTTCCCCGTTTTTGGCACGATGCGAAGCTCGCTTGGGACACCGATCGCGACATTTAGTTGATGCCGGAAACGACCGGACGTTCAAGAAGAAAGCTCGAGTCTGCCATCGACTTTTATAACAACCACTCGGACAAGATTCATAAGGAACACCCCGGGATACTTACTGCACTTCGCTATATTCAAGACCCGGAACACCAGAGTACGCTGCACCCCCTTCGGCTTCATTTCTGGGGCCAACCTGGTCTTCGCACACCTGCACTAGGCAAATTGGAAGATCAGCACAGGAAGTGGTTCTCTCATTGCAAACTGGATTTTGCTCCTGCAAAGGAGAGTCTCGAGGACCTCAAGCGTATCCAAGACCGTGTCTCTGATCTCTGGCTGAGAACTGGGGCCGATCTAGCCACCCATGATGCAGATCCACGCATCGCGTTGGAAGCAGCACAGAGCACTCTCAAGCATATGCCATCCGAGGAGAACATTACTTCATATCTGCACACAATGGCCTTGCTGGTCTACTCAACGCGGAAAGCTCTGGAGTACAGTGCACATCTGCTTTCCCTTTGGGTGGACATCGGCAGATCTCATGGTGGGACCCTCTTGGAAGAGAAGGACACAAGGCAGGAGATCTTGCGGTGTTGTGCAGAATTTTTCAATGAACAACAGGCATGGCCCCTATTGATGAGCTGCCCCTGGACGGTCGCATTCGCTCTTCACCTTCTCGCAGACGATTCTCCAGAAGCAATGGAACATCCAGAGCGCGATGACGGGGAAGGCAACATTCGGATTTTGAGCGGAAACCCAGCGCGGCCGCCAAAGTTTGCCGCAGTCTTCGTGGCGGTCGACAATACACTGGTGAAATGCATGTTGAAGAGCTGCTTCAGACTCAACACTACTAAGAATGAAGACAAGCACCTGATGTGGAGTGTGAGGCCGTTCATAAACTGTGCGGACCACGGCTACAAGAGGTCCATTCACATCAACTTCATCTCCGATACGAGCGGACACGAAATCGAAGAGTCGGACGTGCTCCAGATGATTCGCCAGTATTGGAGGGAGCAAGACACCCTTAAATGCAGAACTCTGGCAGAAGAGGGGTTCCTACTTCTTTCACAACTTGCAGACACAAGAGAACTGTTGGACGACCATTTGCACATGAAATTCAGCCGCCCCAAAGCTCACTGCGAATGCATTCTCGCGCAACACTGGATGGCCAGACGACATCTTACCAACCAATTGTTCCCGCTCATTGGCACATCAAGCCATACGTGCCAAACTTGCGATTCTTTCCTGCGGGCCATGTTGGTGCACACCAACACGCTCCCAACAGCCCACGACCAAGAGTTCGCAGAATCCGACGCTTTGGAGCGAATGATACCTGGGACAGCAAACGCGTATCGCCTGTGCATGGTGCCCGAACAGTCACCCACACCGGTCAAGGAGGCAGTTGCTGGCGAGTTGATGTGTCGGGTGAGAATGCAGTTGAGACGGAACAAAGTTCTGCACATGCTGGAGGAACAAGTACGGGAAGCATCCAGAGGGGACATTGACAGCGACAGCCATCGTCGAGAATTCGACGGGGACAGTCTCGCGGGCACGGATCTTGGCACAGCTGGAGCAGACGAATGGGAGATCATGACGCATTCAGGAGAGGATCGAGACGAAAGGTCAGGCGTGGAGTCAGAAGGAGATTCAGGAGAAGATCCGGACGCGGACTCGGGCGGGGACTCAGACGACTAGTCACGCCGAGCATACTGGGAGCCCTCGGCCTTCTATGCCTACATTGGTAATGCGCCTGTAGTGTATATGATCCAAAATACTGTAGTATCATGTAGAGTTCCATAGTGATGAAACCGTGCTGCTTGTGGATGGCACAACTGTACAGGTCCAAGCCGGCTTGACAAGGCAGAATGGTGCACAGGTGTACTCCGTACAACATGAACAAGCAACAGCATCGGCAGACATGCCACCGCCTATGTTGTCGGAATCGTCGCACACGGCCGTCCAAGTGTGCTAATATACACCTGGACCTACGTCACGCGGTACTGGGGCTAATTCTCCGACCAGGGGCAGGTACTGTAAGAGCTGCAGCTCAAAAGGCCGCTGCGTCTAGTACACCAAAGATCTGGAACACACCTCGCCTTCAGCCCTTCAGCCTCAACTTGATACCCCTGAAAAACGCACTAGCCCACAAAACCTTAATCCTGATGCGTCGACACAACCCTCCCCGCGGCATTGGTGCAAAAAAAAATAAAGGGTTGCCTCGGGGTCGATCTCATCGGTCATTGGCCAGGTGATCAGGTACAACCAGGTGACAATCCATGTGTCGCGACCAAGTACCCCCTCAGTACTCCGCAGAGACGCAGGAATTCCAGGTCAGAGGGCCGCCAGAGTGACACTGAACACCACCCCGACCCGCCAGTGTGATGAGATACCGTAGTAGTACTACTGTGCACCCGACGGCGGTCCTTGAGATTCAGATTGAGTGCCATTGCTGGGGAAATAACACCATCCCGGCTTGCTACAACATGCGTTTTCCTGCGCCGTCGATCGGTGGCCGTGTGTGTGTCTGCATGGGTGTGTGTGTGTGTGTGTCGTCTTCAGTCCCCTGGATTAAACCAGACGGCCGCACCCCCACCGGGGAGGGCGATGCCACAGGGGCCAGTCAAGCAAAGCCAGAATACTACCGTCTGGGGCTGAAGCTTCAGCCGCCCATGCTTGCCATGTTATATGTGTGTGCGTGTGTGGTGTGTCTGTGTGTGCCCGAGAAGTTGCCGGGGCACACCCATGTTCGCTCCCCATGTCATGGGACTGGACTAAATGACATACATATTATAAACACACTACAAAGCGTGCCTTAGACCCCCTTGGCACAGGCACAGGCACAATGTGAATCCGGCAGGTGTCGTCTCAGCCTGGAAACACATAAAAGATGAGCAGACTTTTGCTGACTTGCTCTTCCCTCGGGCTGCCAGAGATCACACTATGAGGCTCTGGCACCCCAATTTGACCGCCGTCTCGACCCTGCCAGACGTCGACTCACTTGCCCTCTTGAGTGATGGTCAGTGAGCGACTGTTTGGCGGGTGCCGACCTCATGTGCAGTCCATTCGCCTTTACAGCCATCCGGCACCGTTTCGCGACACTACTCACTAGACAGCCGGGTGTTGAAACCCAAGGCAGAAACATCCAAACTAAATATCAGGCGACGAGCGTGGGACAATATGGTTTTTGTTTTTTTCCAAAGCAGTTTGATTCCCGTCTTGTTCTGTTCCGGGTCTGGTGATGATTTCCCGTGTTTTACCATCTGCCCTACACACAGCTGCAAAGATGGGGGAGTTGCTCCAAGCTGATGACCAGGCTGGGAGCAAGGCCAGGTAACAGGTAGTAATAGTGTGAACATAGCGTTCTTCTAATAAAGCAACAACAAAATAAAATACGTCGACAAAGCGCCCTTTTGTCCCCGCGATGCCACGCAATCAGTTGACTACAGGCGAAAATTGATCGCGTGTGAAAATCCAAAACCAACAACAGAACCAAGAAAACCCCGCGCGATGTGCTAGTACTCCCCGCAGAAGTTGAAATGCAAAGAACCGCCTTGTGACCCTGGAACGCCGTTTTCTCGACATCGCTGTTCCCGCTCCTTTCTACTGCCCGCCATGTGACAGACTGCCAACTTGATATGCAAGCTGAAAAAATTCAAATATTACAATGCTGGGGTATTAGGAGTCGGAAAGGAAATTAGTAGTTGGTGACAATTGGAACGGAAACAGTTTCTCCCTTTTCCTGTGTGAGCGCGGGCGTGACTATAGTCGCCGCACGGGTCGGATCCACGGCGCTGTTTTCTTCGGATGGTGGTCGTCTTACTCGATGTCCATCTCGTCCGGGTCTTCTTCCAGATAGGCCAGCTGGGCCCAAACCCTCCAATGCAGAATACCCAGGTGGGCTAAGCGCACGGCCATGTCCTCCACGAGCTCCTGCAGGGCTCCTTCTTCCCTCGACGTCTGTCCTGCCTCGGAAGACATTGAGTGATCACAACCGCCGTCGTCCCCTCGTGCGGATCCCGAACTTCCCATCCGCCCGCCAGTAGCGACGGAAAAGAGTGCGACACCGCTTAGGCTCCTGAAGTCCTTGACTCGAACGCTGAGCGACCTCATGATTCTGCGCTGGAAGGCAGCCTCGACTGCCTGGTACAGATCGCTGTTCATCTCGCAAAGGTGCTGGGCGAGCTTAGCCTCGAACCTAGGCAGGAAGTCTTGCGGAGCGTTCGTGTAGCGGAGGATTTGAATTGCAATAGAAGGTACAAGGCCTTGCCACCGCTGTTGCGGTCTCTGATTTTGCGGGGCCGTGTTCAGCAGGGCAACCAGCGAATCGTACACGGTGTTGTCCTTGTCGGATTTCGCCTCGGCGGTATCGGCTGAGGTGGGCGGCTGGAGGGTGATGTAGCCGGAACTCCTGGGCGATGAGGTTGTGGAGCCGCAGACGGAGAGTGTGAGGCTTGAAGGACGGGATGACGGCGTGTTGAAGAAGCTGAAGTCACAAGAGTTCCTGTTGCTGTGTACACTGGCTTCTTCGTCGGCCACGTACGATGGAACCGAGGTGGGCGGCTGTACGAAGGACGGCGTGACAGAAGTGATCCTGGACACACGATCCAGGTCATCATACAGTCTCATGCATACCTCGAGGTTGATGGCGTCGAGCATGTCGGAGCGAAGCTTGATGATACGCTCCTCGTCGAAAAGGAATGTGTTTGGAATGGTCTCCTTGGCTGTCGAGGGAAGGATCAGCTTGGCTAGGGCCGCAAAGAATGCAGCCGTTTCACCAAAGCTCCGGGTGTCCTGGGGCGTCCCCGAGTGACACCGCAACGCCTCCGCGTACCACAGCCGCGCCCCACTGATGTCCAGCCTACTCGCCGCAATCTTTTTGTAGAAGAACCGCTGCTCGAAGTGCACAGTGTCCTCGATCAGCATCGGCCTGAGGCACCGGATCTGATGGTTTGCAACGTCGAGCTTCATCGCCTCTAGGACGCTCAGCAGACTCCGCATACCCTTCACGAGTTCAGCCATGTCGTTGTTGCGGTTGCCGTTGGAAAGTTCGCTGTACATCTCATCCACCCACTCATCACGCATGGGGGCACAGTGAAGCTTAAGGACACCGGACAGCCACGATGCAACCTTTTCCAGATCCGCCATACCCTGGTTGAACTGTTGCATTAGAAGCTCCACGTTGAAACCCTCATGGAGGAATTCACGATCTCGTTGTGGCACCAACGTCTGTATGATCTCCTTGACAGACTTCAGCAGAATGGGCAAACACCAGTCGGCCCCGGGGGGGAACTCCCTTCTGAATGCATCCCGATCCACCACAAAAGAAGTGAGCTGGTCACGAAGCGTCGTCCAGAACTGGTTGGCCTTCTCCTGCTTCCTCCGCCCCTTGTCTCCGTCCAGATTTGGTCGGAAATGCAGTTCCGGATCGAAATTGATATCGTGACGGAGTTTGGGATTGTGAATGATCTTGCTCACGTCCAACTCGCTCAGCGTCGCCTTGGTCACAGGTGGTTCGAGCGGTCGGGGTGGGTGAGAAATGTGGCTCCTCGGTTCGGGCGTCCTCGCGGGGGCCAACTGACGAGCTTGCATATTCTCGGGCTGTATTAATGATGGACACGACGCCACTGATGGTGTCGAGGATGCTGATGTATTTGAAGTCTGGGATGTTTCGGATTCTGATCGTGGGTGCTGCAGTACATGGTCTTCTGGATCGGTCGATGTCGTACTTATTTGGTCCACTAATCTCTCTGCTGGTGCGGTTTCATTTTGAGATTCTGACCTTGAGTGTTGCGAGATGTGCCCGCCGGCGCCTTGGTCGGCCATTTTCCCTGTTCACTTCTCCAGCCCAGCTGGTCTCGTCACTGCGTTCAAGATGGTAACACAGGAAATCGTGAGGTGGGAGAACTGGTGTAAGTGACGATAAGCGATTCGCCGATAGTGGCCAAATATCCGCCTTGGGAGATCAACGACGAGACAGAAGAATATCGAGGCCGCCAGCTAGAATGCCAGCCTTAGTCAAGAAAATGTAGCTGTAGGGGCAGTGGCACACGGGTCAGCTCAGGGGTTTCTATTGCAACAGTTTTGTAGGTGGGCGAGCTCTGACTGCCAGACGGATTGAGATCTCACGCAACGGTTGGCCGCAGGATTGCCCTCTCGTGCCCAGGATACCTGCAGGCAGGTAATGAGCGCCGAGGAGTAGAATGGCGTTGTGTCCTCCGAGCAGAGGACAGGCGAGAAGATGAGCGGGAGTCTATGTACTGACCTGCAGTGTCACCAAAGGAGTCGAGTAGTCGGCGATCCCTATTCCCAGCTAAACTTGGTCGCCGTCGTCCGTGATTACGACAATGCAAGAGGCGCAGTGCTCCCGATCTTTTGAAGCGTCGACGTTGGCTCGTGTCGTCTGGGAAGGTAATGTGGCCCACGAGTAAGGCAAATTAACTGTTTGCAGAGTGGCGGATGTAATTATCGGAAGGGAGGAAGGGGCGAGAAACCGGGCGGGTCTCGTCCGGCTTGTCACAGAAGCAGTGTTGGTATGGCTGCGGGAGGGTGCGGAACAAAGAGCAGGGAATCCGAGCCCGGATGGAATGAAGCGCTGGTCCCGTTGCGACTCAAGCCAGCCGGCTTTTTTTTCTTCTTCAGGGCAGGAGGCTTTAAGTTTTTGACGGTCGAGGCGACTGTCCGTGCAATGACGGCGACTGCCCCTGAGCGCTCCTAGGGGTCAAGGCAGGGCGGTTTGAGGCGAAGTTGACTATGGCCACGGGATGGAAGTAGCCACGGGAGTACGGACGGGACTTATTGTATCGGAGCCTAGGTGGAAGGAGGCGGCTTGCAGAGTGAACGGGAGTAATGTCTAGAGTAACACAGGGTCACTCATACACACAACTTCAGACCGAGAAGCGACGGGTTGGCTGAGCGTGAGTATGCCCGGATAAGGTAAGGCGACGACGGCGTAGGCGTGTCAAATATCTGAGGGTGCCCTCTTGGTAGACTTGGTGTACAGTCGGTGCTGAAACCGCTCTAGGAAACAGGCAGCCGAAGCAAGGAGGAAAAAAAGAGGAAATTCAGTCAAAGAGAGTGACACAGGGTGGAATGAGTGGATGAGGTATCCGAGGGTTATAAGATGTTCGGTAAGGCAAGCTAAGCGGATGGGGCCCAAGGTAAGGGCGGAAAGGGAAATGCAAGGAAAGGAGTCGAACAGGAGGAGAGAAAAAAGAGAGCCAGTCAGTCGAGCACGAAGGCGAAATGGAGAGTATCAGTCAGAATGGAGGAGGAGGAAAGGGAGTGCAGGAGAGTGCATGCATGGCATTGCGTTGCATTGCGTAGCGACAGGAAAGGACAGGCTGATGGGCGAGCAAGGGAATGGCCTCGATCCAGTCAGTCAGTCTGGATTTGACCTGTACTGTACATGCCTCGTGCCGGGCGTACCACCGGGGTACCGCAGAGTACAGTCAGGGCGCGGTATGGCAGGATTTGGCACTGTCTGGGCATATTATGGTACCTGGGCGTGTACGAGCCCACCCGCCCACCGCCGAGTGGTCCGAGCTAGGCGGTACATGCCTTGTTCGTCTGGTCCGGTTACAGGATGCGTGCCTGTGTTTGTGGATGCGGCGTGTATTGGATTCTAATTAGTAAATGACGACCCGGGCCCAAGCACCAGGGAAAACCACGGCGGCCAGGGAAGCCAGCCAGGGAAGCAGGAAGCCAGCCTGCCAGCCAGCGCTGGGCAGGTAAGGTAGGCTGGGTAGGGGGGGGGCATTGGAAAATGAAAAGCTGCGTCGTCAATGCGCGCACACCCCCCAGTACCCACCGACCTGAAGGGACCCCAGCCGAGATGTAACCCTCTTGGTCGCCTTGCCCGCGACGTACCCTGCGCGGGCTGGCGGGCTAACCACATTTCGAACCTCAGATCCAGGAACCTGGGGCTTGCGCGGGAGGAAGCAGAGGGAGAGGATGGGGAAGCAGGGGGCGGGCCAGCACGGCCAGGCACAGGCACACAGGCACAGGCACAGGCATAGGCACAGGCGCAGGCACGGTATGGCTGGCTTGCTCCCCGCCCCCCCAAAGGACAAAGCCTCAACGTGGTCGCTATATTCCGACGGGATGAGGGATTGATCGCCGTGGCAGCTGTTTGGATGTGGAGCCGCAGGCGGTACTCGGTACATGGGACCCAGCCCACAGCATACGCTAGGTGGTGTGGGCTGTGGTCTGCGTGCTGGCCCTGTGGCTTGCGACCGGGCAGCCGACTGTGGACTGCGCTCGTGACGGGAGAACGGCCGTCGTGATGTCTGGTACTGATGCTGGCACGTGCTCGCAGGCGAGGCGAGGCAAGGGCCTGGTCTGGCAAATCTGGGTCACGGTGCCCGAGGATGGGGATTGTGGATGTGGATGGGCATGGTAATTCCCACCATTGCCACCGTCTGGTGGTCCAGGTTACCACGGGCCAGATGCACAGTACCATCGACCATCGGCCATCGGCCATCGGTCATGGGCCATGGACCATGGACCAGATACCAGATACCAGATTCCCCAGCGGCGGCGGGCAGCCAGGTGGCATGCCTGGCAGGCCTGGCAGGCCGGACCATGATCTTCACCGGGCTGGCGCTGGTCGAGGACTGTCCCATGGGATGGAATGGATGCGCAGGATGCTTTGGAACGCGCGAGGCAATGGTGGCTTGCAGTGCCTTCCCTTTACACGGAAGGCCCACAGCAGAGGAGCAGAGGGCTTTCGGTCGGCTCGAGCCACGGCGTTAGCCTCTAGGTAGGGACAGCTAGGCCCGGCCGAATCGAGTTGGTGCAGGTGGCCAGGAGGGAGAAATGCAGGCTAATGGTAATAATGTCGTGGGAAGGGGACGACGAGTGTCATATGCCTCATGCAGTAATGGCAATGTGATGTGCACCGAGGTGGTGAGCGTGTACTGTGTAGTCAAGACGTACTATGTATGGTCGTGGTGGAGGTGGAGGTCGAGGTGGAGGATGGTGTGCGGTGTGTGTGGTGTGTGTTGGTGGTACTGTACATGCCTGGCCTGGTGGTACCAACCAACAGTTCCTCGGCCCCTTCCCAGTCTGGCAACCGGAGGCTGATGTCATTCAGAATGAGGCTGTCCAACAGCCACAGCTGTGCTGCTTTGACCCCCCACGGCTTGGGCGTGGGACTCAGCTGAGCTGCAAGCCATCATTTCTCTCTGTCTGCTCATCAGGAGGATCAAAGCAGCTCGCAGGCAGCCGTTATACCTGCAGACTTGATCGTCTCTCCCTCTATTTGGTCTTCGTCTGTCTACTTCAGTAGTTCCGAGGGAGGGGCCCCCTTGCAACGCACATTGCTCAGTGCTTCTTGCCCTGAGTCGCAGCGCTCGGCTTGGGAGTAGTACATGCACATGTACCTCTCTCTGTCAGGTACCGCGTACTACGTACCACTTACCGCGTACTGTACTCCGTACCACTCACTGCCTGCACGTCCCGTCTCGCTGATTCCCAGGAAACAAACATGATGAGAAAAAGGGAGGCAATATAAGACGAAAAAAAAAAGAAGAAAAAAAAAAGGGATTGACACGGCCCTCACCAACTCTAAAACAAGAAACGTTGCAGGAGAAACGAAGAACGGGCCTGGCCGGTGCTGGTGCTGATGCTGATAATGCCAGTGCTGATGGCTGATGCTGATAGCCGGCACACAGGGACTGGGATGAAAGATGAGTAGATACGATGGCGCGCCCGCACAAGCCAGCACAAGCCCAAGCCCACGTCTCGTCCGCATTCCATCCTTTTTTTTTGTCGCCCATTACGACAAGAGCACGACACGCCGCTGCATCATTCTGCGCCCGCACTCGATTCATGGCCCAGCTCCATGCGTCCAGCTCTGATTCTGATAGAAATGGCCCGACTTCCGACCCTTGGTTCCCCGGCTGCCAGGCTAGACCACCTGAGTAGGAACTCTGCGAACCACGCACCACGGCGGGGCAGGGGGCCAAGATCTGACCTCGAGCGCATTCCACCAGGCGTGCACTCAGACATTGAAGAGACCACCACTACCGCGGCACGGGCTGAGGTCATCGCCGCATCCCAACCGCGCCGTCGTTGCAGTCGATGTTGCTGTGCTCCCACAACTGCATGTAGCGCGTTTGATGCCCGTGACTGTCACTATGACTCGATTGGACCCGGGGCCCAGGGACGGTGAGCAGCTTGTCCTGGACAAGGACTCGGTCGCCACCGCACCCACCGCCTTCGCTGGCCCCGAAGCCGGCAGCTCTACACCATGCAGAAATCCGCAGAAGTACGGTGAGCCTGCAGCACGCACCACGCAGCACTCAGCACGCAGTACTCAGCAGCACGCAGCGGCGATGTGCTGTACACGCTCCCAATGTGGTATTGCACGCCACAGAGGCCTCGTGACCTGACCTTTTGCCGTCGCCGCCAGCAGACAGCACAGCTTGCATTCATTAACCGCCATTTCCGTCGAGGTCCGACCGGACGGGACACCGCATCTGCCCCTGCCACCAAAGCTTGGAGGGTCGTCAAACACTAATGGGGTGCGGGCGGCGACCATCACATCGGTGCAGCGTCGTGCCCACGATGGAAGCTATTGCCTTCCGCTCCTGTGCCCCGGGGTGTGAGTCGTACTAGTGGCGCCCTCATCCCCGGCTGGAGCCCAACCTGAAGATCCGAATCCAACGTAGACCAGACCGACCACCTGTGTTTTCTCGCCTGCCTGGCAGCTCCTGGCAGCCTGGGAACTCATGGATCGGCTCTAATGATGGGTTGCAACACGCGTGCTGGACCGCCCTACCCAATGCTACCTACCACCACCGTCTCCAATCGACGCCGCACTGTCACGACAACTACACCGTCACCCTGAGCGTGGCCGGCTGGGCGTTTGGACAGACTCGTTCAGAGGACCTTTTTGGGCCTCGTTCGCCGGGACCCGAAACCAGCAGGATCAGAGAGCCATGGGACCGCGCAGATTACCACCTCGGACGGCTGGCGGGAGTTGAAACAGGACATCGTCCCTGTGTAGTATGATACAACCGGCATAGCCTCGCTGGTCTCCAGACGCAACAGTCCCAAGCAGCCCACTCTCAGATGAGGTCTCAGCACAGGTTCCCGGGTGGAGAAGCAAGCTGCAGACGACGGCCGCTCGTGTAATCCACGGCTCAACTATACTAATGCTAATGGGATAGGGATCAAGGATTTTCTTCCAGCGCCCATCACGGACAAGCCCCGTAAGCTGAATGAATCCTCGGATCCAGTTGCTCGGTATTGGAACGCGAAGGCGAATGGGCAGAGGCAACGAGGCTGGCCTCCAGGGGTGGTCTGTCGGATTCGGCCCAACCCAGAAGGGTAGGACGAGGGCCGATCTGAGGAACCCTCGCGCCGTTTGTTTCAATTTCCAGAATCCGCCCTGGACCTTGTTAACCGTTGCAGTGTGTGATCTATTTTTTGTTTTGCATTTCGCAGCTTTCGGCCATACCATCCCAGCTTCTTGGTCTGCATTCCAACGGCAGATAATGTGCTGCAGCAACCTCAAGGTTCGGCACATACGGCTTCTCATTACCCACTCAACCACTTACCAACCACTCAGGCCACTGTCCGAGACAGATACTATGGACGCAGATTAATTGGGTCTCAGGAGTCTGTTGTCCGGCTCCTCATCCGGCCCATTGCCCGCCGCCGTCAAACATCTATGCTATGCAGTACGAGCCGGGCATCAACAACAAAGCAATTCGTCCCTCCGGAACCCAGGTGCCACAGTGTGACGTTTCGACACTGTGGCGTGTGTGAATGGTGGCTGTGATGGCTCCAGGAGTGCAACTAGCCGCGTCGATGACTGCATCTGCACCTTCATCTGCACAAGGCGACACAATATGCACCCCCGGACACGGTCAACAATAGCCTCCCTCCCAAGGCACCCGCTTGCGTGGCACCAAAACCCCCACCGCGCATCCAGTGGACCTCTCCTTCTCGACACCACGTCTCATAAGAGGGACATCGGCATTATTCGCCATGCCGTCCATTCCAACCAGCCTCAACACCACGGATCCGATCGCCACCGCCTCTTCCAGCTGGTGGGTGGGGGGCCCAAGGGGAACCCGGCCCTGGACGTGGCCGGCTTACTACGACTGATCCCAGCAGCGGCCATGTGGCATTGCAAGGTCGGCGTCGGTATTACCGTGTCGGCCACCCTGCCCTTTCTAATGTAAGTCCGACGCCAATGGCCCAGTGGGAAGTCTCAGAAACATTATGGTGCAGCCGCAAATTGCAGTCACCTCAAGCACTGCATGGCATAAACGAACCGACCAACAACAGCAGTAGAAGCATCACCATCACACATGACCTCGGGGCGGTGATGGTGGCTGCCTGCCAGCGAACTTTGCATTTCCGGCCCCGACAGTCAACACATGCAATGATCCACTGCCAGCCACATCTAGTTGTTGAGCGCCTTGAGTTTACACGTGCATGTTACCCCGCGAAACCAAAAAATTCAACCAAGCGTCGTCAACCAATCTCTCCGTGACCCCAGGGAACCAGTCAGTAAACGACGGTCATCAACATCGAATCCACACCCGCCGCAGCGGCATCGGTCTAGCTACGTGTTCGCGTTCGGCGCAAAGACCGCAAAACCGTGCATTCTTTTGCATCAGCCTGTGGCGGCTTCCGGCATGAGGCGGCGATGAACCAATCACCAGTAGTGGCTGAGAGCTCGAGCGCGATGGCAACCACGACGACGCATTGGCAATGCTGGGAGCCGTTGACTATCACACTGCTTGGCAGGTGGTCATCTTTCTGTGACCCGAAATCCACCGTAGCTGAGATGCTCTTCAGCCTGCCGCGTATTACCTGTGGCTCTCTGCAGCGACAGCTCTGTCTCTGTCGCGTCGTTCTTTAGTTTGAACCTTCCTCCGCACAGGCACGTGGATAAGCACAGACAAGGTTTGTCCGTGGTTGTATTCAGAGACGCCTCTTCTGTTTCAGAGGCTAGCCAACATGACTATGACGAGGGGCAAAAAGGAATTGGGTTTTGTGTCTCAGGGTCGCAACTCATGATACAACTCCTCCGTGGCATTTCGGCGCAGAGCCGCGTAGCCAGCGCAACATCCGGATCATTACTCCACCGGAACTTGGTCCAGCAGACTCTGTAGAAGTCGTCCCGCCCGCGTTTTGTCTTCTGCTTCAGACAATCACCGATTCGGAACATGCCTAGCGAGTGCGGTCTTGATGATCAAGATGTCCTGACTCGTCCGTGCAGATTTTCTTGGTCGTGAGGGTTTCATCACCAGGACAATTCAGCCCAACCAGACACGCAGTATCTGCACCGATCTCACCGACGATTGGAGCTCTCTCCACACGTCATTTGTCTGGTAGGAATATGTCATCCCCGGCAGTCCAGCCCCTTCAATTGTGCACACCTTCGGCGCAATTGGGCAAGGCGTCATACACGGGGAGGCCCTCGACGCCGTAGGCCTCGGGAGGCTTCCTGCTGCCTTCCGTGCAGAGGGTGACCGTCCCCGGAGGCCCGGATCGATCCCAGGGTCAGGGGACCGAGGTGTTAAAATTAGCAATCAAAACAACAATGGGGGAGGGGTAGGCTACGCTGAGAGATGGCTTGGGACATCTGCCAGCTGAGTAAATGCAGACCCCCTCGACCAGCTAACCCTGCGGGCCCGGGGCGTCCCACTCTGTGAACCCTTCGATTCGGCCTTCTGGAAGGCTTTGACGCATCCATTCCCGCCCCGCCGAGGCTTAACCCGGCGGACACTTAGAATGATCCACACACTCCTGCGTCTTGCGTCTCGACCGCTACTATGAGCTGACCACGCCCTCGGAAACATTGCGCCATTCGAATGTCCGTGTGGCTCCCGTCTTTGGAGGCACCAAGGATCCCTCTGACTCCGGGGGCATGCAGCTGGCAGAGGAGGAGGACTGGCGACGTGGTACTGGCGGTGACCACACGCACTCGGCCTCGCCTCATGTTGCAACTCCAGGCTGAATGTTGCAGGGAGGATGCCAGTTGCCGGATTCAATTGGGTCAAATAGCGACGAACCATGTCAGGACTACCTATGCCTTTGTGACGAGGCCGGCAACTCTAGCATCGCGATTGGTTGCTTTGTAAACAGGTCCGCACGCCTGTGGCCCACGCAAAGTTTAGGGACGCCTCCTGCTTCAACAAAACTTTTGCACATATTCTACTTCGAATCGACACCCAATGGACCCGTTCTGAACTGGAAGGAGCTCCGACTGCTAAGCTGTGCTTTGCCACAGCATCTTTGTCCGTCTGAATGCAACGTAAAGGATCGGAACATCTGTCCCAGAAATGGGGTCTCGACGTTGTGCGAGGGACGGACATGAATACCGAGCGCAGGCTTCCACCGCAAAGACTCCGGTGATACACGATCGTGCTTCCTGCCTGCCACATCTCGAGGAACAAAATCCTGACGGGCCGGGTGGTCTACAGACACACAAGCCGGTCAGTTCTTGAGACCTCGATGCTTTCACTCGGCTGTACCTCCGCTGCTTGCTCGCTTGACAAGACCAACTAAGCTCCCGAGTTCTTCATCAATGGTTGTTTAAAGCAGTGCGTCACGAGCTGCAACCAACCACGCGACGGCTGTTGCCGGGATTGTGTACATCGAAAAGACTTGAAAGGACATCTTGAGGATTCCAGTACTCCATCGTTTCACAGCATTACTCTGTCTCGTCGTCAACACTCGACTAAGGCGACTGATACCACCCGTCGTTACAGTACCTCAAGAAGTGAAGCCTTGACGAGCATCTGCAGAGGCGTATCGATGGTCACCATGGCTATGCTGAATATGGAAGCTACAAGAGGCCATGGTATCACTCGCACGAGCAGCGGGCTGGAGTTTTATGCACAGAATCACACGACAGGTGGGAGGACTTGAGACGAAGCCATCCTAGGTGATACAATGTCGTCTGAATGGTGAGAAAATTGTAAAGATTGGGGGCAAAGCTGTCCCATTTCAAGCCCACCACACCAACTTGGGGCGCGTAGTACTGGCAAGCCCCATAGCACATGCCTTCATGCCCAACCGCGTCTGTGAGCTCGTACTTGCTTCAACCGCCCACACCACCCAGGACTACATGACTAGACTTGAGCAGTGTGCGTGATGGTAGCAGAAACGCCAACTGGCTCAGCCTTCTGGCACGCGGCAGATGCATTGACGCAGGGTCAAGTCAGGGTGACCTGGAGGTATCTTTCAGGTACTTATTTACAGCCGCACAGTTACACGCCTCCGGCGCTCCCACTCCATGAAAAAGGACGATACCTGCTGAGAAACAGAAGCCGTGGATTGGTTGCAGTCCTCACGTCGAACCACCTTAGATCTTGGAGTTGGCTTGCGAGAAAAAGACAGAGTAAGAGAAACAATCATCATTGAGGATGAACCTTTTGATGCCACGCAGACATGAGAGGACACCACGGGATGAGTGGGAGAGTCGGTGAGGAATGATGACGAGCTGAAGAACATCAGATCTCCGGCCCAATGATGGATGAGGTTTCGAAACTGGTGTGCCGCAGGCAAGAGGCAAACTTTCTTCGCGCACGTCAAGACTCTAGGCCGCACACTCCGCCATGACACGGGTGTTGGGACACCGAGCCACGCACAACGCCCGCCTTGGCCCTGCGTTACTTGGCCCTGCCTTGGACGATATCCTTCGACCATAATACCCGGCCCCGTTGGTGTACGTGATGCTCCCATGTTCGCTCCACAAAGAAAGTCAAAATACCGTCTCCCAGTAGCATCTGAGAAAGACCTGTTGCTTGGCCGGCATAGAGCCATCATCAGACTGACTGATGGCACAGCCCCCCTTTGAGATCCTGACAAACGCCTTCGAGCTCCATATCGGGTATGCCATTGAGGAAAAGAAGTGATGTCACGTCGCCAGTCGTCGGAACGTTTCGAAGGGTCTCGCCGGCTTATATCATGAAAGACAGCTAGAGCAAGTCAGCAGTGCTGCAGGGGTCGGTAAGAAGGGACAGAGGCATGGGAGGGGAACTCCGCGCTCAACTTACAGCCATGCCGACGCAGCATATACTTATATAGGGGCTAAGGCGCTCGCCTACGCGGGCGCATTTCCAGAAGACACCCATGGGACCATCCTTTTTCCTGTCCAGGACGCTGGGGAACATGTCGTGCACGTAGGCGCATGTGCAGATCAGGAGGAGGATGACGAGGAGGAGGGACTGGAAGTTGAAGAGGGCGGACTGCGAGGGCGACGCGGCTGCTGTCAGCAGGGTATCTCTGGCCTCGACGGGGTTGGGGAGTCCGAACACACCATGGTTGCTCACTCTCAGCGCCGGCTGGGTTTCACAGGTGTTGGCTGTTGTTATTTGATCAACGACAGTCGTGCGAACGACGTGTGTTGGCGACGTAGGGCGGAAGCGGCGAAGCCTGTTGTTTTGGACACAGTATTGAATGCCGAGCAGCTGGAAGGGCAGGTGTCGTAAGGCCTGGCCGGCCGCCCTAGCTTGCATGTGGTTGCGGCTACCTCTACCCACTCACATTAGGATCCCTGCAAGTTCCCGCATGAGCGTGCCTGAACACCTAGGGTGCACGGCCCCACTTACGACCCCAGCAACTCTTCCCTCGGCCGACCATCAATCCACTCTCCATCTTCACCACGCGCGAGCTTCACCCCCAGGCGCAGGCCCGACGTTGCACCAACATCAGCCTTGTCTCAAAGCTGACGGTTCCGAGTCTCACCTTTTGACAACAGCGCAATCTTCTCCACAGGTCTGGGTTGGCTTTTCCTTGACCTCAACCCCAAGCACCGAATCACGACTGCACGCAGGTCGTTCGAGGCACGCCCAAGACAGCTCGTCAGTCTCCCGTGCCTCGTCCCGCTTTGGGACTCACTCGCCGCACAACATTCTCTGCTGTGGCCCCCAGCTCTCAAGAAACCCCGCAAGATGGAGCCCCGAGCACGAGCCGGCAAAAACGTCGGGAAGGCCAACTTTAGCACCCCGGAGCGTAAGAGTGCTTCCGCAAGACAAGACCCTCGGCAACCTCTCGTGCTTTTGCGCGCCCGTGTGCTAACTCAGACCCCTCCCACCAACACAGTGACCCAGTTTTTGATCGCGCACGGCGACTCACGCCAACCCCTACCGGAGACGATCCGCATCCTCGACGAGATCCTGACCGAGTTCATCCAGGGCGTGTCCTTCGAGGCGACGCGCGTGGCGCAGCTCGCGGGCCGCCAGAAGGTGAAGTACGAGGACTTCCAGTTCGCCATGCGCAGGAACCCGGTCTTCCTCGGGAAGGCAGCCGAGAACAAGGAGCTCCGCGAGATCATCGAAAAGCAGCGCAAGGTCTTTAATGAGGACGAGATGATCAAGGAGGACCTTGGCGACGGCGCGGGCGCGGGAGGCGCGGCCGCCGGCACCGCCAGGAGCACCGGACCTGGTAGGGCAAAGAAGAGGGCTGCTCCTGGCGGAGGAGGGGAGGGCAGCCAGGCCAACGGCTCGGGGGAACCAGCCGCCCGTGCGAGCGGTGTTGATGACGAGGAGCTGGGCGAGATGGACGACGTCGACGACGCGGAGCTTGTAGGAGCCGGTGGCCGGAAGGCTTAGGAGGCGTCCTCGCACGGCCGGGCGACTCAGCGGCGGAAGGTCTCCTTCTCGACGCCTACCCCACCTACATGACCAAGTGATTTCACGATTGAGCATAGCGAAGGCGTTTTCTTCCTTTTTCTTTTTGGTGGGTGTAAGTTGCGAGGGGACATGCAGCATCAGGGCACTTGCGCAGGAATCAGTTATCCCAGGTGAGAGGAACAGGAACTTAAACTAGGATGAATAAACCTTCTAGTCTGTCACAACCAGAATCCTGCTGATGAGACTTGAGCCCATCATGTGGAGCTCTACCTAGGTAGTCTTTTTATAATACTTGTAAATATTATTTACTTTTATTTTTTATATATTTTAAAATATATATAATATTTCTTAAATATAAAAAAAGATAACTAATATAAGGATAATAAGTATTATATATAAATAGTATTATTAATATTATCTCTAGCTTATATATAGTAAACTTAAGTAGAAGATTAAAAAAGATTAATGAGTGCGGTGACGCGGGATCGAACCGCGGACCTTCAGATGTTGCACTGGAGTTAGGACTTCAGTCTGACGCTCTCCCAACTGAGCCATCCCCGCTTTGACTATTTTTAAGCTGAAAGTATTTACTATATAATATATTATAAAAAATATATATAAAAAGAATATAAAAAAGATACCCTTATTTTATATTTAATAGTTTTATTTTTAAATTTTATATATATAATTTATATAAAATTTTTATATAGTTTTACTTTTATTTTTTATATATTTAAAAATATATATAGTGCCTTTATATAATAATAGAATTATTATAAAGTATAAATAAAGAGTGATTTAGAATTTAATTTCAACGAGCTCTTAATGAACACATAATTCACACTTGGGCGGGGTGGCAAATCCTCGTCCATGGCTTCATGTACAAGATCCCGAATCTAGCTAATGGAGAACAATGATTACATATGTTGGCTGATTATACTGCTTTTATATTAGCTAGGTAACTTTTACTGTAAGTTTTCTGAAGAGAAATAATAGAGATGAATAGAAACTAAGTATTCAATCGACACTAGCACCCCCACTAAACTTCGCTAACCGAAGAGAATTGATGGTTGCCGAGTACTGCTCTTGTGCTGGTGATAGTGTTGCAATGATGTTGGAGCTTGCCTGCCCAGCGCCCATGAAATGCTCTCGTAGCACCATTGTTAAAGTCGACGACCGGAACGGAATCCTGTTTGAACCTTGAGACCAAGCTCTCATGACCTCTTTACTGCTAACAAGTCTGTGTTGATCTGTCGCCCTTGACGCTCTTGAGGAGTCTGCTTGGTGGTTCGCAGTCCAGCTCCACTTCCCTCGGAGCCTGCAAGATCAACGAAAGCCATCTTGGCTCCTCGGCACGGAAAATCCTTCGATTCAAGAATAGACTCGATCTCCCTTTCCACGGCAGTTACCCGAGCCTCGTATAAAGCTTTCTCTGCCTCAGCTGTTTATATGCGCTCCTCGTCTTTCGGATGGTCAGGGTTAGGCATCCATCCGCCGTCTGATGCGCGCATCAGACTCTTCATCGACTCTTCAACATTGACGTCTATTATAGCATCCTTCCCCACAGGCACGAGCTCGGATTGGCGATCGATCCAAGACTGTCTCACATCTATCAAGGGTTGGCTGACGACCTCAAGTTCCAACACGGCGTGAGTTCTGGCACTTTGACTACGGACGCTCGATGAGCCTGTTTCACGGTGCTAAAGGGCCTGAGTGACCTCCCGTTGGAAGTCCTCAAATGACCAGCATGGCTGCTGGATGATGGGACGAACACGAACTTTGCCCCCTACTAGAACCTCGGTCTCTCCGCGGATGTGGACTTTACCGTCAGGACCTTGTCTGACATGGCATTCAGAACGGTTATTGAGAAGATCAAATGCTGAATTCTGCCGTAACTCGAAAAGGCGGAGCCCAATGCCCAACTCTTGGTTCTTGTTTTGGGCGTTGAGAGGGTCGAGAGCTGTAAAGAGGTCCTTCGCGGCAGCGAGACATAGCCCAAGTTCCTGAGTCTCTTCATTATTATAATCTAGGATCGTATGCGTCTTGCCGCTGCCGGAGTGGCCATATGCGAAAAAGCTGCAGCTCTCGCCATGAAGGACTTTGGAGATGTTTGGAGCTAGAATGGCCTGTGAGTTGTTGTCTTTTGGACCGAAGATGGTGTGGAATGCTGCGGGACTTGTCCATGGACAACCTTTAGCCGATATTTGAGGTTTTACAGATGCGGAACGAAGGCGTCGGGAGCCTGACAGCGTGACCCACTCAATCATACCAATATGCCCTCTTCCGGTAAAAGTGGGCGCCATCTGGCAAAAGCGTTGATAGACTCGGGTTTCGCTCCGGTAGATATTATCATTTTGGGAATGTGGTAAAGAAGATGGGAGAAGAACAGTGCTGATTATTGAAAGAAGAAATCCAGCAGTGTCGGGCAAGTATTTACATAGGCATCCTAGACCACATCCACGAAATCACGAAGACATATGGGTACTCCTTGCGTACCACTTTATTGGTCTCCCCGTCTGGCGTGGAACCTGCTCTTTCTTGCCCTTTTCTGCCGAGACCCTTTGGCCCGCGATGAAGCTGTGTCGATGCTCAAAGATTACCCCGGCCAAGACGGACTCTGGGAGACGAGGTCGCTCTACGCCTTGGCGTTAAGATGCACTGCTATAGAACAGAAAAATGGTGTCGAAGGTACGCCGGCAGGATAGTGGCAGCGACTTTTACGTCGAGAATTCGCCTTTGAAAATGGTGGCAGTCGTATTATGCTTCGCCACCTAGAGAAGAATATGACAACGTCGAATTGGGAATTGGTGGAGGAAGTGGCCGAGGTCCACGGTGAGGTTGAAGATGTGCTGTGGGAGTGACGGCGTATTACAGGACCAGGGGAAAGAAATGCTTGTGGAATTGTATAGCGAAGGTAGTCATAATACCTAATGTTTGATGAAAATTGTGGGATACCGTACATGGCGCTGAGATAATGGTATGAGGCGTCTCGCATCTGTAAATGGTCCAGGAAGCTCTGCATGCAAAATACTTCAGCGTGAGAGATCCATAGGGAAGAGCCGAATTTGAGAAGTGGCTGGCTGATTATACCTCGCGGTCCATTTCCATCTCAAAGAAGATGTCCACAAGTGGTGTGTGTCCGTCATGAACACACTTGGCCACTCCCTACAGGATGTAGATAAATTCCCATCAGCGCATCTGGGCAGCTGGGTCTTATTGACACATTTGCTTATCGAGTCCGGTGGCATGGCAGAGTGCTGGAAGATGCCAAGGAGGTCTTTAGGGCAAATTACATTGACTTATGTGGTTTGTTTTGCTTCTATTCCGTATACATCCGGGGATATACATAGCACTTTTATATAGTAGTAAGCACTCAAGACCTAGCGCTTAGAAAGAATATGATGCTAATAATAATAGTTATAATATGATAGGTGCTTATGGCCTTAGCCTTGTGACGCACAGACAAGGCTAAGGGGTACCGTCTTGACGACATTGACTTATATGCCCTAAAACCTCAGAATATTTGACATCTGTGTTCATACTAAGAGCTGGTCAATAGGAAGTGATTCCCCCCTCTCTTCCCGTTTCGATTGAGGAGACAGTGGCCAGCAATGGCGGGGGGTGATCGGCAGTCATCTCACCGACGCTGGGCGCTTCATAATTGCTCTAGAATCTGAGGTTCACCCCTAGTGTATGGCAATCTTTGGGAGTGATGAGGGGCATGGGCATGGATGCACCCAGGTATTGGAAGAGGCCTATCGTCCTATGGGACTACCAGCAATTGCACCAGCCCTAAGAGTTGACCAGCGCTGTGCGCCGAACGACATGGACGCCCTCCTGAATATGGGCCTTGCACCCTGACTTCCTACCTAGGTAGTTACAACTTGATTGCTCGGTGGCTTCCTCGTGGAATTATAATCAAAACCTCAGATCTACCTCAGTTTGAACTACGCTCAGAACCGACGGTATAAGACACATGGGCTAGGCTCTATGTAGTGATTCCATCCCATAGGGTTGAGACCGTCACTCTGTCTAACACAATTGTGACCTATCTTCAGGACATACAGTCAACTGGTATTGGGTCGCAATTGGTGCCTTGGCTCCCCACCCTTTGTGAATGTTCAGTCGTAGAACCAATCGCCATCTCGAACCCATGGACTCCTACGACGACGTCCCTTTCCTGCTCGACGTTCAATGCTGTACGCAGGGGGATAGCGAGTTTGAACTGAACAAAAGTCTCATGACCTGGGCTCGTTGGTGAGCATCATAAGGTTGTCCGATAGCAAGCAAAGAATCAGTCTATCGCCCGCTCAAAACTCCATCATGTGATTTGCCCTGACCCGCGATTACACGCCAATGTTGAAACACATGAAATACAAATAACGATGCCCCAAGGGCTACACCGCTCACGAGTGCCCCTTGTCAAGCCACCTGCCCCAGCCAGCACCGTCCCTCGCCTCGACCTCGGTGCCGATGCCGTGGGCGTACTTGCTCTCCTCTTCCGAAAACTTCTTGCGCTCCATACCCTCCCTGGCGAGGAACGCCCGCGCGAACTTCCAAGCCTCCGTGTCGGCCAAATTCCATGCCTCGATCGCAGTCCTCAGCGCGATCTGCTTCTTGTCCTTGGTCGTACCGACCACCTCCCTGGCCCGCTTGAGCAGCTGTGGCTCCTTTAGCAGCTCGTCCGGCTTGGCTATGGGCCCGTCTTTGCGATCATGCTCCGGCTGCGGCCTCCGCTCCGGGCCGGGCACCGGGGTCTCCGACTTCCCCTGGTCGAGGCCCTCTGTCGGGACGTCGAAACCAAAATGCCAATCGAGGTCGTCAGGCAGCTCCTGCTCGGCGGTGAGCCAGATAGACTTTGATGCTGTGAATTCTGCCGCGACGGCCTCCTTGAAGCGAAGCACGCGTGGAGCACCACCGACGCCCGAGCCAAGGTATTCCTTGGTCACCTCGGCCAGCCAGATGTCACGCGGGCAGTCACGTCGGATCCAGGGGATATCGAGGTTGTCCTTGAGCTCATTCAAGGTGTGCAGGGTGTATGGGTGGGGCACTGTGCCGATTGTGTATATGCCGGTTGTGTTGCGGTACCTGCTCGGGCTTGAGATCTTGAGGGGAGTGGATGAGACGCAAGGAGCACATTTGGGATTGTTAGGTGGGCAGGAGGTCTGCAGGGGCGACTCGGTACATTTCTGCAACCGGTTGGCCAGCTCGACTGCCGGCTGGACCATTGTGGTAGTGTGATGTGGAAGTGGCTTCAGCACCGAAATGCCCTTCTTGAAGTTGTTCTGCCAGGTGAGATGCAGATGGGAGGTGATGAGCTGGTTCAAGCTGTCCAGGCCCTTTGCACCGTTGTTAGAGATGGCCTTGGCAACCTTGTCGTACTTCTCAGATAGAGTGACGTCGTTGTAATAGGCCAACGACTTTGGGGGCTCGTCCACCCAGAACAGCTTCTTCTCGTCATCCTCCTCGGCCGGCAGAGCAGACAGGAAGTCCTTGGCCGTCTTGGCCTTGGAGCTGCCAAAGACAGCCTTGATAGCGGCCGTGATTTCCTGCTTGGATCCTGCAAACATACCGTCTCCAAGATCCTGCCACCGCGTCAAGCCCTGGTACTCCCCACGGCGCAGATAAGTCAACAATGGGTCGTCATGGGCTGCCATGGGGAATAGCAGGTGGTGTGTCAGGAGGCCGCCCCCCATGTTCTCCCAGGCCAACCACCTCATCAAATCGGCATGTAAGGTGGGCTCAACCTTCATACGCATCAGCTCCTCGTACAAGGGGTTGCTAGTGGCCTCCGCATCGCTCAGAATAATGGGCTTGAACCCCTGTGCCCACCATGCCCGCCTCCACGACAGCAGAATCTCGTTCTGGGCCTGTTTCATGGTGGGGTCCCTTTGAACCGTGGTATCGTAGTAGCAGTAAACCTCGGGCCTCGCCGGCATATAGGGTAGCAACGCCCTCGTCTCGTCCAGGGTGTAACTCGAGCTGAAGGGGATGGCGAGCCACCTCCAGTCGGAGAACCACGAGGACTGGCCGTCGGTGTCGTTGGCCTGGCGCTGCGGTGGATGGGGTGGGGACCTGAAAGGATTCCATGACGGCGACTTCCACTTGGGTATCGACATGGAGAACTTGTGGTCAGATATGGAGAGGGTGGGCCCTGGGATGGACGATGGCGCCGTAAACAGCAGGCTGAAGACGGCGAAGATGGAGAGACTGGCGAGGAGGACGGATATGCGGCGGGAGGAGAGCCGCGGCAGAGGCCGGCCGAAGATGACGTGTTGCTTGGGCATCGTGGAGGATTGCAGGTTCGGATTGGAACGGCGTGTTCAAGAGGGCAGGCGAGCAAGAACAAGGCCGAGGTGGAGGTTGAGGGTGGCCAGTCTATCTTTTGATGGCGGCGCACTCGAATCGGTCGCACGCGGTCACACGAGACAATCGACGGGTGGTTCTCGAAGGAGCGGCTTTGCCCGACCGGAGGACCTCGGGATATCAGCAATCGCTAGGCCATAGGCATTGGAAGCAACTTGCGGAGTTGCGATGCCTGCTTGTGGTCTGGGGGTTGGAGAGGAAGGATGGAGGCTGTGGTCAGCGCGAGGCGTCTATCTGCCCAGGTACGGTTCATGCGAGTGGACACTGCTGGCGGATCACATTAATTGGGAACAGCGCTTGGCAGGGACCAAGCCTGTCAGAAGCAGGGGCTCGTCCAGTACGAACCGCCTACAGTAGTACGAATGCCACCCGTCCTAAGTTGGTAAGGACACTTGAGCAGGGCGACCCGATATGGAATTCCTCCCCCCATCCGCCAACTCCTAGCCCGGCAGCCAGGCAGGCAGCTAGCTACCTACTTAGCTACAACATCTTCCGCGTTGCACTGCACAGGTCTTCTACGCGATGTTCGAGCATGCATTCCTGCAACCAAGCACAGTGCGCCGGCAAGGCTGAGGGCTCCTGAACCTAATATACGGTCACGACATCTTATCATTTCCCCCTGGACTCAGTCCTGCCCTCTTGCCCTCATCCAATGCGGGCATGGGCATTTATAGCACCGATCCTTCCGCCACCTCTGTCCACTTGCGGAAAGGCGTCCAATTGTAACTGGAGAGTTAGTTGGCTTGCCACTATAACATGCCGTCTTGAGCAGCCAGATACCCCGACAGCCCCGGGATGGAGTTGAGCATGTCTTCGGGCCCTGCCCTATCGAGACTCCAAATCCGATAATGATGGGCACCTGGACGTAACGTGATATCCTGAAAATGCTCATGCAAACAAGATTGGCCAACATGGAAGGTAGTAACAAGGCCATGACAACCCCGCTCAACCCTGGAATTGGGTGAGCATATAAGACAGACATGTCGTGTAAGTGGCCGACAGGTTGAACACCGGCTTGCTCTCCCAATCCTCCTGGGAGTGTCCAACAGAAGAGGTGTAAACCGGCATACTACAAGGCAAACCGAACAAGGCCACTTGCTTACACGCATACGCCCCAGTCACAATGTTGTGGCGCGACTTTGCACACTCTGTGCTCTCTACTCTGCTCTTCGCGGCCTTCAGCCCTGTGAGCGCCTCAACAGTCATCTTTCTCTTCAAAGACGTCTTGCAGTCCGACACGACATCACTGAAGACGTCTGGCTTCGACACACTGGCCATCTTCCGGATCGGCGTGCTTGAGAATGGCGACCTGGTCTACTACTCCACCGGCGATGCGGGCGAGGCCGTCGACGCCCCCGTCATCACGGCCGGGGAATATGTCGGTGGATCAGCACTGGCCGACAAGGTAAAGTCATTCAAGACAGGTGAGACCCTCATCACCCGCGTCGAGGTCTCCCTGGTGTCGCACGACGCCACCTTTGTCAACATCCGGGACCTGGTCAACGCGAACGGCACCGGCCCCGACACGCCGCTCTACCAGAATTTCGAGGCGCTGAGGACGGCCTGGGACCTCGACGCCTTCAACAACGACGACGAGTCAGTCTACGACGTCCCGAGCACGGTCACCTTCGCCAAGCTGCTGGGGGAGATCGGATACCAGTACTCCATCGCGCCCTACGCCAACATAGCCTTCTGGACGAGCGTCGTGGACCAGCTGCCCGGTCTTCTCGACCGCGTCTACCTGCAGGTCTACGACGGCGGCGCCAGCAACGACCCGGGCGCCTGGCAGGACGCTCTCGGCCTCAAGGTCACTCCTCTTGTTTGGGTTACCAACGACGCGAAGCCCAGCGAGGGCAACACGCCTGAGCAGGCGCAGGCAAAGTTCGCCAACTGGAACACCCAGTACGCTGTGGACGGAGGTATGTTGACTGGCCAATACTACTTTTGTGAGACGTCCAGGTGCTAACAATGCTCTAAAGGGGGTTACTGGAACGATTATGACATAGAAAAGATGAACTCTTCTTACACCGCGTATGCCCAGGCCATTACAAATGTCTTCACGGCATAGCTGCTCCCCTTGAAATGAGCTATTTCAAGCGGGTTCGCCGGTCCTTACGGAATGGGTTGTCCTGGTCGCGTATGCTCGCAATGCGTGTCAGCCCTCCCCTTTCTGGTGCAATGGCCACCTTCTTCGGGAACTTGCCGCATACCAGTAAGCTCTCAGCAACAGGGGGACACTTTTCTGGACAGAGGCCCGTTCAGGCCCGTTCAGGGGTCAGGATCATGCGGCGTAAATACGGATCACTACCCAGAGAGGTTCTGTATATACTAAGATTTATTGCCAGTAAGGCGCCTCCCCAATCTACAAGATAAACAACCCTTGCTATGAATGTGAAAGCTTCGCCGGTGCGTGTAATGATATCCAAGAAGAAAGAGTTGGAAGAGCGATTAAACACAATACATGCCGCACTGGTGTCGGAAGGCTTATAGATATTATGCACTCGACCCGTTGTAATGGTTCCTGGGCCGCTTTCAGTATTGTTACCGTGGTGTGATTGGGTTCGAGCCCCGCCCGCCTGACTTCTTGAGCGCCCGGAGTTCCTCCTCCAGCTTTCTGCGCTTGCCTTGTTCTTCCTGTATAGATTTGTCAGCTTTCGCACTCTCAAAAAGACAGTCGTGAACACCAGGGTCAGAGCCTTACCCTGATTTCTTCCTGGAACTTTCGCCTCTCCTCCTTCATCGTCGCCCTGAACTGCTCGCTGAGCATAGAGGCTCCAGCTCTAGGCCCTGTGCCCGAGGCATTCGGCCCGGCCTTGAACTTCTCGGCGTCTAGCTGCTCCTTAAGCTTCGTGACCTCTGAGTTGTACTTGGTCCTCAGCGTGGCAAGGTCGCCCTCCAACGTTGCCCGAGTCGATTCCGCCTCGTCCAGGCGGCTCTCAAGGTCAACCTTCTCCTTCTCAGCCGCGAGCGTCTCCTTGGTCAGCTCCTCCAGGTCCTTCAACGTGGCGGCAAGCTCGACCTTGAGCTTCTCCGACTGCTCAACCATTTGCTGCATCTGGGAGCTCTTGGTCAGCGCGGCCGCCTCGGCCGCCCTCTCTGAGCGAGACCCGTAGGCTCCCTCAAGTTCGGCCTTGGCGATGGTCAGCTCCGTCTTGATCTCGATCATCGTCACGTTGAGCTGCTCCATCTCCTCGTCCTTGACCCGGATCTGCTCCTCGAGCTTCCACTTCTCGTCCTGTGCGGCCTTCTTCGACTCATCCGCCTCTTTCAGCTGATCATTCATGCTGCCCAACTGCGCCTCGATAATTTCCAGCTTGTCCTGCGTGGCTTTGGCGTCTGACTCCAGAGACGCGATCTTGGCATTCCGCTCTCGCAGTTGATCCTGGACTGCTGAGGTGGCAGCGGTCTCGTTAGCCGCTTGCGTGACCTGCAAGGAATCTAGATCCGCGAGGGCCCGAGCTAGCTTCTCTTGAGCTTCGGCGGCCTCTGTCTTCGACTGCTGTGCATTCTCCTCGCAGAACGCCAGGAGGTTCTTGGTACGGTTCAGCTCCTCCACCTTGGCTCGTAGCTCCACATCCTTCTCGGAATCGCTCTTGCTGTTGAGATCGCGCTGCTGTCTGATTTGTCTCTTGAGCACCGACTTTTGCTCCTTCAGACTCGTTGCCTGTCTGAATAGCCACTGCACTTTTTCAGAGAAAGCGTCTAATGAATAGGGCTCATCGTAGTCAAACGCCTCGTCTGCGGATACGTCATCCTCATCGTCTGGCATCCCCTTCCCAAGTCGCACTTCTCTTCGAGCAATTCGTTGTCGGTTAATTTCTGCGTAGCCTGATTGAATAACATTCCACAACCCAGAGAGAACCGTCTCGATCTGTTCAGCACTCTGTGCTCCGGTATCGTGGCCCGTTGATGTCTGCAGGATCGGGACCGCGGACTCGATCCAGTCAAAACGTTCCTGGATCCCGGCATCCTTAGCCAGTGGCGGAGCTGGCTGGCTCTCGTCGACAGACTGAACGGCTCGATATACCTGGCGGCTCAAGGCGTCCAATCTGTCCTCAACCTGGAGCAGCATGCTTGCTGAGATGCCAGAATTTCCGGACTGCCCTCCCTGGTCCCGCTGGATAGTTGACAAAGCCTCGGCAAGATAAGCAAGCTGGCTGTTGACCAATTCGCCTGGCTCAAAGTTTCCGGAAGGGGCTGGTCTGTAGTCTCCATTCTTTGTAGGGTTGATTTGAACCACCAAATCTCGCAGGCGGTTGTTGAGATCTTCAAGGCTCCGCTCTGTGGTACTGATCAGATCCAAATGCCCAGAGTTCTGCTTTTTCAGCGTTTCAACCTCGTCACGCAACTGATTCGACCGCTCCCGTACCGGTGACCGCGGTGGTATTGGTATGTCGTTCTTCAAGGCGCGGCCAAAGGGCTCGGACTCATCCAGTGGGAAGTAAAGGTCCCGGTCCAGATCGTCATTCGGGAACTGCATGCTATTCCGCCCATTCGTGTAGGTGTAGAGACTCTCCGGGCTGCCGGGCATGCCGTTCAGGACGGCTGGAGGTGCTTTTCTTTTCGAGGAGGCCTTGTGGGTGAGTTGTAAGATTGCAGCCGTATGCTGGAGCAGACGGCGCTGCGGCGCCAGGATCTCCTTCTCGAGGTTGAAAAGCTCCGTCGCCAGCTCCTCACATCGCTGTTCGCTCTCCTGTCTTTCGACGGCTGTCTCTTGGGCGGTTGGATCGGCAGTGGCTCGGTTGCCCCTCTTGCCGGCCGTGTACAACTTGGACATTGATATCGCGGCATCCCGATATTTTGTCTGTATGGCCAGGTTGGCCCGCGCCTGCTCGATGCGCACCGTCAGGGATTGGATCTGCTTCTTGAGGTCGTCCACCTCTTCTTGCGCCAGGATCTCCCATTCTTTGCTATCGGTCAGGGCAGTCTCGGTGAGTAGGTGGACTTGGATGGGATCCTTGAGGTCGACGTGGGGTGAACTCTGCGTCCTTTCTGTATTCAACTACGGTCCAGGTTAGCCTGCGACGGGGTGACGCGCTCCCGGGGTCACGAACGGGATTGTAGCGCGGCTGTTCCTGCGCGAAGCCGTTCATGATGTCTTTCCTGTAACCCTCCATGATCTGTCTCCCTCCCGGGCCCACACCCTGGGTAGTGGATAGGAGGCTGGCGTTGTTGCCATAGTTCCCATTCATTCTGGCCTGGCAGCGTTGTTACAGCAGGTGACTCTCCGTCAATGCATGGTACAGTGTCCAAGGAACGGGCTGTATCGGTGACTGGCGAGGATGCACAACGGTTGACTATTCGAACTCTGGAATATGTTGGTTACAAGGTCGCTAAACAAGGGGCCGAATACGTGACGAGGAAGAGGATAGACGAGCGGGAAGTGGGCAAGCGAGCTGAGGGTATCATGGGATGATGCAAAAAGAGTGACAAGTGACAAGTGGGACAGGGCAAATGAATTAAACTTCAAGCACGCGTCTCATGCGCCTCTCATTGTGGCAGGGGCTTTTTCCGAGCGGTCTGGCAGGAGAGCCACGGTGGTAAACTGGTTAAAAGAAGCCGACTGCCAACGGGAGGAGCCTGTCGTAACAACAAAGGCAGATCTCAATTCGACCGTCTTCTCAAAAGGGGCGGACACTTGGGTAACACCCCTGAGGCCTTCACCGGCCGCTAACCCCAATACATTGGGTGCCTATTTCCTGCCACAGCCAGCGATAGCCTGCCAAGACACGGACGTCTACGGAGTACCGCAGCATGCATGGCGCCTATGAAATAGCACGGTGAGCGCTGATAAAGATTGCAATCATCAAGCATGGGGTACAGAGCTTCGATACTTTACTTCAGCTGGTGATTGTCTGTCTACCTACCTAGATAGACAGAGTCCCGATGCAGACATTGTGAGATGGCCAGGAAAAGCATCTGCTTTTTACGAAGATGCGTTTCGAAAATAGGTACCCACTGAGCATCCATACCTACACGCCTGAGGGGCAGTGACCTCGGCTACTGGCCAGCCTTCCCAGACAGGTACCTGGGTACCTCGACTGGTGGCTAGTGCGGAAACCCCAATACGTACTGCGCCTCCGAATCAAGAAAGACCCCTAGAGTCTGGGTGGGAGTGGGCCGAGCGTTGGAGTCGGAGCTGCATGCAATTCGCAGCGACCAGGCGGGAATCGCATTCTGCAAAAGTTCCTGGCGCATCCTGCCGCCTCCAACTCTCGACTCTCGCCATCGTCTGTTGAGTCCCTTTGAGCCACCTCAATCAACACCAGAATCACGTCCCCATCTGATTCTGGTCGGAAAGGCTTTACGGAGGTTCCTGCTTGCGCACTGCTGTGACCTGTGCGTGTCGAGGTCCCGTCACAGACTGACCCGCGTAAACTGCAGGCAGAAACCTGAACACCTTTCAAAACCGAGCAGCTTGTTCTGCGCAGCGACCCGGGCAACGACGACAGCAACGGGAGAAGGAGCATCGCGTCTCATCGTGACATACCTCTGCTCCGCACGAAATCAATCGCCCTCGAAGCAAATCTTCGTGCCTGTTAGATCAGACAAACCCGCATCCAACTTGCGGTGCTGCAACCTGCCATTCCCGACAAGCCTGGTCTTTCCCCAGAGGCCATAGCCTTTCACACACGTCAAGATGGGTATCCCCGCGGCCTTTCGGTGGCTTTCCACCAAATACCCCAAGATCATATCCCCCGTCATCGAGGACCAGCCTGTGACTATGGATGATGGCACCGTCATTCCAGTCGATCACACCCAACCCAACCCAAATGGTGAAGAATTCGACAATCTTTACTTGGACATGAATGGTATCGTCCATCCCTGCTCACATCCAGAGGACAGGCCCCCTCCAAAGGATGAGGAGGAAATGATGGTCGAGGTCTTCAAGTACACCGACCGAGTGGTCAACATGGTAAGGCCGCGCAAGCTGCTTATGATTGCTGTCGGTAAGTCAAGACTGCTCCAACCGGTCATTCGCGACCTCGCTGACCTCTGCACCAGATGGTGTTGCCCCTCGTGCCAAAATGAATCAGCAGCGCTCCCGTCGTTTCCGTGCCGCCCAGGAGGCCAAGGAAAAGGCAGAAGAAAAGGAGCAACTGCTCACCCTCCTGAAGCGACAGAACGGTGGCACCCACCCTGCCGAGTCCACCGAAGAAGTGGTCAAGAAAGCTTTTGACTCAAATTCCATCACACCCGGAACACCATTCATGAAGATACTGGCAGCCAGTTTGAGGTACTGGTGTAGTTACAAATTGAATACCGATCCAGCATGGGCGAATATCAAAGTCATCATCTCAGACGCGACTGTCCCTGGAGAAGGCGAACACAAGATCATGAACTTTGTTCGCTCCCAGCGGGCTTCGCCCGAACATGACCCCAACACCCGCCATGTCATCTATGGCCTAGATGCCGATCTTATCATGCTTGGTCTTGCCACCCATGAGCCTCATTTCCGAGTGCTACGTGAGGACGTCTTCGCGCAGGACAGCAGGGCCAAAATGTGTAAGTTATGTGGGCAAAAGGGCCATGATGCTCATAACTGCAGAGGAGAGCAGAAGGATAAGGATACCGATTTTGACGGCAAGGACAATGCTCATCCGTTGAAGCCTTTCATCTGGCTCCACGTCTCTATACTTCGCGAGTATCTCGCTGTCGAGCTTGATGTGCCCAACCTTCCCTTCCGTTGGGACATCGAGCGCGCTATCGATGACTGGGTGTTCATGTGCTTCTTTGTTGGAAACGATTTCCTGCCCCATCTCCCTGCCCTTGAGATCCGGGAGAACGGAATCGATACACTCACTGCCATATGGAAAGATAACTTGCCCCACATGGGAGGTTATTTGACGAAAGATGGACATTGCGACTTGGAGAGGGCCCAACTCATCCTGGCTGGACTTGCCAAACAAGAGGATGCTATCTTCCGCCGCAGGAAGGAGACAGAAGACCGACGCGAGGCCGGCTTCAAAAGGCGCAAGGCCGCCGAGCAAGCTAGAGAAGCTCGCGCCAATGGGCGCTACAACTCGGGGCCTCAGGGCAGGAACAAGCATCAGAAACTTGACAACATGGTGCCCGGGATTGCCCCCGATGCGGCTTTCGTTCCAATCTCAAGCTTGCCTGGCCCTCTGTCCAAACCAAACAGTGCAATCACACACGACATGATTGTTAACAAGAGCTCTTTGCAGAATGCAAACACTGCCAACAAGAGCGCTGCCAGCGTTCTCAAGAGTCAGATTCGGGGTCTCGCGAATAAGTCTGATGATTCCAAGGAAGAGGCGAAGGAAGAGACGGCGAAGGATAACGAGACTTCCCAAGCTCAGGAAACACCGCCTTCAGCTGCACGCAAGCGCAAAGCAGAGCTTATTGAGCAGGAAGAGCCCGGCACCCCGAGTACTGATAGTCCTGACGCTGTTACACCGTCCGCCACAACGGATGACGACGGACCTGTCGACACAGTGAGACTCTGGGAGGACGGTTACGCCGACAGGTACTACGAACAGAAATTCCACGTGGATCGTAACGACGTTGAGTTCCGTCACGAGGTCGGGCGTGCATATGTGGAAGGCCTCGCATGGGTGTTGATGTACTACTTCCAAGGCTGTCCGTCTTGGGACTGGTACTATCCTTACCATTATGCGCCGTTCGCCCAAGACTTTGTGGACTTACACAAGGTTGAAATCAAGTTTGAGAAAGGAAGGATTTCCAAGCCGTACGAACAGCTCATGAGCGTTCTTCCCGCGGCATCTAGGCACGCCATTCCCGAAGTTTTCCATGACCTCATGACAGAAGCGGACAGCGAGATCATCGATTTCTATCCCGAAGATTTCGAGGTCGACTTGAACGGAAAGAAGATGGCATGGCAGGGTGTTGCCCTTTTGCCGTTCATTGATATGCCGCGGCTCCTCGAGGCCATGGCAAAGAAATACCCGCTGTTGAGTGAGGATGCTTTGGCACGGAATGAGCCTGGTCAAGACGTTCTCATCATTTCAGATGCGCACGCAGGCTTGTACGACGATATCATCACTCATTTCTACTCCAAGAAGCAAGGCGCGCCCAAATACCAGCTCGACCCGAGGATCAGTGATGGTCTAGCTGGTGAGGTCACAAAGTTCGAGGATTACCTCCCTCACGGTGCTCTGACGTATCCACTTGAGAGAAAGTCAATGCCTGACCTTGACTATGACCGTTCTTTGAGGTATGCCAGCACACGATCCCTAGTTGAAGCTACTCATACTAACAGTGCCTAGCGTCCAATATGAAATGCCAAGCAGCTCACATACCCACAAGTCCATGCTGCTTCGTGGCGTCAAGCTACCGACACCGGCCCTCGACCGGAATGATATGGATGAGATCCGGTCGAAGGGACGCCGAGCAGGCAGAAGCTATGGCGGCGCACCTCTGGGACGTCAGAACTATCAGAATGGCCGCACCGAGCCGATAAACTACGGTCCTGGACGCGGCGGCTACCAGGGCGGTCGTGGTCGTGGGGGTTCAGGAGGAGGCTATGGTGGACGAGACAACTATCCCCCGCCCAGAAACGGTGGTGGCTATCCAGCCCCACCCGCAAACTGGGTACCACCTCCCCCTGGAACAGCGGGCTTTGGTAGCGGGTTGCCGCCACCACCACCACCCGCTCATTTCGGCAATGGCGGTGGATACGGTGGATACGGAGGCGGGTACAACCAGGGCTATAGTAATGGAGGCGGATATGGCGCACCCCCAGGACAGCACTACGGAGGCGGTGGTGGAGGAGGAGGAGGAGGACAACAGAGCTATCAAGGCCAGGGATACCAAGGCCAGGGATACCAAGGCCAGGGACACCAAGGTCAGGGATACCAGCAACCACCTTATTCTGGCCGTGATGACCGCCGACAAGGAGGTTATGGAGGGGATCGAGGCTACGATCGTGGTTACGGTGGCAATGGTCGTGGCTATCGTCGCTAGATCCGGGTTTATACTCACAGTTCCCATGCCTACTGTGTGTAAATACGATCCCACAGAGGCGCCAAATTGAAATGTACTGCGAACTCATGACGCTGTGTACCTCTGGCGGAGAAAAGTTGTATTTCATGTTCACTGTATTTGAGAAATGTCGACCCTTGGCCTTGTGGTCTTTCCGGGAGGCTTGCCTTATTCTGATGTTGAGGTCAAGGCGTGATCATCACCGTTATACGGTCTCTGACATGAAGCCAGCTTAGGCTTCTTTGTCAGGAAGTGTGGCCTCGACATTTTCGCTGCTTGTTATTATGAGGACTGCGACCAGGCAATCCGCGCAGACTGTTTTTCTGAGTGATCGATTTATTCTGTCTTTATTTCGTTAATTTTACAACTCTGTTGACCCTTCGGGCCGTGCTCATCGTTGTCATAGAAATCACTGTCTGATCAAAATCTTTCGTGAAGGAGTAAATGATGTCTCATGTAACGCCCAACCCGTGTCTGTCACACATAATAAACAGGCTCGCCTCGCGACTCTAGCTGGCCAATGAATGCAAGTATTCTCTTAGCCCTTGACAGAGTTAATGCTCCCGGGTGACGCCCGTGTCCATGTCGTGAAACATGTACGGCCAATTCCCTTTACGGGCGTGCTTCCTGAATAGTCTTGCAAGTGCACCTTTTCGTGGGAAAGTTTGCCGTGTTCCGGTCGGCTGAGGATCTGATGCCATGTCTGACTTCAGCACTCACACCCTTCCCTACCACGATGGGTTACAAAGAGCCGCGTCAGTTGTGACGCTGCCTGATTTGGGTTGAGACAACGTGTCTTTCGAGCATTTGCCCAAATTCTTCTGGTCCCTACGTGAACAGCCTGCACGCACATCTGGCATGGGATTTCAACCCGCGGGACCAAAAATATACGGCGGACGCAGACACGCTCTCCTAGCTCGTGACAGGGAGGCAGCCCTTTTGCGCCGGGAAAGTGAGCCTGGTGGGCTGCGAGTATCAACCACGACATGTCGCACAGCTGTTCAAGGCCCAAGACCGCCCGGCTGTGTCCCTGCATAGTTAAACTGGAGCGATCCGCCATAGGTCAAGTTGTTGTATCCCATCTTGGAGTTGTTGCTGCTGAGGCCCGTGGCCAGATTCCCACTATGATCGCGTCCTGAAGGGTTTCCTGGTGCTGGCATAGTTGGGTTGCTCAAAGTCCCGCCCTGCTGATTTGTGCCATTCGCGACAGTATGCCTGGGGTGATATCCTGTGGACCCTTCTCCGAAGTAGAGATAGTCTGTCGGTTTGACCTCGTACTTGTTGTTCCTGTTACTCGGGGCCGTGACAGAACCCGTTGGCCGCCTCTGGGCTGCGTCGGATGGTTTCCTGCGACCGGTGGCTGGCTTTGGTGCAAGAGACATCTCGTCGGAAGGAGGCCTGTATGCTTGTGGGCGAGCGGCCGCCTGTTGTGCGTCGCCTTCATAATCGCTCCCAGAAAAGCAGCACGAGAGCATTGCGAAAAGAAAAATTGTTGTTTGGAGTTTGGGAAACACAAGAAGACCCAGAAGGAAATTAAACACCGGCTCTTTCTTGCGCGCAGCAGGCCATAGATATGTAAAAAGAAAAGACAGACTGGAGCAACTGGGGTTTGTCCATTAATAGAACGTAGTTTAGGAGTGAGCCATGGTGGCTGAGTCGGCGGACATGACCTGCTCCCAAGCAATGCGCCCCCAATGTGCTGCGGCGTATTGCGCAGCAATTCGAGAGGATGGCTAGCGGCTGAAAAGACGGGACCTGGGGCAGTATGGAGTGAGTTATGGCCATGTTGACTCTGACAGTGTGGGACATTGGCCCGGCATGAGGTGTCGGTCATGTTTTGGGACAGTCCCTAGCCCAAATGCAGCCCGTGGTCCAGATGTGACCGAGGGTTGCTTGGCTGCTTGGAGATTAGACTACCCGTGCCAGAGCTGCCTCCTGAGCTTTGAGCTCTGAGCTTGAGCTCGCCCTCGGCCGAGACCAGTTGATCCCCCGCGGCAATTCCATTGTTCTCTGAGGAAGCAGGGAGTCGTCAGTGCTAGGCGCTGGGCTCGAGCCTCGCGGGAATACTCCGTAGACTTGGTCGGCGGGCCTCTGGTCACCAGTTCGAGGTCGATAGTTACGAAGTACGGAGTACCTAGGAGAGACATAAGCACAAGGCAAGATATGGTACGAGGCTGCAACGATAAGGCTGCGATCCATGGCAGGGTATTAAAGGGTGGGTTTTGGGCACCGAGAACACAGAGTGACTCCCTCTTGCGTGTCTCTCCCTCTACGAAGTACATAGATGGATGCAAGGGACCAGGGGTAATGAGCTGGCCCTGGACCGTGGGAGACGTCTCACCCGCAGCTCTCATGCCCAATCTTGCGGCGCCTGAGTGTTCTCCCACGCCGCCCTGTCGGTGCTCCCCACCCTGCCACTCTAATACCGAGCTGGTGAACCATTGATTAAGCTTAGCGCATGCCGCGGTAAGCACGGTACGGTACCTACAGTACGGAGCATAGTACGCACACCGCGGCCTGCTGCTGCCCTGCTGCCCTGCTGCCCTGGCGCCCGGGCCAGGCCTACGGAGTACTGTGGTACACGGCGCATGTACCTGCTGCCCAGTTGCCCAGCTGCCCAGCTGCGAGGTCCAGTCCCAGCCTTGGGAGGTCGAGGACACATGCAAGACAGTTCCATTGGGCGAGTGGAGGGAGGCCAAGGACGTGTTCATGCATCGTCGACCGTTGCAGTACATCCGTCCCCAGTCAAGCCCCTTCGCAAATCCCCAGACCACCGATTGCTGAATCGAGGGCGCCGTCATCTGTTTCTTTGTGCCGATCCATTTCTGCTAGCACGCTTGTTGAGAGAGACCACGTCTACTCCACTCTCAAAACCCCATCGCGAGCTCCATCGAGTCAACCCTCGCACCGCCGGCTCCCACGCCTGACCCGTTCCCAAGCACCGACGCTGTCCCGACGCTCCCAATCGCCCAATTGTCCCAATCGCCCGATCCCACAACCATCCTCGCCCCAGCGAACACGCACGCACGAACGCACGAACGCACCCACCGCGATCCCCACGCCGCTCCCAGGACTCAGCAAGCTCCTCGGCTGCCTGGCGCTGCAGTCGATCTCCCCCCAGACCGCGAGTGCTGCCCGATCCCAGTACTGCCCAGGAGAGGGCATGCTGTTTTAAACATGCGAAAGAGGGAGACACACCTCTATGTCTCTCAGCACAATGAACGGTGATGGCAGTCTGGTTCGGTGTCTTGTGGAGAGGCTCACTACAAGGGTAAGGAGACAAGCAAATGGCAAAGGGGGCCGGGGAAGGGCCCCCGACGATGGCGCCGGATGCTGTCCAGACCTCACGCGAAGGGGTGGGCGGCAGAGAACACTCGTGCTGACTTCCTCCTCGCGTAGCTTCCGCACCGGACAGGCACCACCACCCAAGACCTCGCTCAAGATGACATCGTCCTCATCACCCGTGCCACCCTGCTGAAAATCAGCGCCGGATCCATCAATGTCGTCCTCGAGGCCCTGATGGGCCTGATTGAGGACCTGGGACGACCTTACAAGGCTGGTGTCATATCCACCCACCCCCCTCACGTCCTTATTTCCGAGATGTATATATTTGGCCTGATTGCCGACTGCTGCACCAGCCATTGGAATGCATTGGGTGATGTGCCGCCGCACGCCGAGTCTTGGCGGATGAGGAGTGCCCAGCGGGCAAAGTTGCCTCCTCCGCAGATGCTCGACTCTGCCCTGGTGACGAGGGTCCTGGACATTCTGAGGCTCTATGCCCGACCCCTCCCCGAAGGATACAGCCTGTCGACACAGACTTTGCTAGATGAGTTCAACACCGAGCGCACCGTGGTGGCCGACCACCCTGAGCCCGCCGCCTCTCTGCCCCCTGCTGGCAGTGAGCAGCCCGTCGAGAGCCAGGCGCTATTTGACGCCAAGATCGAAAGCCTGGAGCGCCAGGGGAGGACCATCGCCGAGTTCGTCAGTGCCTCGAATTGGACGAGCGCGTTCGAGTACCTGAGGAAGCTTATCTACATGGTCCGAACTGCCACATCCGCGCAGATTGCAACAGTCCAAACACCGTCGAGCGCGGACGAGGAGTACACCGCACTCATAGTGTTGCGGCTGATTGGGTGTTTCTGGGTAGACAGTCAGAAGCTCGGCCTGGTCATCCAGGAGATCTGCTCCAGTTACCTCCACTTTCGGCGACCCTTCCAACATACCATTGCCATTGTCACCCCGCTCCTGATCACACGGTGGCTGGATCGTTATCCCGACGAGTTTGTTGAGTTGCACACGATACATAAGAGGTTAGATGGTGGGCCAGATACCCTCTTTGATATGACACAGACAGTCGTGCATGACAACGGGAGGGCAGACTCGGTTGCCGATGGTGTCAGGCGAAAGTTCTTACTCTACCCGTTGCAAATCACCTTGCTTTTCCTCCTCCCTGATGTGTTCGAAGTTGCCAGCAACTTGCGCGAGGCCAAGAGTGGTAGCATGTCCAAGAAGGTTGCCTTTCTTGACAGTCTAAGGAAAACTCTCAGGAACAAGAATGAACAGGCGGCCTACTGTCTCGTGCTACTTCTGCGTGCGGCCCGGCATTTCGACCTCGAGAGTGATTCGGCGTTTATGAGCTACGCCCTGGACGTGCAGGATGAGATTCGAGACGCCGTTTTCCGTCGCAACAGCTCAGGCCCCGATAGCGGGCTATTTGACCAGGACATCATGACAGCTGCCTTTATGAGCTTAACCGATCTTAACTATGAAAGCTGTGTCGAGTCCCTAGCGCCATCCTGCCTTGCCCCGAACACTCCGCTTGGTTTCAAGATCGCTATAATTCAGGCTTGCTCACACTTTGCTGGACTGGAGGAGGCAGATCGTTACACGCAGCTCTATACTATTGGATTCGAATTCACGCTGGCACAGCTCAAGGTACGTCGCAAGACGTTCATGCACTTCGAACCGTAGCTGACTTCAGCGGCAGACCATGTCAACGATATTTATCATGGGCGATCACGGATCTTCCCGCAAGGCCCTGGAGCTTATTGACAACAACAGCATCCTCCATCACATCATCTCATTCCTCTGTGTCTGTCCACTTGACGTTTTTGTGGCGATCCCAGAACACAAGGACAAAGATGAGTACTTTGAAGAGAGCTTCGAGTCCTTCCTGCCCTGCCTGGTCACCGCCAACGAGGAAGTGCGCCGATTGGCCGAGAAGGTCGTGGTGCGCGTGTTCAGCAACACATTCATCATGGAGTCTCTCCATGCGTCGAAAAGGATACGCTCTCTTGCGTTCAAGCAAAAGTTCTGGAAACTGACCTCGCTTGTTCTAAGCGACCTCTTCGACAAGGTCGACTCTCAGGATCTTGGCGCGGGCATCAATGCCATTCACGGTTATCTTGAGTCTAGACTTGTTTTGTTGCGCAAACTCGCGGAACTGGCCAACCTGCCCGAAGAGGTGCCCGAGAGAACGGCAATAAACATCAGGCTCGAGACGTTATTGTTAGTCTCCCTGTGCTCGGCGAACCTCGAGACATGTCAACTGGTTATCAGCTGCTTCAATCTATTCTACGAAGAGAGCCACATTATTGAGACCGCCTCCTCGAGTACCGCGAAGACAGCATTGTCCCTCCTTCGAAACGTCGAAATTTTTCGCGAAATTGGCTCTCGCTCGTTTCGCTTCACTGGTCTAGTCGCCTTCCAGAAAAGAATTCGCGGCCTACTCCGGCGAACACAAGATCCGAGCGCGGGTATACTGGATGCGTGGGCCCTAGCATTTGACAGGTGGTTGCATCTATCGAGAGATGTGTCGACCGCTGCTCTCGAGACTACATCCGAAGTGGCTGTCGCCGAGTGGCGTAACTACTCTGGCTTCCTGGCCTCACTGGGAGGCGTCTGCGTAGCTGACCAAACCGCGATTATTGACAACCCATCTCTTGGCGGCCTGAAATGGATCGACAAGCTGTCTTCTGAAAATCAGGAGGAGCCGTTGCTCAATAGGTACCTCAGGCTTAGCATCCAGCTCCTGGCTTGCAGCAACGTACGTGTGAGAGAGACAACTCGGGAAGTCCTCTCCTCGGAGATCTCACCAGCGTTATACCAGCCGCTCTTCAAGGCCCTCGAGTCGGAGCTGGATATCCTGTTCACAGGTGCATTGGAGTCAGCTGTCAAAGGCCTTGACAGTGAAATCATTTTCGCCGAGCAGTCCATCTCGCTGCTTCGCGCGCTGGTCGATAGACTGGACGGCCCGTCCGACTTGGGAGCAGCATCGTCTGTGCATCTGGGTGCTCTCACGCTGAACTTTGCCAAATTTCTTGACGGCGTTCCAGACACCAAGAACAGTCTCATGGTCAAGATCAAAGTCTGCCAGCTTTGTGAGGCTGTCGTAAAGAAGAAGGAGCACCTGAATCTGAGGGATGATGTTCGCATCCGCAATCAACTCCTAGAGTACATATTCAGCTGGATCGCGAGGCCACGCTCCCCACGGGCGGAGTCAGCCGCGGCCTTCGGGCCTGCGCGGCCTGACGACTCATTGAGAATCCAGAGAGACCTCGACAGGGCATGCCTCAGGTCGCTGGCCGAGCTGACTTATCGTCTCCCCCTGCAACCAGGCGATGCACAGTCAGATGTCGGAACAAGTGAACTCAAGTCACAGATGTTCCACACTTACTTCAACCGGTTCCTGTCGCTCTTGAACCTGGAGTCAGCCGAGGCGAGCAGGCACGATCACGGCACAATGGCCAGGGACGACAGCATCACGAGCTCTGAACTTGCGATCACCGTTCTTTCCAATCTGCTCAGTGCGAACATCGACGTCGGCCTGAAGCATTCTTTGAGTATTGGTTATCACGAGAACGTCGAGATAAGAACAGCTTTTGTGAAAGTCCTCTACAACATCCTGATGCAAGGCACTGAGTTCAATAACCTGTCCGACACTGCCGTCACGGAGAAGTATGACGAATTGCTGGATCTTCTGACGAGTGACACGACTCTGGCAGCTGCTATCAGCGCGGTCTGCCCCAGCAGCGAGGTCGACGAGGTGACAATATCGCTCCTGAACATATTCGAGACACGGGGCATGAGCTTCGCCCTGCTAGAAGCTCTCGTCAAGCAAGAAATCGAGGATACGGAGAACGAATCTGAGCTGCTCCGGAGAACTTGCGTGGCCACAAAGATGCTCACTATCTACGCAAAGTGGAAGGGCACCGCCTACCTGAAAGCAACATTGCAAAAAGTCGTGGAGAGGCTCATGCTGACTTCTAAGGACCTGGACCTGGAGCTCGACCCAGCCCGTGTAGCGTCGCAGGAGGAGCTCCAGAAAAACGCGTTGCAGCTACGTATAGTCGCCAAGGTTTTTATTGACGATATTTGCGCTTCATCGGCAAACATACCGTCGCCATTCCGGAAGATCTGCAGCATCATATCGACGGCAGTCATGCCGAGATTCCCTGAGGCTAAATACACTGCCGTTGGCGCCTTTATCTTCCTCCGGTTCTTCTGTCCAGCTATTGTGGCACCTGAAGTCGAAGGCTTGGTTTCAACTGCTCCGTCCAAGGAAATGCGTCGAGGCCTTCTTCTCATCGCGAAAGTTGTCCAAAATTTGGCCAACAACGTGCTTTTTGGGGCCAAGGAACCGTACATGTTCCCCCTGAATGACTTCCTCACGCAGAACATATACAGGGTGACGACTTTCCTGAGAGAGATTTCTGTGTCGCCTGAGAAGACGGATCCCCCAAGCACGAATGAATCCTTCGACTTTGGCTCCTGTGTTGCTCTACATCGCTTTCTTTACGACCACTGGGACCAAGTCCGACAGCGCCTAGCCTCTCAGGAGAGGAGAGATTTTGTTCGAACTCCGGCTGAGATCTCCCGCATGCGGTCTCCTGTCCTTGAGCCCCTCAGGAATCTGATCTCGCATCTTGGCCCACCATCCCTGGCCGTTACTTGGAACAGGCCCTTGATCTCAGCCAACAGCCCACCAGCTTACTCTCGTTTCCAAAACTTCATGCTTCGGAATGCCTTCCGCAGTACCGAATCATTCGTCACGGCAAGGGCTGTGTACGATGGCGGAGAGAGCAAGGTAAGCCGAAAAAGATTCCCAGAACCGTGACACTTGCCCGTGAGCTATGGCTGATGGCTGACAACCTGCATTTAGGATGGTCTGTCAATCATCTGTATTATCTTGAGGAATATCGACGACGAGAATATTGATTATGACACTCTGATATACTGCTACTTGAAGGTCAGTGTATACAAAATCTCGTAGCGACCTGCTATTACTCAGGGTGCTTCTGTTCGCTTTGGGTCCTTTCCTCGCCCTGCTAACATCCAATCAGATCGCCAGCCGCCTGTGGCATCGACCTTTCGGACTACTCATCGACGCGACCTGTTACAATGGACAGAATGATGAGCCCCAAGATGAGCTCTTCCACAAGCTGGAACTTCTTACTCCAACGGAGCTGTCGAAGCAGCTTAGTCGCGTCTATATCTACAACATGAACAGTGCATTCCGGTAAGCTGAGTTTCGCCCATATCCGTGTATAGGACGCTGGAGTGACTGACGTTGCAAAGCAAATGTCTACGTCGTGTTCTCCGAGTTTCAACTAGAAAGGATGCAAGTGTCTTCAACCCGAACAACATAGAGTACCACCTCGTCGGCAGCATCAAGGAGCTGCAAAATCATTTCCACTTCAACCAGCTACACCTACCAAAGGAAACAATTAGCGTCTTTGCAGACACGCGCTACGACTTCAAGCCAGTCGTACGGCTGTCTAAAACGAAAGGGAGGATCGCCTGCCGGGTCATGGTTGGCAGTCAATTCGTTCAGATAACGACAGCCGAGAAACAGGAAGTGCACCCTAATTTCCGCCTCAGCGCAACGATCAACGATATTTTCCGGCTCGGCGACGTCGACGAGGCGCCTACGAATGTGAAGCCCGACGATGAATCCGCATTTGGCCTGCGAGCGGATAATGGCAAAATCATCATGTACTTCACCAGCCCTAAAAAGGCGGAGATTTTACAGACAATTCGCGCTGCGAAAGCCAAGTACGGCAAAGACACACGCTCGCTGAAGTCATTTGAAAGACTCATCCGGCCACAAGATGTGCCGGGTACGCTTTTGAATCTTGCCCTGACAAATTTGGCCAGCCCGGACCATGTGTTGCGGCTCTCTTCATACAATCTGCTGGGCGCCCTGTGCAAAGCCTTTAACTTCACGGTTGCATCAAAGGTGGTGTGCACACGAGGTAAGTCAACATCGAGTCGGATTCTTGAAAGCTCGAACTTGGAGCGCGCCCGCTAACTAGTTCTAGATATCGCGGTGCCGCTCGATCCGTCACGGTTCATTGTGGAGATCAGCAAGACACTCGCCCAAGCTGAGCCTCAGCTCACGTCCGATTTCCTCAACGAGTTTTTCGTCGGCTGGGATAGCTTCTCCGAGGAGCAGAAGCCTTTGAGCCTGGCGTATCTCGCGCCATGGCTGCCAGGCCTCCGCTCCTCGGTGCTGGCGGCCGAGTCCGACAGCGACAAAGGTCGCGACAAGATTGCGAGTCTGTTCCGAAAGCTTATAGATGTGACGCTGTCCGACCCAACTTTGAGCTTCACGTTGGAGCAGACCATCTGGCCGGCCATTCAGGGAGACGAGGTCCTCCTCGACATCTTCCTCGAAGAAGTAATCAAGACGGCTTTGAGTATAGGTCTCCACGATGAACAGACCGAAACATTGACATCGATAGTTACGGCGATTGGCAGCATTACACTACGCGGCAAGATCATTACCCGTCTACGGAAGGCCATGAACCGATCTTCGATGCGGCAGAGCAAGTATCTGCCTGACAACGTGGTCTGGCCAGAGGTCTGCATTCTGCTACAATTCTGTGTATCGCTGTCATTTGACAGTGGGATACAGGCGCAGATGTTCTTGCCCGAGATTTTTCACATCGTGACGATGCTTGCGAATACCGGCTCGCCTGATATCCGTATACTGGTGCATAGACTACTGGTCAACTCCATCCACGCGGCCTGCACGTCGTTCCACCTAGACGAGACGCGCCAGGCCAAGCTCAAAAGCATCCTCGAGTCTTTGTCTGAGACCAGGACTGAAATCTGGAGCATCACGCCCGCATTTCCTGGACGCGATGGGGCATCAATGTCGACGACACAGGAATACGGCCCCAACCTGGCGGCGACGGAAATCTTGGCTGGTATTATGTTCGAGGTATGCTCTGTCGCAGCCATTTCCACGGACATTGCCAATGCTTGGCGGTCGCGCTGGATGAGCCTCGTGGCCAGTACTGCCTTCCAGAATAACCCGGCTATCCAGCCCCGTGCCTTCTCGGTAATGGGCTGCCTCGCAAGAGAGGAGGTGGACGACGATCTTCTGTACCAGGTTCTCGTCGCACTACGGATCAGCATCACCCGCTTTAGCGGCGAGGACAGCAGCAGCGAGATGCTGGTGGCGATTGTCACAGCGCTTTCCCGGATGATGGCGAAGCTTCCGTCGACCTCCCGTTATGGTGTGCAGTTGTTTTGGCTCGCTACGTTCCTTCTGAGGCTTGTCCCAATTAATCTGTTCAACTGTGCAGCGGTTTTCTTGGAGTCGGTGCTCACAAACATCAACACCTCCGGGGACACCCGCGGCCCCAAGCTCGTGGCGCACCTCTTGCAAGGCCGCGAGCAGCTCGAGGAGGTAGCGCTCCCACTGGATGCGTTCTACGGCATTCAATTTACTGCCGAGAACTTCCACTTTGCAGTCTGCGCATGTCTGGTCCGGGGCCTGTCAGACACCATGACCAAAGCTACGGCCCTACATGTGCTCGCTACGTTCCTAGACATGACGGAGACTGCCCCGATTCCGATTGACGGGGCAGAAGCCTCTTCCAAGAAACTAAAGGACGTCCCTTACTCCCCATACCTGTCACTCATCCTTTCGAGGGTGGTGACACCGGACGAGCTCAAAGACACCCTCTGGCTGGCAGGCATCAAGCCACCGTCCAGCATGGCGGGCGTCCAAAAGGGGCGGACCCCTGAGAAACTCAGCACGGTCAAGGACAAGGACTTGCTGCTGAACTCGGCGATCGAGCTCATCGACTTTGGATACCTGGAGGACGCGGTACAGAGCCGGACGCTGCAGTGGATGAATGAGCTGGCGATTGGGCGCCCGAATGTCATCCTGCACCTTTGCGGGCCGATACTAGCAATCCTGGACGAGACGCTGCTGCACTGTCAGAACTCAGCGACGCTCGAGTCGGCCCACAGCCTCTTGCAGACATTGACGTCGAACGCCAAGTTTGCCTCGGCGATGGAGTCTGGCGGTGCGTCGGGGCTCAACGAGATCCTGGACGACATGGGGTTCGGAGGCCTCTGGCGGTTCTGCTCCTTGAACCCGCAGCAGGAGCCAGACAAGGCGTGCTTCGCGCAGACAGAGAAGTTGATCGATGTGAGTAGTGGCCAACCCAAGCCCTCCTTGACGCCCGGCTTGCCACCCACCGAGTCGGACAAGACATGCTAATATTACTGGCCAATAGTTGATAATTAATGCTGGAACATACTGAGGCAGCTTGAGGTTGCCCAAGCCCTTGAAGACCTGGTCTGAACCGCACGCACGACCGCAGCGACAGGAGCTTTGTGGCGTGGTGATGCCCTGGACCTGCCTGTGCAACCAATGTATTTGTTATTTAGAAGGAGAAAAAAAAAAGCGCAAGGGATGCATTGGCAGGGACTGGGTTAGAAAGGGCGGCAGGTGATGTTTTGGATAGTCGTGGATGTGGATGTTTGTACGCACAGAGATATCCTGACGATAGAGTCGATGCGTGAATAGTTATTGGGCCGTCGTGTGCATTGCGTGTTGTGCAGGCGATGCATCAGGTTGCAACGTTGGAGGCTGAAGGCCATGAGGGCAGTGCGCACGCACCCAGGCCTGTTTCCGCTTGAGTGCGCGAGGCTGTCCTCCTGTCTACCACAGTACAGTACCACATGCACATGCAGGTCATACGTGAGTGATGAAACTTGCCTACTTTGGCAGGTTGCGCCGGGCAGTTCAGCTTGGAAATCCATGAAAAGGGTGTTTGTTGCCACCAGCCCTATATGCACAGGCCTATCTTGTCTCCCTCCCGAGGATTAGATGTTTCTTATTATTCACCGTTGCACAGGCGAGTCAACACTGCCCTGCTTGCCCAGTGCCCATTGTAAATCTCTTCAACCCTGCAGCTAGTAGCCCTGCAGCACACATACATAGACACACAAACGCACGCATATTTTGTCCCACAGTGGTGCTAGGGCGTGCATGTGTATGCAGCATCCTGCACCTGCTGGTGGTGACAAGGATTACTATTCTTAGGGATCTTGCCTAGTGCTAGTGTGTGTAGTTGAGTTGCCACACGAGGGAGGGAGGGAAGCGAGCAGGGGGGCAGGAACGGATAGCAACCCCACCAGCCCACTCAACCGACTGCACAATACGGATACCCTGTCTGCCCATTGTCTGTTCCCGCAGGCCACCCCCCCGCAAGGCGGCTGAGCTGCCAGGGCTGCACACGCCCTGACGACCTGCAGCCAGCAGAGCAGGTATGGTAGGTTTTTTTTTCAGTTTTCTAGAAACTTGCCGCTGACACTTTGGTACTACGCTAGATAAGTCTAGTCCTGGCAAGAGACAGACGGTCAGTGTTACGGATGCAGATGAAGGGGTTTTCTTCGGAGGCTCGGCTGCGTCGTGATAGGGCTCCAGCTGCGAGGTTTGTCCCATGTTTCTGCGGTGGGTAGGGTAGCTTCGCTGGGCTGGACATGGCGGAGGCGAAGAAGCTTCGAAACAGCCCTTTGCACAACGTGGGCGGGTGGCACCGACATTTACGCATGTGCGAGTTTAAGCATGCCATGCCATGCCATGCATGCATTTCCCATTGATGTCTGTGTGGATGTCGCGTCGGCTGAGGGATGCCCAGCCCGAGAGGAACCAGGAACGAGGCGGCGGCGGCGAGCTTTGGGGACGAGGGCATCCCGAGGAGGAATGGTTGATACTCATGCCCATTACTCGTATTTACTTCGTATCCTGAACATGTGTGTGAGAGAGAAAGAGAGTGAGTGTGTGTGTCTGTTTCTTGTACGCTTGGGCCCAGAAAAAAAGCCCCCACCTGCCGGCGTCAGGCGAACACCCACACAGTTCCTTGAAAGATACGCAGAACAAGGTTGTGGTTGTGGTTGTGGCTGTTGTTGTTCCAAGCTGCTGCTGCGTGGTTGCGCCGGGCTCGCAGGGAGAGGGCGTCGATGTTGGCAACACTGCATAGTAACTAAACACTACTCCGTCGCCACCTCGACCGCACACCCGCCCTATGCCACCCTGACGGGGTATCAAGGAATCCGACATGCCTTTTGTGTACGGTCATGTGCCACGGATGTGTACTCGGCAGTGAACGGTGAACGGTGAACGGTGGCCGGTGGCCGGTGACCGGCTTCAATGCATTGTCCTGCGGCCTGAACATGACGAAGCCCCCTTCTTCTTACTTGCCCTTGTTTACTTGTATTCCTTATTTCCGTTCTCACACGTGCGCCTTTATCCAACTTACGTGTGATTGCTCATCATGAGTCTGCCTGCCTGCTGCTGTCCGCGGGGGTGACGAGAGCGAGAGATGATGTTAAGCCCCGTCGGGTGTATTGTACAAATGCAAGGGATGCACGCGCGGTTCCGCAGCCATGGGTCGAGCTTGCAATATCTCCGGGGCACCGGCCGCGGGAAAAATGACTTGTTGTGGTCACACCGGGGTGGCTTGCCTCGTTTGTGACATGCAGTCAGAGGGCCGATTGCTGGATGGAATTTATCGAATTTATCGAGCTATTTTACCACCCTGCACCTTTTTGTCAGTTTAATCATCATCAAACCATGTGTTGGGCGTTGTTCGTTGCTGCTGCAGCAGCACGTCGGCGTTCGTTCGCAAAGGTCGCTCTCGCCGGTCGGGAACGGGGCCCGTTGTTGTTCGGAAACAAGGCCTGGGGTGCTGGCTTGGCTGGGTGCGTTGCGGTCTGGGCCGAGGTGAGCAGAGTTGGACGACAAAACAACCCCAATTCATGACTGCCATGTCTCGAATGTGCCCGCGGGCTGCTTGCTTGGCATCTTTTGGACCGGTCCCTCGGGGCCGCCGAACTGCACCCCCAACCCCCAACGCTGGGGCTGCTGCGGCCGGCCCCGCTGATTGGCCAGGTGGCTGCTGCGGCCCTACAGGAGAGTTTTTCCCATCCCTCCTGAGTCCTGCTCTTTTTCGCTCACACGTCTTGGCCCTCCAAGTTCGTGCATTTCCGGACCGCGAATGAAGCACAAACCGACCTATCGCCGATGGTGCACGTTGATGTTTCACCCGCACCAGTGTATCCTGGACAAGAATAGGAAGTGGAGGTGAAAGTGAGAATGAGCTTCTCGGCAGCTCGGAAGGGCCTGGAGGAATGGAGATTAGCTGAGCCATTCCCTGGCGTTGAGCACGAGGGCATCTCTGCGACAGCGGCTAGCGCTACGTACCACGTACCCCGTACCGTGTGCTGACCGCGGCCAACGGGCTCGTTTGACTTCCGAAGGACTTTAGAACCCCCCCAGCAGAGATCCTCAGATCTAGATCGTATGTATCGTAGATGATGGGGCATACCTTGTTCCCCACAATTCCGCTCGCTTACGCGCTGGGTGGCCGGATGGCCCTTGTACACTAGTACTGCGCATTCGTCAGTCACTTATCAATCAGCAGGTAATTCTGTAGCGCTGACACATCTTTGTTCTTTTGTTCTTTTGTTCCTTTGTTCCACTCTCCCAACAGGAGGGATTTATTAACCGTTGCTGCTCAAGTGCTTGGTGGTGCAACTGCAGCCTGGCAGACAGACCCGACTGGGCCCAACCGCGCCCCGTAAGACGTCGTACCAGGGCGCGCGGCATCGGCCTACCCCTTGCATGAGAGCGACAAACCGACGGGCCCAAGCGTGAACGTTGCATCGGGCCTCGTGGTCTCACGGGCCTAGGTCTGGTTCTCGGCCTGGGGCTTGGTCAGGTCTTGTCTGAGAGAGGGAGCAAAAAATGCAAAAAAAAGAGATTGAACAATAAAATCACTAAATTCAAAAAGAAAATGAACAGTCAGTCAGTCAGTCAGTCAGGCTGCCATCAGGTTGCGAATTGAGGTATCCAACAACCACTCCGGCCCGGCCAGTCAGTCAGTCGGGCAGTCAGTCGGGTAGGCAGCTCAGCCGAGGCGCGTTGGCCTGTCGAGTCGACGGGGCAGATGAGTCACCCGCTGTCGAGGGCTTCGTATGCGTATTGCCAAAGCGAGCGCGTGACCAGTGGCTTAGGCAGTGAGGATAGATTGATCATGGTCTCGCATACGTCGAGTCTGACAAGCGCAGCGCTATGCTGTGCAATGCAATGCAAATGCAGTACTGTGCTGTGCACCTGTGGTGGGTAGAGGCACTACTATGGGCTGCAAGTAGGGCTGAGTACAATTAGTCTAGGACTGGGATCACGGGGTGCGAAAATGAAATAAACGCGAAGCACGAAGGCCGTTAGACGAGACAGGAATAAAGATAGAGACGGCCTGACAGGCAGGCGGGCCACTAGCCTGTCCGCCGTTCCGCGTCCTCGGGTCCGCACCGAGAGCTGGTCCTCATAACCTGTAGGGCAGCTGGGCGCCAGCCACCCCAGCACCTCAACGCGCGCGTGTGGGGAATCTTTGGGGGGGGGGGCCGCCCGTGAGCCGAAGATATGCCAGCAGCCCAATAAGATACCCGCACCCTAGCGAAACCCAACGACTGAGCCACAACCCTCTGGCTGGCCCCGCTGCCAGCGCAGCTCTGGTACCTGCCTGCCAGCCAGCCAGCTATTCATCGCAGACTGGGTGCCAGACAGTCAGAGAGCAGCATAGCATGGACCGGTATATCGACCCTCGGTCTTGGCCAACCCAGCATGCTTCAGCGAAACCTATCATTCCACCAGCTCCTGCACAGCCACGAGCCGGAAGCGTGTACACGCACGCACTCGGCAGCTCGGTTGACCACATTGGGAGGAAACCCAGCTGGGCGAGGATGTCGGCGCTGATCGGTCGACGTGGCACTCAATGCTGGGGATACCAGCATCAGGGTGGGGGGATGGCATTGTTGGAAAACCCCATGCGAGGATGGTGGACATTGTGGTTGGTGCATCACATGCGAATCCGGATCTCTGGGCCACGGAGCTGGACTGGCTTGACCGGCTGGGAAAAGAATCGCGAGTGAGAGGCCTTGGGTGTGGCGAAAACCGGGGCCAGAAGCCACAAGCCACAAGCCACATCCTCGCGTGCCTTGCATGCACCGCGACGATTGTTCCTGAGAAGGGTAATCACTAGCGGTAGTCTGATAGTCTAAATCCGGGGGCCTGGGGGGCATGCTGGAATGCTTGCATGCTGGCATGGCCTCCTGTCAGATCAACTGCCAGGGCGGCCTATCTGCCTATCAAGCCTATGTATCTGATGCAGTGCTGTGTCCGACCGTGCACGGCTCGTCACAGCGGAGACGGGTACGGGTACGACGATGGGCAGGATGGGGTGGTCACGAGGGGCGACCCTCGTGGCCTCGTCCTGCTGCTCGTGTGTGGCTCGGCCAGAGTCCTGTCTGTCGCTGCAAGAGCTGTTCTGTGCTTGTCGACCATGTTCCAACTCTTTTCTGGGGTCCAGTTCTGGGGGCCAGCGAACCACGTGGAGGTTGCATCGGCCCATCACAGGCCGTCCAGGGCTGGCAGGCCCATTGTCGAATACCATGGCAGGACATGGAAATGCGAGCAAGCAGGCAAGGTGTGGCTGCCCAGGTTGTGGCGGAGCCGACGCCTCTTACCGCACGGGAGGGAACTTGACAGGTGGGCAGGCGGGCAGGCGGGCAGCCTCGGCAAGTCAAGGGTCCACACGGCAGCAGGTGCAGAGAAGGACCCTGAATCTCCTGGCATACCGAGGAGTGTGTGGCCCATGGTCAGTTACCCGGCCGGCCATGCCCAAAGCGGAAAGTACAGCAGAGAGAGTACAGCAGAAACCTGTCTTGGGGCCCTGGGTGGCCTCGATTTGCAAAGCCTGCAAAGATTTTATGGTCTGTTGAGAGAGGCAGCCTGTCGACCAAACTTCCCACTCGCCCTGCCAGAATGCCAGAATGCCAGCATGCTTTCTTGGTAGGGGGATACCGTAATCAAGTCCGCAGCGTCTTGTCCGGCCAGAGCGGAACCTTGGGGGAGGCTCGGACCCTCGGAGTTGGCGTGTGCGATGAACAGCACCCTTCCAATATGACTGCGCAATCAATGTGTAAGCGGGCGCGTGCATGGTAACCCCCCCTCCCAAATTCATACCCAACCCAAATACCCCCCCCCCCTCGTGTGTCTACCAGCCAGCCCCGACCCCATTCTGTAAAACGGTCCGGCTCCGCGGCGATCAACCCGAGGGGCAGACGAGCTACCCTGCTACCCTGTCACCCTTGGATGTGAAAAAAAATTGGTCTTGTCCCTCGCTCCCGATTTGGGGAATCGGGGCAGCACAAGCGACCAGCGGCGACGTCACCACTGCATGATGGGCACGCAGAGGGGGCCGGATTGACGAATCAGACCCCTATCGTCCGCGGAGCAGAGCAAATCATGACGATCGTTGTTCATTTGGAAACTGTTCCCCAAGGCCTCTTCACCACAGCCGCTGCGGCACCCCGAATTGTGTGCCATCCAGGGACCCTGATCGCCGTGGATTTGGGTTGTTGTATGACATCGGCTGCCACGCTGCTGGCTGCCCTCGACAATGCTCGACGGTGCTCGACAATCCAGGATGCAGGACAGGAATTTACGGTTCAGCTGGCTTGTTTTGCATCGCCCTCATCGCCATTTATGATTCCCCATTCTTTGATCATCCGCATCATCGCTTCACAGGCCTGACAAAGTGCCGGGGAATACAGGATCCCCCACGAGCATAAGCAGTCAGTTTCTCGTGCGTGTGGGGCATGACCACGCACACAAAGAAACCGCCCAGTCATGCGCAGCCCGCAGCATACTGTACTATGTAGTAAAAACATACAACACCCGCCTGCCCAAGCAGCCAAGTGAGGTAACGTAGTACAGGCAAACATAAACAGTGGCTTGGGTGGTTCAGTGGGTAATGTATCTAGTTGAGAGAAGCCCGCTGGCCCGCTTGCTGGGAGTGACCAAATGATCGCCCAGTCCATTTCCTGCTATGGCTGGCCCGCCTGCCCGCCCGCCCGACAACCTGCTTGACATGCTTGATGAATGATCCCCGGGGAGGGATAATCTGGTTTCCCCCAGGCGAGGTCATCACATTATCTGATTATGTATCTGCCACTACTAAGATGTGCCCGGTTCCGAAAAAGGCCGTTCTGTACTGTCCTGTCATCCACAACACACATCAGGTTGAGGTCAGCCTTGAGAATAAACTTGGCTGTACCACACTGCACATTACTGTGCTGTTCAGTTGTGTCCGTCAGCCCGGCCTCGCCCTGGTGTGTCAACGCCTAAGTCCGCGTCTCCACGGATCGACAGCAGCTTGTCAGCAAGCTCTCGTCCGTCACTGCTGGGGGGTACTGCCCAGGCAAGATCCGATCCTGTGTGTGCCTGGCAGTCTGACACACCACTGGGTTCCATCGCTGTCGTGCATGTTCTGGCCTACGAGGACGTGCAAGGAGGCCGTAGTGGACGAGCACCGCCAACACAACAGCGAAACACGCCCATTTAGCATATGTGCTGACCTCTGTATCTGTCACCCGATCTTGTACATGTTGGTCTGATCGTACGTCCATGCCTCGCTTCACTGTCAATAAGCCATCGCAGTTGGCCGGGCCCAAGAATGACTCTCCTGACTGACGGCTGACGGAGCAGTAGGTTAGGACGGCAATGACTGACGGATGACCATTTCCGCTGTCGCCAGCCTGTGTGGCTGACTCAAGGTCTTGATCCGGCTAGCGGTCTTACTAGCGCGAGAGAGGTGATACCCCATATGGCTTAGCGTCTCCTCGTCCCCCTACCCCCCCGACGGTCCATTTGTCATTCGGTGCCTATGGGAGTAAATCCGGTCCTTTTACAGGGGGTGAGTTGGGAAAGAGCTAAGGTGCAGTGCTTGCAGAGCACCCCACCCATGCACACCCGCCGAGTAACCAGGTACCTCTCGATAGCCACTGCACAACCCCGGCCATGCGACAAGGGTGTCCTCGTTCCCGTCCTTGTGGACTTACGCCATACCACATCTTACAGACTCGGACCACGCCCTTATATCCCATTCCCTCTGTATATATATACAAACTCCCCGTCACCACAATGGCACTGGCCAACTTTAAAATCGCCACTCCCCCATCAAACTCGTTACTTCGACGAACACTCAGTACAACCTATACATATAATCCGCCGTGATGATGTGGTTATCCCAAAACAACACAACAACATATAACAATCCCTCCTCGCACCAGCGACAGCAGTACTACCCACAGCAAAACTCGCGGTTGTCAGCCTTTCTACCAAACCCCACCGCCACCTCAACAGACCCCACTCTCGATATCGACTCCGAGATCCAGTCGCAAAGCGCCTCCTCCTCGCCTCAGTCGCTTGCTCAGTTCCCGCTGTCGACCTTTGACAGTCTTCCCGCAGCAAGCGTCCCCCGAACACCCCAGGGCGACCTGTTCAGATTCTCGGCGCCCACAACCCAGCCAAAGGCTCAGGCCGAGGCTTTGCCTCCCGTCAACATGATGTACGCAGACTCATGGCTGGGCGAGAGCAGCCAGTTCCCAGCAAGGAACAGCCACAGGAATATCCACCAGCGCGAGTCCTCGCTTTCGTCGCTGGGGTCACTGGGACCGGCCTCGCCCTTCTCGTTCAGCTCGGCAAACCCACAGATCGCCATCAACGAATCTGGCGAGCCGTACCACAGCCTCCCCATGGCCGATGACCAGACCTACCACCTCGCCACAAAGGTCTCAAACCCAACCACCCACGACAACTTCTACACCAACATGCCCTACTCATCCGATTCGACATCGGTCCACAACTACGCAAGTATGCTCGCGCCGCAGAGGCAGCGAACTGATCGTAGTGGATTGTTGCCTCCCCCAGACTTTCCTAGTGGCGGCTCCACCACCTCCCGTCCCGTGTCAGTGGCGAGTTCTGTCGCGAGTGACTCACCAGTCACGCCGGCCGCTCCGGAGCCAGAGGACGACAGGAGGCGAAAAGCTGGTGAGGACTATATCCTGGCTGATTTCCTGGATGTTCCAGTTGAGGACACAGGCTTACCCCTTCTCTACCATACAGCTCTCCACACTGTCCCCAAGCTGGACCGCACCATGACCGACATATACAGCGACGAGTTGTACAATCCCAACTTCTCCATCACGTCTGTGTCGCAGCCGAGCCAGACCACAGTGTCGCCAAATCACGAGGTCTTCGCGCAAAGGTTACAGGCCGCCAACAGCCAACATCTGAGCGCAACGCAATCACCAATCTCGACGTCAAGAGGCCGCTCGCCGTTCAGGCAAGGCTCGCCACTGGCACCACAACCTGCCCACGACTTCTCTCAACAGGCAACAAACAGCATGCGCTTCAACACTGCTCAGCACATGAGGGAGAAGAGGAAGGCAGAGCAGGATGCTGCTCAGGCTTTGCGCCAGGCCATGGCTCAGCCCAACACGAGCACTGGCACGCCACAAACCATCTCGCCCAAGGATGCCATCCTGGAATTCAACGACGCAGACAACAACAACAACAACTTCCCCTTGTTCTCGTCTCAAGACTCGACTGGATTCGACGCGAGTCAAATGTCAAAGGCCACCCCTCAGACCAACACCTTTGGCGCCCTGTCGCTTGATACCTCGTTCGACAACTATCTCGCTTCTCAGATGTCATCAGGAATGCAGCTCCCTCAACAGTACCCCTTCGTTGCCAAGCACAGGCAGCAGAGCAGCCTCCCATCCGTCAGCAACGGCTCCTACTCTGTGTCGTCTCGCCTCAGCTCGAGTACATCTGCATCACCTGTGTCTACGGCACTTGGCAGCCCCCAGAGGCCAGACGCCGTTGGTGCGGATGGCGGCACATACACATGCACGTATCATGGTTGCACGATGAGATTCGAGTCGCCCACCCTGCTCCAAAAGCACAAGCGTGAGGGCCACCGCCAGGCCCACGGCCTGAATGGTCTGCGCAGGCCGGAGGCGGCACCAGCCTCGTTCCTGAACACACAGGCGGGACCCCACAAGTGCGAGCGAATCAACCCGAGCACCGGCAAGCCATGCAACACGGTGTTCTCACGACCTTACGACCTGACACGGCACGAGGATACGATCCACAATGCACGAAAGCAAAAGGTCCGATGCGATGTGTGCACCGAGGAGAAGACCTTCAGCCGCGCCGACGCGCTTACCAGGCACTACCGCGTCTGCCACCCAGACCTGGAATTCCCCGGAAAGCACCGCAAGAGGGGCGGGGCTACCAGCTAAAGTTGCTCCGGACCGTGTTGCCTACTTCGCCCTTGATGGTGCGAACAGAGGTGCGCTTGGCTATTCCCACAATCAATACGCACGGAGAAACTGCAATACGAACGGGCACGAATGATAACGACACCCCCCCCCCACCAGACGGCAAGGGTGGGCCGGGCGTGGGCGCGCATTGCACGGGCTCTTGAGTCGATGACCGCAGCGTCGAAGGTTCTTTGACGACATTGGCGTCATGTGGTTGGAGGGTGGAGGGTGGGGGGGGAGGCTCTTCCGCAATGCATGCTGCAGACGCCATGCCAGGCTGGGCGGCGGGGGTGCGGCCTCATCCCTGCCGCGTGGGAGCCAGGGCTCATCATCCTACGTCATACCCTCTGCACGCGAAAGCCTTAAGGGTCCTGCGCAGGGACCAAGTGCGACTGCGCCATGACGTCATCCGAGTGCCGATCAGGGTCCTCGCTGATTTCATCCTGAGCCAGCCCGCTCGCTAGGCTCGACATCCGAATCCAAATTTGGGCAACCTGGCGCGCCTGGGCACGACAGTCTGAAGTCATCTGCAACCCCACCGACACCATCCCACAGTACCGGCATGATGTTTATGTCTATTCGGCACCCGTGCTGGGAATGGTAATCTGGAAATGGCACATTGGCCCGGGAAACGAACCCGGCGCTGGGGCTCTCGAACAGGGCAGGGCAGGGCAGGGCATCTCTGCATCCCCGTCGCGGCCGCGGCCACCACTCCGACATCCCCTCCGCCCTATCATCATCGTCGTCATAACCGTCATTACTGGTCCCAGTGTGCATCGGCTTCCGGGTGGAGCGAGCGGCATGTGCCGTATCTCGAATGCCCCATTCCCATCCGAAAAGAGGCACATCACACCACCCGATAACTACTGTGCACACACACCACCGAGGTCGGTCGCTTGGCACCAGCGGGCTGGGTCACCCCATCAACCTCACTCAACACACATCATTTTCACATCCCGGAAATGGGACCAAGGACGTCACTACTAATAGGACCCTGTGCAAATACTACTTGTGTATTATACTTGGGAGGTATCACGCGGATCATGGTCAGTGTTTTAGACATTTTTGTGCACTTTGGTCACGCATGGCGTAACGGAAGGATCATAGAGGAGCAGCTGCTTGATTCGTTGACTCTCTATTTTATTTCTCACTGGTGTGTAATCAACGCATTTTTTTTACATGTTACCCATGAATGTCGGATGATATTCTTCTTGTCTGGACGGGGCGCGGATCTCAAAAGGAAAAAAAAGGGCAGGGGATCATAGACACAAAAACAAAACATTCGCAGCTTTCCGCGCTGCTTTCCAATCAGTACCGGCATTGTCATACGAGACGGGTGCCTTGGCACCTTGCACCTCATACTCAGATTGAGTTCCCGCTATTCCTTTATTTTTTTGTTGGACCTTCCTTGGACAGCTCTGCATTGGTTGCACGACATTTACCGGCCAGTCAGCGTGCGTGTTCTTGGATGTGTGGCTTGATCTTGTTTTTTCCTTTTCTCATTTTGGGGCCAACGAGGCAATGGCTTGGTTTTTTTTTTCACTGCTCTCAAAAACAAATACCCCGCGATCTGCAGCGACTATGACGACTTGCAGCAATCGGGTAACACACAAGACCCCCAAATTGTGGAGGGGGGAGGGTTTCTTTTTGGGCAGGGCAGGGCAGGGTAGTACAGGGCACGATTTCCAAGGCTTGGGGGGAGGGGGGGATGCACCATAGCCGGCGGGAACTAAATTATCACTCGAGTAAGCCGGACCGGGCGAGTAGTGCAGGGCAGGCGAGCGTAGCGATTCAGGGTCCTCTGATAATTCAAGATTTGATTGGAAACTGGTGTGAAATAAACTTTTCCCTTGCCGTGTAGGACCTTTCGAAACACCGAATCCTTCCAACTCTAAATCTCCCTTGCCTTGCCTATGTGCTGTTCCCTCTCTCGCCCACTCGCTGCTCCTCACCCTGCATCCCCTCCCTGGCCTGGCCCTGTCTGTCTGTCCTGACGTGTTAACGGGTCGGTGGGTGGGGACAATTGGGCAATCCTTGCGTCTGTTGGTCTTTTGGCTTTTCCTACGCTATGCAGGTGTAGTTCGTGTACAGGTTTGCTTGGGTGGTGGTGGTGGTGGTGTCAAAGGTTGTGTGGGTCACCCGTACAACCTGTGCTGTGCATGTATGCCTTACCGGCCGAGGTTTATAATTATCATGTCAGCTATACGTTATATTAACCTGACTTTCTTGGTCTGACAAGGCCTGCCAGATGGCCACCCTTGCATAGGGATATGGGCCAGCTGTTCCTGGACCACGCCCTGACCTTAATGTTCGCGCGTTGCCTTTGCTGAAGTGACTACGGATGTCGCGACTTGCATAGAGTAATGGACTCACCCGGCCGACGGACTATATGCCCGAGTACTGTTTATTTTCTTTGAAGTGCGAATGACACAGCTGGTCAGTGTATGTCTGTCTATATGGCATGGCACTGCACCTGTCTGCTTAGCTGTCGTCGTCCTCGCTCGGCCCGGAGAATCTCTCAACATTTTACATATAAACTCTAACATTGACTGTAACGCACTGCATGTTTCTACGTGCTGTAGGAAGCCACAGAAAAATGCACTCTTCCGCTGGCTTTCGCCGCGTTCCTCGGATGTGTCCGCCCAGCCTGAGCCAAGCTACACATTTGCCTGCACCGCCTCCCCTACCTCTCACTGTGACGCCGGCAAGCAACCTGGAGACAGAGAAGAATTAACCGAGATGAATTCCCCGGAGGGAGGTTAGCGAGCAGGCTCAGAGAAGAAAACCGGAAGTCACATCGTGTCTGCAAAGCCTGACTCCAGCTTTGCCTCCCGCCTCAACCCCCCTCCCCTCCCCCAGGTGTTCTCGGCGGACAGGGCTTTCCGCCGGGCATGTTTCGTTTCCTCGTCGCCCTCGTGCACAAGTTGCATCAGGTGCCCGCCCATAATAATTCATCTCAAATACCACATGGTGTGTGCAAACTTGGCAACAGCCTTGAGATGTCTGCAACCAGCTGGTTCGGCAAAGTTTCCGTCGCCCCACTTGCTTGCCTCGCCCCTTGATATGATCTGATAGTACGAACACGACAGGGTCGTAGATCCGGGGGTGGCTCAAACCTCTCGCCCCTTGAAATGCGAACGCGGGAGGCGGTAATCGCTGGACAGTAAGGAAAGCCTGCCCAGGTGACCGGCAAAATGCCGACGCGTCCGTCCTTGCCGCCGGATGCGCCATACGCCTTGCCCTCGCTGTGCGCCTCTGCCCCTGCGCCCAGCCTGCTTTTGTGTTACGCCTCGACCACCTCTCAAACCTTCGACTGAGAATGGACCTACCTGCCTGGTTGGGCAGCCCCGGGTACCGGTCCCCTGGTGATCTCAAGAACTCTTGGTTCTGCGAGTGGGGGCCAGGGAAAGGGGGAAACCATGGTCGGTCTATGTTTCCAAGGAAGTGGAGGTCAAGGCAAAATCATGCATTGTAACTGGACATGACTCCCCCGGGCACCGATCAAGTATCCATTTCAGCTCCCGTCAACGTCAGGCGGGCCAGATTAAGCTTCTGAAGATCTCGGTTGCACATGTCGCGTCTGTTCGATGTCATCCAAGTTTTCCATGGCAGCCTTCAAACCGTTGGGATGGCCTGCGATATTGTGACAAGATATGAGTTGCCACTGGGCGAACGGTCTCATATCTGCATCATATGGCATTTCCATGTGGTCGGGGATCATCCCATAGATGGAAACTGAAGAGACGATACCTCCCGGTTCTGAGGTTCTGACACTGACACTGACACTGACTGACAATGGCATAACGACGCGTGATATGAGTTGATCCGATTCTAAGCATATGTATCCTCTACTTTTTACGGAAAACCCCAATTCTTGTTAGTCCCACATGCCTGCGCTCGAACTTCCGAACGGTTCAGATCACGCGCTGCCGTTGGCCTTGGAGGCTTCCTCTGCCTCCTCGTCAGCCATGACCGCGTCTCTCGCATCCGTGTACACCGGCGAGATCCCGGTCCAGAGATTGAACTAATACATCATGGGTCAGCTTCAATCGGGTGACTCGGTGAGCGAGCGAGAAGTCAAGCATGTGTACTCACCTGGTGCCAACCCTGGGAAGTGAGTACTTCCAGCCCGGGAATCGTCTGCCAGCCTGCTTCCTCCGCCATCGCCATGACAGCCGTGCGCCGCGGCTTGTAGGCCAGCTCCAGCATTGTCCTCTTCGGCACATTTCTCCCAGTCGCCTCATGGTCAGGGAGGTTGAGCACCTTCGAGACAATGTCGTTCATCCCTGCATCCATCGGCAAGTCGGCGGGGATGGTGCTAACAACCACCCGCGGAAGTGGCCCGGCAAAGTCCTTCTCGTCCGCGCTCGAGAGATGCTGCACTTGGTAGTCACTTGGGAACATTCCGGCCAGTGTCGTGATGCTGGCGGCGTTGCGTGCTACGATGTAGATGGGCGAGTACCCCAGTGAGTGTAGAGCGTAGATGGACGCGCGCGTGGTCCCGCCACTTCCGATCACCACTGCAGGGCCACTTGCGGCAGCCGCGCGGACGCTGCCCACAACTCCTGCTTGGCGGAGTGCGAACACCATGCCCATCCAGTCGGTGTTGTCACCGAGCAGAATCTGCTGGCTACCATCTTCGGACGGGGTGGGAATGATGGTATTCACGGCACCAATAATCTTGGCTGCGTCCGACAACTTGTCGATGTAGTCGATGATGTCGACCTTGAGTGGCCTGGTCACCGAGGCCCCACCAAAGTTGGGGGACCTCACGAGCTCCTTGACATCCGCAACCTGATCTGTTTCGAACCGAGAATAGAAGTGAGGCAGACCATGGGCCTTGAAGAGCGTGTTGTGGAGAGCTGGGGACCTTGACTGGGCGATGGGCTTGCCGAAGAGGTAAAAAGAACGCTCATCCAGCTCCCCAATCAGCGTCAGAGCTTGGCGGATCTCAGCAGCAGACAGCTGGCCTGGCGCAGCCTTGAACGGAAGAGCAGGATGTGAGACGGGGGTCAGGAAGCCGTTCATGATCCGGCTCAGCTTGCCGACAGGTCCCATGTTGATGGCGATGATAGGCGTCTCATGAGCCGCAAGCATTCGTTTCTTGAAGTTCGCCAGGGCGAAATTATCGTCCTGAGCATGCGCCACACCGACCAACTTGATGATGTCGCCAAACTGGAGCGCCCTGTTGTAGTATTGTATCCACGCCCCATTCTTCCAAGACAAGGTGCCTTGAGGATCATGGTGAGAGGCAATAATGCGAGAAGAGCCCTTCCGGCTCAGCACGCCTTGGATAACATCTTCCGGCCATGTCAGCTCCACATCAATGAACTCACATGCCATACGTAGTGCGACATTGTATAGGGCTGCAGCGCCTTCGGAGTCGTCATCCGGGAATTTACCACCTTGACTCTGGGTGCGAACCGTGAAGACAATTGGTATCTTGGCAGCGGCTCGCAGGGAGGCCACTTGAATACCAACAAATTCAGGCGAGTAGTCCTCCAGCAGATCGACCCGCAGTTCAACAGCGTCTGAGCCTGCAACCACCCGAGGAATGAGCTCCAAGGAATCCGACACGTCAGGCACAGTAAGCGAGACGAAGGAGGAGTGCTTTTTGCTCTTCACATTTTCGAAGTGGTCGCTGTGGCCGCACATGACAGAGATGAAGCTCATAAAGTCCGCTGGAGCTTCCCGGACGGCCGAGGAGCCGGCTGGATGAGGACTGTGGTACTTGAAATTGCTACACTCCTCGAACCAGGGCTTGCGCCGCTCGTAAACCCCGCGAATCTGCTCGGTATAGGCCGGCCGCGACTTGTCAATGAGCAGGTAGTCGATCACTTGGTCGGTGTTGCGGTGCACCTGGAGAACGTATCCGCCATTGCTCTTGTAGGAGATCAGCATCTGGCGGGCGTCATCGCTCTCAACAATGCCGCCGCCACAAGAGAAAACGTGACCGTGGGCATGATTCGTCATTACGTCCTTGAGGAGATCCAGCTCTGCCTTTCGGAAGCCCTCCCAGCCCAGATCTCCACGAATCATTTCGGGGATAGTTTGGCCTATCCTCCGCTCCAGCTCCTCGTCGAGGTCGATGAACTTTCTTTTCAACGTCTTCGCCAACCAGCCCCCCGCAGTCGTCTTGCCGGCGCCTCTCATGCCGATCAAGAAGATCGAGCGGTCTGATCGGGGCTTAGGTGCTTTCTCATAGTGCGCGTGTTCCGACGTGGGCTCTTCGCCATTCAGAACGACCTTGAAAGACTCGGACAGAACATCCCACCAGCCAGGCCAAGTCTTTCCCGTGCACTCACGCTCCAGGATGAGTACGGGGCGAGGCGTGACCACGGAGAGCACACTGAAACTCATTGCGACGCGGTGGTCATCGTAACAGTAGATACCATCAACAGGCTCCGTCAGGCTTTGGTAGGGACGGCCAATGACCTCAATGCCGTCCTCGAGCTCGTTGCATTGTACACCGAACTTCGCAAGCTGGTCCTTCATTGCAGCGATGCGATTGCACTCCTTCACCCTCTGGTTGGCGATTCCAGTGATCCTGGTAGTGCCGTCGGCGACAGCAGCTAGAACAGAGGCAGTCAAGAATGCATCCGTCATGGGCTCCATGTCCACGTGTGGGATCGCCTTCAGTTGCCCAATTGGCGGGCCAGTCACCGTTGTCGTGTAGTCCGTCTGCTCCACGGTGGCTCCCATTGCCTCGAGCACCTCTACGGCGAATCGCGAGTCGCCTTGCAACGATTTCGATCCGATGTTTGGGACCATGCAAGTAGTGCCAGTGATGGCGGCGATGGCCAGGGGATAAGTAGCCGAGCTTGCATCGCTCTCGATCTCATACTCTGCAGGGTTTTGGTAGATGCCCTTTGGTATGTGGTAGGTGTTTTCTTCCGTGGCAGATCGTTCGACTTGTACACCAAAAGCAGCCATCATCGACATGGTCATGTCAATGTAGGGCTGCGAAATGGGCTTGCCTCCCACAAGCTTCAGAGTGACTGGGTTCTTGGCGTACGGTGCAGTCATGAGAAGTGATGAGACGTACTGAGAGGAGACGGTGGCTGCAAGCTCAATGACGCCGCCCTCGAAGCCGCCGGCAGCATCAACCTGGACAGGCAAGCTGCCCTCCCGATTGAGATACTTGACCTCGACGCCATTGGCACGCATAGAGTCAACCAATGGCCCGATGGGCCTTTGTTGCATCCGGGCGTTGCCGGTCAAGACCGTGGAAGAAACGGAAGATGGTGAGGCCAACGAAGCCACGCTCGTCAAGAAGCGCGATGCGGTTCCTGCGTTACCGAGATAGAGAGGCTCCTGGCTTGCCTCAAGCTTTCCGCCCTTGCCCTTGACAATGAGGATCTCGCCACCATCCTCCCAAGAGTAGGTGGCTCCGTTCAAAGCCGAGACTGCAGACAGCATGTACTCGACATCATCCGAGCGGAGGAGGTTCTTGATGCGCACTTCGCCCTCACCCAAAGCAGCCAACACCAGCGCCCGGTTCGAGATGCTCTTGGAACCGGGAGGGGTCACACTGATGTTCAGACCCTTCGGAACGCCAGGCGTGACACGGATGGCAGGTGTGAGGACGACACGGATGTTGCGGTCGTCAACCACACTTGCCTTGGGCTCGTAGCATTTGCCGATCTCGGACAGAAGCACGATCTTCTTGTTGGTTCCGTGATTCTTCTTGTCGACGGCCATCTTGTCCAGCAACACGTCCACGGGACACTTCTTTCCGGCCGATAGCCGAACAATCCGCTGGTCCTTGAGCGAGGTGGGCAGCTCGTAACTTGCAATGCACTTGACGAGACGAGCGACGGCGGCGGGGCGCAGGACGCCAAGGAAGCGGGCAAGCTCTGCCTCTTTGACCATGCCGATGGCCACGGCCTCACCGTGGAGGACCTGGGGTGTGAGTATGGCCTCGTAAGCGTGGCCAATGGAATGTCCAAAGTTGAGGATATTCCGCAGGCCTCCTTCCCTCTCGTCGGCAGAGACGACCTCGGCCTTGGTGCGAGCGGATCCAAGCACGATTCTCTTGAGGATATGGCGGATGGGAGCCAAGCGGTTGGTTGCCTTCGACTTGACGGCCTCAAGAATGGTGGGGGCATTCTGCTCGAGGGCTGTAAACTCGGCCTCGTCCCAGATGGCAGCCGTCTTCACAACCTCGGCCATGCCATTTATGAACTCCCGAACAGGCAGGGTCTCTAGGAAGGCCAGGTCAATGTAGATGCGGCTGGGCTGCCAGAAGGCGCCAATCAGGTTCTTGCCCAAGGGAGTGTCAATGGCAGTCTTGCCACCGATGGACGAGTCGACCATGGCGAGCAGAGTGGTGGGGACCTGGACAATCTTGACGCCGCGCATGAAGGTAGCGGCGACGTAACCGATCATGTCGCCAATGACGCCGCCGCCAAGAGCAATGACGACGATGTCCCTTGTGCACCTCTGGGACAGCATCCAGTCCTCAATCTCGGCCTTTGTCTCCCTGCCCTTGGAGCTCTCGCCCGGGGGTATCGCGTAGGTGAGAAGGCGCACATTGCCGGCATTCCTGGAGGCAACGGCGGCTTCGAAGGTCTTCTGGAAGGAAGGCACATAGAGAGGGAACAGGTTGGTGTCGGTGATGAGGACGTAGGTGGCGGAGGGGGTGTTCTCGAGGAGGTCGTGGGCGACGAAGTCGTTCAACAGGCCGTAGTCGATTATGATGTCCTCCTTGCCCAGGATTGGGATCCTCGTGGGGGTGGAGGAGGCGTCTCTTGCGGTGCCGTTCGCGGTGCCATTGACGGTGCCATTGACGGTGCCATTTGCGGTGCCATTCGGGGTGCCATTAACGGCGGCCATTGTGGCGTGGGGGTGGGATCAGCTGCCCGCAGCTTGCTCAGCTCGAGTTCCAGCCGGGCAGGAGAGGGCAAGACGAAGCGGATGAGAGCAGGGAGAGGGAGAGGGAGGGACGGTCAAGGTGAGGAGAGTGACTCCAATTGGGGGCCCGATCACTTCTCAACGGCGTCCAACGGGTGTGGAAGGAAGGGATGGGAGGGGATCTGAGGAAGAGGAGCACAACGGCTCAAGATCACATCAGACGAGTGGACTAACCGGTCTGCCAATGTACTGGGCGGGTACTGGGCAGTTGGGCAGTCTGATGGCTGGCTGGTATGTGCCCACGGTGGCTCAATTGTGTTTGCGGTGACTCCTCAGACACCTTTGCGATGACTCTTGCAGGGCTGTCGGTTGAGTAATACCCCCAGCAACAGCGCAGCTAAATCTCCACCGTGATCGGACGGCCGGCCGGGTTTCTGTGTGGGCAGGACTTTTTTTTTCTTCCTTCTAGCCTTGCATGATGCAGGGGTCGCTAGCGCTACTCCGTACCGGAGGGTAGTCCCCCACTTGCCAAATCTGTCTGTCGCCTGTCGACCGACCTATTAACCGTGCCCGCGGCCTGGGCAATTATATGTACCAAGTAGCCTTGCCTCGATGTCTGAGTATATATCATGTCACTTGTACGGATTCAATGTGTGAATTTGCACAGATGCCCCATCCGTCCTCACCACCACCCAAGTTTTATTTTCAATGCGTGCGTTCTCGGCAGCACAGTGTAACCTACCCTCCTTGAGCCTGCATGCGACACGCCACTCACCAGTCGGCAGCAGCAGCGAACTTGTCCCGGCCCGAGCTACCAATACCACTCTCCACCCACCCATATATCTGGCCATCCCTTGCACTGCTACAGTTCCCTCTTAGAACCGCTACTGCAGGCACAGACGGGCAGCATGCGGGACGAGTTGGGCGGGCTAGGTACTCAGCAATCCCATGCGCTCTGCAACAAAACCTTTGCCCGTCCGTACTTGAGATGCCCAGCAATCACTCGCGCTGTCGAGCAGGTCCGATATACGCCCCCCATAGACTTACTCTGTACATAGTACAACTCTCTCTTGCCCTGGCCTATGAATTGAGTGCGAACTTCGTTGTCCCACCTATTCTGCAGACCATGACTCAAATGCGACATCTGGATCGCAACCAGATCCCACGGCTCTGGTAACACTGCCTAATCGTCCATCCTCGTCATACAATTTACCACCGTCGCTGCCCCACCCAATATATTCTTGATTTGAACCGTGTCTTGAATCAGAGCCCTCATACAACTGTAGCATGGCATTAGCCGAGTTGGCAATCCTCCCGTTACCCTACAATTTAAGAGGGCCACGGTCGGGCAGTCGTCGAATCTGTAATCAAAAAGACCACAGCTGGGAAATGGCAGATTTATAAAGTTGACCCTTTACCAAGACGCACATCCTTATTAGGGGCATCTCAGATAAGGTGTCTATACTGCGGCATGATCTTTGCCTTTACTCAGATCTATCTGTTCCTGATCGCGCCTACACCGCGACGGACAGTATGACTGGGTGCGGGACCCGACCAACCATCTGGGTTTATGCATAATCTCATAGGCACAACAGAGTCACAGGCGGCTTGCTACATTACGGAGGAATAGACTTATTTCGCTTGTCCAGGTATCTCGATGAACCACTTGAAAGATGTAGATAATCAAACAGTGTGTAAAAATTTAGGAACAGATCCTCCCGAGGTCGTGCCCAGGTAGGCGAGCTCGAGACACCGGTCAAGGGTGGGAAATAGTTCCTTTCCCTGGAGCGATTCAGCTTTGTCGTACCGCAGATGTTACTCAATCCCCTGCCTCGTATTTCTTTGATTTGCTGACGCGTTTCGTTATACCAAACTCCCTCCCGTACGACCATGCCGCTTGATGTGCCTCTTCCCCCAACGAGAGCAATGTGACCATGATACTCCTCCAGCCCTCCCCACACAAAACAAGCAAACACTCTCAGCTCGCCTAGAACCCAAAGCTGTCCAACAATGAACCCGCATCTGGTTCCTCAAACATTGTTGGCGGCGGCTGCGGCCTCTTCTTCTCCCCCGTAGGTGATAGCAAGCCTCCCATGTTCATTTCCCCCGGTCCGTTGCCAGATATTGGCGACACCGGTAGGTCCTGCACGACCAGCGAGCTACGACGCTTGAGCATCTTCAGCGGGTTGACCTCTCCACCGAGCTCCGGCTTCAGGCTTGCCCCGGGCAGGAGGAACTCCCAGTTGCGGACCAGGTCTAGGCCGAGCAGGTCGCAGCCCATGCGGTCGTAAAGCCTGGCGTTGTGTAGCACAAACTGCCACTCTACCTTTGGCGTCACCTTGGACGCGCCACGCAGGGTCTGGAGCGTCTTCTGCCGCAGCTGGGCATACAGCACTATTAGGGCTGGGTCGTCTGTCAGGAAGAGCTTCGAGTTTAGATTCGGCGTGATAGGTGTCTCGACCAGTGTATACACAGGCGTCTGCACCGCTGGTTAGCAAAGTGATGCCATGTCTCGTCTAACGGAACGGAGGTGTACTCACAATGAGAGCGCGCACCGCCATGTCCCTGCGGTGGAGCATCCAAAACGCCCATGATGCCAGCCAGCGGTTGCCTTCTTGAGCGGCGATGTTCAGCACCTCCTCTTCCAGCAGCTTGCGCAGCACTGGACCTTGGTCACCCTCGTACACCCGAGTGATAGCGATGGCAAGCTGCAGATCCTTGAGCTGGTTCAGGCAGACGTTCACGGCGTCCTGCAGTCTGTCGGCGAGTAGGAAGAAGGCCGCACTATATTCTGTGGAGTATGTTAGCTGAACAGGAGCAGGGCCAGAAATGCGGGAGGATCACTCACCAAACCGCCGCTTGCTAAGTAGCGCATAGGCATTCTTTAGCGCTGAAGTCCTCCACTTTGGATCATCAAAGTTGTTCGCAAGCAGCCTTTGCGTGCCGGCTTGCTCTCGGTTCCAAGACGCCATGCGCCACAGACCCTGGAGTACCGTTTTCTTTCGCAATGCCAGGTAATAGAGGCTGCAGTCCACGGGGTTCTTCACCTCGTTCTTGGTGTACTCGTTGCGAGCAATCACCTCGAATTGTGCTTTCTGTTGCGGGACGTCAGCGAGTTGAAACTTGTGCTGCTGCGAAGGCCAACTTACCACTGCCGCATTGTCTGTGAGCCACATGAACATGCCACTCTCCCGAGCATGTTCCCAAAGAAGACCTCCTTGGTGTTGCCGCGCAACAAAGTCAGTCAGCATATCCTGGCTGGTAGAATGGTATGCCCAGTTGATTTCTCTCCACGACATAGTTACTTCGTTGGTCCGTCGTTTCCGGAGGCTATGTTGTCTGTAGTATATCATGAACCTCGCGCCATTCTCATCCATTGATCGACGGTGTTTCTCTACCATGCCAATACACTCAATCATGTCCACAAGCTGAATCTGCTCATGACTTGACATTTGAGGCAAGGCGATATTCATGAGCTTCTCATTGATGGTTTGAGCCACGTCCTCGCTGAATACTTCATCGTCATCGTCCGGTATTGTGCGGTCGCCAAAATAAGAGCGCGTCTCCTTCCCTGGCGTGAACGCTGCCCTTGATTTGTCGATATAGAACTCGTCTAAATCCAGCCCCAGGTAGTCATCGAACTCATCCCCTTCAACCCAAAACTTGAGTGTCTTGTAGAGTGCCATGAGGATCCGCTGTACAGCCACAACTTTTCCAGCGAGCATGCATTGACTGAGGAACTGTGGGTGGAACACCGGAAGGGGACCATTCAGTCGCTGAACAACGTCAAACAGATCCCATTTGCGATCTTTTGTATGCGGGAGGGCCACATCTTTGACAAGTGAATGGGAGGCATCGAATTTGCGGTCATTCACGAAGAGTTGGTTGCCGGCCCCAATGACGAGGTTCCCATCACCCAGCCAGGTTGAGTCGCCAATGGGGTGGGGTGTGAAATCTCGAATGTTGACTTCTCGCACCGGGGCCCACGCCGGACCCTTGTTCAGGTAGTCAAACCGCATCTGGGCAAGTAGTAGCACACGAGATGGAAATCCGACAGCAAGGATGGATTGGAGGTCCGGCGTCGATGTCCAATCCAAGTCCTGAATCGCGTTTTGTGCCTCGAACTGCTGATTGTATTCGAGCTGCGCACCGCGGATGTCCCAGATTGTGACAGAACTCCTACTGGAGTTGACCAATGCTGCCTTCTTCATGGTGCTGCCACTAGCGAGCGCGGGTTCTGAGATACCTGTTTCCATCGAAGCGGTCGACAGCCAGTCCACTTTGTCATCACCCACTCGAGCCGTCCAGAACTCGACGCGGCCAGTATGCGTGTAAGAAATTGCCACATCGCGTGCAAAAACGTCAAGAAATCCTTGTACCATGGGTGCAGAACCTGCTGGGTCCACGGGGAGAACATAGGACAGATTACCAGCGTCCTTGAGTTCGAACCTGTGGAATTCCTGAATTGATGGAGACTGGTGACCATTTGCACCGCCGTTAGTTTTGACTCCGTTTGTTGCGGACAAATCATAAGCGGGGAGTTTGATTTCCCACACTAAGCCCTTCTTTTCCGAAGTAATGGTGCCAATGTGCACCACAGTCGATTGCTCAGCAGTTCTTCTGGGGAGGACCAGCAGACACAGGGGCTTTCCGGATATTTTGTAGGCGATCTCAGCAAGCAGGGACGGAGCGAGTTGCCTACAATCCCAGACGGCCAATCTGTCGTGGTGTAGGAAGACAACGAAACGACCCTTTCGTATGACTGCTATACGGTGAATGTGGTCCTTTGAAGATATTGTGCTCTGCCGTGCGAGCTTTGTCTTTTCGGTGTAGAGGGGATGCTTCCACACGATGGCCTCTCCTCCACTAGTCCTTGAGACCACCGACCTGCCACTGTAGTTTCGGACTGTCTTCGCAATAGCAGCCGAATGGCCTGTCCATACGCATCTGGGCCTTATCCGGCCCTTGTCCACAATGGGGTCGAGGAGACGCGGGGAGTTGGCCTCGTAGATGGCAATCCTGCCATCGAAAAAATGGAACAGGAAATTCAAATGCCCGTCATGTTTGTTGCAGTACGCATGTATTTCGACGTGTGACGAGGCTGCTGGAGAGGCGTCTCTGAGGAAAGCGAACTCGCTCGAAGATATATCCACCACGAGTGGAACAATATTTGGCTCATCTGGCTTTGAAATCAAGCGCGACTTGGGCCATACGTTCTCCATCGCCCAGGCAGACATTTTCCCGTGCCCATCGAAAGTGATGCAAATCTCAGGGTTTCGGTTAGCAAGCTCCACAGCATTGACCAGCGGCCCATCTCCTTTGCCATACTCAGAAGGCCCCTCCTGCACCGCCGTCTCGGTCGCGGCTGAGAAATCCCTCCCGTGAACAATTACAGCCCATCGAAGACTTGGTCCAGCCGCGGAGGCAGCAAGATCAACCTTTCCCCAAAGCTGCAACTTCTGATGGCTGTGATTGTCCGAGCCAGTCCAAATGCGAAGCACATTGTCGACGCAAAAGGTATAGAGAACATTGTCCACGGTCTGGTCAATGTGATGGGGCTTGCGCCACTGTAGGCTCGTAACGGCGAGCGGATGGGACAGGTACATGAAGTCGAAACGAACTTCGTCCGACACGTAACTGAGCCGCCGCCATACTTTCACAAGCCGGTCGTGATATCCCATCGAGGCAGCATAAGCCGAGTCGTAAGACAGTTCTGCGTATTTGACAGGACTCGCTAGACTCTTGCGCCAGGTGCAGGCTAGTTCGGGGGTTGTCTGATGTAATGTCACAGCGGATCGAGACACGAGTATTTCCTCGGAGCCTCCCCATGACAGGGTCATTGCGTGTTGCGCGCCATCGTGTGTTTGCTCGTCGTCAACGTTCGGGGAGAATGATGTCTCCAGCCCCCATTTCAACACGCCGTCTTCGTGTGCGAACGGTCTGTATATCCGAACAGTACGGTCGGTGCACACGGCTATCTTTCCGGAAGACTCGTCTAATGCGACCGCCTCGAGGTGTGTTTCGTCGTCATCGTAGATGGTCTGCAGGAGGGTTTCGTGGTCGGACAGGATTGCAATAGCATTGCCGCTTATGTACGCCTGGAGGAATCTTTTAGCACATTAGGTAAGAATTGCGAGGGCGGAGACCGTCCACCCACGATGATGCGCCTCGATTTCCAGAAGCCAGTAGCTAGAGCTTGAAGCCTGGCTTCTGGCTTTCCTGGTAGGACCACCTTCATGCTACCAGGGCCGCGCGACGTGAGCAAACATAGCAGAGACAGACGGACAAGTATTGGAAAAGGAGAAACCGCGAGTCGGCAAAATCCGGGGCACTTCTCCTCTTCCTAGAAGGGACCTGCAACAAAAGAGTGAGGAGAAATGCAGACCGAAACCCGCGATAACGATGATGTTGTAGTCTAACGAGGATCTGACTTGGAGCTCAGAACAGCTCGCGTCATCCAACGGGTTGCACCTGACAGGACAGGGATAGGCTGGCACTGAAGTCACCTGTGCAGGGACCCACTAGGGGACTTACAGGGGTCGTTTATAGGCTCGGCCGCCCGAAAGACCCGTGGTACTGCATACCCGTCATCACGCCAGGCATTATCTATACGTGGAAGGGGTTATACCACAGCATGTCATTGCTGTACTGAAACACTGCAGCTATGGCTTCAAAATTTGTGAGGGGTGATGGGGGATTTCTCTTCTGAGAAAGACGCGATTTCGCGGTCGTCTTCAGAATTGCCAACGACCACCAAGAGCCAGTTTGTGGAAGCTCTCATTGACCGTCTTCAGATCTGCGTCGTCCTGGACCAGATGCTTGGCCTATTGACTTATCCGGCGAGGCTCGTAGACCATCTCCGAGTCGGCAATTCGACCTCTGATGAGATCTCTAGCGAGCTAGCCCCATCTTTCTGCAAGGCGTCGACGCCCCGGCGGCTCTTGGAAGACGAGGCTCCCCGTGGCGGGGTACCAATATCCTCTGGCGTTGGCATCACGACTTTGGGAAGACATTGATGTTGCCGTTGTCATCATACTTGGCCTCTGTTCCGGATGCTTAGCGCCAAACCTCCGCAAATGCTCGATGCGTACAACGTGGAGTCACTCACTGAAAAAGGTGTAGCTTAGCGTGACGGTCTCGATGCCCTTCATGTTCAGGTCCGTCAACATGTCCGGATCTAGGTAGAAGAAGACAGGCATGTCCACCGTCTCGCCCGCGTTAAGCCTCTGCTCCTCAAAGCAGAAGCATTGGATCTTGCTGAAGTACGGCGCCACCTGCGCTGGCGTCACGCTGTACGTTGCCACGCCTATTATATCCTTGTCGCTCGTGTTCGTTGCGGTGTAAAAGGCGAGGGCTGTCTCGCCTGGGAGGACTCGCACCTCGCGCTGCTGTGGTGTGAACTTCCAGGGCAGGACGTCGGACACGGACGCATTGAAGGTGACGCGGAGGCGCTTGGCACCCTCGACGGGTACAAGTCGTGATGCAAGGTCTTCCTCGGAGCCGGATCCGCCACCGTGGCCCGGTGCGCGGACGGGTTGTCCACCCCAACCGGTGGTTTGGCAGATCTTTTGAGATCAGCTTTGGCTTCAGCGGCGGCGGGAGACACGACTCACCATCTTGTACATGGGCACCGATCCGTAGGAAAGCGCCACTGTGCCCAGGATGATGCTCAGCGTGTAGAACCTGTGGGACACATCCTCGATGTTAGCACCAAGTCTCTGTCCTCGCGCCGGATCCAGCGATCGCGCACATTGTTGTCCGATTCCTCCGCCTGTACACCTCACGTGCCTGCTCCATGCTCGGCGAGATGTGAGGGGCCCTTGCCCTGGGCGCGGTGTTTTTGGCTTCGGTCGCATAGTTGCGCAGAAGCTGTCGGCAGCTCGAGATCGGCAGGTCAGATGCAGGTCGAGCTCGGGGACCGGCACAAGCTGGGCGCGACAGCGCCGCGGCCAAGCTTCGAAGCTTCCATGTTGCACCTCGGAAGCTGGACATTGTTGTCATAACATGGTTGGGTTGCGGTTTGCAAAGTGGTACGGTTCGCAGGCTGGACGAGATCCATTACAGCGTGATGCTGCCCCGAACCCTGGGCGCCGGGCGCGGGGACCCCTAGCACGTCTGAGCAAGGATGTGATCAATGGGTGGGTGTAAGTACTGCCCACTTACATTAATACATAATAACAGACACGACGAACAATGCCGTCTTTATACCCTTGGCTGCAACATTGTGCATCTGGTGCCTATCTATGGCCAAGAATACATGCCCAGCTGAATAATCCATGATCGTTCATCATTACTGTCCCTTGAACTTCCCCAAATGCCCGTTGATGTGACCTACAGCCTTCTTCTCAATAGAGTTCAACGTTGCCACAATCCGCTCCAATGGCAACACCACAAACACGTGTATCAACAAGATGACCAGCCTCACAAAATGATCCGTCAGCCCATGTACTGGCGCCCTGCCTCGGCTGTATGTTGAATCGACGAATTCAAAGGGTAGCCGGGCACCGAGGTGGTCCTTAGCTACCCGCAACCCACTGCTAAATCCATCCTCGTGGAATCCGTACTTGGTCCACGCTCCCGCGTAACTGATTCCCCGCCGGTTCTGGATTTTTGTAAGTAGGGCCTGCGCACGTACCGACTCTCCGTTGTAGAGAGGGTGCGTGTACTCATAGCGGCCTTGAACGGTCTTCGGATCTGGCTCATGTAGAGGATTAAGGGTAACAAGGACGTCGCCGAAAGTCGAGGGAGGAATATGCTGCAGGATATTCATATTATAGGTGAGTGAGACCTGGTCGATGTTGGATTTTCCTGACCAGGGAGATGACAGGGTCATGTAGTTCCAGCTTGACCAGGCCTTGCGAGAGGCAGGCATGTGCGTGAGATCAGAATGGAGGACGGCCGTATTTTTGGACGTCTTAAACTTGCTCATGATGGATCTCTCTTCGGCGGTTGCGGTGTCCTTGATGATCTCATAAGCCTGGTCGCCGTGTGTTGCAAGGATAACATGGTCGTAAACTTCACTTTTCCCGTCATGCAAGTGAATCCTCACTCGGCCATCTCCCTCGTTCGTAACTGACTTCACGGGTGTGTTCAGGAATAAATGGTTGGGTGGGAAACCCTTCATCACAGCATCGATATAGCTCTGGGAGCCCTCTTTGATAGTGAGCCACGCAGGTCGAGTAGCTATCGTAGACAGCAGGTGATGGTTCCAGAGGAAGCGCACTAGAGTGACGGCAGGAAACTCCAGTGTGCATTTATCGGGGCTCGTGCTCCATACCGCAGCGGTCATGGGGATGAGGTAGTCGTCACGGAAAGCATCCGAATAGCCCTCCCTTGAGAGGTATTCCCCAATAGTCTCCTCGACCTTGGCCAATTTTGGTGTGTGCCTGCCATTGCCGTAACCGTTACCGGTACCGTTGACGTGGTATGCTGTAGTGCGTTGCTCGTCATCCTCCGCTAGCAGATCCAGAGCAAACTGATTGAAGCGGACAATGTCGAATATCATGCGCCACATCCTGGGAGAGAAGATGTGCCTCCTCTGGGTAAAGACAGAGTCCAGACTGGTTCCAGCCCATTCAAAGAGACCATGATCGCGGGAGACACCAAAAGTCATTTCCGTCGGCTCAGTCTGCACGTCAACCTTGCTAAGGAAATTAATGAAGTTTGCTGTTCCGAACGCTATCAGTCTCGACTGCGCAGCTCGGAGGGAAGTGACGGACGCAAGGACTAAGAACTCACGATATGTCGCCGTATTCATCACAATGAAACCAGTATCAACCGCCGTCCTATATTTCCCCCGAGTCCACGGCACGGTGTTCGTGTGGCCGCCGAGGCGCTCGGCGGCCTCATACACGTAGACATCGTGGGGCGTGCGGTTGAGGGCCCAAAGAGCTGCTATGCCGGCACAGCCGCTGCCCACAATGGCCACCTTCTTCCTAGAGACTGAGTTAGGCCGGCTCATGGGAGATGACTGCGACGAATGTGAATGGTGCTATGTCCGGATTTGAAGTTCGGTCTCAGCCCCCGCAGACCTAGAGCCTACCCGACGGCTACAGTTCAGGTGCTGGACGGGGGATTCGTCACGAGACTCTGCAGATTGGGTGGCATTCCAGTGCAACCAGCCGAACACAAGGGAAGTTGTGGTGGTTGCGGCGGAAAGAGCTGACCGGGATTCCCAGCTTAGCAACGACATACGCATGAAGAGACAAGAGTCAAGTCATGACGCACACGGGACTGCTCTGCAAGTAGGAGTGCGGACGCCGTTTTATCGAGGCGAGAACAGCTCAGGGAACAGCGTCCTGGCGTGTTGCAAGTTGCCGCCATGACGCTACTTTCTTAGTCAAGCTCCTCGAGCTGGGCCGATGAGAGCTGAACGTGCGGGAAACAGTTGGGGAGGGGCATGTGAGACGGCTGGCAACTTACTCTGCAGCCATGTTTGCACCTAGTGGCGTATGGAGTTGGCTCGGCACTTGGACCTGTATGTATGCATGTATGTATGCAGAACAAGGCCAATGGAGAGTCGAGACGAATCCTACTGGTCACAGAAGCAAATGTGCACTTGCTTCAAGAGCAGATGACCGGAGACGCATGTGGCATGTGAGAGGCGAAGAAGAAACGGTATTTAAGAGTCCGAGGAATCCACCAAGTCTATGAGGTAGTCTACCAAGGGAGATGGATGAAACGGGAGCCAGAATGTGGCTGGTCAACACGGTCTCTCGGAGCCGGGCGAACCGGGGTCGTAGCGGACAAGGGCGAGCGACAGAAGCGACCGCGACGCCTCCCACGCTGGACTGAGCTGAGCAACGCACGTGGCTGCGCCAGCACCCGCCGCCTGTCCAAGTACGGAGTAGACAGGCCTGTTGACAATCACTGTCTAAGGTACTGACTGCAGAACCTGCCTAGTCCTAGAGCACATAATCTGGTCTGGCAGCCGCAGAGCTTGATGCCAAAGACATGTCGAGACCCAACGGGAATGAATACTCAAGGAAGAGTGAGCATATTCAATTCTTAGGAGCGCCGAATTTTAATATGCCCGGATTATTTCAACTCGACATTCATCACTGTGTCCCGAAGAACGCGAACGTCGAGCCTTATTTCTGCACCGGGGGAATCAACTTTGAAGAGAAAAGAAGAGAAGAGAAACGGAAATGGAAGACTCGACCAGGCCTGATATAGCATTTTTTCCTTGGACAGTAGTTTCCCATCTCATTGGCTGAGACTCGACCAGCCTGCCCCACTTGGCGAGATGCATCCAACCGTCACGTACCCAGGTACCCCGGTACCCAGACCCTTACCCTCGAGGGTCACTCACCAATGAACCACCCCTGAGCGTACCTTCCGGGCACGGGCGGTGCACTGCTGACGCACTTCCCAGACCGGGACCCCAACCGACAACGAGGCGATAGTCTAAGGCGCAACACCCGTTTTCGACAACCATCTAACCAAGGCAGAGAGTCGCCTGCCCACTGCATCATCAACCCTCATAATCAAGAACCCGATAATTCGCTCGCCACCCTCAGTCTTTAACGATACGATACCCTGCGCATCGCTTCCCCCCACACTGCCTCACGGCCAAGAGATAGGCTCGCCGCGCCCTTCCGCTTCCGCTTCCGCACTCGCCGCCGTTTCTGCTCCATCAATCATGTCGAATCCTCTCGACACCGACGCCGGGTCAGAGCTCTTCGAGAGCTACTCTGCCGAGTTCAGGCTCGTGCAGGCCGACCTGCAACAGAAGCTGGACCAGATACCAGAGCTGAGCGGTGAGCCGCGCAAGGCCGCCATCAGCCAGGCCGAGCGGGCACTCGAGGAGGCAGAAGAACTGGTCAGTGGCCGTCCCCATCGAGCCCGAGTCCCTGGGTTTTCGCCATGAACAGACACACAGACAAGCAGATACGCAAGTAGGATGACAAGCTGACATATCGTCTCTTAAAAATCGCAGCTCGGACAGATGCAGCTCGAAAAGCAAAACATACCCACCTCGGCCCGCACAAAGGCGAACCAGCGCTTCCGCGACATGCAGACGACCATCGACCAGTCCCAACGGAAGCTGCGGACCCTTGCCGAGGACCGGTCCGCCCTGTTCGGGAGCCGCGAGCGCTACTCGGACGACCCCAACGACGTGCAGCTCGAGCAGCGCCAGCAGCTGCTGCGTGGCTCCGACAGGCTCGACCGTAGCACCCAGCGCCTCAAGGCCTCCCAGAGGCTGGCCAACGAGACCGAGGCCATCGGCGCCTCCACCCTCGCCGACCTACACCGCCAGCGCGAGACCATCCAGCATACTAACGACACCCTGCTGGACTCGGAGGGCTACGTCGACCGGAGCGTCAAGACGCTGAGGGGGATGGCGCGTAGGTACTGTGGCACTCCTACACACCCCTTTCTGGATCGGGGTTCCTCAGCATGCTAACGATGGATCTGCAGGATGGCTACAAATCGGGTGATCACAATCGCCATCATCACGATTCTGGTTCTTTTGATTGTCGCGGTGATTTTCAGCAAGTTTCGTTAAGCGAGCGAGCGGGTTTACAAGCTGCCTGGCTGGGCATAAATGGCTAGGTCGAGGCGTTCCATAAAGGCGTTGCGTGGTACAGTGAGGTTGTATTGATGATTTTCAATGTAAATGCAAACAATAGCTGTGAGGATGCAGCCGGACTGTAGCAGTATCGGAATGAACAAGGATATGACTTTTGATTCAGATATCTCACAGAACGCCGGTACTTGTAAAGCAGCTTGCCATGGCGACATCAGGCAGTCCTAGATCATAAAGAGTAGGAAGGTCGCCTTTGTGCTTTATGTGGCGGGCCTGATACCCCAAGGAAGGGGATATGGTCGTTCACCTGCGCCCCCCCCTGGGCTTCATCACCCTGCCGTTTGAGGGCGGGCCACGCCGCTTGTCTTCGCCTAGTCCTCTTCGCCCTGCCGCGATGCCCTTGCCAGACCTGTTCCCACGGGCATGAGCACCTCCACGTTGCGGCTTGCCGTTGCCCTTGCTTATCTTTGACTTGATAGCAACCGCATCATTCTCATCGACATCCATGCCATCCTCATCGTCATTATCATCCTGGCCCTTCTTGTTCGACCACTTGAGCTTGCCCCGCAGGCCTTTCTTCGGGGCGTCCTTGCCCTTGAGCGCGGAGACGTAAGCGTTGATGCCGCTCTCCCCGGCCGGGCCGGCATCGATATCCATCTCGTCATCACCCGCATTCTCCTCGCCGAGGATGAGCTTGCCGTCGAGGTCAACCTTTGCCCTCGACTTGTTCGGACCGCGCATCTTGACTGGTTTCGTCGACGAGATGCTGGCCAATGCCCCGCGGTCGAGCAGATCAAGCGGCTCGTCCTCGTCCTCAACGATGTAGGCCTTGCCCTTCTGCTGCTTGCCCTCCTTCCCCCTAGTTGCCGGCTCGTCATCAGAGTCGTCTGACTCGGCCTCATCCTCACTACTGCTGTAAAGAGCCTTATCAAACTCGCTGTCGAAGGTCCTCCTGCCTCGCTTTGGCCCGTCAGCCTCCTCGCCATCTTCCTTGGCGGCATCCTTCTGCCTCTTGCTCCGTTCCTTCGTCTTGCGAATGTTGTTGACGAGCTTTCGGTCTTCTTCTGGGCAGTTCTTGTTCACACCCTCAAATCCAAATCTGCGGATCATCCTCTCAAGAATGTGCTTGACCTTTGCACGGAAGTGACCCTTGTGTTCGTGACTCCAGACCATGAGGTTAGGAATAAGTGTGCCCAGTCTTGGCTCCACTAGTTCCTTGGGAAGGCTGATGACACATACTTTCACGAACCCAAGGACACTCTTGACTATCTCACGGTTGTTCGACGTCAAGAACAAGTCCATAGTTTGTACAATCTCGGCGAGGGTCTCGGGGCTCAAAGACTCCTTGAAGTCGTAGAGAATGCGACTGATTGCGGTGATGGAGGCGGATATCATGTGCGGCGTGCTACCAGCAAGGCCGGCGCTCACCATGGTGAAAAACTCCTCGATGTTCGCGGTTGCCGATGGGGCGTCATTGGGCATGTGAGGAACCTTGCTGTTGTCGATAGTTGCACCGGTGGCTGACTCCATCTTCTTCCCCAAAAGGATTAAAAGCTCAAAGGCTGTTGATCGCGCCCGTTCGTTTTGCTCTTTGCATCCAATCACGACCTCAGAAAGAACCGCCGGGATGAAGTGCAGCGAGTCGTTTGGAATAAACGGGACCATAGCAGACATCGCTGCCAACCGTTCTCGGCGGGCCGGAGCAGAGCACTTCTCCCCACTGGACAGTATCAAGGCCTGCAGCTCGGCTTGTCGCTCCTGCAAAGCAGTCCTCCCAATATCGGACTCCGCCAGGCGAGGAATAAGCTTGTAGGCTTTCTTCTGTAGCTGTGGGTCGTTGTCTTTCATAATGACGACTGAGGATATCTCGAACAGCGCTGCAAAACTTTCCCTGGGTAGATAAATAGACATTGTGATGACGAGGTCCATGAGAGTGTGGGTGGTGGCGGGCATCTTGTCGTTCCCTCCTTTCTTTCCCTCTTTTTCCGTCTTGGAAGCTGCCTCTTGCAATGAGGACGCCAGCATTTTGCAGACTCGGTCAAATGTCTCCATGAGCTCGGCCGCTGGCGTTATACTCAAGTAAGCATTGATGGTCTGGAGGATCGAACCGCGTGAGTGCGGCAATGTTTGTCCGTAGACGTTGAACAAGACCGCCAGGAAGTTGCCAGCCAAAGTGCCCATGTACTCGAGGTTCTTTCGCGCCTGCTGTTTGGTCACACGACTTTGGAGGATAAGATCATCTTCTTCCTCAACCGACGCAATCGCTTGGTTCGACTCAACAAGTGCCCTGAGGCCCTTGCAGATATCGAGGCGGAGCTCCACCTTTTGATAAAGAAGGTTAGCTAGTAATTCGGCAAAAGACTGGTCGAAGGCATCGCAGAGATCGAGAGGCAGGTCACAATAACCCGGCAGGATAGACCAGATCTGATGGACCACGGTTTCGAAGATCTTGATCTCCATGGTCTTCTCCGAACCCCCATGATCCAACACCCTCTGGAACATCAGCTCACTCAGGGGTACAAGTTCGGAACGGAAGTGCGCAAGTTTCGTGTTTGCCGTGTAGTCTCTGAGCAGGGGCAGCAACCAAGCCCTGCCAGCCTGCCCCTTTGTCGGTTTGGCCAAGTTCAGTGGGAGGATTTCGAGAACCGCATCGGGTCCCATTGCCCTGATAGCCTTGCCGAGCACCTCATCGGCTTCCTGCTTGTTGGCGAAAGAGTCGCTTCCTCTCATGTCCCCCACAATCTTCGTCACGTTGAGGAGGTAAGGGTGGGCCCTCCATCGAAGGCAGTCGAACATTGCTCCTACGACCTTGAAGGTCTCTGCCCATGCTGCTTGGTATTTGACGCGGAAAAGGCCTTCTACCACTTTGACGACCTTTTCCAGCGTCTTCTCGTCGTAGACAGAGGGATCTAATATGACCTGATTCGGTATGCAGGTTGCAAGGAACGACACCAGGCACTCGGATGCCGAAATCCGAATATTTTCTGACGATGACTCAAGGAATGAGGAGATTAATGAAAACAGCTCTGGGAGTTTCATGAAAGTGTCTTCCGGCTCGATTTGGGCGGAGACCTCGTAGCCTCGCGACAGTATGGCTATCCACGATGGGAGGAGTTGTGTGTCGTCCGACGCGGGGCGCAGCTCGGAGATAATCTCGAGCAATCGGGGTAGTTTTGCCGAAGCCACTTCGTCCGCGGCCATTCCTTCGAATATCATGTCGAATATCTCAAAAATAGCCATGGTCATGTGCTCGTTTCCAGTCCGGGCAATGCCGATGAGGAGCTCGCACAAGGCCTCTATCTTCTTGCTCGGCCAACCTCCACTTCCGCTCGCAATGGTCTTAATCAGCTGAAGAGCATGGATTGTGACTGGATCCTGGCTCTTATCGCCGGCCTTCTTGTTCTTGCGCGAGCGGGTCGCGCTTTCTGCCAGCTCGGTCAGGCTCATCATGGCTGCCTCAGCGCACATGTCGGCTGCGGGGTGGTCAAGAGACGGTGTAGGCGGAGGGTTCTTGAGAACATTTCTGAGGGCTTCTTGCGCTCGCTTTCGGACCTTGGGACGTGGGTCAAGTGAGAGGTTCAGAAGACCCGAGACGGCACTTCGAGGGCCCATTTCTGAGACGGTGAGCTCCCATGATGCCGAGTCCTGCGCCAACAGGAGGGACTCTAAGCATCCAATCGATGGCCTGAGAAGAGGTGCATCTGCTTCAGGTTGTGATACGACAGGGGCGAGGAGTTGCAGGATCTGGGTGAACCTGGCGCGGAGGAGAGGTTGTGGGGCGAAGGGCGTGACGACGTCGAGGAGGTATACAATTGCTGTCGCGAGGTCTTTCTTCTGGCCGCCTGGAGGGGTTTGACCAAGAAGTGCAAGAAGAGCCGCAAAATACGCTGTTGGCGTGGGCTCGGAGTTTTGCTCTTTCAGAGTCGACTCGACTGCTCGCAAGATAACGGATGTCTGAAGAAGTACAAGTTAGTTTTCCACGTAGTTATGCGCGAGGAGGACTGGGCCCAATTGTAGGTGAACTGACCTGCTGCTGGCTTTGCAGATTCGGAGACCGAATCTTGTCAAGCTTCTCGGCCAGACCTGGGGCAGACATCGTGATTCTTAGCCAGGAAACTGAGGACGGTCTGATGTTGCGAACCCTCACTGTTGCGCCGCGGGACTCAAAAGCCCCAGAAAGTTTTTGGCGGTGGGGCCTTATCCACGATAAGCTTGACAGGGTTCTGCCAGGTCCGCCCGGAAAAGGTAGGCGGAGACGGCTGGGCGGTAACCAAGCAAGCGTCGGTGCTCCGTACCCAGGTACCTAGGTAGGCTAACAAGGCTGTCGCCGACGGAACTTCAACTATAATTTACACCTGCTTTTGCACCCTAACATTTGGGAGATATACTACTTGGACGCTGCCAGATTCAACAGCAGGCCATCCCAATACCGGAGAGCTGATAGAAACTTCCTTGCAAGGCCATTTATTAGATACCTAAGCACCTGGGTAGCCAGGTAGCGTGGAACAATACCAGTGTAAGTGGCACGGTCTCTCTCATCGCACCAGGCAGCAGGAGCTGCTGCCTACACAGGACAGATGACTCCTTTTACACACTTCTTAGGCGCGCAGTGGACAGTTAGGTGGTGAGAAACCGTCCGCAGTCAGCCATGAGCGGCAGAATCCCAGGCCCCTGAATATAAATATCGGGCTCCCTCGCCCTTTTCCTCCCTCCCCCTTCTCCTCTTTCCTCCCCAGCTCTCTTTGCCATTATGGCTTAGATCAAGTGTAGTATCTGTTCTTCTCAGTTTAATCCCTGAGATTGCTCCAATGGGGCATGATCACGATTATACTCATTTTTGGCAAACCTGGTGGTCGGTCCTCTGAGCTTGCTCATGGCCGACCTCCACTGTGTCCTCGGTATCACACTGTCTCCGAGTGACGCGAACCACCCCTTTTCACTGCTAGCGTGGGCTTGCCCGCGCTGTGGAGAAGAAGGAAGCTCCATCTGCTATGACTGTGCTGTTACAGCCGCTGGTTCCTGGAGTCGGTACTGGGGCATTTGCTCTGCATGCATCGTTGATCATTGGTGCTGAACGAAATGCAGCACATACAAATGAGATCAAGGCGTTGGGTTAGTCAGGCTTCAGCCGTCCACCCTAGAGCTGCTGTAGGATTCGGCTGTCTATCTGCAAGTCTGGAAGCATAGAATGCTAGCTCCAAAATTCCACACCATTTCGAAAGGGTGACCTGAAGATTGCGGCCCAAGGCACATGCCCGTATGATGTTGCCAGAGTAGAGCTTATGGTATCTCCCACACAATCTGTCTCGATGAATATCCATGTGAAGCCACATCGGTCAATCCTCAGGTCATGGCGAAGTCGCTGGCCACGGCCATACTCACATGATCTGTCTGCATGAAGCTAATACCAGGTCACTGTAGCTGCCCGGACGGCTCCAAATAGATTGTATATTGGCGTGGAGTGTATACCTCGCATGGAGTCCACAGGGACTGTTTATGCCCAGTGATATGAACACGGGTGGCAACCTGCCTAACAACTGAGTGAACGTCTGTAATGCTGCAATCCTAACGCCTCGACAGCAAAAGAAAGGGAATCAAGTAAAGGAAAGGTCAAAATCCCCCCACAAGCCCTGTCTGGCCAAAATCTAAGAGAACTCGTCCTCTTCGCCTTCGGCGCCTTGCTGGATATTGCCCTTCACTCTGAGCAGTAAGGTAGTCTTCCACTTATCGAGCTTACTCATCTGGTCGTAGGCGTAGAGCTTGTCGGCGAAGCCCTCCGAGTCGCCGTTCTCGATGGTGCCGATTACGTCCACCAGCAGCTGGTGCTCGCGCTGCGTGCCGAAGGCGGGGTCCATGTCGCGGTACTTCTCGAGCGCCCGGTTGGTGCCGATCAGGTCGCCGGTGGCGAGGTGGCAGATGCCCGCCTTGAGGAAATACTCCTTGACGCTGTAGCGCATCAGGTTATTGTTGATGGACTGCGCCGCCACCTTCTCGTAGTTCTCGATCGCCTTGTGGTAGTCGCCGTCGAGGGCGGCAAGGTCGGCAACCTTCAGGTAAAGCTTGTTCGCGAGGCTGCAGTCAAGTCTCAGTCAGTGTGTCCCTCGGACGCCCCTGTTAGAAAAAGCGTTCCACGTACGCAGCAGCTCCATCGCTCTCATACCACCCAGCAGCGGCCTCGTACGCCTCGAGGGCCCGCTTCATGTCGCCCAGTTGGTTCTCGAACAGGTCGCCCAGGTTCTCCTTGTGTGACGCCGCCCTCCGGAAGTTGCCTTTGGTACAGTACTGGTTGATAGAGAAGTCTAGACACCGAGCCGCATCCTCGGGGTTGTCCTGTCGGTAGACCTTGAACGCATCGACGTATGTGTTGGCGGCGTCGTCTGGATCCTTCAGGTTGTTGAGCTGGACTTGCGCAGCCTTCTCAAATGCTTGCCCTGCTTCTCGGTCTGGACGACAGTTAGCTCCCGCCCGCCCGCCGTGAACCTCAGACTGGTAGGGGCGCCCAGGCGGAAGAACTCACTGTTTTTCTGCATCCGGTATGCGTTTGCAGCCTGGTTGTACAGGTCGGCGGCATCCTGATACTTGCCCTCCTTGTTGCCAAAGAAGCCGAAGCCTCCAGATGCGCTGGAGAGTAGCTTGTCTGCCTTTACGGAGGGTGGTTAGCTTCGGAGGCGCCTCCCCGATTTGTTGCGACAAAGGCCAGCTCACCTTTTGCAGCAATGCCCGAGGATCCTGCGCCATTGTCGCAGAGTGTGTTCAGAGGTCTGCCGTCGGGATGAGGGGTTGTATGGGACTGGCGGGGAATCAGAAGACGCTGTGGGCTCGGTATCAGAAAGGTGGATGAGCTCGGTAGTCGTATGGGAGCGGCTGTCTTGGATAGGATGCAGGAATGTGGTCTAAGAAAAGTATACAGGGTGACGGTCTATCTATCTTGGGGACAGAGTGGGTTGGTCGTTGGCTGGCCGTGAAGCTCAGGTATGACGCCGCACCACGGCCGCAGCGCATCAGATGGGTGGGGTGCTCCGCCTCCTGAAGTAGCTGTACCTCTTCTCTTGGCTGCGCTGCACCCCCGTTCCATGGCACAGGTACGTCCCTGGTTCCGGCGCGCGGCACTGAGGACATCTGGACCCCAGTGAAAGCACTTGGCCAATCGCACCCCATCACTCGTCTCTCACCTCTCACCTCGACCCGTCGAGCTTGACCGTAGCATGCTGTAAACCACCACACGTCCGATATCTTCACCACCACGAGGCTCCAGCCCGTGTGCATACAAAGCGTCTCCAACAAAGAGTCACTATTAATACCATTAAGACTCATTCTGATAGCCAATTTCTCAGTTTACTGGAGGAAGACTTCCCAGCCACTCCCGAGAGTGAGAATCCTCAGCAATGGGTCCAGGTCGCCTTCTCTTGAGGAGGCCGTTCATGGCCTCGGGCCTCCAGATTCAGGCCTGGGCGGCCACTCCAGCAACACCGACACCATGGATCTGCCGACGATGCATGTCACAACAACAAGGACCAGCAGCGGCTGGCCCCGAATCATCACAGCCCTCCTTGGGCCAGTGGGACAACAGCCCCCAAGAGCCTCATGCCTCAATATCGCCCTCAACCTCAACCTCACCCTCACACCAGCACTACCCCCAAGAATCCCCAGACCTCACCGCCATATTCGCTAACCCAACCTGGTCCGTCCGCTCCCTCCTCCCCGCCTCCCCAACCTCGGGGGAGGAGACCACATCGGGTGAGGAGATCACAACAGCAACACTGGACCACCTCCTGCGCCTGTCCGCCCTGCCGCCCCCGGACAACCCCGCCGACAAGGAGCGCATGCTCACGACCCTCCGGTCCCAGCTGCACTTTGTGTGCGACATCCAGTCCGTCGACACCAGCGGCTGCGAGCCACTGCGGAGCATCCGCGACGAGACCTCCGCCGGCGTCGCCGAGTCCACCGTCACCCTGGAAACCCTGCGGGAGGCCCTGTCCCGGGAGACTACCGTCGGGTATAGGCGGAGGCCGCGGAGGGTCAGAGACGCCCAGGAGAGGGTGCAGTCCGAGGAGGAGAGGCTGGTTGAAGCTGCCACCGTGGAGAGGAGACATAGGAGCTACTTCGTTGTTGCTAGTGGCAAAGGGGCTGAGAAGGAGGCCTGAAGCTGCACTGGGATTGGCATGGACGCAATTCCCGCGCCCGTGCGTTCTGAAAAGATGTCTGACCAACGAACCTGCCCGGCACTCGACGAGCTTCCATTCTCGAGGCAGTCATTCACATAGTCACCGAAGGGAAGTAGCCAGGCTTGCGAGCGTCTTTTGCTGATACCAACTCCCGGGAGCTGCTTTCTACGGGCTCTGAAGCTGCCATCACGGTACGACTTGATTGAGTTGCTTAGTCTATGTGGCCACTCATGACTCCGAAGGATGCCAAACTCCCAAACTGAGCCTCCCGATTTTAAAACTCCTTTGAAGCCGAAACTTTTCAACACTGTGGAACCGACCTCATCGATGCTAAGCCTTGCCCTGATGCTACAATCGTTTTGATCCTCTTCTGGAACCTGCCTCACGCCTGTACCTCGACTCCCTGTCAATGCCGAATATGCCATGCCGTTTGATGCCGGAGTGATAGGGTGAGTAGAGGTGCAAGACCAGTGAACCCAACCCTGGTGCACCGTCCCTAGCCTTCTTTAGTTAATGTACAGACCTAGGATTAAGTGTCATGCGTGATGAAGTCGCTCCCCCGTGGCAGTCGTCGAGTCGCGATGCCTATCATCCGGTAGTGGTGGCACCCTGGAGCATTGCCCATTTCCGGGTCGTGACAGAGTGCCATATGCGCCGCGACCAGGCTGAGCACGCAACTCGCAGTGCCCTTGCTCATGACCATAGCCACGTCCATGGCCACGAACCTTGTCCTCGAAATTTGGCCTCCGACCATCGAGGCCAGGATATTTGCGATGCCGGTCCTACTTAAGGCTCGTCTTTCCTGGCTGACCAGCGAAGCGTCTATCGCTGTTGCTGCGACCATTCTTTCCACCACGTCCCTGTGGTTGGGCGTTCTCCTTGTTCTCGGGAAATCCGGGTGTGTGTCCACGCCCGCGTCCACGTCCCTGACCCGGAGTGTGCTGGGCCTGGCCGGACCGGTTACCCGGAGGAACAGGGACTTTCGGCGCGGGGGACGGGGACTGTGCGACCGGCTTTTGGGGAGGAGGAGCTGTGATTTCGAGCTCATCCCAGCCTATTCGCTGGAGTATCCCGCCGACGAGGGATGGGTACTGCACATGGGCATCCAGGATATCGGACACATCGTGATTCTCAACGCCTCCCACGCCCTCGATGCACGCCAGGCCGGCCACGCCAAAGTAACTGGGTCCACTCCTCGAGGCGAATGCAAGCATGTAATCATTCTTGGCGAAGACATTGACAAAACGGCCCGTCACGACGCTCTTCAGGGCGGTCCAGGTGCCAGTATCGCCGGGAACCGGGGCACCCATCAGGACAACCGAGTCAACCAGGCCGTACAGCTTTCTCTCGGCCAAGTATGTAAGAGTCAGGTATATCGCGCGAGCACCAACACCATATCCGATGAGGCTGAGCCCTCGCTCACCATGGAGATGCCCTGTAATCAAGTCGGACAAACAAGAGGAGAGCTTGGTGCTGCGTGTCATGCCCATGATCCAGGCATTATCAACGACTTTGCTCGATCTCAGGAGGGAACTCGGCCAGTCGTAAAGGAGCATTTTGGTCAGGACTGGATTGGTTAGCCTACGTATGAGGGCCCGTGGGAAGGGTCTTGAGCTTACTGGGTGTACGACTGAGCTCCTTTCGACACTCAGCCCATGCCTTACTCTTGAGCAAAGTTTCAAAAGCGCTGCCAATCTTCTCGAGAGTTTCGGTTTCCCAGCGAACAGCATAAACCTCGTTCTGAGATCCAAGGCACTTCCAAGGACTGCAAACGTCGTCTTGGGTTGTGAGCAGGCCGTTGACGCACAGGACAAGGCGCATTCGCCTGTCCTCGGGCGCAAGGTCCTTCTGGCATTGAAAGCCAGGCTCCTTGGGGCCCTGTAGCGGGATGAAACCAATGTCTTGGAGTATGAGTGCGAAGCTGTCTATGGACTTGGCGGACGGTCGGCTGGGGTTAACTCCGAAAAACGTGGCAAGCGCGCTCTCATTGTCACTCAAAGAACCGAGCAGATTAGCCACCGTGACAGGCGGGAGGCTGACTGCTGGGAGGCCCTGTCCAGCGGGTATCATGCCGAGTCCAGCAGCCAGAAGGGCGGTACCCGCCTGGGCTGGATTCGTGACGGGGCGATACTTCTTGGAAGGCTTACTCTCCTTGACCGGCTTGGTTCCTTGCACCTGCTTGGCCTCCTGGACCGCCTTGGTGTCCTCGGCATCCGTGGTGTCGTTGTTCTCGACAGGCTCCGGCTTCTTGCACTCATTCACCGTCTTGAGCTCCTCGATTCTCTTCTGTTCCTCGGCCTCGCACTTCTCAGACTCGTCGCACAGGGCCTTGTATATGTTGCCAAGACATCGGGCGACACGATTCTCGTCCTCAACCAAGGCATACATGGGAATATGCAGCGAGGACGCGAGATACATCATGAATATGCGGGCGTATGCGATGTAATGCTCTGTGGACAACAGCATGAGCATGATGGAGTGGAGTAGCAGGCGCCTCTTGTCAACTGGAAGAGTGCTCAGGGACGTCTGGGCTGGCTGGAAACGTCGTAACAGATTTAGGTCGGCCTGATAGGCAATGCCTTTGATTGCTACGACGGGTCAGTGAACTGCCTTTCGCTGCAGCAGGTTGAATTTTGAGGCAGTGTCTGCCTTTTGCTTTGGGGGCCCAATGGACAGGACCAAACGAGCAAGGGGCTGACTATGCCTTGGGCATCTTCAGATAGACGGTATCGACTTACCTTGTTGTGGTTGCTGGGTCCTACCCAAAGGACCAGCTCCAGCTGCGCCTCCACGGGGAGTGCCCTGGCCCTGCCCGGGCGGTCCGGTATTGGAAACGGGAAACTTGGGCACGACGAAGTCATTGAATCGCTTCTGAAATGCGGCCTTCCACTTTCCGAAATAGGAGCTGACATCCTTCTGCAGCTCAGACATGGACGGCACCGCGCCCTCGACGGTACTGGCACCGATTTCGGGGATGACGATGGAAGGGACTTGGCCATCATCATCAGCACCACCATCGGTATTGCCTGCGTCTTGGCCCTGGGCTTGGTCAGGGTCTGGAGTGGCTTCGGTCTCACCTGGATCTGAGGTGACTCCGGCGTCGGGTTGTTCCTGGCTTGACATGCCAGGCTTGCAATACCCATAAACCACAACGCCGTCGGCTGGAGACTCAGCATTAGGATCGACAGAAGCCAGGGCGGCCTCCATGCAGGGACCATAATTCCAGATCTGAACTCGGTTCTTTTGGGCGAGGGGGTGGTTGAGGAATGAGAAAGGCTTCTGGACCTGGACGCTGATCTTCTCCATGATGGCCTCGACTAGGGTGCTGAGCTCGGCCCTCTGGGCGGCGGTGATGATGGAGCTCATGTCGGCCTCTCGCCTGGGCGGCGGGCGCTGACGGTTGGAAGGCATGTTCAGATCGGAGTCATTAACGATTACCTCCACCTCGGTATCTTCATTGGCCGAATCGTCTGCGTCAGGCTCATACCCAGCGTCGTTGGGGGGTGGATCGGCTGGCTGGCTTCCACCCTTCTTTGACACCTTGGAGCTGGATGGGAGTGAGGTTTCCATCTTGATCGCCCCTCGGGGAGAATTCATTGTTATTGGGGTGTCTGCCACCGATCGTACCTTCCCTGACTTGCTGGACGAGGACATCTTGTCGATTGGGCAGGTGGGGTTGGGCGAGGTGGTGGCTGTAGTGGTCCTGGCTGGCGGTGGGATGGGGTCGCTCCTTCCTCATGGACTATCAAGTTCGCAAATCGAGTGGTATGCGACTCGAAACGATCCTGACGCAGGCAGCTCTTGTTGCTGCGATACACTCGACGTTGAGATCGAGACGGCAGCAACCGACAAACATCACAGGTGCTTCGACAACAGTTGGAGGGGGGATTGCGTTTCGCAAGAAACGAAAAGGGTGTGCCTTGGACAAGGGGAAGCGCGATAAGAAACAGACAGTATGGCCAAGGTTGGATGGAGGCTGGTACAAGCGCTCGTTCACCAAACTGTTTGTTTGCTACACTTGTACCTTTTCTCAAAACCTCAACTTTTGGCTACTTTTGACGTCAGTAGCCGTGTCTCGCTGTTTCGCAGTGAATCCCCTTGCAGTACCTTGCAACCTATCTCTGTGACACAAAGGCTGCCGGCAGTTGAGCTGCGGTCGTCCATCCAACGGGCCTCAGTACCAGTCGTCTGGAAGGGCCTTGTGGGGGTCAGTGAGCCAACGCACCTAAGACATACATATGGTCAGCTGTTCTTGACCTTGTGCCATTGAATCTTGCCGGACGGAGCTCAGATGTCTTCTGCCTACGATGTCCATGTCTGCTCGTCGACAGGCACAGTTGGTTCTGGGTCATTGAATACGAGCAAGGAGAAGTTTTGACATTCACTACCCGAGTATGGACGCGGCCGACTCTTGTCAGATACATTATTTTCACACAAGCATCATACACATGTTTGTCCATATGCTACTGACATCTAATTACAAATACGCCCCTTTCTCCAGCAGCATTCTACACATGCACAGCGCAAATCCCCAGGCCACCATAAATCATCCACCACCAGTGTCATCGTCATAGTCTGGATACGTAACTCATAGCATCTATACCTGGAACGAGTTGAGCAAGCACGTGGACTCCCACGTCCTTACTCTTCCTCCCGCTGGAGTACGCACCTCAAGTAGTACCAATGTTCTACCCCTGGCATGCGACTTAGCAGTCAGACGATCAAGGCTAATGCACCCCGCAGATCTGGCGGGTGATCTGCCGCAATGTAGGGCTGACAATAAAGCCACGCTTCCGCATCGCATGTGCCGGTGAAGGACCATCCCTGGGGTGCAGGGCTGACAACCACTGTCCGGTATCTAGCTGGCAATGCACCTGGCCAGATCTCTCAGTATGGATCCGAGAACACTTTGGTTGAGTTAAATAAGCCATCGACCCTATCAATTTCGTACACATTTAAGTGATGCTTACACATGTGGCTGATTCCCTGGGTGCACGGAGTACTTTAGTTATCACGCGGGAGTCAAAGCTCATCCCGTTGAGGAGCGATGACCTACGAAGTATATAAAGCACAATGCAGTAAGTGTAGAGAGGGATTTACTAGGTGATGCCTGGTTATTCTATTGACATAAGACATGTTCTCTGGGGGCCTCGAGAACGCCAATCCCAACGCCAGGGCTTTCCGGTGGTTACATATCCACTGCCCTTTCCCATTTCAAAATGGTAGCCACCAGTATATAAATGAGCCCCCGAAAAAGGTATCACGTAAAGTGACTGTGTATGCCGTTCACAGCCTGACACGCGCGCCAATCCCCCGCCCTTCGTACCAGACGGTTTCCCTCCAGTTTGCGATCCTCAGTCCGACGACGGCCTTAGCGTCGAGCTTCAAGCCCCCGCCAAGCGCATTTCTGATCTTGTCGTACGTGTCACCATTTCCGATGCTCCAGTCTACCGGCAGCCGTGGAGTCTGCGACAGACCAGGTGGCGCAGCAATGGGCAGGTCGTAGATGATCTTGCCTACCGGTTCGGTGTGGTTGTAGAACGCGGTGGCGTTGATATGCTCGATATACACGGTGTTGTACTGCAATGGGCTGGCGAGAGTGAAGGTTGCCGAGGAGGAGACAACGTGGAACGTGGCGCCTCGAATGAAGTGCCCTGCCCTGCCACCGTCCCCATCGCCGTCGCCGTCGCCGTCGCCGTCGCCAGGCAGTTGGAGGTGTGGGGTCGGCACGGTTAGGTTCAGGTGTGATAAAGCCTCACCAAGGGCCGGCTGTGACGGTATGCTGTTGCGGTGCGCTCGTACAGTAAGCGACGTATTCCGCCCAGAGAGGTATTGTGACAGTAAATTTCTCGCGATGACCTTGGCTGTCTCGCCACCTAGCGACGGGTTCCACTTTGCTGTGACGATGAGGTTCGTATTATTACCTTTTGAAATGTCGAGGTCTTCCGCGATGACTTCGCCGATGACGGACTCGTTGCAGAGGATGTGAGCGTTGACATATGGGATGTGCGCGGTATAAGGTGACGGGTTGGTAAAGTTAACAAGGGCGCGCAACTCTATAGCACCCGGTGATGTATTCATAATCATAATGCTGCCGACCCTGGGGTTGATACTGTGAAGCGGATCTTGTTTTGATCCGCCCGACGGCTTCTTCATGATAGCTGCTTCATCGTTAGAGTTTGCTTCAATAAAGTGGCTCAAGGCAGGAAAGTTCAGCCCTGACAGACCGGACGGTTTCAAGGATACTAACACTACCACCAAGAAGAAGACGGACGTTTTACTGGAATCTTGCCCTCAGCGGGGACATCCTTCAAAACCAGCTGACCGAGGACTGTTTGGACTTTGACATCGACAAGAGCCTTGACATCCAAACGAACCGACTTCCCCTGAAAGAGCAAGGTCTGTATCACCTCGGTAAGAACATCGCTGTCTGTCACATTCAGAGGTGCATCGTCAATGCGAGACGTAATCTGTAGCTCGGGGTCCTCGGGGTCGCCCTGGATTTTCGTCGAGTTTGCATCTCGCCACTGGTGCACGTCCAGAACACCAAGCTTTTTGGACTTATAGAAGACATCTGCAGATGCGCGTACTTTGGTGACGTTGATGGCAAAATTCATATCCTTAGGTAATCCAGCGATGACATTGATAGTTCCTGACACTGTGGGATTTGACGCAGTGTCGTCGGGGTCAGCCATCGGATCAGGCAGGCTGAAATGTGCGTCGGTTAAGGAGAAGTTGCGGATAAGGTTATCAAAGGTACGACCCGGGAAAGGTACCGGTACAGTGACCTGAGACAAGATCTCATCAACCCATTGAGGGGTACCGAGCGAGGGCGTTTGTTTGCCCCTCACGAAGACAGTTGCAGCTTTCCCGCCAAGATATTCCTTGATGAAGCGGTCCAACGGTGACGATTCAGAGTTGGGACATAACCGAGTCAACGCGTCTGGAAGGTGCCTAATCACCCCGTGGACGCTAGCAACGACCAGTTCTCGAGGTCGTATGCCGATGGGGTCCGTCAGGGCGTCAGCAACGAGTATGTATGGGTCGTTGATCCCGCAGTTGGGCACGAGAATTTCGAACCCAAGTGGTGGGACAACCACCTCGATGGGGTACTTGTTCATCGCGTCAATAGTGACATCCGCGGCCACAGTGTGATTATCAATGTCTCGGAACAAGACCTTGGTGATGTTATACTCTGGAATGCTTGGTACGTCGCCCCCTGTACGATTCATCAGCCGGTGATTCACAAGCAGCAAGGGGGTGAGATAATGTAACAATAAAACAAGATTGTTAATTCAGAATAGCGTTTTCTCCCCAAAGTACAGAGACGCGAAGGACTGGTAGAGAGATTGACCTTCAATAGTGAGGGCTTCAGACACGGCGTGCGTGCCGAGGGGAATGATGCCCGTCTTGAGAGTGATGTCGGCCTTTCCTTGCACCCGTAGCCTCCCCAGCCTGCCCTCCAGCCACTCGTTGGCGATAGTACGTATGCCGTCAGCTTCCCCGGGCATGAGCTCTGCAACGAAATCGATGGCCGTGATGTCGCCGTTGATCTTCAGGTTGAGAGGCGGTATGGCAGCGCTGCCGAGGCGTATATTGTCGTACTCTGGGAGAAAGACATTTACTCGAGTAGCGTCGATTCCCAGTCCGCGGACGAACCATGTTGCGACACGTCCCACCCTCCTGACATGCTCGTTCTCGACTCTTGATCCATCTAGCTTGAAGTTCGCTTGGACGCGCGCGCGCACCCCATTTGCAGTGATGGACTCGAGCGAGAGGTTTGTAGGTTCGAGTACAGCAGCCTCCTTGGCGTATTCCTCGACGGCCTTGGGGACGAAGAAAGCACCAAACATTATGCTGATTGTGAGCAAGCCTAGAATGGCCATCGCGATGATCGAGGCCCATCTCCGTCGTGAAGGCTTCGTCGTAGAGCCATCGCTGCGGTACGACCTGACGGACGCGCTGTCGTTGCCCCTTTGTTGCTCTTGCTCAGCTCCATCGTAACGCCCAGAGTCAACCGAGTCCGAGAGCAGCGGCGTGGACTCAGTCCCGTCGACTTCCTGTCGCGGCGTGTTCTCTTCCGCTGACAGCAGCGGAGATGCTTCAGCATCGGACATGGTGATTTCCTCGTAGCCAAATGCCGGTTCTGTATGCTCGGGATTCAAGGAAAGATGGTGGTCGGGGGTTTCCCTTATTTCAGTAGTGCAAATTAAGCGGGGCCGACCTGGTCGGATCCCCGGTTCGAAGCTGTCGGGCTGGGTCCCTCAAGGTGTACCTAAGGAAAGAAAATAATGAGTGGGTACGAATCCCGACCCTTCGCGATAAGTAGGCACGAAGGGATATGTGAATGCCCGGGAGGACGATGGTGATGATGATGCTGTTGTAAGTATGGCACGTTAGAGTCGAGGGCTGTCAGGCGGGCACTTGGTCGATAGTCCAGGCGTGACGGTGACGGTGACGCAAGGGCCAAGGGGCGGCCAGACGGGGCTGCTTCCCATTAGCCGGCCAGCCCAGGGCTGCTGCCAGGGGCTGTCTGCTTCCCCCACCAGTCAGGGGCCTGGCTTGGGGATCCCGGCGAGCCCGCGAATCGGGAGACCCAGCTGACCACCTCTGGCGCAGAGAGGACTGGCCCAAGTACCGCGCAGCCTGCGGCGCAGGCAAATCTGCTCGTGGTCAAGAACTTTGGCCCATAGGAGGAGACGCATACAGTAAGTAGTATCTAGAGCCTCCAGAACCCGAATTAACACGAATAGCGAGGGCCAAGGAAATACGTTACGCATCTGAGTACCAACGCACAGGATTCATACTTAAGTACCTAGGCCTTCTGTGCATCAGCCGTAGTCAGGCGGAATAGTACGTAGAAGCAGCGTTGCAGCACTATCGCAGAGTGTGACTCTGCCACGCGTGACGTCGCTCCCGTACTGTGTGCTCCCCTCCCGGCCAATGCAGCACACACACGGTCTTTTGTTGTACTGGGCGTATTATCTGCCCCCCAACCAATCCGCGCCGTGCGAATTATCGTGACCAACCGCCATCGTAATAATTTCGACTCACTCTCAGCTACAAGACTCATCGTGAGCTCCAAGGGATCAGTCAAATAGCACCCCGCTCAAATCTTCAATTCTGCAATCAATGTGTGTAGAAGCCAAACCTCAACATTCTCTAGCCAACTGAAGATCAGTTCGCCCGACCAAAACCAGAAGCTTATTGGATTTCCAGACCGAGATCCTGCGCTGCGCCCATCGACATGTTCCGCACAGCCAGGACAGCAGTGGCCCGTCTGCCGCTGCGCAGGGCATACTCAAGCTCGGCCAAACCCCGTCATTTGATGTCCATCAATGACCTGACACCAGCCGAGTTCACCAAGCTCATCCGCAATGCCAAAGATCACAAGACAGAGGTTGCCAAAACCGACAAGCTCAGCGTGCTCGGTGGCGCCCTCACAGGCAAGACGGTCGCCATGATGTTCAGCAAGAGGAGTACCCGGACCCGCGTCTCAACCGAGGGCGCTGTTGCTCTCATGGGCGGCCACCCCATGTTTCTGGGCAAGGACGACATCCAGCTTGGCGTAGGCTCAATTCCTCGTAGCACCTGGGGCGGAGGTGTCATGGGAACAACGAGCGTGTTGGCTGACTCCTTGCTAGGTCAATGAGTCGCTCTACGACACCTCGGTTGTCATCTCCTCCATGGTCTCGGCCATGGTCGCCCGTGTAGGGCCACATTCAGATATCACTGGCCTGGCCCAGGACTCGAGCGTCCCCGTTATCAACGCCCTATCCGATGACTTCCACCCACTGCAGGCCATTGCTGACTTCCTCACCATCCACGAGGCATTCCCCTCCTCAGCCTCCGGTCCAGCAAGCCTGGGCCTCGAGGGCCTGAAGGTCGCCTGGATTGGTGACTCGAACAACGTCCTGTTCGACCTCGCGTCCGCCTGCGTCAAGCTGGGCGTCGACGTCTCCGTGGCCTCGCCTGCTGGCTACGGGATCCCTGAGCCCATGAAGAAGCACATCCTCTCAGCTGCTCAAGGGGTCTCGAGCCCAGGAAAGCTGTTGGAGACTACGGTTCCTGAGGAAGCGGCCAAGAATGCCGACATCCTGGTCACCGACACCTGGGTATCCATGGGACAGGAGCAGGAGGCTCAGAAGCGGTTGAAGGCCTTTGCTGGCTTCCAGATCACCAATGACCTGGCAAAGAGAGGAGGTGCAAAGGAGGGCTGGAAATTCATGCACTGCCTGCCGCGACACGCTGAAGAGGTCCACGACGAAGTGTTCTACAGCGATCGATCGTTGGTGTTCCCAGAGGCTCAAAATCGATTATGGGCCGCTGTCGGTGAGTACAGACTTTCAACTCTGAATCATTTCACTGTCGAAAACTAACACTGCATAGCTGCACTTGAGGCCTTCGTGATCAACAAGGGCCGCATCATTTGAACGATGTATGAACAGTGTGTTTCTCGCTTCCTTGGGGCTTCCGACCTGGCATTGGCGTCTAAAAGTGAATCAAAAGTTGTTGCATCAAATCTCGCCTATGACAGGGACCCATGTGAACCGTCAAACAAAACTTCCATCCCTGACTGGTCCCAGTTTGAATTGCTTTTGTATTATGGTATAGTTTACATGCACACTTATCCAGGGGGCAGCTGGCTGGCGTCAACAACGTCATCAGCCTCCTTGATGCTGTTCTCATCCTTGGGTCCATAGAGAGGTGACCGTGGCATAGCCATCAATCCAGTCCGAGCAGACTCGAGAATGCCGAATGGGCCGATCAGCTTCAGGAACGAGTCGATTCGGTTTGGCTTCGCAGAGCTGGAAAATAGATATCAGTATTCGGTGTGCCTGTAAGATGTCCGTAGGGGCTGACTCACATCTCGACAATGCAGCTGCTGTTGCTGATGTCCAGTACCTTGCCTCCAAACTGGTGCGCAAAGTAGGTGATGCTCTTCAGATGCTCGTGCTTCAATCGCAAGGCCTCACTGGGCGCGAGTCGGCTGGGGTGGAAGTCCTCGGATGTCTCGCCGAGCGAAGGAGCATGGTCAGGAGATCCCTCCTGAGAAGCAGAGGCGCCCTCGCCCTCAATCTCGGCGGTAATCTCGCGGTGGTGAGCCCACAGCTCCTGGAAGTACTCGGGACCCAGGATGTTGATCTTGGCGAGGAGCAGCTCTCTCTGCACGAGAGCGGCACTGGTGTAGTCGAGCACGGCCCAGACGGGAACCAGGTCCTCCAGCTGGCGGCGGGCCTGCTCGACGACGCCGTCCTGGCCGGTCAAGACGATGGTCATGCGGGACAAGTCGGCAACTTCGGTACTGCAGACGACCAGGGAGTCGATGTTGAAGCCGCGGGCAGCCAGAATCCCGGACACACGGGAGAGCACACCGGGCTCGTTCTGGACGAGACAGTTCAGGATGTGACGCTTCGGAGGGGCCATGGATGGCGAGGGGGTCTCGTAGAGGATGTTGGACACTGCGGCCTGAGCCGACCACGCAGGGGGTGCCTCATTGGTGGGCAAAGGAGCTTGACGACGGCGCAATGCCTTGTAGGCGATGGCTGAGGTCGAGGAGCGGGAAGAGCTGTAGCGAGCGGCAAAGGCAGGCAGAGAGGCGGCCGCGGCTGGTTGGAGCCTGGAGGAAGCTGCCCGCCATTGCGACAGCAGAATGCTTCGGGGCGCCATGGTTTCGACCGACTCAGAGAACGCCTCTGAGAAGAATCGACGTATGGCTCTCCAAGGCACTGGAGGGGCGAGATCAATTGACTTGCGAGACCGCCAATTGACTGTGTCGTTTGGTGTTGAGGTCTGAGTCAATGCTGTGGCCCAGCCGAGAACTGAATTTAGTTCGGCACACAGGACGACATCGGAGGGACCCTGCAGGCTTTCAAAGCTTCCCCAGATCGCCCTACTTGACTAACAATTTTCGTGAGATTACCTAGCGCCTAAGTACCTGGGTATTAGCGTTGCCCACTTATTGTCTGACCTCGTACACAGCAGGTACCTCGCCCCTGTCAAGTTTCGCGGGACCGAGAAGCACAGCTGTCAATCAAGCATCCACCTGTCTACATGGTTGGGTGCACCGATCAGCAGCCCTGAGCTCCAACAGCCAGACTCGCGATTCCAGAGTCGCCCGACCATGCTTCACTCTCGACGACCCACGCGCTCTTCCTCGTAGCCACATGGCACTGATCATCACCGGGAAATCTCCAAAACCATGTTCTCTGCCATAGCGACTGCTCCGGCCAAGCAGTCGGTGGGCGAAACGATCTCCGTCCTCAGCGGCCGTCTGAGCTCGGCCACCCTGCTTGAAGACCGGCGCGCCGCCATCCAAGGGCTGCGCAGCTTCGCAAAGGACTACCCAGCCTCTGTAGCCTCCGGGGCTCTGCGGAGTCTGATAGGATGTCTGAGCAACGACGGCCAAGACGTGGACACCGTCAAGGTGGTGCTGGAGACGCTGCTCATGCTCTTCAACCCCAACGAGGGCAGCCCTGAAGCTTCCGAAGAAATCGCCTTGTGGTTGGCCGACGAGTTCACCCAGAGACAGGAAAACATCACGCTCCTGCTTGACTTTTTGGAAACTCCCGACTTCTACGCGCGACTGTACTCCCTTCAACTGCTCATAGCGATCCTGTCCGCTCGAACGGAACGCACCGAGGAATGCGTGTTCACCGCCCCACTAGGCATCTCGAGGCTCGTGGCCATACTCGACGATCGACGAGAAGCTGTCCGAAACGAAGCAGTCACCTTGCTCATTTACCTCACTCCCTCGAATGTGGACATACAGAAGTTGGTCGCTTTCGAAGATGCTTTCAAGAGGATATTCGCAATTATCGCCTCGGATGGGTCCCTCACCGAGGGAGGCCAGATCGTGGAGGACTGCCTGATATTGCTGGCCAATTTGTTACGGTTGAATGCCTCCAACCAAACCCAATTCCGCGAGACAGGATGCGTCCCGGAACTGGCACAACTGCTCCAGAGCGCATACAAGCCCCCAGAGGACGGGGAGGAAGTGGCACCTTGGGCGCAGGCACAGCGTAACCGGAATGTATATGCATTGCTTGCAGTCATCCGCCTGTTTCTGGTTCGTGGTGCCGTTGGCACCATGCAAAACCAAAGCGCTTTCTGGCAGTATCATCTTTTGTACCACGCCCTGCAACTTGCCTTCAGCCACTCTGCTGAGAACCCTATCAAGGCCGAGGTACGTGCCGCCCTGCCCTGTATGTATACTCATGTAGACCTAAAACCCATGACGGTAGGCACTTGTGACATGCGCCGATATCATCAGGGCCAACCCAACGCTCCAGGAGAATTTCGCTCAGCTCCAAGTACCCTCGCCGCTTGAGAGTTCGCAGGAGGGAAATGGTGCTCAGGCCAACGGTGTCCCCAAAATCTATGTCATTGACGGGCTTCTGGACCTCACCCTATGCGTTCACAGTTTGCAGGCCTTTGACATACGAATGGCGGCTTGCGAAACCTTGAAGGCCTATTTCTTCAACCACCCCGGGATTCGCGAGCATTTCCTTCGGCGTGCCATCGAAGGGCACAAGTCGGGAACAATCGAGGCAGCGAATGTTTTGACAACATTGCTTCGCTCGCCGACCGAAGAATCTACAGTTGACCCTTATAGACACTGGTTCGCATCATGCATAATGTTGCATCTCGTTTTCGAAAATGCAACGACCAAGGAGCTTGCAAGACAGGTTACTGAGGGAGACGAGGCCGAAGGGGAGGAGGTAGTGACAAGCATCCAGATCATCACTGCGCACCTGATCAGCAGTCTTTCGCGAAATGATGACGAGCGCATCACTATAGGATACCTGATGCTCCTTCTGTGTTGGCTGTTCGAAGATCTAGATGGCGTTAACGAGCTGCTAGAGGAAGGCAGCAACGTCCAACGACTCATACAGACCGTTGTTAAGAACAGCTCCAGTGAGACACTGGTTCAGGGTCTCTGCGCGATGATGCTCGGCGTAGCCTATGAGTTCTCCACCAAAGACTCACCGATACCACGAGGCACTTTGCAGCCTCTGTTGATGTCCAACATGGGCCGCGACAGGTATATCGATAAAATGAGCAAACTGCGGGCTCACCCACACGTGCGGGACTTCGAGATGATCCCGCAAAAGCTTGATCCCTCGACCGGCAAACTTCCTGAGGTGTACTTCGACGAGACTTTTGTCGATTTCTTCAAAGATAACTACAGCAGAATACTGCGGGCCATCGACAGGGACCCCGGGATGGAGATCTCAGTCGTGACCAATGGTGTGCAGAAAGGAATATCGCGAGAACTTGTCGACTCGCTCCGTGCTCAGCTGGACGAGAAGGAGAAGGCCCTGCAAAGCTGCCAGGCGAGTCTCGCCCACCTTGAGCAACAACTCGGGCAGGAGCGCGCCGACACGAGACGTCTCAAGGAAACCAATTCAGTGGAGCTTACACGGATGAAATCTGTCAACGAGGGCCTGCAGAGGAACCACGAGACTGAGATCCGGCAGCTGCACGAGCAGTTCAGCGCGAAAGAGGCCGAGCTGCAGAGGCACGTGGAGACGGCGCGGAAAGAAGGCGCCTCCGAGATCGAAAGACTTCAGAAGAGGGCGGAGGCCTCGCAACAGGAGGCGGCAGCTGAGGTAGAGAAACTTCAGAAGAAGGTCGAGGCCGATCTCAAAGCAAAGGTGGAAGAGTACGAGAAGCAGCTCAAACTGAAGGATGAAGAACACCAGAAACAATTGGCACTGAAGGATGAGCAACGGACGCGCGAGGTCGAAGAAGCTCGCAAGCAGGCACAAGAGGGCCACAGGCGCAGACAGTCAGAAGCAGATCGGTCGTCGAGGCGGGCAGAGGCAGAGAAGGCCGATCTGAAGGCCACCATCAGCAGGCTCGAGGTGGATCTTATGAAGGTAACGTGCTGCGGCTTCGCAAATGACACTGACCCTTACTGCCCATACTAACACGAAACAGGCCAACAAGAGCAAGACGCAGGAAGCTTCGGCAGCAAAGGAGGCCTCAGAACGCGCTGCAAAGAAAGCAGCTGAGTTGGAGAAGAAGGTCAAGGACCTGGAAACAAAGACGAAAGAGGTATGCCATCCAGTTGCATTTTTGAATGATGCTTGTGCTCTTGCTGATGCCATCTCTAGGCCGAGGCCCTCGTCCAACAGAAGGAAACGGAGAAAGAGTCCACGCAGGGCGAGCTGGATGATATGTTGATGCTCTTTGCCGATGCGGAAGAGAAGGTAAACAAGTACAAGGAGAAGCTCAAAGCCTTGGGCGAGACCATCTCGGACGACGAAGACGACGGCGAGGAGGATGAGGAAGGAGACGGAGAGGCGGATGAAGATGGTGCAGAGGAAGACGAAACGTCGGAGAAAGATGGCAAAGATGTGGATTGAACTCTTGAGCCTTGAATCCACTATCCTTCTCTTGGCAGCAGGTCAAGCTCTCAGGTGATGGGGAGCCAAGCGACTGCATTGACAAGTGGGTATCATTGTGTATCCGTACAAGGTCAAGTCTCGCGGCTCCGATGAATCGATGGCATTGAGGAAGGCGTTGCACAGTCTGGGATGGGCTTGATTGTGTATGTGGCATGGCGATCTGTGGGACTGGGTGTATAAAGCATGTGGGAACCAAACCAACAAAATGGAATTGACAAAACAACATGAAATCATCACGCCCCCTCAATATGGAACTGCCAAAGGAGACAAATGATAGCCGGAAAGGGGGGATCTGCCAGTCCATAGAATTGTTGTTTGTAAGGAAGCTCTGTGGTTCGGCGTGACCCGTAAAAGTTTCCCGCATGCAGAATTTTTGGGGTTGCAGGCTTGCAGCACTTGAATTTTTCCCTCCCTGCCCGCTGTACGTACAACACTCGTTGCAAGTTCATACATACACCTGCAAAACTCGCCTTTGACGTACTGAGATCACCTGCTTGCTTTTTTGTCGCCAGGAATGTGAGTATCATGATTTTCGATTGCAACTGTGCCCCTGTGAAATTGCAGTCTCTCACGGCCTGATATCAGAAGGGCATGTCAAATAGCGCTAACGACAGCAAGTAGTGCATCAAGACCGTTCTGAAGAACGCCTGGACAGCAGTTTTCCGTTCTCGCCCAGGAGCCTACTTAGTGGCAACTGCAATTATGTCAAAGGAGGCCGACGACATAATCAGCGGGTCAGAAGGCTCCGAGGGCTGGGATGATGTCGACGAGGGCGGCGACGAGGAGAGCCTGGAAATCGTTTCCCTCCTGGACGACAAGGTCTTCCCCGATGCGAAGTCTATGCTGGAGCACTGCAAGAGCAACTTCAACTTCGACTTCGTGGCGGTGCGCGACGGCCTAGGCCTCGACTTTTACGGCAGCATCAAGCTTGTCAACTTCAGTTCGTCCATTGCTCTCGAAATACCTCCCGATCCCCGGCTAATGCGACTTCCCAGTTCGAAGCACCGCGAAAGAAGGCAAATCTCTGCCAGGCCAGATCACCGAGGCAGACATCCAGGATGACAAGTTCCTGATGCCCGTATTGCCTGACGATGCGCTCATCATGTGCCTGGATGACCTACCGCCTTCCTCCAGTGCTGCAGATGGCAAGGGCAAGGCCGTCGAGGACGCGTCAACGACGGAGCCAGCCGGTGATGCTGCCAGCAAGAACGCCGCCCTGCAGGCCCAGCTGGACGAGCTCAACAAGCAGTTTGCCAACTACCGACTTGCAGTGGAACAAACCCTTGATAAGCGATGGCATGCTGACGACTCCTCCTCCTCGTCTCGGTCGTCGGCCAGCTCCAAGAAGGAAAAGAAGGACGAGTCTGCATACTACTGGGAGTCATATGCGCACAACGGTAGGCTGCCTGTCTGCTCCCATAGGCTTGGTGCCGGCATTCAATGTCTAATTACGCAACAGATATCCACGAGACCATGCTGAAGGACACTGTCCGCACAGAGGGGTACCGCGACTTTATCTACAACAACAAGCACCTGTTCAAGGGCAAGACCGTTCTGGACATCGGGTGCGGGACGGGCATCCTGTCCATGTTCAGCGCCAAGGCGGGCGCCGCACACGTCTACGCCATCGACAAGTCGGCCATCCTCGACAAGGCTCGGGAGAACATCTTCAACAACGGCCTGTCAGACACCATCACGTGCCTGCGCGGGCGGGTCGAGGACATCGTGCTCCCCGTCGACAAGGTCGACATCATTGTCTCGGAGTGGATGGGCTACGCGCTCCTCTACGAGGCGATGCTGCCCTCCGTGCTCTTCGCCCGCGACAGGTACCTCAAACCGGACGGGCTGTTGATCCCCTCACACACGACCATCTTCCACGCGCCCGTGTCGGACCCGGACTACGTCACCGAAAACGTCGCTTTCTGGCGCGATGTCTACGGCTTCGACATGAAGGCCATGCAGGAGGGCATGCTCAAGGAGGTCAGGGTGCAGACCATGCCGGCCGAGGCCCTCTGCGGCACCGCGAGCACCTACGCCCTTGACCTTTACCATGTCAAGGTGGAGGACCTAACCTTCAAGGCCGGCTGGCGCAGCAAGCTCACCAGGGACGTGGACAGCGTGGATGGCTTCCTCATCTGGTTCGACAACTACTTCGCCACCACGCGGAAGGGGGAGCCCGAGCTCATCGAGACCCCGGCCGACGACTGGGAGGCGGCCAGAAAGGACGGCAGCAACGCCTTCACCACCGGCCCGCACCGCAAGGAGACCCACTGGAAGCAGGTCCTGATGCTGGTCGAGGACAGGGACGGGCACGAGCGGAAGCCCTTCAAGGAGGGAGAGCAGATCGAGGGAACGTTGTCTTACTCGGCGCCCGAGGACCATGCGCGCGGGCTGTTGATCAAGGTAGAGTGGGACGGGCTACCAAACGCTGAGAAATCTCAGGCTTGGACCCTTACTTAGTGGATGAGTAACCTGGCCATGAGGGGAACATGGAGAACATAGACTTTGACTTCAAATTCTGAATGGGTAGAAATTATGTGTCCCGAACGTTAGCACGAAATTAAATTCAACAAAATGCAAGGAGTCTTGTCCTGGTATCTTCCAGTGCGATGTTGTGTTCCCCAAGGGAGACAAAGCTGGCCCTAGGACTTGTGAGCTATGTCTAAGTAACGCTCGAAGTATGCCCGCAATGGAGAGACTGAGCAGGTTTACGTTTTGTTTTGGCTACATTCCATCTCCTGAAATGTCTGCTTATGCCTGAAAAAGTCTAGAATAATCTTCGCAATGCCTCCTCTCCTCAGATCTCACAGATGTGGCACACCTGCACTTTCCATGATTAGATTAACGATGCTCAAGAACCCCTCCCCGAGGATGAAACCTGATGCGAGCACAATCAGAGGTGTGTCTTCCCTAGTGCCCTTTCGCCTCCACCACCAGGCCACCAGGCCGCCGACAGTCCTCGCCAGTGTGAAGCTAGGCACTAGAATCTGTTAGTCACGTCGTTCCCACCAAAGCATACTGACGCGTTACATTTGCGGAGGCCGTCCTGGAACAACAGAACAAAACGAGCTGGGACTTACCGTTGTACATGCCCACAGCCACTGCGATACCGCCAGGGACAAGGTGCTGCCATCTCTTGTTTGTGGCATAGATCCTCACCATGGTGGTCGCGGTAAATAGCACCGCGAATGCTATGGCCCACTCCCTGGCCATATAAGGCAGGCCTTGGCCAGTGACCAGCCTCGCGGTGAAGATCCACACATAAGCGGTCGGGACCTGGAACAACGAGCCCGGGATGGTATACACGGCGGTGTAGAGCCTGTATATGAAGGCGCTCACGACGGCGCCGACGGTGGCGCCGACAACCTGGCCCCAGAACTGGGCCTTGGGCGCCGCACCCAGCAGGTGACCCGTCTTGAGGTCCTGCATCAGGTCTCCGGCCTGCAGGGCGCCGGCCTCGGAGACGGCTCCGGCGACGAGGTTGATGAGCACTGAGGTGGGGTGGGACTGCGGCACGATGAGGGCGAAGAAAAGCTGCGCCAGCTTTGAAATGCCCGACACGGGGTTCAGGTCCGTCTCGCCTAGGGCGCGAACGCCCATAATACTCAGGACCAGCGCCATCAGCACCGCCGAGACGGTCGCGTACAGCGGAACGAGGTCCCCAAAGACAATGTGAATGCAGAGCACGCAGAAGGCGATAGACAGCACAAGGCCGATAGCCACGGTGCGGTTCGAGATCAGCTGGGAGGCTGGGGCATCGTCCTGGTCGGCCTCAGCAAGGAGGTGCGAGATGGACGGCTGCTGCTGCTGCTCCTGCTCCTCCTCCTCCTCGCGCTCTGGCTGCTGGTGGTCAGAGGAGGGGCCGTGTGGCGGAATGTCGTCCTCGTGTGCCCTGAGCGTGGTGTATCCCTGGTGACGGGGTGGAAGCAGCTGGTTCAAGCTGGTGTCCCCGTTCTGCCACCGCTCGTGGAACTTGGCGCCAGCTTTGGAGAGGTGCTGGAGAAGGGGCCGTGAGGCAAGATAGCCGAGGCTGACAACGGCATCGGCGAGCATGATTGCAAGCGAGGTCCACACGATCCAGCCTTTGCTCCCGTTCTCCCAGTCGCTGATCTTGCCAGGGGCCCAACCTTGATGTTTAGCCAGCGGTGAGAGCACGCCCCATCCGAGTATTGCGCCGAGGAGCTGTTGGATTTTATCAGCCGACGGATCAAATTGACACTCCTGAAGCCAAGGCTTACTTACCATGTGGATTGTAGTTGCTGGTCCCATGATGATACCCTGCCCAACATAAGCTAGGCTGGGATTCAGTGTCCACAGCCATGTCGAAGCTGCCGCTGTGCCAAAGATGGGCAGATCTCTCAGGATTGGGAAGAAGTAAGTTGCAAATGTGTATAGCCCCGATATGAAGAAACAAGTGAGTAGTAACCTAACGTTAGCCTTCCACTGCTGCCTCCGGAGCTCGGCACCTTCCTCCTCGTCTGCGACTTGTCCCGGCCCATCCTGCTCGAGACGCCCACCAAAGCCCTCAGAAACAAGGTTCTCCTGTTGGTTGTGCTCCGGGGACGAGTCATCCCTCACAAGCCCCGTCTTGCCATGCAGCACACTGATCAAGACAGCAGTGCTGAAGCCGCTGGGGAACTTGAGCTTCTCCCGGATGATGACCTGGCGCCTCAGGGGGACAGCAAAGACCACACCAAAGTAGCACAGGCCCAGTGACCAGACGACAAGCTTCCAAGTGCCGAGGTTGACGGGGCCCTGCTCCTCGGGCTTCAGGAGGTACTGCATGGCGGGCAGCACGCCGACGAAGCCACAGCCAAGCGGCATGATGGCCATTGAACCGGCGACGGTCTGGACCAGGACGTTCTCGACGGGTGAAAAGGGGAAGGACAGGTGGCGGGACAGGGTCTTGAAGATACCAAAGCCCATGAGCGAGGCCGGCATTGTCATCATGCTGACCCAACCGGTCTGGAGGCCAAAGTACATGTTGGAGAAGCAGATGACGAGCCCGACCAAGAGGCCGGCGGCGATGGCGCGCAGGGTGAAGCTGCGGCCTTCAACGTCGAGCCCTGGCTTGGCCACGCTGAGGGTTGGGGTGGAAGGCGAGTCGTCTTGGTCATATTGGAGGGCGTCTACTTGCACATGGTCGTCGGTAGTGCCAAGACGGTCGTAGCCGGAGCGATCATGACCCCTATCAGGAGCCATATCTGCTAATATGGTCCTCGGAGATGGTGGGCCGCGAGTCGGCAGCTCTGACAGCCTGATGCCTCGACTTGGACTCGGGCTTGGACTCGGATGGGGCAAGGGCGAGGCTCTGGAGGACGGAATGTTGAGTAAAGATATTCAGAAGTCACGGCGCACAGCGTATCATTACGGAGGAGGAGGGCATGGGGGAGCGATCCCGGCAGATTGGGTCCCCCGTGACCGTCGCAACCGGCAGAACGGCGCCCATGATGCCATAATCCCGGTCCGATGGTACCGGCTTATGTAAGCCAATTCATTGCGTTGGGTGACGGCTAATTGATGGTTACAGAGTACTTCCAAAGGGTTGGTGTCTTTGTGACAGTCTGGAATAAATAGCACGGTGGAGGGAGCCTGTAAAGAGCCATGGTGACGAAGCCGCGAGCTTTACTGTCTGTTCTCGCTGAGGCAGGGCACGGCAAATGTGCAATGCCTAGTTTCCAGTTTTCGCTGCTCCAGTTCGTCGGGTGATGCGAGCTTGGTTGGCAGGTTGGTCCCTTCAAGTTCTGCCCCTGTCGAAACGTCTTGTGGCCGCGCGCTACCGTCGGGGGGGCGCTTCGGCTCCGGCTCGGCCCAATGCAGGCGGTGTTTCCCTGCCAGCCAGCCCTGCGAGATGGGCGATTGAGAGCCATTATTACTGGTAGTATGACTGTGAGATGGCTAGCCTCTCACAACTCTGTGACTTTCAGTCCAGATCGCAGTGACCGACTGCGTGCGTGCGAGGCCAGAAGACCCAAACCCCTCCCGCCGCCCACAAGCTTAAAGTCGCGACGGCCAATTCCTCTGGTTGCTGTTACCAAAGTGGTTCCACCCGAGGAAGCAACGTCTCATTTTGACCCCAAGCGATCGGGGTTGCTCGCAACGGAAAGGGCCCTGCGAAAACTCGTCTGTTGCCCCCCGGCGAAAATCTCTTCACCTCGCCCGCGAAGCTGCCATGCGCTCCTGCTATTCCCGGGAGATTTCTCATGCCCAGTCTGGCCATGCGCCACTTTTCGAGTACATCGATGCCCCTTCTGGCCCGTCCGAGTCTTGTTATACCTGCAGATCTTGGCAGCATGGTGTGGGTCCCAGCCTCTGACACCCCGCGAGGCAGCGAGGCAACGAGGCAATGCAGCAGCTCTCTCCCCGTCGCAACCCGCCGGTTGTGATGTTGTCTTGAGCCGCGAAAACCCCCGGGACCAGCCCGTTCGGCGGCTCCGTCATGGGGTGGGAAATTTCTGTCGTGACCGTGGGCATGAAATGCCCTTCCAGGGTTGGTGGTGATGCTGTTCAGAATCACACCACGACAGCAGGTGCTAATAAAGCATAGACAACCACCTGGGCACTTATAACCAGTTACAAAAATTATAAGACCCCACTTGGCAGCCCAGTTTCTATGCGTACAACATTTTGCAAATATCTCGATAGATCATCTAGATTATTACCTTTGCTAAACCCCCCATTCGCCCTCGGACCTGCTCGGCCTGGCCCAAGTGCCAGTCTAACGAGCCCCAGCTTCACGCTCCGTATCCACAAAGTCCACTTGCACGCGCAGCCACCACCCGCAGAGCGCCTGGGAAAAAGCTCTGTTATTGCCTGCCACTCGCTCCTGCCCTTATATATAGCTGCCACCACACTGCCTGGTCCATCCTTGGCCATCGGTTGTGCCTCGTTGTTGCTGCTCCCTCGTCCTGTCGTCCAAGTGTTGCCGTGTTGCCCTTCACCACCTCTGGTCGACGCCGCTCCCCCTAAAGACACCTTCTGGCGGTAGCTTTGGCTCGAACTCACCCGGGCCACACATTGTCGGAATTGGTTCTCCACCGGATCCCACAGGACAGAAAAGGCCCAGTATCAACGTCATCCTCGTGACTCACCTGGTCACGTTTATTTGGGCGCCGGATTCCCACTCTTCCAGCAGGGCACTGTTTCCGCACCCCTCCCACGATTCCCGTCCGCACACCAGACACGAGCAACGAGCCCAGCATGTCCAAAACCGACGCCATAGTCGCCTCGGGCCGGGGCGATGCCAGCCCCGACATGGAGAAGCAGTCCATCACCGAGGCCTCTACTCATGAGCTCAAGCGGGAGATGTCAGGTCGTCACCTGCAATTCATCGCCATCGGAGGTGCCGTGGGAACCGGCTTGTTCATCGGAAGCGGCGCATCTCTGGCGACAGCGGGTCCCGTGGGCTGTCTGATCTCTTATATCGTCGTTGGGACCATCCTGTACTCGGTCATGACCAGCCTGGGTGAGATGGCGACGTATATCCCGACTGCTGGCTCATTCACATCGTACAGCGCGCGCTTTGTCGACCCGGCTCTGGGCTTTGCCATGGGTTGGCTCTACTGGTTCAGCTGTGAGTCCTCCTATTCCGTGCCACTCATGATCGGAGCGGTATCTTGGACCAGATGAGGGTGTGCGGCTGACTGACATACTTCAAGGGGCCATTACGTGGGCTCTCGAGTTGACCGCCGCTGGCATGATCATTCAGTACTGGAACAGCAGCATCAACATTGGCATCTGGATAGCCATCTTCTGGGTCATGTTTACCGCAATCAACTTCATTCCCGTCAAGTGGTACGGCGAGATGGAGTACTGGTTCGTCTCGATCAAGGTCATCACTATCCTCGGTTTCTTGATTTTCGCGGTACGTATCAATCTCTGCTCGACAGGCTATAGGGCTATTCCAAGGGCTGGCGGGTGTCATTCGTTGTTACTTGCGCTTTCGCCATACAGCGAGCGAGATTTGCTGACGAAACCGAGCAGATCTGCATCAATGCAGGCGCAAGCCCCCAAGGATATCTAGGCTTCACCTACTGGAAGAGACCCGGCGCGTTCGCCTCGTACAGCGAAGACATGGCTCCTAACACCGGCAAGTTCGTGTCATTCTGGAGCGTCCTCGTCACGGCGGCTTTCTCGTACCAGGGTGCAGAGCTCGTTGGCGTTGGTGCAGGAGAGGCCCGCAACCCGCACAAGACGGTCCCGATTGCAATCCGGAACACTTTCTGGGGCATTCTGTTCCTGTTTGTGTCTACCATCTTCTTCCTTGGGATCCTCGTTCCGTACGATAACCCGGAGCTCACCAACGGCAGCACCAGCGCCGCCGGCTCCCCCCTGGTTATCGCAGCCAATCTCGCCTCGGTCCGCGTCCTCCCCGACATCATCAATGCCGTCCTGTTGACCGCCGTCCTGTCCGCCGCGAACTCGGTTGTCTATTCTGGCAGCCGTATTGTCGTGGGTCTTGCAAATGAGGGCCACGCCCCTCACTTCCTGACCAAGACCAATAAGCATGGTGTTCCCTACTACGCCGTCGCCTTCACGTCCGCATTTGGCCTCCTGGCCTTCCTCAACCTCTCCCCGTCCGGGACTGACGCCTTCAACTGGTTCCTCAACATCACCGCCGTGGCAGGGCTGATCACCTGGGCGAGCATCAACATCTCCCACATCCAGTTCCAGCGCGCTATGAAGGCCCAAAACGTACCCCGCCACCTGCTGCCGTACCGGGCGCCGCTGCAGCCATACCTGGCATGGTACGGCCTGTTCTTCAACATTCTGATTGTGATAACGCAGGGTTTCACGGCGTTCATGCCTTGGAACACAGTCGACTTTTTCACGGCGTATATCAGTGTCATCCTGTTTGTAGTGCTTTACGTCGGGTACAAGGCTGCATTCCGTCCGGCGTTTGTGAAAGTGAGCGAGGCAGACTTGAACAAGGGGCGTCTACAGCCCGCGGAAGGAGTGGTCGTTGAGAAATAACTGGGAAATCGAATGCCTGGTGTGGAACAAAGATGTTTCACCCACAATACAGTACAGCAAAAAAGTACCTATCTAATATAAGAGAGCGAATATTGATTTAATCATCAACACGCAGCCTCAGGTGTCGAGGAACAGCTTCCTGGTCATTGTAAATATTCTATGATTCATGAAAATGTACCTATACGAGCTACCCCTTCCTTGTCTTCCAACTTTGCGCGGTTCTTGCCATGGTCTCAAAGGTGATCTCCCCTTGGCTGGAGTCGGCCATCTGTACTAATCTCCCAAGAAATCTATCCACCATGCCCACGATGTGAGCTCTCCCCGAACTCTCGGGGTGCCATATCAGAGGATACATTGACCCATACCCTTCCCCAGGCCCCCCATCCACAAACGACTCGTTCTCCCACAACCACTCGAACCGGTCCCACCACATCTTCTCCACGACGTCAGTCGCGACGTAGCCATGAGTTGAGGCTGTGTAGGGGTAAAACCCCATGGGGGTCATGTCCTCCGTGTACCACGACGCAGGGACCTCCACCATCGCCCGCTGGGCCTCGGCCGTCCCGGGCAGCGGCTGTGCGGGCAGCGGCGTCGGGCGCATCCACGTCGCCGCCGGCTTGCTATAGTCCGGCACGCGGGGCGTCTCCTGCGGGAAAGGGTGCGGCAGGAAGTACGGCAGCGAGTCGTGCGCGTTCATGCTGCTGTCGTAGAGGAATCCGCGCCGCTGGAGCAGGTCGACGGTGGACTCGCGGATCTGATAGAGCGGCGCCCGGTACCCCAGCGGTCTCTGCTGCTGCTGCTCGCCGCCATCCCCGCCATCCCCGCCGCCCCTGCCCCTGCCCCTGCCGCGCAGCAGCTCCGTCGCCAGCTCGGTGCACCGGTCCAGCACGTCTGCCTCCTGCTCCGGGGTCATGGCGTACGCGCCCTCGTGGCTGTACCCGTGCAGTCCTATCTCGGCGCCGCTGGCGGCGATCTCGGCCGCCCGCCCGGGGAAGGTCTCGATGCTGTGGCCCGGGATGAACCACGTCACCTTGTCCGAGATGCCGTGCTTGGCGAACAGCGCCAGGAGCCGGGGCACGCCGACGTTGGCGCTCAGCAGGCCGGCTGAGTAGTCGGAGAGGGTGTTCTCGGGCGTGTGGCCCGTCCCCAGGTAGCCGGAGAGAGCGTCGAAGTCTACTGAGAGGCAGATGCGCATGCGGCGCGGTCTCGGATTGGTGTTGGTGTTTGCCATTGGGGCTGTCGTGTCCTAGATCTATATCTCTGTGCTTTGATTGAGATCTCATGAAACACATCAATTTAATTTTGCCTTCGTGGGCCTTTCAATACGTTATTCCTGTGACGTCGTTGGGCATTCTGCAGGCTGTTGAAATAGCAGGGGTTCGTGGTGGTGATCGCCCCTCCGTCGAGTGCGGAGATCGTCTTTCGGATCGGTCCAAGGCGGAGCCAGTCAAGGGTCCAGGGCCGTAAATTCAATGTCAAAGTAAAGGTATGAATTGCAGTCATGAAGCTGATTCTTTTTTATTGAAAAAAACATTAGTCTGGCTTGGTTCGTAAATTGAGAATGGCTCAATTCTCCCTCATTCTCTACGAAGCCTGCCCAGTATTTATTCCGCATAACCCTACCATATTCTTATTGACGTCCTGTGTTTCCCTGGTTTCGCTTCTATTCCGCCCAAGTTCGAGGACATAAATGGCGCCTTCATAGACGCTTAAGACCAACTTGCATCGGAGAGATCAAAATGTTTGAACACTGCAGATATTGCTATACTCATAACATCACTGGTCACCTACGCCGTTGGACGAACCATTTACAATGTCTTCATTCATCCACTAGGAGACATCCGCGGGCCAAGGGTTGCAACAGTCACTCGGCTCTGGTGATTCGGTACAGACTTTAGCGGTAACTCCTCTGTGGCCATACTGCAATGGCATCTGACCCACGGTCGATTAGGAGACATCTTCAAAGAATGAAGAACTGTCGTTGGAGAAGAGTGTGACGGACCGGCCCGCGGAAGCAACGCCTCACTGACCTAGTTGGCAGGCCCCGTGATCAGGGTGGCGTCCAACGAACTATCCCTCTTTAATATCGACGCGCACCTCTCCGAACTATACGCGCAAAATACCAAGTTTACCAAGGCGCCCTAATTCTACGATGACTTCAACAGCAGTTGGACAAGAGGTACTGAATCAAGACCCCGGGGGTCGCAAACGGACTGCAATGCTCCCTCCCTTCAATGTTAGTACAAAGAGACTTGAACCACTAAAACACCTAGGTAGTAAACCGCCTGGACAGTAATTTTACACCATACGACGGCCTTCTACATTGAAACCTCCTACAGGAAGTCCTCATGTAGACCAGATAGCTTTAGGTCAAGCTCCAAGGGTGACACACCCATAGAATAACGCCTTGTGTAATAAACTCCTGCAGAGCAATCCCCCGAGTGCAGAATGTCCCCATCCGTGGGAGAAGTGTGATATTCATAATTTAAGGCGTATATAGCACTCCGAAAAGATTTGCAGCACAGTGACAAGTTACTATTCTTTAAGATGTGCCGGGGTTCCCACAATTAGGCATATGGCGTCGACGGAGGTCGTCTCGAGATGCCGCATCATACCCATGCATCATCCCACACCAGCTATCCGCACACCTTTCGCGCACTTTTTGTTTTTCAGAAAAGAAAAGAAAAAAGCATTGATATGGTAAATAACCCGAAAATATCATACAGCACGTACCAAGACATCTTCCTGGAAGAAGTCGTTGCCAACCCACATTAGACGGAAACCAGGCGAGACTCGAAGGAATGGTGCCGGAGGGGACCCACAAATCCGTGTAAGCTGAATGGTTGGGTTGGATGGTCAATCGCCGCCACTTCCCAGGTTAGTAACACAATTAGCAGACCCAGTTCCAGACTCCAGGTGCAACCCGAATCAGCAGCATGTCGATGGGCCAGGACCATCTGGTGGAGCTCCATCCAGCCCGTGATCTAAATCGGGATCATTTAATTCCATGTGTTGCTCTATTGAGGTCGCACGGCGGGCGCCATTTGTCTCACAGCCCCGGTTCAGCCGTGTCGGTCGCAGTCCCACCTCGGACAGGATTGGCAGTCAAGGCCAAAGAGAGAGATGCAGACTTTTCCAAGAACACAAGAACGACATCTTGGAAGATAGCATTGTAATTCAATGGGATGGATGTTCAGGGTTTCCCGGGTCTTTCAGGCGACTTCCCATCAGCGCGCATCATGGCTTTTTTTGGAGAGGGGGGGAGTACCTGTTTAATTTCGGATTGCCCAAGCGCCTGTAGTGAGTAAAACGGAGCGCATAGTGCTTGCTCTGAATTGTGTATTGTATATACTCAGTAGATGGAGTTTCGGCTCGTTTTTGGCGCAAGCTATGTACTCGAAAAGTCCCGCATCATCCCGCCTGAATGCACGACCCAAATGCCACCACCTGATCCTCCCTAGATGAATGCCAGTCTCCAAAAGATACAGAAACCGCCGCAGAACGCCAATCCGTGCCTTTGGGGAGAAGAAAGTGGGTATCCATCAAGGAAGTATAGTACAGAAAAGGCGTCTCTCATAAATCAGTCACGACATGTGACAGTGCCAAATACCCAACCCCGACTGACCATGACGGAGAGCTGGCTCTCCGAGGACCAATCCTGATGCTCACAGAATCCCAGAAGCTCTTATGCCTGTTGTCTCGCAGTCCAAGTCCATTCATCCACGAAACTCGGCTCGTCCTTCTTCGCCTCCAACTTCTTGGCGAGCACTGCTGCCCTGACGGCCTCCAATCGCCCGTATGACGGCAGGTCTTTTGAACAAAGCGCAATTTTCGCATCTATAATAGCCATTATAGCCCTTCCGTTCTTATCTCGCGCGTGTATATTGGCACCTCTGTCCAGCAACTTGCTGACGACCTGCTTGTTCCCACGTTTTGCGGCGACCAGGAGCGCCGTCTCCCCCTGCCTGTTCCGTGCGTCAAGTATTGCCCCATTCTCTATGAGCAAGTCAAGAATTCTCCCGATGTGCTGGCCGCTCTTGTCGTCTTGTTCGTCAGACAGTTGAGCCGCGAAGGCTATCAGGACGGTATTGCCCTTATGGTCGTAATGATTGACATTGGGTGGTGCTATCTGGGTCACCGGTGTCAAGAGGCCTTGGAGATATTGGAGTCTCTGGGTGATGGGCTTGATACGTTCCGCGTCGTCCCTACCGTGCTTTCTCTTGAGTGAACCCTTCGTCTTGGTGGTCGGTGGATGTGATTGACTCGGGGTATTGGGATCTGGGCTGCTCGGGCTGCTGGTGATAAATTGCATCTCTGCCAAGCAGTGCAGCCCATTCCGGCCTTCGGCATCCTCCAGAGCAGGATTGCTGTATGCTTCGGTCACGATGGATGCTAATCCCATGTCTCTGGTCGTGAAGTCGTCCTCTGGGGCCTCTTCGGCCAAAGGCGAGAGTGCTGTCGTGCCGGTACGTCTTGGAGGCGCAAAGGACGTGTCGACAGCTTGAGAAGGTGGTTTTATACCAAATGCGTCTCTCGGGATTTCAAACTCATAGTGCTGGTTGATATATTCGATTGCCTTAGGATCTGGCGCGAAGCGATCGAGCTGGTGGAAAAAGGTTCGACCATAGACATCGGGGGCATATGCCAGCTCTTTGTGGCGTGTGAAGAGGAAGGTCAGGAGCCTGTATAGGGGCGCGTTGGGGTCATTTATGCCGTAGAACCAAATGGGGCTCAGCACATGAAGAAACGTCTGGTGTGCATTGTTGGTCCTACTGGGATCTGCGCGCCCAGATTCGAGCAGATGAAACGATGTTTCAAGGTCAGACTGCCTATCCGATGCGGCGAAGATGTGGAGAGGAGTGTTGCCGAAGCGGTCCACACGAGAAATATATTCAGGCCCCTGCCGCACGCTTGCTGCCCAGTCGCAAAGTTCGCCCCGTTCGGTGATATAATAGGCGTCGTTGAGATCTGCCGTGTCGTCGGCAATCGTACACCAGCATTGGCTACCGACGAAATGCTTCTGCGCATTGCATTGGGGAACATACTTCCTAGAGATCATGAAGTCGCCAGGCACAGCTGTTCCAGGGTGTGGCGTGGGCCCGTTCGGTAAGGGGCTGTGATGTGCTGGGAAATCCGTAGGCGTCCGGCATGGCGAATTGCCGAGGTTCTCAGAACTACTAATTGTGAGCCTGCTCATGAGAAGGTTCACCTGCTTGGCAAAGACTGTCGACACGCTGATCCGGTGGCTCAGGTTTTTTATACTGTCTGTGCTCATCTGAGTGGACGTGGTGAAGACGGTATCGTTTCGAGTTGGCCGGCGGAGAGGAAGCTGGAAAGGATGTTGATCGTCGTCCTTTGGGTAGGCGGACCAAAGCATGGTGGGCGAGTCTGCAGGCATGGGGCTCGGCGAAGCAAAGCCAAAAGGCACGTCCAAGGGGCTCGTGAGACCAGCGGCATCATCGAAACGGGAGACTTCTGAGAGAGCCGGGGTGTGGAGCTCCTCCTTGAGCGCGGGGGTGACGCCGACCTCCTGGTCCACGGTGGTGCCGTCACTCTGGCGCCGGCGCTGGCTGCGCTTGTGTAGCAGCTTGAAGCGGGTGTTCATGTCATTCCTGTCGACAGGACGCAGGGGCCGGGGATCATGGCCGACCATCTTGTGCAGGGTCTTCTGTGCCGAGTTTTTCCTGGGCCGTCATCAGCACAGAATCGCACAGGTCTGCGGAGGGACATACTTGACATCGTCATTGGGGAACAGCGCCTTGATGATCTTCTCCATGGGCAGGGTGGTGTACATGTACAGCCTGGCCAGTTTCCTGGACCGTGATTCAGTCCATTGCGGAGGGCGGCCGATCCTCGCAGCACCGCCATTTGGGGAGTTGGCGGCGACAGAGTCGGGAGTGGCGACGTCGGCCATGGCGAGGCTCTGCTATCCTATCTGCTATGTCCCGGTCGGGGCCGGAAGAGGAAAGAAAGCTCTGGGCGAGAGTGGAGAGACCCGTGAGACCCGTGAGACCCGTAGGGCTTTTGAAGCAAGGCGATGGGGTCACTTTTTCAAAGAGTCGAGGGCGGGAGGCTGGGGCTGGGGGGCTGTATGTAGTTCAGCACAGCATCTTAGCAGCCACGGGTAGACCAGAGGAAATGCACTGCTGGCGGGCCAAAGGGGCGCAGGATGTTTATTGTACAATGTGAGGGCGAGGCTCTGCCAGCCCTCGTGTGGCCCTGGCGCGGGAGGGTGGCACCTTGGATGCATGTTGGTTGGGGACTTGGGACTGAAAGAGGGGGGGTGTGCAGCGGGAGGGGGTGAGAAGGAGTCGGAGCTGAGCCTTTGATTCGAGGTTAGCGGGTCGCTTAAGGGCGCTAGCAGGAGTCCAGCAGTCCAGGCCGCCCAGTTTGGTGGGGAGGCTTGAAGAGGCGGCGGTGGGGGCAGTCTGTCTCCCTCTTCCTTCCTTCCTTCCTTCCGATCGAGAAGCCCTGCTGCAGGATACAGTTACAGCTCCTCCGGCCACAGAGCGGTCCAAAGACCCTAAATCAGGAGCCCTGCCAGCCGTGACGCCTCGAGCAACTGCACTGCTGCCAGCTTCTGGTGATCAAAGTCAGGGCCAGGGCGTTGTTCTGGCAGAAACCAAAGTGTAAGAAAGGCAGGCAGCAGCGCCTCGGCCCTCCGTCACGGCACGGGGCAGGGACAGGGGCGCCTGGGCCGATGTGTATAAACAGCCTGCCGGCCTGCCTGCCAGCCCTGCCAGCCTGCATTGGGCAGACTGCAAGCCATTTTCCCGCCCTGCAGACTGAGATGGGACATCGTTGCCAGGCCGTTCACCTCGCCCACTTCGGTCAGGTTGTTGTCCGCTGACCGAGGTGATTGGCATCTGGAGGCAGGCCCCCTGGCCCCTTGACCTCGATGCATGTCAGGGCCAACCAAGTACAATCCATTCCTCCCGGCGTGAAAACAAAAGTACATGCCTGCACAATCAAGACAATGTAGCCGTCAGCACTTGAGGCGGCCCGGAGGCGCAGCCACCCCATGTGTGCTCACAGACAAACAGGCGCCCCGCAATGTGGCCATGCCCCCATTCTGGCCAAACACAGGCCGCACGGAGCAGAGCAGGACCAACGTCCTGTACGGCCGTCTGTAGCTTGAGCTCGAATTGAGTTTCGAAGCGCATGCACACACACACCACTCTGACATGGTCAAGTAGGCTTGTCTGCAGCATCATAAGCCTCTTTTCTCGTGCCGGATAGGCAGTCTGACGGTCAGTCTGTCAGTCAGTCAGTCAGTCACCTTTGCCCTTGGAGGCCTTCGAGGCTGATACACAGTGCCTACCAAGGTACGTGGGTAGATCGGCAGACGGGATCTGGTCTACTGCCAGCTGGTCTAGTAACACCATGAAATGTACTAGGTCTATTGGAGCACCTGTCTTGCCGACAGGGACAGTTGCGTCATTGCTCGAGATCGCACTGAGGGACGGACTGAGGGATTGAGGGATTGATTGATCACCCTCTCACATGCCTACCAAATGATATCATCACTGATAGCCCAGGGCTATTGTAGCAGGCGGCTTAGATACAGCTAGCTACATTGTGTTCGACCACTTTCCATCCATTGATCAACACCGTTCTTCATCTATCGTCAAACCACTGACTGACTGACAGCAATTGCGTATTGTGGAAACGCCCATCCAACCCCTTGCACAGCCTCACAAACCACAGTCGTCAACTGAACCAAGCTACAGCATCAACTGCATATCTCACCTTACCCACTTACCCACACCTGTGCACTCTGCACATAGTTGGCTTAGTGCATCAGCAATCACGATGAACCGCCTCGCCCTCCGCGTCCCGCCCATCTCCACCTCCGCCCTCAGGACCGGGGTCGCCCTCCCCATCTCGGCCCGACGACACTACGCATCCTCAGCCCCCAAGAAAGCCGAGCAAGCGTCTGCGCAGTCGGGAGGCTCCCGCTCAAAAGATGCCATCCTCTCTGCTGACCCCCTAGCTGGCGACGGTGCAAAGGGCAGGACCGGCGGCGGCGAGCCTCTCTCTAGTTCCGAGAACCCGCCCCCACAGCCAAAGATCAACAACGCCAGCATCCCAGGCCAGGGCAGGGACAAGCTCACCAAAGAGCAGCAGGAGGAGGTCGACAGGCACAACGCCGAGTTCGAAAAGAAAGTAAGCAGTTGTTTGGTAGTCTCGAAGCTGCCTTGGTACTACTAAACGAGGACGTTGTGGCCCGCTAACCTACTGCTCAGCACGATCGAGCGAGTCCGGCGGCCGAAGACAAGGTTGACAAAAACTTCTGGAAGGGACAAGGAGGCGTCGATGGGCATTGATAATCGATTATGCTGCAAGACAGCGTAGAGAGCAGTGGATGGATGGGAGAGCATCGACCTTCAGATAGCAATCATGTCTTCGAGATTGGATGCTGCAGCACCGCACACAGTATTTCGAGTCCTGCCTCTCGCCCCGAACCCCAATGGGTACTTAAGTATTTTTGACACTGCAGCCCTACCACATCGAGCAACAACCAAGCTTCTAGTGACATGAACCCTTTTTTTTCCGTCTTGCGAATTCAGCGCTCCGAATAACCAAATTGTCTTCTCGGACCTTGCGCTGCATGCATGATTGCTTCTCACCATCCAGGGGTCCCCTGGTCGACAAAGCCCCTTGGCCAACCTAACCCACCGATTGAGCGGATAAGATAAGCCAGGGCTTATCGATACCGTAATTTTTGGACCCTGTATGCGCTTTTCCTCCCGTTCTACCACTGAGAATTTCCTCCGGGATAACAACATCTCGACTGCCAGTTCCAGACAGTCCTGATCCAGCCAGGGTGCTCGCGGAAACCATGGGCAAAAGGAAGGTTGGTGCGCTCGAGAAACTCGATGCCGATCTCGCAAGTCTGCAGTTCAAAGTACGGTCCGACCCCCAGAGCTATGCCGAAGAGTTTCAGCGGCAGTACTCGGCCTACCTCTCTACCAAGGAGGTCTTCCTCGACAACCCGGCAAACGTGACCAGGGATGTCTCCCAGGACTTCCATGACAAGGTTGACTTCATCGCCCACGTTTCCGACTGCTTCAAAGAAGAGACAAAGACATTTCCAGACGACCTGAAGGAGGTGCTGACCCAACACCATGCAATCCTTCCTCCCGACGTGCGCGAGAAGCTCGTCGGGAGCTTGGTGCTCCTGCGAAGGAAAGACCTCGTATCCTCCGAGTACCTCCTCACCACCTTGTTTCCGATTCTTGTATCCACACCCAGCAAGAGCCTCAGGGCGGTGCTGTACCAGAAGATTGTCAGTGACCTGCGCAACTCGAACTCGAAACACACAAACCACCCTCTCAACCGAACTGTGCAAAATGTGCTCTCCATCCTCATCACCTCCGACAAGACGTCCCCCAAGGGAGTCTGGGCTGTGCGGTTGACGCGCGAGATGTGGCGGCGGCAAATATGGACCGACGCGAAACCGGTGCAGGTCATGAAGGAGGCTTGTCTAGCCGACAGCGAGAAGGTTGTGGTCGGAGGAGTCCGGTTCTTCCTGGGTGGCGACAAAGAGCGCGAGGAAATGGAGGATGACAGCAGTGATGATGACGCTGTCGACCTCAAGAAAATGCAGCACCAACACGGCATAAACAAGAAGTCCAAGAAGCAAGCAAGGCAATACAAGAGTGCTGTCGAAAAGGTCAAGAAGCAAGAGCGCAAGAAATCACAGCCACATCCGCTGAACTTTTCTGCTCTGCACTTGCTTCATGACCCCCAGGGTTTCGCCGAGCAGCTGTTCCAGAAGCACCTGCTGAATACCAAGACAAAGCTGGCCTTGGAGAGCAAGCTGCTTGTGCTGCAACTGGTCACTCGGCTGGTTGGCTTGCATAAACTCACCGTCATCAACCTCTATTCTTGGTTTATCAAATTCCTCACGCCCAAACAGCAATCCGTTACAACCTTTCTGGCATGTCTGGCTCAGGCAACGCACGATCTTGTTCCACCCGACGCCTTGGAGCCTTTGATCATGAAGATTGCGAACGAGTTTGTCTCGGAAGCAGCCGCGTCTGAAGTTGCAGCAGCTGGTCTGAACTCCATTCGCGAAGTCTGTGTGCGCCAGCCTCTAGCTATGACTGAGACGCTGCTGCAAGACTTGGTACAGTACCGAAAGAGCAAGGACAAGGGCACAATGATGGCCGCAAAGGGCCTGTTGTCTCTGTACCGTGAGGTCGGTGCAGAGATGCTCAGAAAGAGAGATCGTGGCAAGAATGCTACCATGAATCTACGGAGTGGAGAACTGCAACAGCGGAAGTTTGGAGAACAGGATGTCGGTGGTATTGAAGGTCTCGACCTGCTCGAGAAGTGGAAGGAGGAAGAAAAGAAGCGGAAACGGGTGGCCAAGGGCCTGCCAGAAGAAGCCGGTAGCGGCGAGGACGAGGAAGCCGATGTTTCCGACGATAGCGACTGGGAGGTTGATTCTGTGGCCAGCAGTGATTCCGGTGGCTGGATCGCCGTGTCAAGCGAGAGCGAGGACGACGAGCCAGCGACCAAGCGTCAGAGGAAAGGTTCATCAGAGGCACCAGAGCTCGTGGACGCAGACAAGCCCAGCGCGGCGGCAGAGGTCGAGCGGATGTCCAAGCTCGCTACAACCACCATCCTCACGCCAGCGGATCTGGCCAAGCTGCAGGAGCTGCGCGTGCAGGCCAACCTCGACAAGGCCATGGGCAACCGCTCCAAGCACGCCCGGGAGCTCGCGGCCCGCCACGCCGACGACCCCCTGACGGCCGAGCAGATTGAGCTGCCCGCGAAACTGCGCAAGACGACCAAGGAGGAGAGGATCGCCCTGGCCAGGGAGGGCAAGCCGAACCGGGACGAGCACAAATCCACGCAGGCTATCCGCAAGTCCAAGAAGGAGGCAGAGGGCAAGTCGACGTCGAATAAGGAGAAGGCCAGGAAGAAGAACTTCCTGATGACGATCGGGAAGGCGAAGCAGAAGCACAAGAGGAGTCTTGTGCAGACCAGGAAGGTACTGCAGGATCATGTTAATAGGAGCAAGAGGGGCGGGAAAAGGGGTAACAACAATTGAGAAGTCTAGTTGCTTGATGTTCGGGATGTCCCTCTTCTTGCTTAGCTGGGTAGACTACTCAAAGAATATAATCAGCAGCTTCCAAAACTTCGATCTTCAATGGCCATATTGTATGTGAGACGTGGACCCGGGGAAGACTATCTGCAGTCTCTATCTAGTCTTATGCCATGCCCTCGGCAATTGCTAAAGGGAGGTGTCTCGAAACCCATTTTGCATGCTTTCGTCACAGGCCCAGAAGCTGTGTGCACAATTTGCCTGTTGAGCCAGTAGCTAATGGGCTTGTTGTTAGACGTCATAACTCTTGATTCTGCTAGAGGTATATTTCGCTACACATCTACTGCACCGGTCTAGCTTCTAGCAATGTATTTGTTCAGTAAGATACGCTTCCAAGTAATAGCAGGCCAGGTGGCAGGACAACCTGCCAGATCCTACAGAACAGTGTAGTCATTTTTCCTACGTAATACTTGGACTTATTCATGCGACCCCGCGGACTCTTACATGGTGCAAGTTTCGGCCTGACTTTGTGGAATTATGTTTCTTGGTCTGCCAACAGCATGTGCACAGATATGGGTATACGCCTTGTGGGTGGACTTCAAATGAATTAATCCAATTTCTCGAATTCGCTGAAGCTGCTTTTGATTCTTCCCCTGCACCTACGCCGACATATCCACCTCAAGCATAGCGAATGTAGCTTGGGTACAAAAGTAAGGTGAATATCGCATCCCTGCCAAATTGAAGTAGTCCACCCCGTGAAAACTATTCAAGGCTACCTAGGCAAGACCCATCACATACAACAAAAGTTTGCCGTACTGCAGTCTGTCAACCTTTTGGCCCGCTGTCTGTCTCTCACGGGTTTGTTTCTGATTATGAATTATCAATGGTTTTGCTTCTATTCCGTACACGTTCAGAGCCATATACGGAGCTTTCATACAGTGGTAAAAGCTCGAAACCTACATATGTAGTCGCTGTATGTACATGGAACACCGAGAGCCTCAGAAATCTAGATGACTTTGCTATTCCAGAAAATCCTCAATTGCCAATAAAAGATGTTTGGTAGGTATTTTCGTTTTTCATAACCGTACATATAAAGTGTATCTGGCGCCTTTGCATACATGTGTAGTAATAAATGCTCCTGAGTTCCCTCTTATTCATTAGGTATATCACGTATGCCACATAGCACTTTTCTGTATAAGATCTTGGACTTTTACTATTCAGTACATTCATGTTCGGTCTAGGTCTTTGTGCATTCAAAACACCGTAGGACTGCAAAGTATTTAGCTCTGCTCGAATCGATACGCGGACGAGGAGCAAAACCACCTGGGCAGCTATACTAGCATGATGCTCCGTTTCTTCCGTGTGCCAAGATCGATACATTCCATTCAGCCGTATAGTAGCCATCTCGAAAATTATTTTTTGGTCGTTTCTTTCTCACGTCGTTCCAACCGTCATTATTCGTTGACATCTCTGGAGTACCGCTGGGTTGAATGCGCATAACTAGGTGGTACTTGGCTTGTCTTCAAAACCATCAAGCAAGAAGCGGATGTGGGAACCCAACCTTGGATGTCTAAAAGCAACTTGAACTCGATGCAAGGATGCGACGTATTGATTGTTAAAGAGGCATTATAATTTTTTTGTTTTTGAAAAAAAAAAAAAAAGGGGGCATCTGAGCGTTTACCACTGTATGAGCGCACCGCGTACAATTTCTACGCGTGGGGATTAGACACGAAACCATGTGAGTGTTCAAAATCAGCCGGACCACTTATTCCCGCTATAGAGTCATATTCATGACAGATTTCATTTTTCGCACAACGTGCAGACGAAGTGTTCCCAGAAAGCCCACCTGGGGTCCGAATGAAGGATTTGGTCGGGATGTCGGGCTGGACAGAGGGCCCGAACTGTCAATCCGACCTGTATAGGATTTTTCGTGGGCTGTTGCCACCCACATACTTCATACGTCTGAGCACTACTTGTTTTTGATTGAATCATCAGGAATTGCCTACCCTGCAAGAAGTTCGCATCATCGAGAAGGGCGTTAATGATTAGAGACCACTGGCTTGACTGATAGCCACGGGATACAAAAGACCCATTTGTGATAAAGTGATGAGCCCCAGGAGGCTAGAGAAGCCACATCCGCTTTTCTTGACTTGATCGACAGTCCGTTGGGAGCAGCCAAGCCTAGGAAACGAGATGAAGATTTTGGCAACTGAGCCAGTCAATGAGTAGAAGCGCAGGCTTGCAAGCGTATCAGATATCCACAGCAACAGCGCCACAGGTGCTCTCCTCTTCCTGCTCGAGCCAAGACAAGCTATTGCGCGCATTGCGGAATCTTCTGCTTGCCCCTGAATGCAAGACGTTCTCTGGGAGCACAGCTAAGCCAGATCAAAGGTGGGTTCTCCACCTTGAGTCACCGCACGACTCGACGTTCCAGCCAGAGAGAGAAAAAAATCCTTGCACATATCTACTACATAGTACGCACTCCCGTGTTTGTCTGGAGCGCATGCTATCATCCTGCACCAAATCGTGACCGGGAAATGAAGAGGAATCCATACACCGATATTCTGCAGGACGGCTATTTCGCAATCGGCATGATCCGAGTCATCAGGTAGATCCACATCCATGCGGCACCGCATGAAAATACTGTGTAATGGTCTGCCTTTGATCAGAAAACGCGCACAAAGTGGGTTAGACTGCGATGCCTGGATCAGTACTGGCCTGCGTGGGGGTCTCTTTCTTTCCAAGGTTCTCTTTCTTTCCTTTTTGTACTTGGGCATTATGCATCACACCAGTTGACCATTCAGACCTGCGGATCGCCCGGCTACCATGCATCACAGTGCCGCTGAGGAACTACAAATTACCTCATGCTCGTCGGCGGGCTCCACGGGCTAGATGCTCCTACCATGGCGACTCCACTGCCTCCCGTCTGATGTTCGATATCGGCCCTTCCTCCATTGAGTCGCGTAGCCCAGACCTGGGTTCAGCAGCGTCTACTCGGATGGTACGGCCTCGTCTCAATCACTATTTGTGGACGGTTCTGGATCAACAGTGACTCCTCTGCAGTGGAGTCAGAATGCAGGGTACTAAATCTGGAATGGTGCAGCTAGTGGATTCATTTATGAGGTATCAGAAACACGTCAGGGAAACATCCTAGTATCCTGAAGATTCACGGGCAACCAAGTAGCGCCTTCAGTGTAATGCCCTCATCACCCAGTATAAATTCTATTTGGCTCCTATGAAATCATAGTAATCATTGTCTGGTGTTGAACAGCAATCACAGTGGTGTAGCAATTATCTCTATTCGCGCCGTTGATGTACACAGTAGACTAGAACATACGTCGTCTTGAAGCCTGCAGTGCCAGCCGAGGCAGACAGGCGCGGGTGGTCCGTGCGTGTCGTTGATGCCACTTCACCATTGGGAGTCGGCTACCAAGCGTCAGCGCCGGTTTGCAACCAACATCCTCAGTCCAACGCACGACCACAATTTGCTCGTACACCACCAAGTGTCCCATCTCGCAACATTCATGTGAGCCGGAATAGTGGTCAGCGGCATGATGCGCCGTCTCAATCTTGTTTTGCTAGCCAGCCTGCAGCTGTGCAGGGCTCGGCAACCTGGATTCAGCATCCACGATGATATGCTGGCTCACCCGCAGGTAAGGAAGCTGCTGCTGTATTTTGGTAGCTTCTCCCCTTGGCGCACATCACCCTTCTGACCGTCGCCCGGCAGTTTGAAGTTGTTTTCCCAGACACTATAATTCTTGAGAAAGACGCACAACGGATAATAGAATCCTCACGATCCTCCCAACCCACCTACACCGCCGACTTCTCCTCACAGACCGAACTCACCAGCCAGGCCCGCGAGTCCACGGCGGCCGACTCCGGCCAAGATGGTGACCCCGAAGATGGCATGCCAGAGATATCCGAGGAATTCGAGATCATCAACATCCCGCCCTCTAGGTTTCTCTGCTCCGTCCCGGTGCTCGCGCCACCTCCGGCCCCCAACCAGACTGCGACAGACCTGGCAAAGGCAGAAGAGGCTCGCGAGCTCGCGCGGGCCAACATGCGAGGATGGGAGCTCATGAGCGATCTTGAGAACCAGTGCCTCTACTTTGTATCTGGGTGGTGGAGTTACAAGTTTTGCTACGGACAGGATATCGTCCAGTTCCACGCGCTCCCCACTAACATGAAAGGAGGGCTTCCGGCGCGGGATCCACATAGCCAAGAGTACGTCCTAGGGAAGGTGCAACAGCCCCAGAGCACCAAAAAGGGCAAGAAGCAGAGCAAGGAGTTACAGACGGACACAGGCGCCCAGCAGGCCGACTTCAAACCCCCGCCAAACACCGAGCTGCAGGTGAAGGGCGACCAGCGTTACCTGGTGCAGCGGCTAGCAGGTGGCACGATTTGCGATCTTACGGAACGCGAGAGGACCATCGAGATCCAGTATCATTGCAACCCGGGATCGACGATTGACCGCATCGGTTGGATCAAGGAGATAACCACATGTTCATACCTCATGCTGGTCCATACGCCTCGCCTGTGCGAGGACGTAGCGTTCTTGCCGCCAAAGGAGACCCGCGCACATCCCATCAGTTGCCAGCGTATCTTCGATTCTGAAGAAGAAGCGAATGCCTGGCGACTGCGTAACAGCATTGAGGCCGCAGAAGCGGCGGGCACTATTCAGGGTCAGGAGGAGGCCAGCGAGGCAGCGGAGAGCGAAGACGCCGCGCAGAAACAGCAGGACGCGCAGAGCCTAAACAAGTTCAGCGGCATGGAGATAGGCGGCATCGTTATCGGCGGCAAGCAGCTTCACGGCACGGACGATGGCCAGCCTCCGCCCAAGTTGAAGCCACCAAGGGGCTTCGTTGCGGGCAAGGGGGCCTCGTCGAAACCACTTATCGAAACACTTGCCAGAGCCTTGAGCAAGGCCGAGGGCGGGCAGGTGGAGATGATGACGGACGAAGGGCTTGAGAAGCGCAACCTGGACCCGGAAACCATAGACCAATTCCGCAAGGAGATTGAGAAGATCGCAGGGGACAAGGCCTGGACGCTCGAAGTTGTTGAGGTGCCGGGAGAGGTGCCAGAGATCCGGGGCATTGTGGACGACGGGGAAGGCGACGGGGACGGCGACGGCGAGGGAGAAGCCGAGGTCGAGAGCGGGGACGGCGACGAAGGAGAAGGAAGCGAAGAGAAGTTCTTCAAGGAGGAACTGTGAGGTGGTCTCGAGGCGATGTCGGCCTTGTTGGTAGAGTACAAGACAGTACGACACAGTACACTTTAGCACAGCGCAGCACATGATTTTTATCATACCATATCAGGGTGTCTCGGAAACAAAACGTGGTGCGTCCAGACCGTCAGGCTCAGCCAAGGCGAACCGAGACGAACCAAAGGGACTAGACGGACTAGACGGCTCAAATGCCTCAGCAGACGGACAGAATGGGGTGGGAGGAAGACAAGGACCTCCTGAAGCGAGGCCCCCGAGGGCCGCAGCGCAGCCATCATGACGCATGGCACCAATCAAGCTTTCTTGAAGCGGATCCAGCAACTTACGTGGTTTGATGCCGTGAGAACTTGCGGCTGAAGTTCAGGGGCCAGGGGTGGGCCTGATGGGTCTCTTGTCAGGGGGGCTCGAGCCACAGCAAGATCCATTCTGGTCGATCCGTCTGCCCTGTCAGGGCCACTTGGCCGACGGGGGTGCGCTCTGGTGGCCCTCTTGGCCCTCTTGGCCCTCTGGTGGCCCCTCTTGGTTTGTTCTTTGGTGGGCTCCTGTTGAGAGGGTCCATCAAAAGGCGAGAAAAATCTCCTGAGTCCTGGCAGATGCAGGCGTACGGGCGAGTCGCTGCGCTAGCCAGACCAAAGTGGGTAGGTAGGTGGACAAACATGGTATCTGTGCTGCAATAGCGTGCGGTGCATATCTGGGCTGCTGGGCATATGATGATTGTGCATCATGGTGGTGACACTGTCGTAGTGTGTATAGTGGCAGTCAGGCAGTCCCGAGTGGTGGAACGATGCCTGGATGCTTCCCACCCTCCCTGCCTCCCTGCCTCCCTGCCCTCAAATCTCGGCGAGCACACACAAGCGGCAGCAGGCGGCATCACCTGATGAGCACCCGTCGTCACCAGGAAAAGAGTTTTCGGCCTCTTGGAAGACCACAGAGAGGGCAGGTCGAGCGAGGACGCTAGCAATAGTCGCAACCCGTTGCAGGAGTCGGATGCGACGAGATCCTGGTTTCCCCGCATTTATTCTGCAGCAGGGCACGGCCAGAGTCCGCAGCAGCAACGCGGCAAGGTGTTTGGCCAGATTGAAGGGGTCGGGAGGCTACTTGCTGTATGTAGGGTAGGGTAGGCAAGGTTGGGTAGGGTAGCATAGGGTAGGGGTAGACAGACGAGGCAGGCAGGCAGGGCACAAGCAAGGAGGAGGATGATGTAGATGTAGGTGCAGGTTGCAGTTGCTAGCTGCTAACTGCTAGCTGCTAGCTGCTAGTTCCTAGTTGGGTGGTGCAAGGTGCAAGGTGCAAGGTGCAAGGTGCAAAAGGTGCAAAGGTGCAGTCGCAGTGGGTGGGCAGGCGTTTGAAGAGAGGGAAAGGGAACCCCTCCAAGCCCAAACCCAGATCTTCCCTCACCAAGCCATCCATCCCGTCATATCCTCGACTCCTCCCCCTCCCCCATCCACCTCCAACGCCGATCTGTCAGTCTGCCTGTCAGTTTGTCAGTCTGCCAGTCTGTCCAGCCAGCCAAGGTAGAGCCAGTGCGTGTGGCCTTGACAACTGACCTCTTTGCGCGCTGCGCCCTCCCAAAGTCAATCGGCCCCGGCCCCGAGCCGCCCACCCTACTACTACCAGACCTGCCCGCACCGCCATCGCTCCATCTCTCGCTGAAGACTCAGAACCTTCTCTCACCCTCGCGGAGCCTCACTCACCCTGCGCACCTCTCTCACCCACCAGAACCATTCCCGTCGCTTGATGACCCGGCCCGCCCTACCGGCAATCATTATGTCGACTTTGTCCTGAGCGGATCCCCCTGCAATCCCGCCACCCCGGACATTAGTCACCCTTTACGGATCACGGAATCACGGGTCACGGAACGCCTGCCCGCCCCTCCCCCTACCTCTCTCCCCTCGGTTTCCGCCCCCAGGATGAAGACCGAAGACGACTCTTCCGACTACGTTTCCGCCGTGCCTCCCGTCTCAGCCTCCGACTCCGATCCTGCTGCCAGCCTGCGGCCCTCCGGCGCCGCCACCGACCTCGATCCGGCCGCCTATCAAGCACCCGCCCTCTCCGGCCCCTCCACCTCGCCCACCAAGCCCTCGCAGTCCAAGCGGACCGTCTGTGACCACTGCAGGAGACGGCGTATGTGTGCCTCTGTTCTGGTTCCTCCTCTCCACCTCCACCTCTGCCGCTGCTTCTACTTGCCACGTGTGTATCTGTTGTCGTCCATGCCCAGTGTTGCCTCTTGACCAACTGAACCTGTGTCTGGCTGTATTCCCGTGCTTCGTCGCCATCACGTAGCTGGACCTTGTCGTGCTGACAACACCCCCTCAGGAATCCGCTGCGACGGACAGCTGCCGTGCCAGCAGTGTCTCAATGCGAGCTTGACTTGCAAGCGGGATCATGTTCCCAGAAAGCGTGGCCCCAAGAGGGGCCACGGCCGTGTTATGTGTGTGGCCCCCTTACCCCATCTGCTTGGCTACCTTTCACCCACCTCTGCCCGTGAGGACTACCGTTGCAATGTGCCCTGGGCGAGAAGTGACATGGCTGTGTGCTTCGATACGTCTTGTGTGCGGGTTTCAGCGTATCTGCCATTAGAAGTGACGCTGACTGACCTGCGTAGCAATGAGTTGAGGGCGCGTGAGAAGGAGAGAGAAAGCAGGGACAACAGTGCAGAACCTGAAGTCCCGCCAGGACGTGCCACCTACCCGTCCACGGCATTGCCACAGGATGTCTCGTGGCGGAACAACGCCTCGGATCCTCGCAACGGACCAGAACCAAGGAGCATGTTCACCTCGGATCAGCACCAACCTATCCACCGACCATTCCTTCACCTAATCCCGCAATGTGTTGACCTCTACTACGAGCACATCTATCCTATCATGCCAGTCCTCTACATGCCAGCGATCCGCTCCATGATCACGAGGCAGATGAACCCGTCCGAGAAGAACCTCATCTTCGCTCTGTGTGCCCTGGTCAGCATGCACATGTCCGGGAAGAGCCTCAGCTTTGACGGCCCAGCCTCGTGGGAAGACGCCGGCCGCTTTTTCCTGGACGAGTGCGTGTCAAACCGGCAGTCCTATGATTTCATGGAGGACATGTCGTTGAATGCTGTGATATCTTCATTCTGGCTGTCCACCTCTTTCTTCGAGATAAACCAAAACCGAAAGTCTTGGTTGTATCTGAGAGAAGCACTCACCCTGGCCCAAGACATGGGGCTGCATGATGATTCCACATACGTTAGCTTATCCCCTCAGGAGGCTCTGTGCCGGCAACGGGTTTTCTGGATATTATTTGTCACTGAAAGGTAGGTCATCCAACCGCCTCAGGTACTACGCAAAGTATTTCCTAACATCGTGCTCAGATCTTTCGCCATTTTGCGCAATAAACCCATCACGTTCAAGAAGACGCCAATGTTACCTACGACGCGACATTCATACGAGTCGCCGGACATTCATGCCGGCTTCCTGCAGCTGGTGTCTTCGTATACGCCTCTGGACGAGTCCTTTGTATCGGCCTGGAACGAGGGATCTGACCCGCGGGTCAGTGCAACAACCTACCTCGCTCTCCAGAATCTTCTGGCCCAGCCTCCTTCCTTCCTTCAGCGATCCCGCGCCACTACGCCGTCTTCAGACTCTGCCCCGGTCTTTTCTGCTCCTGTGACAGCAGCACCATCAGTCTCGGGCTCCAATGACGATGCAGACGAGGAGATAGTCCTGTCCGAGCCGACTGCCATTCAGAAGGCTGACCTGCTGGTCACCCAGCAGTGGCTGAGGTTGATTGTATGGCAGGCTTCATTTCGCCAGAGCCTTCTCAGCTGGACGGCCCCGCACGAGAGCATGCATTTCGCTTTTCCTCTGGCAATCGCCCGCTCCACTGCTGCTGTCCTGCAAAGTCTTCCCAGCACCGCCGTCGAAGTACACGGCATGGGGATATTCGAGAAGATTTTCGAGATTGGCACATGGTGCATGAATGTGCTTGGCGCTGTCGATCGGGCCAGCGCCGCTGGAACTCCAATCAGTGGGCTGGGCTCCCTAAGCGGTGGCCTCATGGGGATGGACTTCTTGCCCGGAAACGGTGATCTTGGTGTGCTTGGAGTCGGTAGGAAAGGCGCCGCCATTGACCCGCTCGAGTTCTTCGTACGCACGCTCAGTGCAACACCAAACAGCAGGACACAGTTTGCTGAAAGACTGTTGATGTTTGCCCAGGAGCGACCGGGCGGGATGAGAATGGCATTGACGCCATCCCTCACATCACCCATTCTGGGGCCTGAGGGCGGTATGTCTATGTCGTGGCTGACCGGGTCAAATGGTGGCAGCCAAATGGGTGGAATCCTCGGGGAGGTGGTCAAAGACGAGCAGGAGCCGGAGGCCGATTCTGAAATGTACTCGATGGGTGGCAACTTGAGCGTTGGACCGCCCACGTCGTCTTTTCTCGGCGACCCGCTACTCGACCCTGACAACGTCGACGCCTTTAGCACCGCTCTCAACAGCGTGGCTGCGGGTCAGCGCTCGATCCCAGCATCCGTGCCCGCGCTGACAACCTCGGTACCGCTTCCGGATTGGACCAGTGACATCAATGGCGGGCCCCAGCAGGACTGGGAATACGATCTGACCAGCCCGCTGGCCGACAGCTTCAGCAACCACATCTCGGCCTACAACAGTGGCACGGGGACCCCTATTGGTTCCTTCACGCCTGGGACGTTCTCGAGGCAGGATTCGGCAGACAGCTTGTATCAATACCAGCAAAGGCAACGGCAGCAATTCACGAGTGGATTCAGCAACGGCGGAAGCTCCAGCAGCATCGGTATGACCAATGACTAGGACGGGAATATAGGGGAATTTACAAAGGGTTTTGTTCGAAGGCTTTTCTATGGAACGAAACAAGGTATAACTCGGAGGCGAACGGCATAGAAATGGCAACAGGGGTCTTGAGCACTTTGGGGGTCACAGATACCGTCGGCATGTTATTTTGGGAGGTATGAATCTTCCTGCTACTTTGGAGTCTCCAGGACGATACCGGGGTGCATTTCAAGGCGGTCGTAATTTTTGGTGTGGTGCATTATTTTGGTCGCTCGTCTCCGCGTTTATTTAGTACGAATGCATACCAGGATATGGGGTTGGGTGTGGATACCCTAATCAGTCCGTTGAAGAAATTCATCTCATTCAAGCGTATTCTTCATCGCTCATCACATTTACTGTTATCATGGCACCGTCACATACATATGTTTGCTTATTCTACCAACCTTCTATTGCTTAGGAGGCTACCCCTAGGAGGATGGGAGGTTGTCTTCTTATAGGAGGCTGGAAAGTACCTAGACGCCGTGGTCGTGCAGGAGACATCCGAGCAGAGCTCACATGCTTGATTGAAGGTAGAGTTCCTTACGAATAAAATTCTTGGACTTGCTTCAAACGTGTGCTAGTATGGACCTGGGACCGACCGAGCTGACCAGGCCAGGACAAAAACAGAGGGCACACCTGTTCCGCTTACCTACATATGTAGTCACTATTCCTCGCCCGCGATCTTGGCCATTTTCTTCCTTCGCCCAACAGATTCCCGGGAAAGTATGGTAGCTTGAACGTATAATCCGCCAAAGAAGGAATGAGCTGCTGGAGAAGTAGTGCAATCGCAACGAGGATTTGCTGCTTAGGTAGTATTGGGAACTTGTTGGTGTGCCCGTATTTTTGTCCCCATCGTGCCACGGAATTGTATGAAAAAGCAACTGATACCCTCTTTGACAGTCATATTATGATCCCAATATCTGTCACCTCTTAACTAAGTGGAGCGCCGCCATCATCGTCGACACCATCAAAGCCAGAAGATGCACTGATCGAAGGTCCTGGCTGTACCTCGCGACCCTCCGCATGGGAGTCGTGCAGATCAAGCCGGCACATCGATGCTGCAACATCGTCCAGGTCAGTGTCAACGAGGAAAGCACCGTCAAATCCGACGCTGGTGCCCTGGTTCAGCGTCGGGAAGGTTGGATCGGTGTTTGAGTCGTACCTCTTCCTCTCGGGGACCTTCTCGGCCAGCGTGCGGAAGGCATCCTCTCGGACCCGGTCGAGTACTTTCATGAGGATCTGCTGTCTCCATTTCTTCGCTGCCTCTCCCTGACGAACGTAGACGTCTGGGGCACGCCAGTTGATGTAGACATTCCTGTGGGTCTTGCGCACGTCAATGTCGGTGGCCGAGGCCGTGAAGTAGTAGGCACACAGACGGCATGTTGGCTTGCTCGATCCGATGTACTTGCGCCGCTCGAAGAAGCAGGATGGATGCAGACCCGATAGGCTGAATTCGTCGATGAGGGACTGTAGGAGGAGCACCTCCGCGTGTACGAGGGCCTTGAACCCCTTGCTGACTTGATCCTGGATCTTCGTGTCCAGGTCGAATCTCTGCAGCTCGTCGGCGTGGGCTCTATACTGCCGCATTTCGGTCTTGTCTGATGTCATGCGGCCGATGATTGCATCCGCGTCGACCCTCTTGTCATTGACTGGGTTGACCAGGGGAGTTGAAGAAGGGATGAAGTTGACCTCGACTTCATAGAACAGACGCTCCCATTTCTTCCTGGCTTCAATGAGAGTTCTTGAAGCCTGATAGTATGACAAAAGTCTCCCAGCATTATGGCGCAGCTCAGCCCACGGCGAGCTCTCTCCACTTTCCGAGCTGGCCTTCTCATGCAGACTTTTATACGTAGGGGACTTTGAGAAGGCCTTGATGCACAGCATGAGATTGGCACAAGCTTTGAAGACTTTTTATGGGTCAGTCACATCATGCCGACCCCTTGCGCCTTCGTAAACAACCCTGGGAACGTTTTACTCACATGCTGGCTCGTCGAGCTCCCGGTTGTCGGCTATCTTAACCAGGTCTTGGACTTCCCTGACCTTATCAGACAAGTCGGTCGAAAGTTTTGGCGTGTCCAGGCATATCTGAGTCTGACTGTAGAGGTACCTGATATAGCCTTGTAGCCTCAGTCGGTTGAACGCAACAATCTTCCGGAGAACTGATGCCATGAGAAGATTTGAGGATGATGGAGAATAACCCTTCAGAGTCTCGAGGATCCCCTCAAGGTAGCTCTTTACTTTCAGGAGCTCTTTCTCAGATCGCTGATTTGATGCGAAGCGACTAGAAATCCATGAATGCGCATGAATACATTGACTCTTGCCCGGGGCGGTACTGGTCTTGGGGAACGTTGACGGTGACTCACTACTGCACGCGGTCTGGATATTGGAGAACAGAAATGGCGGTTACCGCGTCTCCGCCACGTCTGTTGTCGCATATTTGGCATAACTTGTTGACAAAGTCTTTGAAGAGCTCGTCAGGGGAGTGAGATGGCACCTCAGCCAGTGACTCGGCGACCCTTGGGGCATAATTGTGCATGCATGCTTGGGTGAGGGCGAGAAGTAGAACAACCGGCTCATAGAAGCGCCTCTGGAGCTTGCCCAGTGGCACGAGGGCGCTGTCAGCTGCGCTGGCTCCTAACGAGAGTAAGCATCACACTGCATCGTTGAGTGGATCTCTCACAATCTCACCTTGGAGATAAGGCATTGCGGTTGGCTCACGACGCTTGCGTAATGAACAAAAGGTCGAGGGGTATATATAAGAGAATTAATGGTCATGAAGGATGTCCGAGTAATCGCTTGATGCTTTCTGGTGGTTGAAATGATACCCGAAGAGCCGGAAATTGATTCGATTTTATAGACAATGGATCAATCAATGCCTGAAGTGTCTGCGACTTGGATTGTCGAGATATCTTGCAGTACGCCTAGGAGACCTCAACAAGACATTGGCAATGATGTCCCGCATGTACCGGCAGCCCAATGATGTGGAGACTCCACCCTGCATGAGGCCTTGTTCTATGTGTGAGGCCTACTGTGGGACAATTCTATTGGCTCGCCCCCACAGTTCTCAGCCCAGCGAGCGGACTGGGCTCACCTCCTCTGCTCTCCTGTCTGTTGGTTCCACACGACTTCGAAGTCTGCCTTGTCGGCTGAGCTGCTTGAGGCCAACTTGAGGCCAACTTGAGGCAGTGCAAATCGACCAACCACGCACGCAGCACAGAAAGAATGTCAGACCATCACTTATCGGCATGCATCGAAACTGAAAGATCTTGATGGAACCCTGGAAGTGGGTGAAATAGGTGCTGACTGCGTTGCACGTTGGCCTCACGCATCGGCGCTGGAACCATCACGAGAAACCCGTCGGTTAAAGATGCATAACCAGCCAAGAACCCTTCGTGTATATCTCCACTGTAATTCACTTTCGGCTCAGACCCCTTACTCCAAACTCTCGTCTGATTCAGAAGTAGCCTGGCCGTGGATTGTGTGTGGGCTTGCGAGTGTATTCCAATCGTTGTCACACTGCTCACGAGCTTGTATGAACCAGAAGGCATCTCCACAGGACATGTGAGTGCTCAATTATTTGAAGCTTGCTTTATGTGGGAGCTAATTTGCTAGCTTGGGGACTTTCGTCTCTGGACTGCTTCAGGAACTAATCCCGGCGTGCTGACACTGTACGTAAATGCTTGATACAATGATGGTGGCGGCAACTGTGGGCTCTAGACTCACAAGGAGTGACAGGTGTATACCGGGTTCCTCTTCCGAGCACGACCCGTCACATTGAGGCCTAAATGTCGTCTCGTCGTTACCACAATAGGTCCAGCAGACAGGGCCACAGCGGAGGCCACAGCAGAGGCCACAGCGTGCTCTACGACTACCCCATGACTTCCACACAGGAGACCCTACATGGATCTTACAGCTACGGGATGTCCACCGGACAGCAAGGTCTCACCGAGGAACCTTGTGTGAATCCCAGTGACCTGGCCCTGCAGCAGGTACTTCCGAGTGGCACCGGATTCTCCCAAGATTATGGGAACTCTAGCCACTTCCAACCGGGACTCGACGCCAGTGTCTATCCCCAGAGCTTTGGAACGGATCTTGACTATTTAAACACTGCCTACGCGGGTCTGTCTGGTGAGGGCTTGGGCCAGAGTTCTTAGACCTCTGGAATTGACCCAACCATCACCATCCCCAATCCCCCGCAGGATTCCACGGCGGCTACGGACGACCTTTTATCCTACCTTGATCCCGAAATGGCTCTTGACGACTTCAGTCCCATACAAAACAACTTTCCAGCCCCACTACCTCTTGACAATAATAACTATCCCTTGAACACCCCTGCTGACCCCAATTCCGGCACCAACCTACCGAGCCCAAGGAACTCGACGAGCTCCTCAACTGAAGATTCCCCTTTACCCAATGGAGTGCATGTTTGCAACGAGTGCAATAAATCATTCCGCACCAAGAATTCATACGAGTGAGTTCACTCTATCACTACCTATGGACGACCAATCGCTAATCTTCATCACTAGCAAACACTGTACGTCTAACATCATTCCTTAAGCGCTAGAGAACTTGCCCAGATTTTCAAGAACGAACTATGTGATAGATAGCTAACAAGTTGAAGATCGAACCCATAACCCCCCAATATCCTGCCCACGAGAAAGTGAGGGTTGCCAAGAGAAGTTCACTCAAAATAAAGACCTTGAAAGGCATATACTGGTGCATCACCGCCCATTGGCCGCAGAGGATAACCCCGAGTATGCCCACCTGTCCAGGAAAAAGATGGCATACAAGTGCGAATGTGGTCACAAGTGTGACAGAGGTGACAACATGAAGCGCCACAAGAAGACTTGCCGGATAGCAAGAAGCAAGCACTGAGAACATGAAGGGGCGACGCTCGGCTTGGGGTATTGCCGCATTTCGGGTTGAACATTTTCTCATTGCGGAATGAATCATGAGCTCATGACCTGTCGATTTCGGATTTCCTGCGTACTGCTTTTCGGGGAGGTTGTCACATGCAGCTCGAGGCGCTGCTCGATTTCCTGGGTGTTATTTTTGCAGCCCCCCTTGTGTTTCTTCTTAGTGTTCCAATCTGTTGAATCCCATCACTGATGTATTGATTTCTTTTGATATACGCTAGTTACTGTTATTAGGCCTTAAACATCTCGACCAACCAAAAATAACCAAAAATACCAACCGCTACGCACCTAGATGTTGATTGCTGGCCGTGACACTTGCTCGCAACCAAGTGAACAATGAATCATATCTGCGTAGACAAGATTGGAAGTACATGCCGAGACTAGGGTCTGATTTGAGAGACCCGGTTGTGCTGCCAGTGAGGGTGGTACTGGGCCCTTCCCATGGATCATGCCGCTAGGTCCAACGGTGGCTGCCATGTACTGCGCTGGGCATGGCGGCCTCGTGCAGCAGTGCCAGTAGTGTTGGCTGCATCCTTCGGTCACAATGGCAGAAAGACGGGCCTCATTTAGCCAGGGATTTGTTTCGCGGCCCGAACGACGCGTGGAAACAAGTTCAGGCTGAAAATGTGCCACGCATGCCATCCTGTCCCTCATTGCTCCTCGCTCCCAATTCAGCAAATCTCCTGGTTCAACACGGGCATTTTGGTGTCTATCAGCGGCCAGCTTTTCTGCACTGGACTGACTAAACAGGTTCACCCCAAGCCTATTGTAGAATACAAAGGGTGTTACTGTAATATGGGATGACAAACTTCTATGGGACAGCGTCCTTGGGATATATCAACGATAGTATGTATGTAGGTAATAATTGAGCTAGGGGGCCTCCGCTATGCGATCTGGGGAAGTTATTGTCTGGACCAGGCGTGGCATTGTGGTCACCAAGCATTCTTTTGAAGTTTTGGTAGCGATGATGAGGAGAAGGGGGTGGGCGGGCAGCAGACTTGTTTTCAAATTCCCGCGCTGCTTTCATCCCAAGAAAATCGTAATGGCAGGACGGGGACCCTCTGGGGGTTTGGCGAGGATCATTGATGCTTCATTATTTTCATCTACTGCCCCAGGTTCGCTTGAGGGTGATGCTATAGCGTGTGGGCAGCCCTTGCTTATTAGCACACGATCTCGCATGCACCCGGTCTCCCAGTCAGCCAGTCAGGCATGCCTACTAAGTACTTAAGCTTACCTAGGTAAGTAGGTATCATTGTCACAGCCAGAGGCTTGCGGTAGCCCGACACTAGACCACACCAGTTGACACGACGGTAAGCTGACCCAGGAGTCCAGGACGTCACGACCGGCATTTGCTAAACACGCTGACATGGCGGGCCGCAGTGTCTAGCGGCCCGCTGATGACCACCCAACTAGTGAGGCGTGGGAGGAAACGACAGCAGCCGTTCTGCCGTTGTAACCCCTGAGTCTATATAACCTGGGATAAGCCTGTCACGGGATGGTGTTCTGGACCGCAGGGTCTGAGAGTGCGGCGGAAATTCGAGGCCGACGTCAATGCCCAGTACTCAAGTATTGAGCCTCACGGCACAAGGGTCCAAATGATCCCGCCTGTCGGGTTTGCCGCTGGGCAGCAGGGCTGGATTCGAAAAAAGAAAAGCAAAACAAAGCTGCAGAGCTGCAAAGCTGCAAACTTCGAAGTTCCACAACAGCTGCCCAAACACGCGGCCCACTGGAGGCGGCGGGCGGATCCCGCGCGCGGAAAAAAGGGGGGCCTTCATCTCTGGACTCTGGACTCTGGCCAAGAGCTGGGAGATTTGGCATCACGTTTGCCATTGCTGGGCATGGCCGCGGCCGCACACAAGCTCAACCTCACCCCGTCTGTGCCTGGGGGCGCCCTCATTCGCCAGGCCCAGATGAGCCTGCAGCAACCTTATAAAGCTGAGCGACTAGGCCGCGGCAAAGCTTGCTCTTCAGGGATCTATCTCCGGGGGGCGGGTCCTGCCTGTGCAGCACCAGGGACTGGGGTCATGAGACGATCCACAATCTTGCGTATTGGCGCCGACCAGCCACAGCCCATGTGCTCAGGTGAGCGATCAACAGACAGATTCATCGTGATGCCCTGGCAACCTGGGCAGCACAGATGGTGTACGGAGTACTGGTGTAGAACTGGTGTAGAACCACAGCCGGCAGTTGCCCACAGGAGCCGGACGCCAAAAGAAGAGGAAAAAGGAAGCAGCTTGGAGAAGCACCTGGGCACACGGCCTGACGGCTGCCCCCCGTCTTGCTATGTCTAGTAGTACTACATAGCGAGACCCACGGTGAAACTTCAGCTTTCGGACATGGGTGAGGCTGAACCAGCACGGCAGCACGGTTGACCGGTTGACCGGCAGGAGGGCAGCAGCTTGATCACACATCGTGTCCGCTCTCGCAGGGACCAAGTTCGGGATAGTCACACTGCAGGCCAAGCGTCGTATCCTGCGAATCCCGGCAAGCCCCCTCGGCCGGGTTTTGAAGGGCACCTTTGCCCTATTTCCTCCTGGCCTTTCGACTTCCTCCTGAGACCAATCTCACTCCTTTCGATGACTGCCTGGAGGTCCGTCCCGCGAATCTAATACCGGTAGTCCTGCTAGGGCGTACCAATACCATTGCCCCGGGTCAACATGCTGTCTCACATGCCCACCGCACTGTGCCTACTGCTCTGCAGCGCCGCTAGCACCATTGCATCCAGCGTCATCACCTTTTCCGACGCAGACTGCCAACAGTCCCAGACTCGCATTGCAGGCGAGAATGGCTACCCGGATGGCTTCTGCACAAACATCGCCGACAAGGCTGGCACCACCTACCAGAGTTTCATGTTCACTGTCCTCGACGATGGCTGCGTCCGTACGTGCTCGGGTGTCCTTGAAGTCCTGTTTTGCATGCTGACCCCTAATGCAGCCACAATCTATCTAAGTGACACTACCGAGGATCAATGCTCAGGCTTTCCCGAGGTGGGGTTTCTCTCGAGATGCTACAATACATCATGGATCTACTACAGCATCGACGGCTGCACTCCCCTCGGCTCAGGCGACACCTCATCTGGAGCCTCCACGACGCTGCCAACATCTTCAACGGCCGCGGCGTCTGACACGAGTTCGGCGCCAGCTGCCACCACCTCTCACCGCGTCTCGGATGGTGCTATTGCCGGGGCAGTCGTCGGCAGCGTCTGCGGGCTCGGCATCATAGCAGCCGTCTGCGTCTATTTCTTCTGGTTCCGACCAAAGCAGCGCGAGAGGAAGAGGGAACTCAAGAGGGAGATCGAGGAGTCCGGCATGAGAGATGCTGCCGGTGCCGGATCTGCCGGTGCCGGGAGGAAGGAGGAGGAGGACGGCGAGGCGTACCTGATCAACATGCGTGAGTCGCAGCAGCAGTCACACGAGATGCAGGCCATGCCCGACGTGTTTGAGGCGCCGGGAGACAACCGCGCGAACGAGATGGGCGTTGACGGGGAGGTGCCGGTGGAACTGCCTGGAGACCACCAGTACGACGGCCAGTACTACCAGAAGAAGCCCAGACCATAATTCGGAGACTCGCTACTTCATAATGGTTGGTCTGGCCGCTTGGGAGCAAGTTCAATTGGGTGGAGCATCATATGGACAAGCGCGGCGTTCCGGGGAACACTGTAGATTTCACAACTGGCGATCATTGCTTTGACTATTATCCTTAGCTCACCGCACAAGTCGTTGAATGGCATGTGTGAGATTGTGTTCATGACAGAATGCAACACATCCCTCAACTATCGCATTGCGGCGTTGTCTACCTACTTAAGTAGGTAGTATTTTCCCGTGGTCTGCTCGCGCATTGAAGTATCTCAAGCTGGGGTGTGCCCAGAAGGATTAGACCGATCGCAATCGCTCTTGTCACCCGACTGTCCCCTAACAATTTCCAGCGTCAGACAGACGACACGAAGCTTAAACACTGCTAGCAAGTCAAGTGTGTCGTCTCGATTCTCGAAGACCAGAAATTTCGGTCGCACGCCGATTATCCCGAGCAGCACATGAGGCACTGCCGTCACAAAAGACGACCCCTCGAAGATAAAGACAAGGCCAGGCCACTTGGACACAGCTGTAGTTGCGAGAAGCATTCACAGACAGCTGATACAGGAAGCTACGACAAGGTCTTGGGAGAGAAACTGAAATTGTGTACGTCTTAAGGAGGGAAGCGGCGGTGAAGACGCCACTGGACTCACGCATGATGCGGACGCATAGAAAGTCTCCAACATTGATATCCCAAAAGCTACCCTAGGGTAAATGAGATTGACTTAACTTTTTCAACAACTTCTCACAAATCAAGCATAGGCTGGAGTATTATGTGATCATCATATTTGTTGCCATTTCTCAGCGGAATAACACAAAAGTCTTTGATAGGTCCAGAATGAACAAGCAATCCGATAATAGTCATCCATATGAAATTGTCGCATATATCGTTATAGTCTATATATCCAGGTGTATCATTCATTCATCATCCCTCATCGTGACTCCCCATTTGTGCTCATTTGCCCCATGTATTCAATGTTCCCACCACCTGATGTGGTTCAGTTCTTTGCAATCCTCCTGACCAAAAATGAGACCATGATGAATCGCTGTCAAGTCCCCGTACGCTGCCTCTAGACCAAGGTCGGAAGAAGACAATTATATCTCCGAAGAGGCGACGTTCATATGCCAATGTTGAATTTCCATACAACTCCGAATCAAGTAGCTTCATATGACGATCGAAAATTATGCTTCTGGGTCTTCCGGTACAAGCTCACTCCGCGTCATCTAATTTCGTCTCCGGCGTATGATGCGCTCAGCCTTCAGGCTCAGGCTCCTTCTGAAGCTGGTAGTAGAGGTAATCGTGTCAGGATTCGATTCCGCTGAGAACCGTGTCTCTCCCAGAGTTTCGTCATGCTCGAGTTCTTGTAGCGCGATGTATGTGTTGTCTTTGTGGCGGCGATGCGAGTCTCTTTGCGCGTATCGAAACGTCTTCGCTGTTGCGCGCCGCAACAGCTTCCCAATATCTTTTCTGTGGCTTTTTTGTGTTTCCTCCTTCTTGGGTGTCTCGATATTCTCATCCTCATTTTGGGAATAGGAATCTCTTCGAGGTAACGAGATTCCCCATAGTGAAGCGAGGTAGTAGACGTCGGCGCCGAAAGACATCGATGTGGTCGGTTCCCGCCAAAATGGAGGCGCAACAACAGGTACGGCAAAGGGACAGAATGTTGTCATGATATTCTCTTGATGTGGTGAATAACAATTCGATCCAGCTGATTCCTCTTGGGGAGGCTGATGATGGAAGCGTGTGACCCGTCTAATAAATAATAGACGACGAATCGTTCTTGACCGGCGACGGAGTCATGCGTCAGGAGTCGAATAACGCTACACCGCTCTCCACCAAATATGAGCAGATGAAAATAGGTGCATAAATGTCGACTCGCGCAACCAATAGAGTTCAGAATATAGTGATTCCCGCCATAGGCGAGGAGCGTCCTGGTCAAATCGTTGACTCTTCTAAATTGGATTGTCGAGGCTCTGGTGGGTAAGAAGTCGCATTTTCCCTTCGCATCAGCTGATGCCAGTGATGGGGAACTTGGCGAGTAAATACATCTGGTAGGTTCCCGTTCTAGCCTCCGCGAATACACCGGTCGTTCCGTGGTTTCAGTCTCCCTTGTTTGATTGTCCGGGTCTTAGTCCTGGAGTCCGGTGTGTTCGCCCAACTACCTAGTAGTTTGATTGAATCACATACCTTCACTAGCTGTCTATACAGACCCCACACTATCTTTATGCAGGGGGCATCTCGCCTCAAAAAACAGCACCGCGCCGATGATTTGATAAGAGACAGTCTCAAAGGCCCCTTCCAACGCTCGAATGAAATCCATCGTATCATCCCTCTCGTTGTCAAACCATCCCAGAAGGTTGTGCAAAAGAAGAATGGATCGACCGAGCCAGGAATGGTTTGCTTCCCTGGAATGGCTCCCCAAGATCGTCGTCCCACACAGAACCCCGGAGACCGGCTCGACGAGGTGAGACAGCTCAGCCAATGCACTGGCTTTGCGCGTCGGCGGCCCCGGAAGACAGTGCAATAGGAAGTTGGTAAAAATTAGGTCGTACTTCTGGCCATCCCGTCTCGCTGGGCCGAGCACGTTCTGTATGGAAGACGAGTCGGAACGTGATGCCAGGAAGTCCCCACGCACAGCCTCAACGTCAAGGTCGACCACGTCGCTGTGGGCTTGGCGACACCTTGTGGAAGCATAGTCCAGGCAGTCCGGATTTAGATCGAAAAGCGTGACCAAAGTGTTGTCGGGAATTTTGGACTTGAACATGAAGTAGCCAGTGGCCACGCCGATGTCCAATATCCTGACTTGGGGTTGAGTACCTTCCTTCTTGGACTCTCGGCGCTGCGCTGCGCCTGCGATCATGATCCTGTACAATTGCTCCATTACGATCGCAGGACATCGCCACACAAAGCTACAGTAGAGACCCAAGATCAGGTTGTCGTAGATGAAGCCGAGGACCAGCGGGCCGTACATCACGGCCCCCGCCGTGGTCGATCGAGTGCTAGAATCTGCTAGCCAATGGCCGATGGTAGCCCCCAGCACAGAGTGCCAAAATGACATCCTAGAATCTGTAGCAAGATGAAGAAACACGATCGCAGCTGTCTATAAAGTCCCGGGCCCCGGGACTGGCTTGGTGGGCACCTGAGTTGAAATACGATACATACCAGTATCATGGCCCACTTCGGTGGGTTCGGAGAGCCAAACCTTGGAAGCAATAACTAGTATTATATTGGCAATGCCTGACTTCGATTTTGACGAGACATGACATACATTTCACCGTGAATGTCCGAGTTTCACTTGAATATCCGGATTCGCTGACATTTAGCGGATACGCTGACAGTAAGTATGCAATGTTCTTGTCAGCCCATTTAGGCTGCCTCCAACATGCCCTTGACGCATCACCCAACTCAAGTCGGCGCCACAGGACTAGGCTGCACATGACGCCATTATTACTCTGATTCTGAAAGACATGCTTGAACTGGCCGTGAGGCTGTATGGAAACAGGGAGGCTGTGTATCACGATGTTATCGGCGACATTCTCAGGTGAGCTCTGCGCGCTGCCTCATTGAGATGAGCCTTTAACTATCATCCGGAACACTCAATATTGAGCCACGCATGAAATTGATAATCGTGCTGATTGTCCTCATGACCTTGCGGCCGCTGCCAAGTAGAAAAATGAGCAGCAAGGCCTGGTTACGGAAAACCAAGTGATGGCGTCTGGCGTCTGCGCCATAAGCGCAGTCCGGAAAGACGACTGCCGACGCCCTAGGACCGCGCAGGAAGCGGCCGCGCTTAAAGCGCTAACAAGAGCTGTGCAGCCGAAGTACCTAGCGTTCATCCCAAAATTAGATTTGGAGAGCTGCAAACAATCTGGCCCGGCCCCGGGAAGTACGCGGTTGTTGGGATGGCAGGTGAGGCGCAGCAGTTGTCCGCCTCAGCCCTACCGGGCTGCTGATCGGAACACTCAGTATCCGTGCGGCCGTTGGGCATGGGACCGCGAAATAATGGCTGAGTTGCGATGTTGGTAATTATCGTGGGATTGTTTACATGCTTTTGGGTGAGCTCAAGACAACATAAAGGAGCCCGGTGTTCCATACAACAAGATGGATTTCTGGACATCATCACCATCCTCACGAACACTACTACAACCGCATCTTCTTAAAGCACAATACATCCTGATCCACTTGACTATAACTTCAAATAACATTGGAACCCTTTCTTCAACAACCAGTCCAACCTCATACTTCACTCCACCAAAATGTTCGCCCAGAACCTGATCACCATCCTTGCCGCCGCGGCTGCCGTCACCGCTCTGCCAACCGCGACTACGACCTCGAGCCCGGACAAGACAACGGCTCTCACAGGTGTCACCCACTCCGTCGTCGCCGGCCGTGGGGGCGCCCTCCTCTTCGACCCTGAAAACGTCGTCGCCGAGATCGGGGACATCGTCGAGTGGCACTTCCTTCCCAAGAACCACTCTGTTGCCCAGTCGTCCTTCGGCCAGCCCTGCGTCCCGGACGCCTCCCTCGCCCAGCCCTTCTTCAGCGGCTTCCAGCCCACCGCGGGGCCCCAGGCCCCCGACGTCTTCCAGATCGTCGTCAAGGACAAGACTCCCATCTGGTACTACTGTGCCCAGACCACGGGCAACCACTGCCAGAATGGCATGACTGGTGTCATCAACCAGAACTTTGACGGTCCCAACACTCTCGCCGCCCACAAGGCTCTCGCTGCCAAGACGGGCACCTCGGTCGTTCCCCCGGTGGTTCAGGGCGGTGCTGTCATTCCCAACCCAAACCCCAACGGCGGCTTCTAATCCGACCAACGCGAATGGTAGAATGGGGTCGTTCGTTTTACTAGCGGTCATTCTGTGCATTTATGGAAGCGCGGGACCTGGATGTATTCCAAGTTTTTCCAAGGCAATTCGGGGGAAGTTAGACGGCATTCAATTTCTACACCTGCACATTTTTGAGACTTATTAGAATTATACCAATACACTTGAAATCTTTGGAAAATAGCATCACTTCAGTCTTGATTGTGGGCTTCCGCTAGTGCTACACATAACTGGTTTCCCTTCTATCCCGTATGGTCACGTCCGAAGCCATACGGCTTCATACAATGGCAAGCGCACAAGACTTTACTGCTGGAATGATGAATCTGTGTTGAAGTGGCTGGAAAATCGGTCACATGCATAGTACACGTCCCAAAAAAGCTTGGGACCGGTCTTCCCCTAAAAATATTTTATACTACCGGCTCGTACTGCACTCGCGATCTATTATGCATACACACTTTCACTTTGTTGTAGAACGTATTGTCGCCCCATGGTCTGATGCCCTCCGCCCATTCAACATTGAACGCTGCGAGTCGAAATGGGGTGCAGGGCCCATGGGCGAGCCAAATGATGGTGTGAGCTTCGGTGGCCGACACTTGTAGTCAGCTTTCATAACGTGAGGCCAGCTTTGAACCATGATTGTGGCCCAAAAATCATCTGTTGGGGGAGTTTTGACAAGAAACAGTCTTGGAATAGTAATAAATTGAAAAAAAGGCTGCGAATGTGGACGGATGGTAGAAAGCTATGTGCCGCTGCTTTCGAATCACTGTTCAGCTATAAGACCGCTTCTGGGACTGGTGTTGCGTGTTGCCTTGTAATCGTCTGATGACACTTTGCCGCTTGCCCATCATGACATAGAAATTGAGAATGCAGCTCAGCCCACCCGGGCTGTTCGTTTGAAGCTTGAGAGAGCTAGGGCTGAGCCCAGCAGTTCTCAACTGAGCAGACTCAACCGTTTTACGTGTCCGGACTTCCTTGTATTGCCACCGATGTAAAGTCCTCCGGGATCTATCCGGTATGGCCGAACGCACACCTCAACATCACACCCAGACTGTCCTTCCAACAGCCGCCATTAGCCCATTCGTCCCAGCAGATGCGATACATTGTGATGTCCTGCCACATATCTCCCTTCGGGGTGAAGGGAGGCGGAGCCTTGCCATTGCCCGCTTTTCCTTGTGCAACTCCTCGGTGGACCAGCCGAAACCAATTCAGGGTTGTTTCGTATTTGAACCCCAGGGCCATCGCTTTTTTGACAGCGGCTATGTCGTCTGAGGCCATTCCCCATTGTACTCGTACCAGCCCCAAACCGCTATAAGAAGGTGGATTGAGTGCGCGCTGGAGCAGCGTGCCGATGACGATGGTATCTAGCTCTATGAGCTGGTACTGTGGCATAAATAATGTTCCAATTGCGACGGAGCCCGTGACCGGGTTGGCATCCACCAAAGCTGTGAATCCGGCTAGGGTGCCTGTCGCCCTGTTGATGATGGCCAACGCCAGCGTTTGAGAGTTCTCCGTGAAGGGCCCGGCAGTGAAAAGCCTTTCGAAGGTTTCATAGTCATTGAATGGGCCGTACGGTAACATCAAGTACACGTCTCTGGGAAGGGCTCTTGAATGACTGTAGAGGATTGCGGCATGATCTGGGACCTATCCACCTTGTCAACAGCCCACACATGGGCGAAATGGACGCGTTTGCTGGCTTACGGAAAATGGAACCAGCTCCACGAATTGATTGGACACTATTCCAAAGTTAAAGCAGAATCTGTCCAACATGTTCGATGTTGGGAGTGCCCGGGTGGGAACCGCCGAGCTTGGGAGGTCACCAGCTTGAATCTGATCTCGATTGTGTGAAAACTCAAATAAGGCAGCTGTGTGCGTACCTAGATGCGCCAAATAGAATAGTGTTTATGGGTGGCAATGAAAACTCTGCTTGAATGGATGACTTGGTTGAGCGAACTGTGCGACGCTTTTGTGTCCTCGAAGTGGGCATCCGGCCTAAAACCTGCCCAGGTGATCATGGAAAGAGCCCACGGCCCACCTTCTCTTTGGATTCGGTCGCCATTTCCATTTTCGTTGCAACAGACGTGCACATGTGGGCAGTCCGAGGCTTAATGTCTTTGTGTGGGCACCTGGCCGCATTTCAAGTACCTAGGTAGGGCGAATACCTTCAAAGTGTGGGAAGGGTTTGTCACTCAACACTTGGAAAGGTATCCTCTCGACTCCGGGAAATGTTGATGAAACGAGACAGTCTCTTCCTCTTTGCTCCCAGGACTACTCTCGCCCATCTCCCTCAGCACAAGCTGTTCACTCCCGAAGCCGGCATGATCCGCCAGTGTCTCCAGGAAAACTTGTTTTGAGAAATGCCGTGTCCGTCTACAGGTATTGGACCACCTAGGTACAGAAAGACAACGGATGCACTGTTACTCACCCTGCACCTACATGGTCTTGTGCACTGGCTTTTTGCCTCCAACAAGCTGACAAGATCTCTGTCTAACAAGCTCAAATGCAACCGAATAACATGTTCTGTCTCTCACGATAACTCCTCAATGCCAACCCTCAACATAGCCAGAGAGTACCTGAGGGGGGAGCCTCCTGTGCAATCCTAGGTACCGGATTGGTGGCTGTCTTCAAATTTGACCAAAAGAAGAAAATAGCTTGGGATAAGTTGAAGAATGCACCGTGGCTGCCCTGGAAATCGCATAAGCGGCACATCACCAGTCCATACCCAGAGTTATTAGATTAGGAATTGTGGTGGAAAGCTTTCCAAAACTCGTGTTATAGATTAAATGACCTTCGCTGACTTCGGCCCATTCAAACAGGTAGTGACCATGCTGACGCATGATATAGAATAAAGATAGGCCGGTTATGAGGCATGAACATACCTAGGTATCAGTGACTTAATTCCATATCTTTGAACGGAACCTACCATCGACCAATGTAGTACTAGTATGTATTCAAATTACAGGCTGTTTTTATGGTATTGGACAATCAAGCGCGAAAGAGGGAATTATGGAGGCCCTGAAGGTGACAACGACTCCCTCACACTTCCAACTTCGCAAACCACAATCTCCTATCGTTTGATGGAGCACAGCTTTTGGTGCCTCATATGCGGATGCTGGTACATGCCAAATGCAGCTTTGCCCCCGGGTGATTTGAACATTCCAAGGTTGTGCTTAGTGGCTGAGGCCTGACTACCTAAGTAGTAGCAAAAACAGCAGTACCGAGCAGATGTAGTTACCTACCTAAGGTATGTATAGATCCTAGATGCTACAAACCAAATCTCGAACCACCCAGTGCCTGCAGGGGCTCGGCGTCGAATGTCAAGCCAAGCACCAACTGATCGACGATCGCCTCAGAACAAACGAAGGTCAAGTTAGCGTTTGGTCGTGTGGAACAGACCGGCCGAGGCGACTTTACTCATGCAGGCTTCCGTCCACCATTGCGCTCTAGCCCACCTGCAAACTTTAGAAGAGGTCCTACGACCTGCCTCCTCGGATTCTACTGCTGCCTGTGATGTCATTGACCCCCTTCAAAAAGGACCCAGATGAAGACACTGTGACACGAGAGGATGGATGACAGCAGTCGAAACCCGTACCACGCACCAAGCTCTTGGGCTGGTCGCGAGGCTCGCGTCCACGCTCCTGCCACAAGCCTGACCCTTTGGAAAGGCCGACGTCATACTGCTTTTCTCAAACAATGGATCTGACTTGCGCAGGTCCGGTGACCGAACTCCTTTCCTGGATTAGCATGGGCTTTTGAGAATGCCATCCAACCTCCAAGAAAATGCATCCCAGCTATCGACGGCAGGTAGCCGTCAGACTAAGATCTCGTGGTCAAATATACAGAGCACACTTTCTACGTCTCGGACGCATTATGACACTGAGAATGACGAGCTTCTTCTAGCACACGCTAGACTGCTTTCTCGTTTGACCTGTCGTTTTCTTATCATATGTAGCAGATAGTATTTGATGAAGGCTATTGGCTGGAGGCTTGTCCACCTGGCTATTCTTCCTCGCTGTAACACAGTGACATTGGTTTCGCAGCTCTTCCCATCAAAACATTTGAATACAGTCCCTCTGGTATTGTGTTAGTCGATTTTTTATTCGGTACTTTAGCACCATGGAAAAATAACCTCAAGGCCTCAGACTTGGCCAAAATCATTTAAAGGGCTGATCGTTTGGCGTTTCTCGTGTTGCCAGGTCTGGTCTCCCTCCGCTTCACCGACAACGTCTGATATCAAGTACTTGTTTGTTTTCTCCATCAATTTGCAACTCTTCATGCCAGAATTCTGCTCATTTAAACTCTCTTGAAGTTCTTTAAGCTCACCCCAGCCTACCACTTTACCGCTGCTTTTTTTGGATTGTGGCCCCGTGAAAATATCAACGTACCGCGAGAACCAGCCTGACCAATGGACAAGTCTCCTTCCAACCAAGCTGTGCACAATTTCAAGCCTGAGTGAGTTAGATTTATCATTATTCCTCATTCATATTTCGTGATTTATTTTCAATGAGAAAGAGGCCATTGAATTTCACCTCGTCTCCAGTTTCTAAAACGTTTGATTGTGATCCACATTTATTAACATTCCACGTATCCTCTAGCAGAAAGACAATGACCAGAGAGAATCCTGGTTTGCGACCGAAGTTGCCAGTTCCCTATGATCCAAATTTCACCATGGCACGATTCACTTCACCGGGCAACGAACGCGATGATCTTGGGTTTCGCCAGACCCAAACTGGCGCTCAGTCAATTTCCCGTATGAATGAGAAGCTTAAGCCGCTGGACAAGATACTGGGACGGAACTAAAGGCTGGCTGCTTTTTTATTTGTTTGTCGTGCACGAAATATCTTTCATTTCTCGTTGTAGGTCATCGCTACTTGGCACACCCAACTTACGGGCTGCCTGCGATGACATGACAATGCCGAGTCACATCGAGCCGGCAGCAACTTTCATGAGGCTTTGGTTGGACTAGGTACCGCTGAGAGACAATTTTGGCCTAGAGGGTGAGAATCTATTTCGACATAGCAACACGATTTGAGCAGTTTTGACTTCAGTTACTAACACCTACAACCTACTCATACACGGGATCAATAGGGGCAAACATAGCAATGCAACAATGAAAATAACAAGTTGTTGTCATGTATTCTTTCCAGTGAATTGAGTAATATTTGATACAAACATTGCCCACTATGAGTGGCTGGGAAGCAAGAGCCCTTCAAACGTTCCGAAGAACATCACAGAGTTAACCTCGTCTGGGCCCACGCTCCAGCCTCACCCGAGTAGATGTTGAAGTAGCTTGTATGGGCAGCTCCGTCGCTGCCCTGAGCACATACGGGGTCTTCCGCCAGACACCATGACCGAAGCTTATCGGAATACCCATTGAGGCGTTCGAGCTGTGTTCCCGTCCTAGGAAAGATCTTTCGAAACACATTAGCTACTGCTCGCACGTCCATATTATTTCGCTGGCCTGTACAAGTCTGATGGAACCAGTGTGGCTATTCAGTCAGTCAGGACTACCAGACTCGCACTTACTCCATTGAATGGGGCACCGGATTCAACATTGTATGTTTGATTGGCTGTGTGTGTCACATCGCCAAAGAAAGCAGCCGCGACAACTGCACGAGAGGTCAGCATCAGGAGAAACAAATTCTACCTATTCCTGGACACACTTTGATTTCCCGGTGATGATGACGGGTTCAATCCGGTAGAGGTCTGGGTCGTACAGCCCGTAGAGCCGCCAGCTTGACCGCCGAGTATGTTGCCCACAACTTGAGCACCCTGCAGACCATGATCAGCCAATGAGTTCTGTGAGGATGCGACTTGATCATATGCTGACCTGGGAGTAGCCCGACAGCACCAGCTGTGCATCTGGGCATCGGATTGCGTATGCAGTGATCTGAGCTGTCCCATTGACCACGCCTTCGCCAACAGATGCGCAATAATCCGGCAGGAGGGAGGCAGGGTACAGGATATCCTCATAGCCACAACTGCTTATACCATTGCAGACTGCATCCACGACGCTGATCTGTCGGCCAGGGTATTCCTCACTGGTCCCTCTTGCGAGGAAGACGTGGACCGCGTTGCATCCTTGAGTCTGGCGACCAGCAATAGTTGGACGCCCAAGAACAGAAGAGAGAACCGAAAGGATGATCGCAACTGACTTGGACTGCATTTTGGGAGTATTTATGGCGTCTGGGCTGGAACCAAATATTGGCATTGAACATTGAACGTTCTGAGAAGTGCTCTTTTTATACTTCACCGGCCCCAGACATCGAACTCGCGGCTTTGACAAATATTCCCACAACGCAAAAATCCATCGAAACCCCAGACCATCTGGTTTGTACATTGTGAGCCGGCACCAGTTCGCGGTAAGTCGGCCAATGCCCTATGGGGCAGGTGGCTCCCACCCGAGGCCCCTTGGTGCGGATCACCACCCCAAGACGGACACGTACAGCACACCAAAGCTAGCAGATGGCTGCATGTAAGTGAAGAAGTGTTTCATTGCTGTTACTCCAAATCAAGCGATCCAAATTATCAAGGCATTCTCGGGCTTGTCCCGGGTAGTTGGGCCGAGCGTTCAATGTTGGCAGCGGATGCGCAACTCCGCACGCCTGGGCAAGACCCCGCGCGGATAATCGTTATTTTGTCGTTTGAATTGACAACAACTCTCAAGGATGAAGTAGAGAAATAATCCGCTTGGAAATCTAGAAGCCGTATTCTGTAGATATGACTAGTCCAAGTCGAGCAATCTGTTCATAATCGAGTCTAGTTCCTTTGTGGGATTCTTCTCTCATAGGGTTGTCTTGAGACCTCGGGACTATTGTAGTCTCTTTGCACTGTTATTGGCGTCGTGTCCCCCCCCCCCCCCAAAAAAAAACCCGCGAGTCTAGAGCGTTTACACAGTATGAAGGCGCCGTGCATGTCTTCGGAAGTATACGGAATAGAAGCGAGACCAGAGAAGCGAAAGCAATTACTATTGGCAACTCGGCTTTGACTGCCTTCGGTACCGGTACCGACCACTTGTCCTTGGTCTTGGGTACTGTACTAGTAACTAGGTATGCAGCCGCATCAGATACTATTCACCCAGAGTAGGACATTGCAGTGGAAGCTTTTCTAGGGTAAATTGTGTCTAAGGGTAAAACCCCAGAGAACTGCTTCGCTGATGATCAAATTGACTCATCCGAAGCGTGAGAAATCCAGAGCAAAAGCCCACCATGAAGGATAGTTGATGTGCACAGAAGCCGCGAGCCAAAATCATGGTAATTCTGTGAATTGTTACGCTCAAGGCAGGTAGATATGTAAATTAACCTCTGCAGATCCATGAAGCTGTCACTGTTGGAAATTATCAAAGGAGATTTACGAGCTAGCAGGTCTTTCGTTCCCCTCACAGTATTGAGGGGATCAGAAAAGTCCAACTACCTTCAATGTTCATTGCTCTCTCATTGCTCGATGTTGCGGGAGTGCCCAGCGCCATATGCTTACATAACACGACCGCCGTGTTGAAGCCTCAGGCAGCCACAGGCCCACTCCCGTTTTGCCGAAGACGTCGCAGCTCCGTCCCGGACCAAGTTCGTCAATTGAAATCTCGACGACCTCCGATCCAAGACCCTTCCCCCACAGTCACCATGTTCTCGAGACAGGCCCTGCTCCGCTCAGCTCGTGCTGCAGCTCCCTCGCGGGCGATTGCCTCGCAGGCTCGCTTCTACGCCGCCGCCGCCGCAACCGAGCCCGTCAAGCCTCCCGTCGCCCTCTTCGGCCTCGATGGCACCTATGCCACTGCCCTGGTACGTCACCGCGCCGGGTCGATCGCGTGTCGGAGGGACTCCAGCATGTCCTGGGAGATGGGAAGCATGCAATTGATGCGCCGGGGCCGCGCGCCAGCCGGGCAGAGAGCTCTGTAGCTAATGCGTCATTTTGTCCGAATAAACAGTACACCGCGGCCGTCAAGTCCTCGTCTGTCGACCCGACAGCCACCGCTCTGAGCAAGCTGGGCAACCTGGTGTCCCAGGATGCGAAGCTGGCCACCATCCTCGATGCCCCTACCCTGACCCCCGCCGACAAGTCCGCCATTGTCGCCGAGCTCGAGAAGACCGCCGGCACCAACGCCACAGTCAAGAATTTCCTCCAGACCCTGGCCGAGAACAACCGTCTTGGCCTCCTGGGAGGTGTCTGCACCAAGTTTGGCGAGCTGATGAGCGCCGCGCGCGGCGAGGTCGAGATGACGGTCACGAGCGCTACGGTACGTGTGCTACAACGCGAGAGGGGGAAACCAGGGTTTCTACGTATATGTTCGGACAGGCACATTCAAATGGAGGCTCGGGATCAAGGCGAAATGGGGCGGACTTTATCGTACGAGACGTGAACAATTCGCTGACGAAATGCTGTGCATCTAGCCTCTGGACAACCGGACCCTGAGCCGCCTGGAGACCGCCGTCTCCAAGTCCTCCTACGTCGGCCAAGGCAAGAAGCTCAAGGTCACCAACGAGGTATGGAGGAAGAGCGAACATCCCGAGGAACTACACAATATGCTGACACGACTAGGTCAACTCTGACATCATCGGTGGCCTGGTTGTTGAGATTGGTGACCGAACCATCGACCTCTCCGTTTCTTCCAAGATCGCCAAGATGAACAAGCTCCTGACTGACACCCTGTAAATTACTTCTTTTATGTGAGACGAAGGGGGCAGGGGAAAGGTGGCGACGGGAGATGCACGGGGTAACCAGTGAGCCTCCGGGCCGATGATACTGACCAGCATCTGTTGTTGAATTGAGCCGAAATAGAGAGATCATACATCCCACATCCTTTCCCGCCACTGAGTTTCCGATGTCAGCTTTGCTTTGCAACAATGTGTGACAGCCTTACACGATAGGTAATGAACAGCCCGTACAGGAGGGCAGCCAGAAATGTTGTGTTCCTCGCTACTAGACACGCTGGGAAATTGCATAGGAGAGCGAGGCTCAGCAATGCCTTTTATGTTTTAAGATCTAAGCCCTCATGGTTTCGCGGAAATGACATACTGCGGTGTATCAATCCAGTCTGCAGCATATTGTGAGGCCGAGTAAGGGCCTGGTCCGCTGGCAATATCAGGATATGTCCAACCCAAACCCTTGAGCACTCCGGCCAGCCCTCATCCATCATCTCTTTACACCTTGGGTCACAAGCACAAGAACCGTCCGCCCCCAACGCCAGCTTTCATGACGCAGAAATTCAAAATCACGCCTATCGTACAAGCCACGGACTCCTCAGTCGCTTCGCAGCATGCTGTCGACCAGGTCTCCCAGCGGGCCCCAAAAGTCCTTCCCGGTAGCCAGGTTGTGCTCGTCGATGAAGAGGACGTACTGCTTGAAGCTGGTGTTGAGGTGGGGCTCGAGGCCGAGCTCGCGGATGACGGGGTAGTGGTGGCAGTAGATGTGTGCGTAGACGCGGTACATGCGCTTGAAGATTTGGCGGACGAGGGAGGGGAAGGTCTTGGGGAAGGGCACGCCGATGCGGCTGGGCATGACGGCCTCGTCATCGATGCTGCTCTGCACCCAGGTCATGAGCTGCTCGATATAGGCCGGCGCGGGCATCTTGGTCGGACGCTTATAGTTCTCGTTGTCCTGCCACAGGTATTCGAACTCGTCGGTTGCCTTCATCTCCGGGCACGACTGGGGCGAGCAGAACTCGGTGATGGCGCCGTACAGCAGGTTGATTTGGTTGTAGAAATCCACCACTTCCGATCGTCAGCATGGGTGGCCGCACTGTTGCGCGGCGGCGCGTTGCTTGGAGGAGGGCTTACTGTTGACGGCGTACCACTCGTTCTCGTCCTCGCCCTCAGGCAGCTTCACGATCTTGCGGAGGCTCCCGCCTCCCAGAGTGGCCTCGGCATATTGTCGCAGCTGGTAGCTAGTTGTTCCCTGCTTTCCACCGGGTCGCGGTCGGAACTGGTTCCTGCGGTTGTTGCTCCTATTCGGGCGTGAGCCAGCAGTCCTCGTTCGTGTGTGCCTCTTGGGCTCCGCATGGACTCAAGGTGCCGAGCGGCGTGGGGGAGTGACATACACGGTAGCGATAAAGGAAGTCATCGTAACCTCTGATCGTTGCGAGACACGAGTCGGGGCAGGGAAGGTTCGGACTTCACAATACTACAACGTCAGTGGGGCATTTCCGAAAGGGGAGCTGGTGGCGTGGAAAGTCATACCTGAGTTTGGATGACCGGCACGGTCAAGTCTTGAAATATGTTTCCAAGACAGATGAGAGTAAGTCGTGACTGTCTGGTGTTGGGGTGGGGAAGTCGGAATGTGGCCGTGCAACAAGCCGGGCGCCTTGGAAACACCTGAACCTGGACAGCCTACCTATGATGAAATCTAGAAGGAGTCAACATTGAACAAATAGCAGCAGTTGCCGTTGGCGACGCGCCGCGTTGTAGATTGGGCAGCCCTGCCAGCCGGGTTCAGGGGCCGAGGGCCTAGAATCATAGTGGTCAAAGCGCCAGTCAGCACCCACCCCGCCTTCTACACAGTGCCTAGGTACCTAGTGTAGACTACAATACACAGTAATAATCACCTAGGAAGTGGGAATAGGGAGGTGTGGCCCTCGCCATTGAGTCTACAGAGCACTTGTATCTAGGTACCTACTTACTTAAGTACTTAAGTACTTAGGTTTGCACACGCTCAAGGAGGCTGGAGTGTCTACGTCCTACCTGCTCCACCGTTTCTATTTATTCTTCTGCGCCACACACATATTCGAGAAGTGCGTGGTGGAGCAGCGCGGGATCGATCAACCAAGCTGCAATGCACCCCAGATTCTCCGCATTTTTGTCCGCCGGTTGAATTGGTTTGAATAGCCTCAATCCGATGTGGGGTGACCTGGATCAGTCCTGAACTTACAAACTCTCGACATGCCTGTCGCTCCTGCGCCACTCGTCCCCGGTTGCCGATCCATATTCTCGGGTCAACGATGCGCGAATGGTCCAGCATGACAACGATCCGGTGCCCCGGTACTGGACTATTGGGATGAGCAGTCCTTGCGGGTATACTGTCCTACGAACATCAATATCTTCTGTCTCGTGTGCCCGAGCGAATACTTCTCATGACCGTCGATGTCGTAGATCTTTTTTCACTCTATACTAATTCACGCCCTTGCATCGACATCGATAGTGGCCTGCTTCACTGCTACTTATCTGTCTGGGCCCAAAACCATTCCTTACGCTGGACAATAGCTGCTGAGAGGATAGCAAGTAAAGTGCGTTCTTCTCTTCTGACCTTCATCGTGTCAAAATTCAAGGGCAGATATATTCGCCATGCGTAGTCTCGGGCTGCTATTGTTTCTCCTGGACCTTGCCTTAGCCAAGCACGCATCAACCATACAAAGACAAGCAGTGGTTCAAACGTTCAATGTTCGTCGAAATGCGAGTTCAAGCACAACGCCGTTGCAAGTTGGGAATGGCAACTTTGCTTTTGGCGTAGATGTGACGGGCCTCCAGACCTTCAAGCCTTTTGCGACCATGTCCACCTGGGGCTGGCATAATTTCTCCTTACCAATAACTCCCAATCAGACTTCTGTAGACGGTGAGAATAAGCCACTTATTCCTTCTGCCTGACTTCTGTTACTGACTAGTATAAGACTACACTGGGCTGGACTGGTGGACGCCACCACTGGACCTCTCTGATGACGGACGGCTCGTTAATTACGCGCAGCCGAATCCTGCCGAGAACGATATATCGACTTGGCTGATCCAGAACCCCCAGAGGCTCAACCTCGGTAACGTAGGATTCTGGTTCGGCGGCGACAACGTCACCGAAAATGATCTCGAGGATAAAGCACAAGTCCTGGACTTGTGGTCCGGGACGATATATTCGAATTTTACGTATAACGGAAGCAAAGTCATGGTGGAGGTTCGAGCAGCACCAGACAGCGACACCGTCGGAGTCAAGGTTGAGTCTGATCTGCTCTCCACGGGTGCTCTCGGCTTGTTCTTTGACTTTCCATATTCAGATCGCAACAAGTTTGATGCTCCTTTCGTTGGAGTTTGGAATGCCACGAGCAACCACTCGACATCCCTCGAAAGTGCGGACAACCAGGCCGTGATCACACATACACTGGACGACAATAGCTACTATATGGTGGCACAATGGGCTGGCAACGGCAAGGTCACGGCACCAGAGGATGGCACTCATCGATATGTCCTTACCCCCTGTGGATCAGGAAAGCTGGATGTGACTGTAGGCTTCTCTCCAGATGGAATGACCGCCCAGGCTGCTCCTGACGACTTGAGAAGCGAGTCGAGCCTTTGGTGGGAGTCGTATTGGAACTCAGGGGCTTTCATAGATCTGACATCTACCAATTCGGCAAACGCCACCGAGTTACAGCGACGAATTATTCTGTCTCAGTACCTCCTGGCCGTCAATTCAGCATCTTCATTCCCGCCACAGGAATCAGGGCTTGTCAACAACGGCTGGTACGGCAAATTCCATCTTGAGATGGTATTTTGGCATCTCATACAATTTGCCCGCTGGAACCACTTTGACCTGATGTCGAGAAGCATGCCGAATATGTACGCCCAGTTCCTCCCTTCTTCGGTCGAGAGGGCTGCCGAACAGGGGTACAAAGGCGCACGCTGGGGCAAGATGACAGACCCCAGCGGGCGAAGCGCACCGGGGGAGATCAATTCTCTACTTATTTGGCAACAACCTCATCCTATGTACTTCGCCGAGGTGGAATACCGCTCCTTTCCCAATGACACGACTCTGGAGAGGTGGGATGAGATCCTCACAGCGTCAGCCGACTTCATGGCCTCTTTTCCCTGGCTGGATAACTCAACCGGCATGTACAACCTTGGACCGCCGATGTACCCCGTCTCGGAAAATACGAATCCAAATGCAACAATTAACCCGACTTTCGAGCTTGCATACTGGCGATTTGGACTTGACGTTGCTATCACATGGAAAGAACGCCAGGGGCAACCCGTTCCAGAGGATTGGGTTACCATCAGGGACAAGCTTGCACCTTTGCCAGTGGTGGACGACACTTACCCCGTGTACGAAGGTATTCCCAACATGTGGAGCGATAATGCAACTACAAATGATGTGAGTAAATGACGGCCACTTCTAAGCTGATACGTATATCGCTGTCGCCAGGAAACTAACACTTACTGATATCAACCAACACAGCACCCAGCAATGGCTGGCATCTATGGCTGGCTGCCGCCTCCCGCGAGCGGGCCAGCCTTGAACCTGACAACCGTCCAAAACACAGCCGACAAGATACTAGAGGTTTGGGACTTGGAAGAATCATATGGCTGGGATTTCTCTCTGCTGGCTATGAACTCTTTGAGACTTGGCGATGTGCAACAGGCCGTGGCCTATCTTCTCCATCCTGTTTTCCAGTTTGACGATGCAGGATATCCCGTGGGAGGCTCTCGTGTTCCAACGCCTTACTTTCCCAATTCTGCATCCCTACTGCTTGCGAGTACGTACAAGTCCACCTCTGATTTGGTTCCCCCGGATGCTCGTGTTATGAATAAGAGAAGAGCTAACTCAAGGCAGCATCTATGATGGCAGGAGGATGGGACGAAGAGCCGGGCCCGCATTTCCCGGATGACTGGGATGTCAGAGTTGAGGGATTCACTCCTGGATTATAGTGTGGCCGGGTAGATCAGAGCCAATTCGAAGCTCCCTGGACGCGCTCCTCTGGATTTTGAGGGCGACGAGCATGCCAGCAATAATTTTTTCTTTCTTTTCATTTCCTAGACTTTCCCCAGTTCGTCTGACTTGGAATCGAGTCCAACGAGCTGCAAGTGATATTCCCATCAAAGCTGGGCTCACTCTAGCTGCGCATGTAGAAATGGTCTTGCAAAAGTAATGCATGTTTCAGGCGCGTACTGAGGCGTCATGGTCTGAGATCTTCGACCAGAGGCCTGGTCCATCAAAATGATACCTCTAATCGTATCATAAGCCGGCCGCCAAAAGACCTATTCGAGATTCCAATCGGGTCATCCGCGTGAATGGCTGCCCGAGCATTTCACAATATATTCTGCTCGTGCAGCCAACCGGCGACAAAAGCTGGTTGCAGCTTGATTCGCAGCCAGCCATGACCTCGTCAAACGAGGTCAAATCATAGCAGGATGGCATCGCCCATGCTCTCACCCTCAAAACCGAGAGCAGAGAGGTTCTTTTGCTTCTTCTTGTCCTTTGTCTTGTCCTCGACCTTCCTCTGCTTGGCAAGCTTCTCGACCAAGTCAGGATCGGCCTTATCGTATCCCGGCGGCGGGTCGTCGTCCTTGTCCAGATCAATCTCGCCGAGGAGCATCACGTTCTCTCCTCTGACGAGGTACATTCCTCGCTGGTAGTCCGCATATATGCCTCGCTTCTCTTGTGCGCTCGCGTGGTCCGCGGGAACCGCATCGGGTGTCACGAAGATTCTCTCCACAGTCGACTGCAGGACTAGATTCGCTGTAGCCCCTGTGTTAACTCCATCCTGTTGTACTGCACCTGCCCAAGTGAATCACCATACCGAATTGGTCCCAGCTTCGCAAAATTCCCAAGAGTTTCCGGCCGTCTCGTAGCGCGACCATCAGCTTCTCTGGGGCGGTTGTTAGCCTCGCACGTAGAGTCATTCAGCCGCTTCGCGCTTCGCATGGGCTCTTACTGTCAGTCAGGTCGAGGAGAGATGCTGAGGTCGTGAACATCTGCACGGGCAGTTGCTGGGGCGGAGGGGGAGCTCTACCAAGCACGGGGGGTCCCTGAGGACCGGGCCCTGGAGGAGGAGCTCCACCCCCTTGCCCAGGAGGATCGTTGAGGGAAAGGTGCTCCATTGTTACTTCATGAGCATTGGTGTCTGTTCGAAGTATAGTAGGAAGACCGTATGTCCATGGGTGGGTGCGGCCGGGAAAAGGGTAAGAGGCGGAGAGAAGCACACCAAGATGTTGCGACGATTATCGGGCGTTCGAGCTCTCGCGTGCAGAAAGTCACTTACGACTGAGCGCTTGGGGTCTGGTCGCAGGTCACCGTGGGGCTGGACTCGCTATCGCTGAGGTACGTCACTCTCGATAACGGACCTAAGTCGGCCGATCCTCCGTTTTCAGGGGTCTCGCAGCCAATGAGAAGCCCCTGAGTCGTGACTTGGGAGTTGGTAGCTCTTTGCGGTGGTAGGTCTAGTCCGTTCAAGTGAGGCAGTCGAGACTTAGTCGCGAATGCCCGGTGACCCTGACCAGCCGCCCCCCGGCCGGACGCCTAGTCTACTGCTAGATGGAGTAATTCTGAGCTCGCCTGCGTTTTCCTCACCTCCGACTCTCCACTCCCATCTTAGACAATTGGATGTTCCTCTGCGAGCATGAGCCGTCAGACCAAGTCCTGTTCTGGATCACCACGGTTGGAACCGCTCTGACTTTCTCCAAGACCACTGCACTCTGTTTCCCGAGCTACATGTCCTCGTTCTCTTGAATTTGCTTGTTTCCAGCCATCCTGCTTGAGCACACCACAGCACAGGCTCAAGACCTGAAGCACGCCTCTTACTTTTCGGCAGACACACTGCGTGTACTGACAAGGGGTACATAACTCGATCACTCTCACTGTCATCCGCTAGATTTCTTTTACACCACACCAAGGCTCTCCATTGCCGCAATCCCCACCAACTCGTTTCTGCCAGCAGCGCACAACAGCTCGAGAAGATCAAGACCCTCGAACTCGGCACTCCCCAGAGACAAGCCAACCGTCTCCAGACCCGATCACAAGATGGCTACGAACTCAGCTGTGTCAGCGCCGCACGAGGCCGCCCCCCCAGCCCGCAATGAATCCAAACGTGAGAGGAAGCGCCAACTCTTACAAGACCGACTGCAACAGATGAACGAGAGCTTCTCGAGGGGCCGCGACAGTGCCTACCGCGAACAATTGCAGAAGATCCAGCTCGATACCAACCTCATCATGCGTGTTGATCCCTACTGCGAGCGCCCGCTCGAGGCTCTCGATCTGGAGCAGACCGACCCCGCCCTCCTCGGCAACACAGACCCTGCCACTGCGCGGACTCTACTTGAGATGGCTGGCCCAAGGTTTCGAGACTTTATACATGACATCGAAGATCTTGTTGAGGAGCGAGACTATGAGATCACCAAGCAAAAGGTATGTGGTTCCCGCCAAGACTGCCACGGTGACGCACCAGTGGGCTAATAAACCGGCCAGGCTGAATACGACCGTAAATGCCAGGAACACCGAAATGTGTACAACTACAAGGTTCTCCAGGCACGGCGAGAGCACAGTTCACTTGCCTCCACAGTCCGCGATCGATTGATCAACACCATAGCAAGCAAGAAATATCGGCTTAGCAAAGAAAAGGAGGCACTCGAGATCAGCGATGCGTCTGCGTTGCTTCTTCACCCAAACCAATTCAGCATGACCAACCCTGCTAGCCCCGGGGGCACGCATGGCAAGAGAGCCACCCGACTTAGGAGAGAGATGGAAGAAATGCCCGGTTTCTCGGACAACAAAAAGAGGAAGAGGACCGCAAATGATGACGACGGATCACCCGTGCCGCAGCGACGCACGCTGGACACGAACAATATAACACCTGTTTGGCAGAGTGACAGGTTGCGCTTCGGAAAGAGCACGGGTCCAATTTACAGCATCGATAAGCTTTTCACTGACAAGGAGCTGTCAATGACCTACAACAGTGCCGCGCTTGCTGCCCACAAGTACATGCTTCGACACAAGTCCAAGGATGGTGTGGTATCATCGCCTTCGGAGAGCGGTCCAGAGGAACATGAGGAAGGCGAAGACGGCACCGACTCGGTCCCTTCTGCACCTGTCATGGAGCGTCAGGTCTCGTATGCGACGAGAAGTACGCGAGGCGGAACACACAACCCCAACTTCTACGACAACAAGTTGGTGGGAATAGAGGCGCTTGCCAACTTTGAACTCCCTGGCAATCTTGAGAGGCTTGACGCGCAGGAACCCAGGCTTCCGCCGATAGTCCCTGCGCCGTACAACAAGGCAAAGCCCATGACTGAGGCCAGTGGGCCTGCTCCTCTCACTCAGGATGACGCTCTTGCCGATTTGCAGGCCATTTCTGTGCTGCGCCAGTATGAGCAGCTCCACGGCGTGGGATCGAACTTCGATGTCCCCAACGGCGGTCGGAAGGTGCTCGAGGCTGTTGCTGCGGGTCCCCGCGAGGATAGGTTTGTTGCCTACGTGCAAGGAGATAGGCCTAGCACGGATGATCTGCGTGCAGAGCTTAAAGTTGAAGTTAGTAACGTTCGTGGCGAGCCCGGCCCAGGCTCTCTGCAAGCACCGGCCATGGCTGGCGTCCCAATGAGCCGTCAGAACTCGGGCGGGGTGGCCATGAGCCGTCAAGGAAGCAACACGAGGAGAGGCAGGCGGGGCTAGGTATTGTCACCACTCAGGACAGCAGAGGGGGCGTCGAGACATGCAGTGAGAATGAGGGACTTTATCTACCCAAGAATCAGATACGAGCATTGAATACACTGCGCTGGATGAATCATTCTACCAAAAAAACGACAATGCTTCCAACTACGATAAGACAACCCTTCGTCACCCCACATTGCCCCGATCACTCCCCAACCCCTCATGGCCCGAAAACCAGCGTCCTGACTTCGATGCTCTCGCGGCCTTCTGCCTCAGGGTGCGTCCGTGGATCTTCGAAGGCTGTGTGAGGGAGCCTGCCACCTTTTACGTTCGAACCCTCCTTCAATGCCTCGCTATCAAAGCACTCCAACAGGAGGCGCTCATCACCAGTCATGCCGCTCAGGTAATTCCAGCGCTGGTTGGGATTCGCCCTGATGGAAGCAGTGAAACCAGTGTACCCGTTGTTGTACCTGTGCTCTGTGGGAATGACGTCCGCGTCGTCAACGCTGTACGAGGATGCGAATGCAAGCGGGTATGACTCGACAGGCTTCTTGTTCAGCGGGCGCCAGACGTTGATGATCCGGTATCTGCCCTTCAGCAGCGCATCGGCCTCGTCGCCGAGGTGTCTCCTAACGCGCATCTCGGCCGAGGCAGCGGTCTGGTCGATGTGCGTCCTGTTGACGGGGGCCCGCTTCGCGTTGGGGTTTGCTCGGCGGATGGTGTGGTCGAAGAAGACGACCCGGTTGGACCCGGGGACGTTCTTCAGCAGTAGCTCCTCGAGCTCGGGATAGTAGTTGGCCTTGATGGATTCGTCGTCGACGAAGTCCTTCTCCTTGGACTCCGGCACGTTCTGGATCACCTGGAAGGCATCCTTATCTAGGTTGTATTCGCCCTCATGCCCTCTGATGTCGTGGATGAGGGTGTCAACTATCTCGTCTGTGAAGTTACGCTGCGGAAGGCCCTCTGGTGGCGTGTCGACATGGTTGAAGGGCTTGGAGCCGTCGGCTGGCGGTGAGAAGTAGTTCAGCTTGGCCGTGACTGGTCCACGGGGAACATTTGATGTGACGGCCATTTCAAGGGCTGTGATCGTTCTCACGAATGGATACTGGTAGAAATTGTTTGGGGTCGGGGGGCTAATCGGCCAATCAAGAATGAAGACTATCAGGACAATTTGGGCGGGATATATATACCAAGCGTCTCTCTGAGGAGCAAATGACCGAGAGCTGGAGCGGACAGGCAGTTAAGAGTGACTGATATTAGTGCCGGTGATGCAGTGCTCTGATGATGAACAGTATAATCATGGCCCAAGCAGCAGGTGTTGCACTGGAATATATACGTGAAGCTTCACGCCTGATCTGACAAATCGGCCGTGTGAATCCAGCCTTTCGTCCCGAGTATTCAGAGCAAATGACAACGACCATCTCCAAAACCGATCACGTCATTTTCAAGTGCACCTCACGAAAGGAGCACGATGTTGGAGAAGTTGCCCGGTTCGGTTTGATCAAGTAGCGATTTGTTTGACTAATACAACATCAGGACTATATGTCACAGGTGATGAATAATGCACAGGTCGTATGAGAAATGTTTGCCCAGGAATAGTAAACACTTTTAAGTACTGTGTACCTAGATACCTAGGTGCCTAGGTGCCTAGGTACTGAATAAGTGCATGGCACACGAGTGTGACTGGGATCTACAGAATGTTCTTTTGCCCCGGATTATCGACAGGTGAGGTCATCCCGCCCGACAGTACATAGCAATGCATTAGTCGACACTCAAAGGGCTTGCTGACCAAGTGAGGGAAGATCATTTCGCCTCCCAAGACCCAGAGGACACCCCCCGGCAGCAATGTTCTAATGTGCCTACTATTTAGGTACCCAGGTAAAAGCGGGGCAGAACGTGGGTAGCCGCCGCGGGTTTCCGTTTGCGACCAGAGTCCAAGGTGGAAACCCTGCCGTGGGCAGGGCCAGAAAATGTGGCCCCCTGGCAACCAGCGCAGCCGAGCCCAATGCGGTAGAGGGGGTGTAAACAAGGCCTGGCCCGCCTGGCACGAGCTTTCAGTCCCGTGAATTCGTGAGCCTTACTTTACTTGCAGCTCATACACGCTCTTGTCTGCGCTCGTGCCCACGCCCACGTCCACTTCCACGTCCATTCGCACCGTCTCCGTGGAAACAAACGCGTCATAATTGCGAAGCCACCGAGACCCCTTCTTTATTTGCTATCTTTTCCCTCCCGTCGACCTTCCAAATGCGCATTGCATGTCGAGACATCGCCGGCGATCATATCGAGATTTCGCCGAAATGTCGGGCTTCGAAATCGAGTTACCCTCGTCGCCCGACCCTTTGGGCGACGAGTCGATAGTCATCCCGCCCGGGTCCGCCGCGCCACCTCCTCCGTCCACCACGCGTCGCCCTTTTCAGAGCGCTGCCTCGTCTCGATTCTCTGCCATCCCAGGAACCTCGCCTAGGAAGCGCATGTTCGCCCTCGATGTTGGCAACGAGATCACCCCTCAGACAATCTACGTCACCGTCGAGGCGGGCCCGGATGGCAATCCCATAACAAAGCCTGGCCGTGGCAGTGTCGGAGGCCCCAACGTGAGGCGACGTTTGTTTGGGTCACCCACCCCCCAGCCGAGCCCGCGTCGGGCACCGCGAACCACCACAACCACCGTGCCACTCAGAGGCTTGACCGACGATGAAGCCGACCCAACCCCACGACGGCGCAGGCGGTCGTCTGTACGACCAGGCACGCCAGCGACGGCAGCCGCCAAGAGGAAGAAGAAAGGAACACCAACACCCAAGCGGGGAAGACCACGAGGCACATCCGTTGCCAGCACATCCGTGGCCAGCAGTGATGCCCTGCAATCAGAAGCACCCGCCACGGTGGAAAAACCAACACCCAGGAGAGGAAGGCCGCCCAAGCGCAAGGCGGAGATCGCGCCATCGGATGAGGGCAGCCCCGCCCCGTCAGAGGCTTCAAAAACTAAGAAACCGGGTCGGAAACGTCAAAAGTCTATCCAGGCGGATGACACCGACGAGCTTACCGCCGCTGGCATCGACATAGCTCCACCTGAGAGCTACAGTAGACACTCTCCGCAACCTATAAATGACAACATCGAGCAAGCTTCGCCAGGGGAAGTCAATGAGGATGGAGCTGCTGCAGGCCCGGAAGAGGCTGACGAGGAGGACCCTTTTCTGGCCCAGTTATCAGACCCGCCCAGCGATGCGCGCCCTTCTTCAACTGTAGAACAGGCGATAGACTGCTTCGAGCCCTTTGATGAAGGCCAATTCGAGGAGCAAAATCAGCATCTGGGAGACGAGGGTCCGCTCCCAGCCCAGTCGGATGACTACGCTCCCATGATGGACTTCGACGACAGGAGCGATGTGAACTCACTTCATGACGGACCTGCACCTTTCAACGCACTGGAACAACGCATGACACTGGAGCTGGAAGATCAAGGGCCTCTGCCCGGCGAGTCAGATGATTATGCACCCATGATGGACCGTGATGATGAGAGCGATTTACAATCGCACCATAGCGAAGCGACTCCCAAGGCACCGCAAAACATTAGACAGGAACCCCTGGAGCTTGAGGATCAAGGACGTCTACCAGGAGAGTCGGACGACTACCCTCCAATGATGGACGTCGATGATGGAAGTGAGGCCGAGTCACATCACAGCTTCCGACCAGCCAGGAGTGAAGACGCTACAGACAATACGGTAGACCCTGACACATTCACCATGATTGGTATTGAGACGATGCCCTCATTCCAAGGTAACAGGGGCGCGCCGACATCGGATCTTCCCGAGATAGGGGAGGCGACAAGCCTGCTCATCAACAAGACGCTGGAGTCACTGGGATATATGGATGCGACAGACGAAGAGAACGATGACATCGACTTGCTTGGATCGCGGGAGCAGACACCACTTGAGGCTCCGGCAGGCACTGTGCATAACGGCTCAACTGAAAAGAAACAGAGTCTTCCCAAGGACAGCAGCCCTATTCGAGAGCCGCGAGCGAGACGGACTGCTGGAACCTCACAAACTCCGAGGGCTGTTGATTCACTCGAGCACATCGAAATGGTATCCTTGCAAGAGAACACACGATCCACAGCTCAGCCGATCCGTTACAACAATGCCGACGGGGTGAGCTCGGACGAGCTGGATGCTGACGATGATTCCTTCTCCGACATCCCAGAAGAAGTCTTCGCTGCTGTGGACCCTGAAGAGGTGCCACAATCTACAAGTCCCAGCGAGGATGAACTTAGCATGGCCGTCATAGCTGCCCGGAAACCGGCTCCGGAGTCGGTCCACAGTCAAGAAACCATCCCAGCCGACTCACAGGACAACGAAATTTCCGAGAACCCTCAGTCCCCGCGCGACCATCCTGAGCCCAGCCGTGCCGAGGATGACAACTTCCTCCAGCACTCTGCCTCACGCATCGCCCAGTCCGGGAGACAACCTAGCCAGTCCACGCAGAAGGGTTCGCAACCCCATCCCAATCGCTCTCGTTCAGACTCCAACCGTTTGTTGACACCTCCAGATGAGCCGATTTCTTCCAGCAACCAAAGCATTCCCGCGACGAATCAGCCTCATGAAGAGCAGAACGTGTTTGTCAACAGTGACGAAGAGATAGGATCTTCCCCACCAGAAATCACAGCCTTCGACCGAGAAGAGGTACAACCAATGCAAGACTCGCGCCGAAGCTCAGACACACCTACCAACCGACCGCCTTCGATTCATCTGCAGCCCGTGCAAGCTAGGGAGCCGAATGTTGCAGCTTTCCCGTCCCACTCAGTGGGCTCTCGGCCATTCCTCTCCCCGATCGTGCGCGTCGGGGAGAGACTGCAAAATATCTTGTCTGACCCTCCCTCGCCTTCTGCTAGAAGCAGTGTTTTGGGAAGCCCTTTCAAAGGTTCCGTTCGAAAATCTAGCCTGGATGCGCCCTCGGACGAAGAGCCTCAGCACAGGGATACGTCTTCCAACACCACATTGCAAAATCCTCCAGCGCCCCCGGAATCGCCGAAACCCACCTGGACTCAATCCCTTTTCTCGCTCAGCCATTTGCGAAGCCTAGTCACGGAAGGAACAAAGAAAATCACATCTCCACAGGTAAACGTCACGCAAACTTGGGAGGACCCGTTTGGGCCGTCATCCCCAAGCAAGGACCGAGGCGGAAGCGGTCGCAACTCGGCTTTCATGGAACGCATTAGGCAAGCTTCACGTGAAGGCAGTGTGCATAGCAGCAAGGCCAGCGTCGCAAGAGCGACGTTAGGTGAAGTCGATGACAGGAGTTTGTCAGGAGACCCAGCGCCTCGAGGCCTGAGCAGCAATTGGAGAGGCGAGAGGTCGCACAAGCCCGGTCTGTTTGGCTCAGAGGTCACTCCTGGTGGATATCATGTTAGTGAACTTGGTGGAAGTGACGGGGCAGCAGACGAACGGCCAGAAGCAACGAGTGCAGACCGCCTCCCAGAAGAGCCACGGACCGATGATACTCTTCTTCAGCCAATTGAAGATCAAGCACCGGAAACCGAACGCGGGCAGTATCCACAGCTTCATTATGAAGTAACTCAAGGAGTGGAGATCCAGGCGCAACCGAATAAAGACGCTATGCAGATTGACGAGGAGCCACTTGATGGGGATGGATCTGATGATGATATTTGGGCCATTGAAGCAGACAGGACGGCTTCCTCCCCGACAGCTCAGAAGCGGGCGACCGAATCGATCAACGAATCATTCAACGCTTTTGCTAGAAGCGGGCTTTCTATTGATTGGGGGACACGAAGTACCATCTCACAGACCTTGCCACCTGGCAGGAGCCCGGCTTTCAAGCAGTCCATACGTGGGGGCTCTCGCGTTGTGCATGAGAATCTCGAGGACTACTCTCTTCTTGATCTGCATAGTGGTACTGATACCCAACCATCCGCCAAGAAGCCCACACCAGAGCAACAACAGCGGCCGAAGAGAGTGGATCTGTCGGACTTCTTCTCCTCATCACCCAACTTCATAGAGCGGGAACGAAGGGCCAGGACAGCGCTGAAAGCTAAATCCATGGCTCAGACTACAACTGAGAGCCGTGCCCCTCACGTTACTTGGCCAGCAACACTACACGACGCTGATGTTCCCCAGAGCCCGCCTCACATTCAGCCGTCGTCGGACAGTCGGTTCTCAGACGAGCTACCTACACCAACCCGGGCGACTGACCAGGCCTTTGAACGAGACGGTGCGGGTCACTTGTCGTCCGAGTCCACCCCAGAACGGCCCCGTCTCCCACAGCAGCGTCTTGCTCCCCACCCCAGCCAGAACGATGCAGCTTTATTTGAAAACTGGGAAGTGTCATCGTCCAGGGCACCGACGGAACGTCTGCATGTCTCAGATCCCATAAGCGACACCCAGCCGAGTTCTCCAGAGGCTATCGAGCGACCTAGCACCCCTGGGGATCCCGACGAGTCCTCATTTGAGGCCCCCACGCTGAAGCCGCTCCCAGGTCGGGCTATGTCGCCGTCGAAATCTTGCCTAAGATCTCCCTTGAAACCGAAGACGCCTGGACGCGTTGTGGAATTCACGAGCAGCACTCTCTCCCCGATGGCACAAGGCCAAGCACAGGCTAGACCTCAGGGCAAGAATCCGACCACAACCTTGGGCCTCCCTCCTACCCTCTCGCCTCGCCGGTCTCCCCGAGGGAAGGAGAACCAGGTATCGGCGCTCAAATCCTACATACACTCCTCCCCTCGCCACAGGCATATGGGCACCACCCCACAGCGGCAGCAGGAAGGGCCGGCCGACTCTCCGCTCTCGCAAACCAAGTGGTCTAAGAGACACTGGCTGCTGATGGACGGGCTTCTACAGGCATACCGGCGCAACGCCCTTGACTTCCAGCTGCGGCACAGCGACGCCGTAATGACCTCGCCGAAGAAGCGCGCGTCGAGCTCGCTGCTCGGCAAGATGGTCACGTCTCAGGGCGAGAGGATGGCGCTGGAGCAGTGGCACCTGGACATTGTCGACGCATTTAAGAAAGAGGTCGGCGGGTGGCCCGAGGACGCGCTTGCTAAGCGGCTCTTCTCCCTCATTGTGGGCGAGGAGCGGAGGAGGTCCGGGCTGGTGCCGAAGAGGCGGTGATTCGTTCAATTTTCCTTTGTCTTGTATTTGTACTTTGGATTTTTGATGATGATGAGCATAAGTGGTTGATGGTTGCATAGCCGCTCGAACGTCCTGTCCAGGACGGAGTGGTGGAAATTCATGTTACGGGAATATGCAGGATACCCGGTTTGGAAAACAAGCCAAGCCTACAAATAGCATCAGATTGTATAGGGACGGTGGCAATCGGCGTCTTGGGTTTACTTTGGCCAACAACTTTTTGATACCATGCAGAAGACGAATATACGTAACGATGGTCAGCCATGAGTGTCTTATCGCCGGTGATACTCTATCATGTTAATATTACAATCAAGCCCAAAATCTGTCCATTCACTCCAGCATCGACGCCTGGTTCGTGTAGAGCACATCGACCACATTGCTGAGCTTCTCAATGGTCGCCAGAGCGGAATCGTACGCCTCATCCCTGTGTGTCTCGTCGAAGATGATGAGGCACCCAGCACCCTGGTCCAGCACGCCAATAATGACCTTGTCCAAGATCATCTGCGACAGCTTCTCCTCTACCTGGACGGGGCTGAGCTTGACCATCTTGGCGACGTGGTCGATCTCGACGCGCGAGAACGGCTCGATCACCTTGATGAGGTTCTGCTCCAACATGGCGTCGTACAGCCTTCGCAGGTGGCCCCGTATGAAGGTGTCGCTGCCCAGCTCGCGCTGGTATGAGCCGAGCACGCTCTCGTACTCGTCCAGCGACCGGTTCGAGTGCGCGCGCGCGATGGCCTTCATCGCCTCGAGCGACTTGGTCGCGTACTTGGTCGCCTGCTTGGAGCTCATGAGCTGATTGACGTCGTCCACCTGGTTCAGCATCACCTTGCAGAGCAGCATGTACTGCAGGGCTGCCGTCGCCTTGACCGTCTCGTCCAGCTGGGAGTACCCGTCCAGGGCCTCGATGAAGTACGAGTACGCGGTGGTGAAGTCCTTGTCCTCGGCGTGGAGCATACCCGCCTGCATGTCCAGGTTGGCTTGGAGCAAGGGCGGGGTGTAGACGGAGGCGGCGGATGTGCGTGCGCTTGTCAGGGCCGCGCGGGCCTTGGCGATGTTCCCAAGCGCGTGATACACCCTCGACTCGAGGAGCTGGACCTCGACGAGCACCAGCTTGTCGTCCAACCGCTTCAGCTCGCGGAGCAGGTTGTTGATCAGGGTGAGTGCGTCATAGTAGGATTGTTTGGCCATATACAGGGTGACGAGACGGGTCTCAAGGTTCTGTCGGAGGAAGCCTCGGCGCTCCGATGTTGCCCAGTCTATACATGACTTGGTGGTAGAGATCTGGATTTCGTTTGTGTCGGGAATGTCGTGGAAGAGGTCAAGGAGCTGGCGGACTTTTGCACAGGCACGAGCATTAGCGATCGATGTTCAATCAAACGGGTCCGTGACAGCCCATCAAGGCACGTACCTAGCTTCGCAGTCTTTGCCTTGGCAAATGATGAGAGAACGGTACGGCTCTTGGTCACGAGCTCAACCAGCTCCTGGGTGTTTCTGCTCCCAGCGTCAGCGACCTGATTCCGTCGTGATGAGCAAGTGTGCAATAACGGCTGACTTTTGGTCTCGGTACAGCTCGCCCAGGCTGATCAGTGCAGTCTCGTATTCCCGAATCGCAGCATCGGTGAGGGATGGTGGCTTTGAGACGATGTCCTTGTAGATCTGCTCAGCCTTCTTGGGATCACTGGAAGCGACCTTCTGCGCCTCCCGCACTCTCTCCGAATCTCCCTGCGCCATTGTGTCTCGCTAATGTCTGAAGGAGGTCTTGTTGCCTTTCGGTAGTAGTGGAAAGGTAAAAGTCGGGTTTAAGTTTGTTGGTCGGAAGAAAGTTGCGGTTGTGAGCAGATCGATTGGGGGCTGTTGTTGTTGGCGTTGAGAGTTGAAGGCGGCACAAGTCAGCCTCCTGGTTGCTGAACCTAGAGCTCCGTCCAGGTTGCCGTATGCACGCGCAAACCTGCCCGCCGCTGCAGTAAACCAACCTATTACGTGCCGGCCGTCAGTACATCTTAGGTACTTAGGTACCTGGTGCAAGGTGGGTCCTACCCTGGCTGGGCTCGATCTCTTATCGCTTATCGCCAATGCCGTCTTTTAGCCCGTCGCTCCATCCATTTCAACTTTTTCCCTAGAACTGGATTGGAGCCTTCCTGACATTTCGATTCGCGTCCGACCCCAGAAACGAGCAACCATGAAAATCAAGGCCCTCAGCCGGTCGATAGCGGCTGTCCAGCCAGCCGGCTCGGATGTGGCCAAGCAGCCGAAAAACATGGAAGCCGCCGTCCACCCGTTCGAGCGAGCCAGAGAATACAAGCGCGCTCTCAACGCCGTCAAGATGGAGAGGATGTTTGCGCAGCCCTTTATCTGCCAGCTTGGGCAAGGCCACGTGGACGGAGTCTACCAGCTCGCCAAGGACCCCAACTCCCTCAACATGCTGGCAAGCGGCTCAGGTGACGGCGTGGTCAAGGTCTGGGACATGGAAAGCCGAGAGCAGCGGTGGCATGTAAATGCGCATACGAACATTGTGAAGGGTCTGGCTTGGACGAAGGACCAGAAGCTACTCACTTGCGGGACCGACCGGAAGATCCATCTCTTCGACCCCTCCAACGCCGCCGACTCCGAACCTCTCACGACTTTCACTGGTGCCAGCGCTTTCACTTCGCTCAGCCACCACAGGTCTAAGAATGCTTTCGCCGCCGCATCGGGCAGCAAGATTCAGATCTATGACCTCGAGAAGATCTCGGGCGCGCCTGAAGAGTACAGCTGGCCCAACGCGACGGACACAATAAATGCAGTCAAGTTCAACCAGGTGGAGCAGTCGGTAGTAGCATCAACTGCTTCCGACAGGTCGATAGTGATCTGGGATGTGCGACTCTCGACGCCAGTGGTCAAGACCGTCTTGACATTGGCTTCGAACGCGCTGTCGTGGAATCCAATGGAGGCGTTCAACCTTGCTGTGGCAAATGAGGACCATAATTGCTATGTGTTTGACGTGCGGAAGTTTGACAGGGCGCTCAATGTGCTCAAGGGACATGTTGCTGTAAGTCAAATTCCCTCTGGCCTGGTCAGCTTGGCTCTGCAAAGGCGCAAAACTCTTGGCGCATGTCCTCTGACGATACACCCAGGCTGCGATGGACGTAGAATTCTCGCCGACTGGTGAAGAGCTCGTGACAGCGTCATACGACAGGACGATCAGGATTTTCGCTCGCGACCAAGGGCATTCACGCGATATTTACCACACCAAGAGAATGCAACGTGTGTTCGCTACGAAGTGGACGCCAGATGGCAAGTACCTGATCTCCGGATCCGATGACGGCAACATCAGGCTGTGGCGGGCGAATGCTTCAAAGCGGGAGGGCGTAAAGTCTGCGAGACAACGACAGGCTGAGGAATACAACTCGAAATTGGTGGAGCGCTTTTCGCACATGTAAGTGGTGGCTCTTCTCACATTTCACTCCCGTTGCCACCATCGGCACCTTGAGATACGGGGTACGGCTGCAGGTTGCGCTTGAGCCCCTGGGCTTCAGCCAGCCCTGAGCATCACTGGCAGAGTAGTTCTAGGTGTCAACTGGATCACCGGCCATACTTGTGACACTGGCTAACTCTCAAAACCCAGGCCCGAGATTCGGCGTATCAAACGCCACAGACATATTCCTCAGATTGTCAAGAAGGCTGGCGAGATCAAGAATGAGGAGTTGAAGTCGATTAAGAGGCGCGAGGAGAATGAGAGGAAGCACAGCAAGAAGCAATTCGAGAAGCGCCGAAGCGAGCGGGAGAAGATGATCCTGGCCCGGGAGAAGTAAATAGGCCGTGACGTGCAAAGACTACGTGGTCAGGGGGGTTTAACATGCATTGCAAGGCGTTAGGCGGGAAAATCATGATACCTGGTTGGCTGACCTGGGATGAGGCCGACAGAAATGGTCACAAAAGTAGACATGTGGTCGATGTCATAGGAGGTGATATTACCAGGCCAAGTCTGCCATAAGTCTACAAAATAGGAACAGTCACACACAGCAACCACCCGCATCAAGAGCAACTCAGCCACTGTACTGACGAGTCGCGAGTAGGAGGACCAGCTGGGCCGCACGCGATGCTCAGGATCGGGCCCTGCCGAAAGTGACCCGTCAGCCGGTCGGCCGTTCGAGCCAGTGGGCCGGCCGCAGGGGTGAGCTTGAGCTCCCTGGGGCGGGGGGGGGGGCATCATCATCAGGGGTCCGAGCTGACACCCGCTGGGGCCAGCCTATTGTTTCAACATGTGAATCTGCGTCAAGGGGAACTTGTCCACTGTCGCAAGTAGCCCATTCTTTCCGGACACTTTTTTTTTTCTTCTTTTGAACTCGAACGAACTCGACATTCTCGTAGCAAGTCTTTCTAGGTACTGACTCCATCCTCTCCCGCGTTTTCAACAGGTGTCACCAGCGACCCAAACCTCACCCGGCGCATCATCGCAGACTTCAGTCGCAGGATATTCGCACCCCGAACCTCCAACATGGCCTCAGTCGGCGGCTTTGACCGCCCACCACAGCGGGACTCATGGTTCGCCCCATTCTCCATCGACCTGTTTCTCAAGGTCCTGAACGTGACCTTCTTCCATCCATTCGTCGCATGGATGATACCGCTGTGCTTTCGCGCCGAGCACATGGACTGGGACAAGACCCCGATGCAGGTCTCGATATGGTATGCGTGGGCCATAACCATCTGGTGGATGCTGGGCGAGATCAACAAGCGCGTGGCATTCGGCCTCCCTCGCGACGTTAACCTCGAGGACGAGGTCATTGTCATCACTGGCGGCGCGAGCGGTCTTGGCCTTCTCGTCGCAGAGGTGTATGGCATGCGCGGCGCTTCTGTGGCAGTGTTGGATGTGAGGGACCTCGAGAACGGGGAGGCCAGGGGCGTCACGCACTACAAGTGCGACGTCACGGACAAGGAGCAGCTTGCGCGTGTTGCCAAGCAGATCGAGCAAGATGTGAGCACCCCCTTCCTGCCTACCTGATCGACCCGGCTGGGCTAGTGACTGACCCTTTCGCAGCTCGGCCCGCCCACAGTCCTGATCAACAACGCAGCCGTGGTGGTGGGCAAGCGACTCCTAGACATGGACATGGCCGAGATCGACAAGAGCCTCAGCACGAACCTGCTCTCGTGCTTCTACACCCTCAAGACCTTCCTGCCCGCCATCACCCGCAGCCAGACCGGCGGCACCGTCGTCACCATCTCCAGCGTGATCGGGCAGGTCGGTGCGGCGCAGCTCACCGACTACGCGGCCGCCAAGGCCGGCCTGATCGCGCTGCACAAGTCCCTGACGGCCGAGCTGAAGCAGTCGCACCCGAGCGTCCGGACCGTCCTGGTGACCCCCGGCCAGCTCAGCACGCCGCTCTTCTACGGCGTGCAGACGCCCAACTCGTTCCTGGCGCCCGTGGTCGAGCCCGTGGACATCGCCAAGGAGATCATCAGCGCCATCGACAACGGCAAGGCCGAGTTTATCAGCGCGCCGCTCTACGCGAGGATGATGGACTGGTATAACGTGCTGCCGCTGAGCCTGCAGACCGTTGTGAGGAGGTTGGCTGGTGTCGACACGGCGATGCAGAACTTCATCGGCCGCAAGGGTAATGAGCTTCATGAGAAGAACGGAAGCCTGATATGACTGGACAAGTGCCGAACCTGAGCCCGGTCCAAAGGCCCAAGAGGCTGCTAGGGCAAGAAAGCATAATAGCCGGCTTATAAGCTTTCTATGCGGCCAGAACGTATGATACAATATACTCAATAACGAGGGGTAGAACATCTCATAATCTAGACAACTGTCACCTATACTGCTCGCCTTGTCCCGGGTCATCACTATACCATGTTTATAGCAGCACTTCGCTATAGGTGAGACTGGGGTACCTTATCGTCACCACCCGCTCGTCCAGCTTGGGCATCCCGAGAAGAGATGAACGCCAGCCAATTGCTCTCCGGGCCCAGGGTTGTACTTGGTAAGCAAAGGGTGAAGAAGCATATGCGCTTTCCAGTCGGCTGGCTTGGCTTGTCCCGGAGAGACATAAAAGTTCGCAGACGCATAAAAGAACTGCAGCGTGCGCCTCATCTAGCATGTCAAGCACGGGTTCACAAAGCGCAGATCGAAGCACCAGCTCTGTCTGTTATTCGACACCGAAAAACAACATGCCAAGCGAGTGGAAAGGGGACAGTTTGATACACACCGAACAGAAATGGTTTCTGAAATGAGAATGCTGGGTATTGGTTTAGCGTCTAGATTGAGAAATTATTTGTGCCGGAAATCGATGCAACAGGCCACGATCGTTCTGGCCAAGCAGCCGACCTCGTATCCCATGTAACCGAACCGAGAAGTCGTCTCCCTCGCAACGTGGCATATGCGATCGAACTCAGATCGTGGAGTACTACATTATGCTATCTAGTTATACTGTCCACAGTTATACATGAGCGTGAAAAGAGGGCCTTGATAACCACGCGGGCATTTACCACCTCCTGCATGCAAGTGACCCCCACCAAGGCCAGGCTTGGCCACCGACATTCTCACATGCATGCATGCAGGCTGGCAGGCAGGCAGAACACACACCACCATCGGAAGACCAGGTAAGCGGGAAAAGCAAAGTGCAGGGCCCGGACCCCTGAGGATGTATCCTCTCAGTTGTTGCCGGCGCTGTGGTACATGTCGTGGGGCGAAACGAGAACCACACACCACAGCACGGAGTACTTTTAAGTACAGCACTGTACACAGTAAATTATACCTCGGAAAGGATAAGGTTCGTCGCCAAGTGGACTGCGAAACCCAGCAGAGCCAGGCCTCCACGCCTCATACCCGTGGCTGCTGTATAGGAGGATACATAGTGCCCCGGCATCCCGCACGAACACGACCCAAGGTCAATAGGTCCCACTCTGATGGAAACGGTGATAAAGGGCTAATACTATGTAGTAAGGATTCGGTTGGTAAAAGTACACAGACAAGCCAACTTGACCCGACTGCCTGAGAGGCCGAGAGGCCTAGAGGTCGATCTCCTTATCTACGACCATTGCCCTGCCTCCACTGATGGAATACTACCCTTGCCCGCATGGCAGCTTAGAAGACAGTCCGGCCCACTCATTCGCTGGGTGGAGCCCTCCCGAGGTCCCGCCCGAACTGCTATGCGGCCTCGTCCTACGTCCACAGCAGCCGACGTCAAGCTTTCACAGGCCTGTCCCAATCAATCTGTCTCATCCTTGCTCACCCCCCCCCCAAGCCCGTTCAACGTAACTCTCCTGCCCGAGTCCCAGTAGTAATAGGAGTTTGCCGTCTCCACCAACATGTCAGATCCAAGAGATTCGGCATCCCTCTGCCTACTGTGCGTGACAAGCAGAAGAAGAAGCAGGACGAGGGCCAGCCCCGGTGCCAATCTCCTCCCTTGAGCCTCGGGTTCCAGCAATCTGGCACCCGGCCCCCTGGGTCTTTGTTCTTGTCCTCCCCGGATCTGCGCATTCAGCTGGGTCTGTCTGTACCGGTGGGCCTGAGGATCTCGCATGCTGTTGCTTGCATGACACCCGATTCGTTATCAGGGGCGTGCTGAATATTCTTGCCGGTCACATATACAAAAAGAACGAGGCTCACACGCTCACACACACACACACACACGCAGGTTGCTGACTGACTGACCAGCAGACCTCGCACAGGAAGGCTGTGTTCTTTCGCTCTCCACCCGAAATACTACTCTAAACCTTTCCTCCCATGTTCCTCGCCTGCTTGTGGTTTCTACCTGCCCCATATTCTCCTCCTCAGATGTGACAACGAGGCGGGTATTAATACCCATGTTCCTATTGTTCAGCCCTACGCTACCGGTAGAAACGCGCTTGGGGGGTGTATAGCAGTCCCGCCATGGATCGAGTCATGCGGTTCGACACAGTACGCATCGAGAAGACCGTGACGAGGCAGTTCGTCCACTCACATCTCCTGCCGGACGAGATAGAACGCCTGGATAAGCCCCTGGCCTTTGGCGATGGCCTCACCAACTGCACGTACTGGGATTGGATAGAGGGCCACGCGAAGCGGCTGTTCCTTATCCTCGTCGACCTAGGGGTCCCGGACCAGATATTTGGTGTCATTGACGACTCCTGGGAGGATGTCGACCTGCCCATCGCCCTGGACCAGGTTGAGAGGCTCTGCCTGACCGCCACCAAGGACGTCAAGTCCGAGCGAAGGTTCTATGACCGGCAGTTTCACTATCTGCTCCGGCCACTCCGCAAGGGCGAGCACATTGATTATCAGGACGAGGAGATCGTGCCCCTCGACGTGTATGATAGGCGGCCGGGGCTGATACAGAGCAACGACATAGACAGGGTTGGACTCCCCAATGTCCCCGGCGAGGTCTTCTGCAGGCGTCGGTTCCCCGTAGGACATGACCAAGGGTGCCTATCACGCGAGGACCTCATGTTCGAGATAAGCACCATGAGGGACCTCCAAAACGACCACCTCGTGTCATACTGGGCGTCATACATCCACCAGGGGTTCGCATACGTCCTCTTCACACCAGTCAGCGAGTACAAGCTCGCCGTGTACCTGACCAACACGCCCCAGTCGATAAAGAACGTCGACAAGACGGCCAAGCGGAGGCTGGTGCTGGACTGGATCCAGTGCCTCGTCGACACCGTCTGCTACGTGCACAGCAGGGGCCGGTGGATCGCAAACATCAAGCCCTCCACCGTCCTCTTCACCCAGGACAACCACATCCTCCTGTCCGGGTTCTCCCGCCTCAGCCCCGACGCGCCCTCGGGCCAGGGCGGTGTCTTCTTTGACAAGGAGGCGTACGACTACGCCGCGCCGGAGCGGTGGGCGTCCAAATCAGCCAAGTCCCCGACAGCACCGCGGATCAAGGCCACGGCCCCGTCCTCGTCCCGCTCCGGTGCCCCCTCCATCCGCAGCGGCAAGAGCGGCCACACCGAGCACACCACCAGGTCGGCACCGCCAGCAATAGCAGCAGCAGCACCGGCCCCGCGTCTCGACCCGCAGGCGGCAGACATCTTCTCCATGGGCTGCGTGATCCTCGAGCTCCTCAGCCACGGGCTGTTCAAGCGGTCGACGGGCGCCTTCGCGTCGCACCGCAGCGCAAAGCACAAGAACGCAGGGCGGGGCGGCGCCGTGCTGGACTCGTCGTTCCATAAGAACATGGGCCAGGTGGAAGGGTGGATCACGGCGCTGGCCAAGGAGGCGTCCAAGAAGGCCGAGGGCAGCGGCGACAAGGGCGAGGTGTTCAGGGGCGTGACCCCCCTGCTCCAGGTCGTCAGCAACATGCTGTCGCCGCACCCGCCCGACCGGCCCTCGGCGTTTGACGTCCAGCGCCGGACGTACCAGATCCTCACGCAGCAGTGCGGCATCACCGAGCCGCACTGCGTCCACCAGTACGACGCCTGGGACCACCTCGGCGTGGCGGGCGGCGAGGGCCCAGGAGGGGGAGGCGCCACCAGCACTGGCCGCAACAGCGTCATGACGACGATAGATGAGGCGTCAACCCCCGAGGAAGGGTTTGCGACGGCAGAGATGACCGCGGCGACGACGATCGCGTCCTCTTCTAACCCTTCGAGCTTCTATGAACACGAAGACGACGTTTATGGCGGTGAGGATGGATATGGCGGCTATGGCGGCTACGATGGCGGGCGCACGCCCTCTAAGCTCGGGATAAGAAGCGGCGGTGACATGCCCGTCATCGTCGGGCAGCGAGGTCACAGGCGACAGACAAGCCAGGATAGCTCTTGGAGTAAAGGTAGTGGCAGTGACCGTGGCCGGGCGGACGGGCAGCGGTGGGAGTTGAACAGCGGGCTGAAAGCGATTCAGAATCTCCGCATCAACAGGTCAAGGGCTTAGCGGGCTTCTCAGCAAACGGCTGAGGCTATAACACAGTTCGACATACCTGCAAATAAGAGGCTACATTGCGTTAATACGATGAATAGTGGATATTATACGACACGTATTTTGGGATGCCCATGATCGAAGAGTTGGCTAGATACCTAGTGCCTTTTAGTATCCAACACCGAGTACTCGTGACTACATACTTACTGAAGTTTCTTGGACTTGACTGAGCACCCTCTCGTTCACACAAGCGGGCCAACATTTCAGCCTCTAATTTCATGGTGCAAAGTGGTACTGGTGATGTGCGCTTCCATTTTCTAGTTGTAATGAAGCTTAGACTGTCCACTGTAGAAAACCAGGCAGCTGCTCTAGTGATGCAAAAACAAGAACAATGATTACCCTGTGCCATAATCTTTCCCTGTGGGTAGAATCTCCTTAGCTGTATGTTGTTCTTTCTCTGACATTATCGGCCTTCAACACCATTAAGTGTCTCTGCTACCACTGATGAAACTGAGCCATTACGACGAAGGTGGAGCAACAACCCTCTGTCACGTTCAAAACGCCTATGGATGGAAGAGAATACGTATCCTCAACGGCGCCATCTCATTCCGCACCATCTCTCATGGGCTAGTTGCACTTGCTCGTGTCTCGCAACGCTCATCATTCAGTCGCCAGGCACGCCGTGATGTCCAATCACAGCATCAGCGTAATGGACATCAGCAGGCCCAAAAGTGCCGCAGTCATCTTGGTGAACTCCATGGTCGAGCTGGCAGGACTCTCCGAGCTCGAAGTTGGAGAGCTAGACGTGCTTGTCGAGTTGGCATCCGTGGCACCGTTCGAGGATGATGATCCGGTCGGCTCAGATGTCGCATAAGTTGTTCCGACGAGGGTCTCGCCGACCGTGGGGAGTTGAACGTCGCCATTCAGGAGCCAGCCCAAGGACCCAGTGGTCGACGCGGGGCATGGTCGCGTGGACAAAGACTTGGTATCCATGTCGGAGCTCATGATGCCAGTTGGGTTGAGCGTGGCCCACTGCGCCTTCAAGTTGGAGAAGTCCGGAGATACGGGTGTCGGGGTGCCCTGTCGCGTGAAGCCGTCGGCAATGTTGCTACCGGTAGCAGTAGCAGGGACAGGCGGTCCGTATGAGATCAGACCGTAGTCGTTCGTCTCCTCGATCCACTCATAAACTATTGAGCCACTCTGTAGCCAAGAATTAGTATTTTATCACGTCTATTGCCATGTTCCAGATTTTGTAAGAGATACTCGAGCTGGTCTGGGGACCTTCTTCGCAGCATGCAGACTCGTGTCGTGAACGACACCCAGGGACGCGCCCTGTCAAGTCAGGTTGAATGGCAGGCCAAAGTTGATGTTGAGAGACAACAAGAGCTCCGTTTCACTTATGTGGATAGGTGTGCGTTTGAACCCAGAGGGGGGAGGGAACATACCCAGTCATTAATCATGTCCTCTCCAAATATGGCAGCCTGGTCCTCGAATGTACGAGGCCGGGCAGTATTGCAACCGGTCTCGGAAAAGAAGATAGGGACGGGGAAGTTAGCAGCACCAGCCTGGAGGTTGGCGTAGCCGGACGTCTGGAAGTCTACATCGCCGCACCACTCGTAGCTGTTGAGTGCGAAGAAATCGACGCTGTCTGAAGGGTCTCCGCCGCATGTGAGGAAATCCTGCAGCATCGGCCGCAATTCAGCAATGTCGGCCGCAGAGTATCCGACGGGGATATTGCGGTAGCCCTTGGAATTGCGGTATGCCTTCAAGTCCCGGGCTGCAGCCTTGATGAAGGGAGCGGCCATGCTCTGCGAGGCCATGGCAATGACCTCATTGCCGACGAAGAAGCCAAGAGTATTGTCATACTTTTGGAACTCACTGCGACGAGTCAGCTCCTAGTTCAGAACAGCTCGGTCAGGGCAACCTCGGGTTCCTCCCAGCGATGGCTCATTGCGGATGGGACGAAGCATGAGAGCAAGAATAGGCTTGTACGTACTCCATAACCTCGGTGAACCGTTCATACTGTGTCTGGTTCCACCATGGGCTAGTCTGCGAGACGGAAAGGGGTGCGGGTCAGCGGCCAAGGTTCAGCCAAGAAGGACAAGAGTGGGCTCGGGCCGTACCGGGAGTATGTAAGTATCAAAGGTGTCAAGGTCAACCAGGAGATAGATGCCAGCATCGGCCAGGGTGGACATGCACTTGGAGTGGTCCTTGGCGGCATCAACGTGGTAGACGCGAATAGAGTTGACACCGAGATCCTGCATCAGGGCTACATCGCGGGCACACTGCTCCGAGTCGAGGAGGGGATCGTCCGAAGTGAGCTGGTAGGCAACGCCCTTGAGGAAGAATTCTGTTTCGACATGGTCAGCGGGGGCTTCCTGCGGCGGCAGAGTCAGATGGGACGTTACGAGTTCCGTTCTCGTAGAAGAACTTGTTGCCGTGGGCGGAAATTGTGGAAACGGCGGCGTGCACGGCACCCAGCAGGGCCAGAGACAAGGCGTAAGAGAGTCTCATGGCGGATTTGGAATGGCGGCCGTCCAAAATCGGGTATCCAAGTGAGAGTGCTTGAATGATCACAAGGTCAGGGTCGTAAGGATGGTACCTGGTCGTCGATGATGGATGCGAGTACTGAGTACCAAAAATGGTGGCAGACTCGAAGCTTATTGATCGGGGTGGGCAGGGCAAGGTCGCAGAAGTCGAGCCGACGAAGGGCCTGCTGTTCCCTGACCGCTGTGATTGATGTTTTCGAGTGACGGGCAGGTGAGTGGGTGTCCTTCTCCTTCTCCTTCCCGTTTTGTCCGTCACAGACCCGCTTCAGTCCAAAGGGAAACAAACAGCCCTGGAGGCTTGCAAACAACTCGTAGCAGGAACGACTGACAGGACACCGACAGGTGGGGGAGACGGAGTAAACAGAAGAGACAGAAGTGGACGGCAAGCCTACGACACAAGGAACAAAAGGACAGGCAAGCGTGGTAATAACGCCTGGTTGTGATGATGTACCTACCGTACGGAGTACCAGTAGCGCGTGCAGGATCACACAGCACTCGCTGTCAACATGAACATGGGGTTGGACTACCCTTGCCTACCTGCGATGCCAGCAAACAGATATGCTGTGCTGCATCTGTACTGGTTCAATGATTCACAGTGCCCCCACCGGCAGATTGCACGTACGATGATGGATGGTACTGGCACTTGCACTTGCACTTGCACTTGCACTTGCACTTGCAGCCAGACCTGAGTCGGACAGGACAATACCTACGGCCGTGACGGTCCGCCCAGGAGAGCTCGGGAGTACGGTCTTCTCTATATCCCTAATGGGTCCCCCCTTCTGCCTCTTCCCATCAACCTATTCCTTAAATAGGTTAGTTATATCTAGATATAAGGTGGCCCCTATAAACCACCTATAAAAGGAATTTATAAATAATATACTTAAACTAAAGGTCCCTAATATATCTATTTATTACTTTTTATAAAGATTTTTACTATTTAAAGTATAATAGTTTATATTAAATTAATTAATATTTTTAGAATAGCTTTATTAAATTTAAATTCCTTATTTTTAATAAAATTTTATTAAATATAAATAATTCTTTAATATAGTTAGTTAATTATTTTAATAAAGATTTTTATAAATATTATTAAAAGTCTTTTATAAAATTATTATAGTTTAATAAAAAAATAAATTATAAAGTTTTATTAAGTTTTAAGTATTAAATAAAATAAATATATAAAAAGTATTTATTATTAATTTTATTACTAACTTTATTAACTATAAATAATTTATTAAATAGTTACTTTTATAAAAGAATTAATTAATTTATAAATTTTATTAATAATAAAAAATTAATATATTAAATAATCCTTTTAATTTATTAAATAGAATTATTAATATTATATTTAATATCTCTACTTTTAAAAGGAATTATATATATAGTTTTTAAATAATAATTATATTAAGTTAAATATACTTACCTTATAAACTATTATATTATTTAATATATTTATTAATATAAAAATTTATTTATATTTATTAAAAGTTAATTAAAATAATTAATAGTATAATAAAAATACTTTTATAATTATTTTAATAAACTTAAAGAAAGTCTTTTATATTATAATAAACTTTATAAAAATATATAGGTTAATATTATATATTTTAATAAAGTAAGTAGTTAATAGATTATTTTATAAAGTAATAAGTAGTAAAATAAATTTATTAATATAAATTTTATATATTATTTTTTATAATATATTTTTATAAGTTTAATTATTTATTAATATATTTAAATTATTTTTATAATTAATAACTTTTTAATTAATTATTTAATTATTTTTAAAAGAAGCTTTTATTATTAAAAGATATACTTTTATAAATATATATAAAAGTTAATATTTATAAAAATAAATAAATATATAATTTTTAATAATTTTAGGTATAAAAAACTTTATTTTATAATAAAATTTTTATTTTTATATATTTAATATAATTACTTTATAATTAATAATTATAAAGATTTTAAAAGTAATTAAAAATTAAAGTTTTATTATTATAAATAAAATAAAATATTTAATTTTACTATAAACCTATTAGCTTTTTCTTATTATTAAAAATTTATAACTAATATATATTTATAAGTTTTATAAAAAAATATAGTTATATATTATTTTAATTTTATTAACTTTAAAATTATTATAAAAGCTTTTAAGAAAAAGGTTATTATTATTTAAATAAATATAGAAATATTTAATTATATTTATTTAACTTAATAGATATTATTATTATTAAGTAGCTTCTTTTAATTTAATTTTAAATATAATAAAATTAAAATTTTTAAAGAACTATTATTATAACTTTATAATATAATTTAATAGCTTTATTTTATAACTTTATAAAAATAAAGTAGAGTTAATTAAACTTTATACCTTTTATATTTTTCCTTTTAAAATATAATAAATTAATAACTTTTAATATTTTTAATAAAGCTATAACTTTACTTTTATATTAAAATTTTTATTTAAAGCTTAAAAGTTCTTTTATTTAATTATTAAATTATTTATAATAATATATTTTAATATTTATAATAATATATATTTAATTAATTATTTTAAATAAATTATAATAATATATACTTTTAATTATTTAATAAAAGTATATATTAAAATACTATTATTTATAATTATTATAATAAAATAGTATAAAAAAGTTATTTTTTAGTTAATATAATATATAGTATTAAAAAAATATTATTTTATAACTTATTAATATATAGTTTTATTTATAACTCTTTATTTCTTTTAAAAAAGATTAATATATAAAAAAGTACTCTCTTTCTTTTATAAATATATAATATATAAATTAACCTTATTTTTAGAAATACTTTTATATTAATAATTTAATCTTTTATTTAATACTTTATATAATAATTCTTTTAATTATTTATTACTTTATAGTAACTATATTAATATAAAACTTAAAAATTTTTTATTTAATTTATTTATATTTATATATTAATTTTTATTTTTATATATTTTATAAGTAATTATAAGCTTTATAAATTAATAATTATTTTATTAATACTTTTAATAACTCTTTTATTTAAATTTTATTTTTTTAAAATACTTTTTATTATAAACTTTAAATTAAAAAGTATTTAATAATATTATATTATTAAATAATATAAATATATTTACTATTTTAAAAAAGTATAATTTATTATAATATTATAATAAATATTTAATTTAAAAATTTATAAATATAAAACTAACTTTATTTAGTTTATTAAAAATAATATTATTAATTATTTAAAACTTTTTTAACTTTCCTTTAAGTTAAATACTTATTAATTAAATAGATTAGTTTAATATATTTATTATACCCTTTAAAAAACCTATTAATAAGAGTATTTATATTTAAATTAATTAATTATAAAAGAATTTTTAATTATTAATTATATTTATATTAAATTATATATTTAAATATTTAATATAAAAGTTTAAAAGCTTTTATTATTTATTAATTAAAGTAATAATATAATTAATTATAAATTTTTTATAAACTTTTTATAGGTATTAATTTATATAAAAAAGTTAATATTTAAAATTATAAAGATATTAAAGAGTTTTAAAAGCTTATTTTAATATAATAATATATATAATATATATATTTTTAATAAAAATAATATTTTAATAAAAAAATATTAAATAAATAAATATAATTAATAAGAGAAAAAAGTTAAAAAGATTAAAATTAATCTTTAAGTTAAAATAATACTTTAAATTATTAAAACTATATATAATTTAATATTTAATATACTTAATAAATAAATAAATATATAAATATAAACTATTATATAATTATTTTATTATAATATAAATTATATTTATATAAAACCTTTAATTAAGTAAAATCCTTTTATTAGATAGGAAGGAGATAAGGAATTATTTCTATTTATTGGACTAAGACTGCTTACCCTGAATAGGGTGGTGGCGCCTTGGCAATCTGGACGCTGAGAAGATACGTACTCTAGAACGCACATCTGGGATTTAGAAAACCCCCGGGAGTACACGCGAGCTCATCAAGCACAAACCTGCTCGAAGTTGCAAGCGCTGCCAGGCTGCCAGGCTACCAGGCAGGCAGGCAGATTAAACTGGCTGCAGGTGCTAGTCGCCAAGCCCTTCATATCAGTCGCTTGTACGGGGAAGGCTAGATCAGACGCAGGTCCCGGGCGTCGAACCAGGGCAAAAGCCGGAAGCAGCGACCAATCGACCAATCGACCCATGCGCTGGGACAGCTGGCTGGGTAATTGGACGGTGCTGATATGAGGAGGATCTTTTGGGGGGAGGGGGCCCGGAGCCAGCGTTTGACAAAAAGAGAGGAAATCACGCAGACGAGCTGACGAGGTCACTGTCAATCTGGAGCCAGCCGCAGCGTGCCATCGCCCTGTTGCATCACAGTTTGATCCGCATGACGGACAGGAGGCTGCGGAGCTTCTTGGAGGAGCTCCAGCAGGTAGGAACTACTAGGTAGGTACTACTAGGTAGGCACGGGAGTCTATTAGCTGGATGACGCAGCTCCAGTCTTGTTCAAGCTTGACTGCGCCAGCTGTGACCGGCTAAATACCAACGGGCTGCGGGGGTCTGATCGTCGGCAGGGCCATGAGATGCTCGCGGCATCTTGCAACACGGCATCACACGCGTACGGAGCACCACAAGCCCTCGTCGTGCCCCCTGGCAGCTGGCAGCCGGCAGCCCGGTTGCCACAATTAAATCAGCTGGCATTTTGGCGCTTCTGCATATGCACGCTGCCGCGCCCCCGGTTTCCCGCATTGCAGCATGTTTTGATTCGCACAACAGCTCCAGCCACCCCGGCCACCACTGGACAGGGCAGCCTCGTGCAGAATGTCTCCTGTGGGACGACCTCCTATACGGCAACGTCTTATAGAATGAGACAGGAAATATCAGCTCACCGTCCGACGGTCACCAGTGCAACCCGTGGGTGGAATGACATCTCCATCACGCCTGAGACGAACTTGGCAAGCCACGAATGCCTTCACAGCCCTCTGTCTTGCTGCCACCTGGTTCGGAACGCCGGATTAGGACGGCCCCGGCCCCGGCAGCAGCAGCAGCATCAGCAGCAACAGCAGCACGTGGCCTTCTGTCACAACGGCGAGGAGCACCACACCACGACACCACGACACCACGACACGTGAAAAGTCTATTGAGCAAACCGCAGTCTATCGCTCGAGATCGCGTCATCTTCTACTGTGCCGGAACTTTGTTATGTCACAGTAGCACCGAGTGGCAGTGCCATGCCCGAGGCAGATTCGGACAGCCTGGCCAACTGCCGCCATTGAACAACTTGACAAACGGTCCGAGGTGTTGCGTACATCGCGTTTGACCATGTAGCATCAGTTGGCACTGGTGCCCGGGAATACCAAGCTGCCCGCCTCACTGCATGCCCCGCACCTGTGGGCAGGAGGGAGTAGCCGCAGCTCATGCCCACGAGGCAAACGGCGATCCACCAGATCTCCCTCAGAAACAAGAAAATCTGGGAGGGCTGGAAACGCCTGAAGCATATTGGCAAGGGCCGTGTAACAGTCTCGGAGCTGCCCAAGCAATCCTCACCGTGAGCCTGGGACCATTGCCCTGCGGTCGGACAAATCAGTGTTGCCGGTGTCCGCAGAACCACGGGCCTGGAACCTTGTATCTCGTGCTATCGTCACCGCCGGCTTTGGCAAAACGTGCACGATGAGAGAAGGTGTATACTGTATGGCCGGCCACCCCGGCTCATCGAGTGCGACAGGGGTTGATGTGAGACGTGACCGTACCATTATAATCGAGTGTTGTGGGAGAGGCAGGGGTCTTTCTCATATGCGATTCGGTGATCCAAAGATCGGCTCAACCAACCGGACAGGCTAGCGCACAGACTCGGGGCCGCTGGGCTGCTGGGAGTCTGGGAGTCTGGGAGTCTGGCACCGACAGACCGTGATGGTGGACAAAGTCTATCGTCTGAAATACGACCAGGCAGCCCAGGCAGCTCGGATTGAGCCGGGATGGCTGGTGACCAGCGGGTCGCTGACATCGTTTCAAGTACATTATGACCCCTGGGGTTCAACGGGCAGACCGACCCATCGCTCGAGCTCCCCAAGGACGCGGGGGCAACAAGACGGCGGTCAACCGGCACCGCTCGGTCCTCAGAAAACAGCTCCGACACATATATCTGACAACACCGTACCCAGAGGCCACGCTCAGATGCACAGCCTTGGAAGGCGCTGGCTGGCAGGGCTGAATGCGCGCGAGCATCATCCAGCTATCGCCCTCGAGCCGTTCAATCCGATCAGGACTCTGCTTCCTGTCAGAGTGCTGTCAGCTGCACGGTCCGTCGAACCGCATGAACGATACCTTTCGTCCGCTGGCCCCCTCAGAGGCGCGTTTTCATGAGAGGATACGATTGGCAGTCCAGTCGCTGTCCGATTAACTTTTCACGCATGCTGAAACGCGGTGGGGGGCGCCCTTAGAAACCAAGACACCTATAACAAGTGTCACGGAGGCATGGGTGGTACCACGCTTCCGGATTCGTCCTTTTTCAGCCGCATGGACAATCATGTTTCCTGGTCCGAGGCCAATCCAGAGGATGCTGTGTACATCCGCCACTCGCATCGGGCGGCTGGCCCAGGTCGCATCACTGTCATGGTGATCACACACCGAACAGCCGGGCCACGGGGCGCCTCTCTGCAAGAAAGATAGATCCGCAATAGATCTCCGCCAATATGCTGCCCTGCTATAGAGCCGGGACTCGTGTGCGTGTGCGTGTGCGTGTCGAGTGATGCCAGCGAATTTCTTGTGATTAATCCACATCATATAGGAAATCCCAACCTGTCCCTGGTTTGAGCCGCGTGGTGACAGCTTGGCTGACACCTAAGTTTATCCCAGACCGACACGCTGCTGGTCACAGAACTGAGTCTATCCATGACCTGAGTACCTACTCTCCCATGGCACACCCGCTTTTGTAGCGCAAAGTTTCCACGGTACATTCACCGCGTCCAGGTGACTCTCTGGCTGCCTAGGACCAGGGACTTGCGCTCCTGCTGCACGGCTGCCCACCTGGCTCTCTCCGCTGAGATCACCGAGCTTTGGACCCGACGTGGTATTCTGCTAGTGAGGGTGTGCTCAGTGTTTCCCCAGCTTTATGTTCGTCCTGCCCTGCTTCTGATGCAAGTCTCGAAATCCGCCCCCTCCTACGTCTTGCACCCCGCGTCATGCACACTGAGCAGTGAGCTGTCAGTTTTGACCTCATGCATCTGGGTCTGTTGGCCAATGTCTGTCAGTTGATGCTATAGCCACTACCGAACGACCATGCTGCCAGAATCGGAAATCTCAAGAGACATACACAACATTGAAGACGGGAAGTCGTCGCGGCGGGCGAAGCTTCCATCAGAGTTGTCGTTCGAACATGTGGTCAAGAACACGGTGGCATCGGTGAGTTCCATCCTGCACATCTGAAGCTCTCGGCTACCACAGACCAAGCTGATCATCCTCTTAGCCATGCTCGCTTGGCGAGTTTATGGACTTTCTGGTCCATGGGGATCTGAACGCAGAGTTACTGCAATTTTTCATCTGGTACTGCGACTACATCGAGCGATGGAGTGAGCTGTCGCCTCAACAGAAATCATTATCGCCCCCGTGGGAGCCAGCTCGACACCGAGGACAAAAAGGACCAGCCGCACATACTCATCGACGAGACGGGAGTGACAGACTCAATCAGATATTAGGCATCATGGAGGTTGTCAATGCTAAGAAGCACCCGAATTGGTCATTAAAGGGCGAGATCGAAACAGGAGCCGACTCGGGGACAACGAGCCAGTCACCAAGCATAGTGAGCATGCCAGCCGCTACCGCTCGGAGGGCAACCAAACAGGACACCCCACAGACACACACCGCATTACCCCTAAACTCTAATCCCATCGACGAACAGCCTCCAGACCACATACAGCCGTTCCGCGACGAGATCAACATGATCATCAAGCAATACATCACCGACCAGGCACCCAGGCGCCTGAATATATCTGACGACGACCTGGCTGCCTGCAAAAAGGCTGCCAGCTTAACCACACACCCGTCTGCTTTGCTGCGTGCATTCACCGCCGCAGAAGACCTTTTGAAGTCTGACTGTTTCCCACGTTTTATCCACGACAGCCAGCGGAACGCCAACAAGCCGCGTCTCATATTGGTCCGGATAATCGCCCTCACCGTCATAATGACTGGCTTCCTGGCCAACCAGGTACTGGTCCTGTCCAGCCTGTCCCAGTTCTTCCGCGTGCTCAGCATAATCCTGTGGTGGCCGAGCTTCACGACCCTAATAGCAGCGATACAAGGGCTCTGCCCCCTCCTACAATCCAGAAGCCTCCGCCAGCTGCGGCCCTGGGAGCAGGAGCAGCTGGGTGAGGACGGTGACGCGGACGGCGACACGCACGAGCTCAACCCTGCAGCCGAGGTCACAACACACATCAGCTCGGACAACGACAGGCAGAGGCCGAAGCAAGCGTGGCACGGGTCTGTTATCCGGGTCACAAGCAAGCTGTCCACGAGCCGCAACGACGACCCGCTGCGCAAGCCGAGCATGCAGACGTTTGGGCCGGCGAACAAGTACAGGAGACGGGCCTTTGTGAAGGCGTACCGGTCCAAGACGATCACCCGCAAGATCTGGGACGACACGGTCAAGACGCGCAACAGGAACATCAAGATGCTGCAGGACCGGACGCTCTTCCTTTCTATATGCTGGGGCGGCGCGATATCGTCGGTGCTTACCGTGGTGTCCCTCTTTATTCCGATGATGAAGGTCTTGTGACGGCCGTAATCACCATCCCCGACTTGGATCCGTCTCGGCTCGGGGTCGCGGGGTTTTTTGGTTTTTTCTTTTTCTTTTATGATGGGTTTGGTATTCATAATTGGCGTTGCGACGCGAATTTCTTCAGGCGAGCATACAGTCCCTACCGCAGTATACCCCCTGATATCATCAGGATTGCGAACAAGGAATATCTGGAGTGGGTTATTAGATGACGACGAACTGGAGTTTAAGCCATGGGTTTGGTTGGAGATACAGCGTTGGCGGGTGTGTTTCAATCAAGGCAACAATAGACTTAGGCGGCTACTAGCGATACAGCAGTAGACAGTAAGGTCATATTAAGACCTTCAGGTCTAGAAATGAGCACAATGATGATTACGACGTCAGTTAGGGCGGTCCAAAGTGGGTCGTCCGTCACCTAAATTGCTAACTTACTAAATTAGTAAAGTGAGCCTGGATTGGCCAAGACGGCGTCGCGTGCCCGGAGTCTCGGGACCAAGGGTCCTCGGCATCTGTTCAGTGGGCCCCCCTGCCCCCCTGAACCGGCATGTTGGACAGCGGGATCCAACCCAACCCGGCCAACCACCACCCGGCCACCATATCACAGCCAACTCTAACCTCGTATCACTATGGGAACTGTCCTGCTTGGTTGCTAGCGATAGTAACCATCACACACACAGCGGGAGAGGATGGAAGACCCGGACAGCCAGCAACAGGCGCCTCTGATCTCCAACCGGGACCACGGCGGCGACGACTACGAGGACGGCCTTGACGATGTCACTATCGGACCGGCAGCCCCGGCCGCCGTCGGCAAGGCGTCGTCCCCGGGCCTGTTCATGTGGCTGCTGACCTTTGCCGCTGGAATAGGCGGGCTTCTGTTTGGGTGTACGAACAACTGCTGTCCCACTCCGTACTCTGCCCCGGAACACACACGCACACGTCCGCTTTGCTAACAAACAAGGGCACACAACAGATGACACAGGCGTGATATCAGCGACGCTCGTCTCGATAGACACGTCGCTCTCCAACCGGCCGCTGACCTCGCTCGACAAGTCCATCATCACCTCGGCGACCGCCCTCTTCGCCCTCCTCGTCTCCCCGCTCTCGTCCGTGCTCGCCGACCGCCTGGGCCGCCGGCGCGTGATCCTCGTGGCGGACGTCCTCTTCGTGCTGGGCTCGGCCGTCCAGGCCGGCAGCTCGAGCGTGGCGGCCATGGTGGCCGGGCGGGCCGTCGTGGGCGCCGCGGTGGGCGCCGCCAGCTTCGTGGTGCCGCTGTACCTGGCGGAGCTGTCGCCCGCGGCGTCCAGGGGCCGCGTCGTCACCATGAACATTTTCTTCGTGACGTGGGGCCAGGTCGTCGCGTACATCGTGGGGTGGGCGCTCGCCGAGTTCGGGTCGCCGGCGACGGCGTGGCGCTGGATGGTCGGGCTCGGCGCCGCGCCCGCGCTGCTGCAGCTCGCCCTCGTCGCCGGCATGCCCGAGACGCCCCGCTGGCTCGTCAGGGCGGGGCGGGCGGACGAGGCCCGGGCCGTGGTGCGCCGGGTCGCCGGCGGTGGGGCCGGGGCCTCTGCCGAGGCGGACGTCGTGCTCAAGGGCATCGAGGCCGAGGTCCGCGACGAGGAGCAGGCGCACAGGGCCCGCCGCAGGGCCCCGGGTGCCGGCGCGCGCGCCGACTGGCTGGGCGGGTTTGACGAGCTGCTCTCGGTGCGGAGGAACCGCCGCGCGCTGGCCATCGCGTGCCTGCTGCAGGGTCTCCAGCAGCTGTGCGGATTCAACTCGCTCATGTACTTCTCGGCCACGATATTCAAGCTCCTGGGGTTCGACAGCCCCACGCTCACCGCGATGATCGTGGCCGTCACGAACATGCTCTTCACGGTGGTGGCGCTGCTGGTGATCGACAAGGTCGGCCGGAGGCGGATCCTGCTCTGCTCGATCCCCTTCATGGTGGCGGGCCTGCTGCTCTCGGCGTGGGGGTTCTCGATGATGCAGCTGTCGACCTCTGCGTTCTCCTCGGACGGCGCAGGGCCGCCGGCGGCCAGCCACGGGGCGGCGGTGGTGGTGCTCACGTCCATCATGCTGTACGTGGCGGCCTACGCGATCGGGCTGGGCAACGTCCCGTGGATGCAGAGCGAGCTCTTCTCGCTGAGCGTGCGGTCGCTGGGCAGCGGGGCGGCCACGGCGACGTGCTGGGCCGCCAACTTTGTGGTCGGGCTGACCTTCCTGCCGCTCATGGACGCCCTGTCGCCGACGTGGACGTTTGTTCTCTACGCCGCCGTCTGCGTGGCCGGCAACTGGGTGGTGTACCGGGTGTACCCCGAGACGAGCGGGCTCGGCCTAGAAGATGCCGCCGCTCTCCTGGAGAGGGACGACTGGGGCGTTGGTGCCCGATGAGGCCCGGTGGTGTTTCACGCAGGATACAAAATTACATATTGCTCCACCCTCTAGCATGTTGGGTGTATTTTACCATGTAGTGCACAGTACGAGCAGGCCACATGGTTGGTCCATGGCCGCCGACATTAATGATGGACTGTGCTTGCTGCAAAGACTTTTCGAACTCGTCTAGGTCCTGCTAGTGCCTGAGGGTTCAGTGACTGCTGTTGTTGCGAGACTCTCAAGTCGGACCTGTCTTGTCTAAAGTCTGCGAACCAGATGATATCGCCGGCGGTGCTGGCGAATCCAAGGAATACCATCTTCTCCTTCTCTCACTCGTGTGCGTGTCCACTTTTGGGGAAGGTGATCGTATGCTTGGAACATTGATGGATCTACCTGTTAAATCTGGGGTCGACGAGGTCCTAAGATAGGTGTCCCATGTCCTCGAAGGTTTCAGCCGGACCTCAGAACCGTGTGTCGAGTGTGCTGTGCTTGGGCGAAACACCAAAGGACTGCTACACTCCCCGTAGCCCAAAGGCGACGCATGGCGGCGCCTCCCGCAAAAAGTCTCTCAGAAGTCAATTTTCAGGCGCAAGGGGCCCGCCCCCTGGAAGCATCGCGCCTGTCCTCGTGACTATAAGAATCGACTTGGAATTGTGACGAATGTCATGCGCATGAGAGTACAGCTTTTCGCCTCCAAGCACCAACTTGTATGCTGTCACCACATGATCCTCCAAGTCTTGACACCACCACGTTCTTGTGCCGTCCTCGTCGCCGACGAATCAGACTTGAAACTGACATCGAGTCCATGTGACGCCTCTCATTATCGGTCATGGACAGAGGTCCGAACTTTGCGGCCGATGATCTGTGGTGCATTTTCGTTAGCAGATGCCAGGCTATGACTTCAAAGGCTCCCCTTGGCAGGTCAGGAAGTCGATGGTCACTCACAGCCAGCGGAATTCTAGATCATCAGGCAGCGGGTTCCAGGTTGGTGTAGGTTTGGAAAACTTGATCACTTGTTGTGCTAAAGCGAGCGGCCTCTCACAATAGTGACAAGATGCACACGCGCGCATGCTCACGGTCCTAGGTAGCCTTGGACGACTTCTGCATGCGAGACTCGGCAACTTCTGAGGCTGTTGCTTCGATTTGGTTGAGCCCCGGCTACCAGCTGCTTGGGTATCTTCGTCCGAAGAGGGTGGCATTGACGGTATTATGTCACAGTCCAGACTGTCTTTGAAGCCTTCGCGGACGTCTCCTGCCGTTGAATCGTCGGACGTGGAGTCGGAGATGTCAGAAGCCGAATCACTCAAGCTGGACAGGTCGAAATCGTCGTCAGACGCTGATCCGGAGCAGGTTCCAGAGGAGCCCTCGATTCTTTGAGGCCCTTTCAGGCTCTGATCGCCAAAGAAGAGGGACATGCCAAATTGTGTCCCAGGACGGGCGACAGCTTTCCAATCGTGCTCGTTGATGAGATACCACCATCTGTCCGCATTGTTGTTTTTCGGGGGCGTGAACAGCCAGAACTGCTTGGTCGACACAAGAGTCAAGACGGCTGGGTTCTTCTTGAAGCTGAAAAGGAGGAAGTCGACGAAGTCCTGGTATGAATCATGTGTCAGTCTGTGATGCGCAGCCTTCTTGGACAGTGGGCTTGGTCCAATCTCACCTCGAAAGTGGCACAAATCTCAAGGGGGATGGGATACCGCCTCCCAATCGCGTCTTGGAACTGCAGAGGTTTCGTATCCCAGGGGTCCTCAAGGCCTCTTGCAATCTCAAACTTGACCTCGCTCGTCGCCTTGAGGAGCTGAAGCTGAAACTGGTTGGATGAGTGTTGAATCTCCCCTTGGATCTGCCTAGAACCTGTCGACATAAGGACACTGCCCCATTCGTCAGCAGAATTTCGCAGAATTTCGTAAATCAAGAGTGAGTGTTGCGTGTGAACTTGAGAATGTTATAGCGCTCGATTATACTGATGGACAGCGCAGGAGCCACATCTGAGACATACCGCTGGCGCTCGGATTGTAGGAGAAGCAGCGAGATCAGGGACTGTTGGAGCCCTTGTCGATATGTGTCGAGCTCATCCTTCCCAGAGAGACTATAACGAAGACGCTTGAAATAACGGGACACCGCCACGGAAGAGCCGTCAGAATATTTCTTCGTAAATTGGCGTAGATTTTTTAGATTGGCGTAGCACCCTTGCACGACCGAACGGAATCTTGCTTGCTCCTGCGAGTCCGCCGCGGAGAGCTCTGTAAGGACAGCACTCAGAGTGTCAAGATCGCTGCGGACTTGGGCCAAGACTCTTGAGTCCTCAGAGGTGCTGCTCAAAGCCTGAAAGCCCTTGACGACAATTCCTACAATTGCTATGCAGTCACCCACGCTCAGAGGAGAAGCCATATTCGCTGCGAGTGTGATTTTGGATTCTTCGGAAGGAGATCTGGTCTAGTAGGAGTCAAATAAATAAAGGACATGGCCGGAATAATGGCGCCCTGGGGCTGAAGGATTGGGAGACAGCGAACACTGTGGCTTGTAGCGTTCATGTGCAAGATGATGTCAACTGCGCTCTCTGGTTGGATGTGTGGCAAGGCGCAAGCAGTCGCTTGAGCACAGCCATGGTCATGTTGCACAAGCCAATGCCCAATTGACAGCGTGCAGGCAGAGACTGCCTTGCTGGCATTTTCAACCTTGTCTTCGTGCTGACAATCGCCGTCAACCGGAACCATGTTGTGCCCACATTTATTCTCAGCCGTGCAGCCCTTTGGGTGGCTATACATTGCTACTGAATGCGCTGTGAGAACAAGTGCGATATCCTTCTCCGGTGAACACAGGCCCGTCATCTAGTCTAATATATTACACTGCTGTATCGTATTTCCTCAAACAAGTACAGACTGCCTATTTGACACCTCCAAAACCCCATCACACAGCAAGATCCTGTTCGACAATGGCCTCCTCCACCACTTGAGGTATGGGATAACAAAACACAGTCACCGTCGCAATCCCCGTCACGATAGTCGCCCCAGCAAATGGCAGCCCGATCCAAGCACCCCTCTTGCAAGCCCCATGCAGTCATGATCTCTCCCAAGGGTCACTTTTCCGGTATCATCAGAACCAATAATGAAGGCTAGCGGATGTCTCAGGATGTTGACAGCGGTCGATGAGGCTCGGAACGTCAACTGGGTTGTTGAAGTGCTCCGTGGGCTGCCCAAGTGCCCGCGGCTTTGGATCTGTGGAACCGCGCCTAGATCGACGTTGCAGTGCCGTACGTGCGGATAGAAGTGGGAACGGAGCCCACCGGGCCCTCCCAAGCTGTGGAAAATACCCACGGCGTGCCAGGGGGCATGCGGCCTAATGAAAAGGAGAATATGGATACGCGGACGGCGGAATCGCGGCCGGAATTGGACGGTAAACAACGGCAAAAGCCACCAAGCCACCCCCCCCTGCTTGGATCGAATGTTCTACACGTGGACGTATGTCTTCGCCCTTGCCAGCAGGATGGGTCAAGGTGTGAAATTTTTGTCGAGGCTGCTATGTTTATCTTTAAGCTTTTCTTTCCCTGGCCGCTGAGAAATGCGTACATATAGTGTGGTACCTTGGCACGGAGTATCCGAGTCGGGGTTGCATCTAAATGTGCAAAAGGTGAAGTCTGGAAATCCGAAAAACCCTGTTTCCCGGCGGCTGTTTGTGGCAGACATTTTTAATCGTCGTGCGCGGGCCGAGGCAGCAATAGTGCAGATCTGATGCTGTTAGACGCGAGGGCCGAGTGCGGGTTTAGCTCTTCAGCTTTAGGAGTAAAAGTTTTCCTATTTTTATAAAAGCTTTTACCTATTTTAATAGTTTATTCTACCTAATATATAAATAAGCTACTTTTAAAAGAAAACCTAACCTTTTTAACCCTATTTTCCACCTATTTTTCTACCTATCTACCCTATTTAAACTTATATTAAATAATTAACTATATATAATACCTATATATAATAATACCTATTATAATTAGTTATTATAAAAAAAAATATAAAAAATTAAAAAAATAATTTTAAATATTATAAAGATTTAAAATTTCTTAATAAATATAATAATATTACTATTATTTTTAATATTAACTTTATAATTAAACTTTAAATTAATATACTAAATAATTTAAAGTTAAATATAATTTTATAAACTTAAAAAAATATATTAATTATATATAAACTACTTAAAAATATTATTATATATTTAAAAATATTAAATAAATATTATATAGCTTTTATATTACTATTTAAATATATAAACTATAAAATAAGTTTTTATTAATAAAATTAAACTTATAATAATTTAAAATAATAATATTAAATTATAATAACTAACTTTATTAAATAAAAATATTTAAATCTTAAAATTATTAAATATTAATATAATAATTTATTATTATTATTATAATTAAAGTAAATAATTTTATATTAAAAATAAAAATATATTTTATATTAGTTTTTAATAAAATATTAAGTTTATTATTAGTTACTATTATTTTAATTTATTATAAAATTATAAAAGTTAAAAATATAAAAATATAGCCTCTTTATATTTAATTTAAATATTACTATCTTTTATATATATTTTAAAATAAGTTAAAATAAAAATAAAATAAAAATAAATATAATAATAAAATAAAGCCTTCTTTTATAATAAATTACTTAATAAAATAAAGCTAATACTTTTATAAATTTTAAATATATTAAAATAAATAAAACTATTATCCTTAATATATAAAGCTATTAATATTAACTATTAGAAAAATAAATAATATAATAAAAGTATTATAGAATAAAGGTTTTTATATTAAAACTAATAACCTTCTAAAATATTTTTAAAATTAAATCTTATTTTAATTTATAAAAATAACTTTCTAAAATCTTTATATTAATAATAAGTAATTTTAATAATAATACTTTTAAAACTTAACCTATATTTATAATATACTTATTAAAAATATTAATATCTAATATTATACTTTAATTACTATTTATATAATATTAATTTATTAACTAATTAAAAGCTACTAATTAATATATTAAATTCCTTTAAATATATAAATATAAAATAACTCTTTCTCTTTTATAAAATACTATTATATTTATAACTTTAAAAGCCTATTACCTATATTTTAAGTTACTTAAATACTCTAATAATAATATTATATAAAAATATAGCTCTATAAACTAAAAATATATAATAATATTAACCTATTTAAAGCCCTCTTTTATATTTAATAAAACTTATAAAAACTATTTAAAAGTTATATAATATTTATAATTAATAGTTTATTATAACTAATACTTTTACTTTATTTTAAATAATAATAATAATTATATTTAATATAAATAAAATTAATTTAAAATAAAACTAATTATTAATAATATAAACTTAAAATAAAAATATTATCTTTTAATTTATTATAAAACTATAAAAATATTAAAAAAATATAACTAAAATAAATAATATATTTATATTAATAATAAATAAATTAATAATTAATATAAAAGTAATAATAACTTTATAAAGTATAATAAAACTATTATTTAACTCTTATAATATATTAATAAACCTTAAATTAAGCTTAAATAATATCTTTTTAGCTTTATATAAGCCTAAAAACCACTATAATACTATTATTAGTCTTAAAAAGTTATTAAAAGCTCCTATGAATAATATTAGTAATATTAGAAATAAAAGAATTTATTTAATTATAATTAAAAGTTATATTATAACTTAATATATTTAAAGTAACTTTAAATAAAAATTAATAAAAATATAAACTTTTTAAAATATATATTAAATATTAAATTTATTAAGTTAATAATAAGTTAATAAAGTTTATTAATTATATTTTTATAATAATATTTAAAATAATTTATAAAAACTTATTAAAGTTATTTATATATAACTATTTAATTAAATTATAAAAATAATAATAATATAACTTATTTTATTAAAAACTTATATATAATATTAATATAATTATTTATATAACTATTAAACTATATACCTAATAAAAATAAACTTACCTTATTATTTAAAATAATTTATATATTTTAATAATAATTATAAACTTTATATTTATATTAAAGATAATATAAATAAACTTTAACTTAAATACTATTATTTAAAAATATATTTAAATATAATATTTAAAAAATAGCTATAATTTTATTTTAAAATTATAATAAATAAAAATAATACTATAATAAAATAAATAAAAATATAAATTATAATAATAATATTTTAAGGTAATATATAGCTAAATTAAATAACTATTTAAATAATAAAGTTATTATTATTTAAAACTATAACTATTATTATTAAAATAATAAAATTATTAATAATTATAATTAATAACTAATTATTTAAAAATAATAAAAGTAGCTAATAATATATTTATAATAGTAATTAAAAATAATTAATAACCTATTTAAAAAATATTTAAAAATAAATAATTAATAAAATTTAATATTATTAAAAAAAAAAAAATATATTTATAATAAAATAATAACTTAAATTATATAATTAATTTTAAAATTAAAACTAATATAAAAAATATAAAATAAAAAAATTAAAATCTATTTAAATAAATAATAAAATAAAGTTTAACTTAAATAAATTTAAAATACTTAAACTAAATACTATTTAATAAAATTAACTAATTAAACTAAATAAAAACATAAATAACTTTTAACCTTAAAATAAATTAATATAATCCTTTATAAAATATATTAATCTACCTTTTAAATCTATAAAGAGTAAAATAGCTATTAGTTATAAGGTTAGTATTTATATTACTTATTACTTTAAATTAATTAATAAATTAAATTAAATAAAAATATTTCTACTTTTTAATTACTATTATTATTAAAATTATTTAATAAAAGTCTAAATTATTATAAACTAAATACTTAAATATAGCTATATATAAATCTTTATTAAAGACTAAAAGATTAAATAATAGCTTATAATATAAAATATAATATTAAATATATAAATACTTATAATATAACTTCTAATAACTATATAAATATTAACTATTTTACTATATATTAACCTATATATATAAAAAATAAACTACTTTTAAATTAAAAATTTAAAATAATAATTATTACTATTATTATATTATAAATATATATATAAAAATAATATATAAATATAAATATAAATATAAATATACTTAAAACCTAACTTAATAATACTATATATATAAATTATAAAAATAAAATAAAATAAAATAAATACTTAATATTATTATTATAATTATAATTAATTAAACCTTTATTATATTATTTAATTTTAAAAATTAATTATAACTTAACTAACTAAATAATCCTTTATATTATCTTTTACTTTAACTATATTATATTATAATACTATATTTAATACTTATATAACTATTAATAACTAAAAGGTATTTAATATAAAAATTAATAAGCTTTATAATAAATACCTTCTTACCTTAAAAGGACTACTAATATTATAATTTATATATATAAACCTTAACTTAAAATT